TTTGTGTGCAACAGTGACCCCCCCCCAAAAGAGACATCTTTCAGAGATAAGAACAATCTTTATTTCCTAAAAACACTCAAAGGTGAACAGTTTTTACCCCCTAAATACTGAATTTGTTGAAGAGCATGCATGGACAGTACATGACACCAATGCATACAGTGTACATGTACGGTACGTGTGCATGTGTACACTTGTCTTCCATTTTTTTGAATGAGTGGACAATTCTTACCAGTGGATGCAACACTACACTGACCCCATGCTGAGGCGATTAAACAGAAATGTACACTGACAAAACCTTGGCCTTATGGTAATAACACCCTGTAAATGTACTTTGCCGCTCTGGCCATCAATTTTTATGAGATTGAGATGATCAACGCTACCGGTATGTCCTTGCGACAGCCTGATCAGAAAGAGGGTCATCAGTTAAAGTGCATGCATCCAACAGGGCGTGACGGTGCGTGACGTTTTGAAATAATATTTTAATGGCTTTAGCCAATTAACCCTCGCCAGCCCAAGTCCAGAAAAATTCAACAGCTACGGGTACCGGATCAGAAAAAGTGGTGGGATTAAAATCTGGATTTTTAAAAATTCGCATCATGAATTCCACTATTAGTATTAGGTTTGGATTTTGGAAATATAGCTTTTTTGTGATGTGACACAAGCTAGTATTATTGGAAAACAACTGAAACATTTTGCTAAATGGTCTCCGAGTGTAACGGTCTTTTGGTTCATGAATAGCCTGCCGATTTGTCTGATCAGAGAGTTCCTGACCAATTTTTTTCCCCCAAGTACAACTCTGGAGTGTTTTTGTAAAGGCCAGTGGTCATTTGAATCCCACGAACTACAGTACATGTACATTTTACCCAATCATTTTGGACGGCATTGCATGAAGCACCTCACTCGGCATGACTGTCACCGTCAGAGCTGAATGGGAGCTTCCAGTGAAAACGGATTGATAACCGCTAATTGGTTTGAAACAAATTAGGATAAACAGATTTTGAAATCTCTGATTCCTCCCGCCAATATTCAGTACATACCAGTATTTGTACATTAACCTCTACTCTCTTGGCTTATGAGGATTAAATTGACAAGTTTCTTGGCAAAAACACAAACAGGACTATTATTAAATCAGTCTTTTGCAAATTCATCAACTTCACAAACAAATCTTCAACCATCTGGATTCAAACAAACAAAAATAATAGAATTTGGCCAGCCAAATATTCTCACAATGTTCCATTAAACATTTTTTCCCCTTAGGAAGGGTCAAATTATAAGCACTCTCTCCATTCTTGAATAATCATTGGAATTGAGGTCAGATCTAAATAAAGCAAAATTCCGTTCCCCCCCAATGCCACACACATCGAAATTCTTTGCGTGCTTTTGCATACAGTGGCAGCCCTCTAACCACAGACGCTACTAAAGAATACACACAGAGAGATACTGGTATGGATTTTGGGAGGCTCGTCTGATATGACGTGGCTGGTCATTGTGCTAGCTCGTCGAGCACGCATGGGAATTACCGCGCATGTGCCACTTGCACTCTGACTAAAGCGTTAAACCCGCCCTACCGGCCGACAGGCCGTGGTATTTATGAATTATTGATGGCCCATTGATTAGGAAAAGATTGCAACACACGTTTTTTCCTTTTTTCGCCAGCAGGAAAAATGGAATGTCCCTGAAATTTGTGTGCACAATGGGTGACTTTATAACGTTTGGCTTGATATGATTTTTTTTTTTAAATATTGCGCAATTACTCAGTGGAAGTCCCTTTTTAAGTGCAAAACCAGATATGAAATGCACTGCAACAAGATGCTCAACACAATTTGAGAATGCTATGGTGATGTCATGGAAATTCTTAGGTTATGGTTGACATGACACATTGTACTATTTGTAGGTATACTGTAAAGATTGTTACATTATGCCTGTAATTGTTGGCAGTCACGCACACATTATTGGGGAATATAGCTGGAGGGATAAGTCGGGGGGAAAAAATGGATAAATATACAATGTACGGGATGATAAAAGTTTATAATATTCCCTTTCTTAAAGGTACATACCCCCCGGTAATGTACAACATTTGCAAATATTAATTTAAAAATGAAACTCTTTGAAAAACATCAACACAGGTACATGTACCTTACTTGACGGTAAGCAACTGATAGTAATACTAATAGTCTAAAGCATTGTGTGAAATCAATGCACCTTGTGGTATTATTATTATTAATATTTATTCAGCCAAAGAAAAAGAATACAAATATACAATAGACATAGACTTCAATACATACATGTACATCAATAATAATAAAATATAATCACCAAGATGGGCTAGGGGCAACAAAAGCAAAAAATTACTGTAGTCCGCGTTATTATTGGAAACGAACAAAATGCATAAAAAGCAAATGATCCTACATGTATGCATGCCATATAACGACAAAAAGTTGTGCGTGGTTTTCACAATTGTTGTTTTTTTTCAAAAAGTGTAACATCCACTAAGCTGAAACTTCGTCAGGTTAGGTTTTTAACATTTTTTTTGGGGGGGGGGGTGTCTTGAGTGGTGTTATTATTGGAAATGAACAAAATGCATAGAAAGCAAATAATCCTTATAAATGCCATCTGGGATTTGTTCTACCGGTAGTGTTGGTATCCAGAAAATGATATTGTTATAACCCCTCGTTTCCTTCAACCATACTGCCTATTACTGGTACCACACTATCGGGTGATTTTAGGCGATCAGTAATTTGAAGGTTAATTCAATTGTTGCCAAGTACCTGGAACTAGGTCCAAAATTGTACTTCATGTTAAAACCTTGGCAACAAGCTGATAATCTCAGGATTAGTTCTTACTTTAAGAATTCAATAGTTAGTGATAACCGGTGCAATAATTAGTCCCAATTTTTCAATGACACGGCTTAATCTGTAATCCATCTTTTGCGACTAATCCCCAAGAAGTAGCCACTGATCTCTCAAGCCCGATAATCTCTGCAAAGAGGATTCACTGCACATAGAAAGTTTAAAAAGATTGCTGGGATCAGAGTTTTGCCCCAAATCCAGGAAACTTAATTCTCATCCTTGGATACTCCTAAACAACCTTTAATCGCAGCTTGTACCGGTAATTTGTATTAGGAAAGAAAATCCAAAGCGAAGGGGGGAAAGCTGGTCACAAAATGACACCTTTACTTTCAGAAAGTGACAAATTTCGAATGATCTTTCACAAAGTGTTAAAATGCAAATCTGGCAGTGGAGGCCAGAGTAAGAATTTTACAGCATCACTTGGAACAAAAGGACTGCACCTTCAAGATGGCTGCCATACAAATGGATACTGTATAAATGATCTCTAGCACTGTTTAATACTGTTTTACCAAGTTTGAACCAAGTTTCAAAAGTGTGAATAATTTTGATTTCCTACCATGTAATCACCCTTTAACACTAGTATTACCCCTTCAGTCTCAAATTCTTCAATTTTTTTCACGTTTTGTTGGATTGTGTAGGATTGAGGGAGATAGTGGCTTTACTTTGCAAATTTTACTCAGGCACAGACAATTCTGATGCAACAATCTTGGGAAGGAGTGCAGTATGGCCATCAGATGCCATTTCTTTGGTTGTGCTTGCGTACAAACTGTTGAATGGAGATTAGGGGCCATAATTATCCAGATATGTTGGGGAGAGAAGATGCATCAGAATTGAGATTCAGACAAAATCCTTGTTTTCTAGGTTTTATGATGGAATGAACTCCCGACATACTGGGTATAGCTTACCTACCCAATGAGAAAAAAGTGTGAAGTAACGTAACAAAACACATTCGAGCAATGCACATAGTATAATAATGCTGTAATTAACACAAACTCCTTATTATCGCATTATTTAAAAAATCTTTATAACTTTGCAGCATGCAGTGCAGTGTTTGATTTTTTAAACATGAATGATGACAAAAATACCACCAACATGTCTTGTCACCATCATAAACTCTAGCCCGACTGCGTCTGGCCGTACAGTACTATCGCAAGCTCTGTAGTACGGCCAGACGCCCGATGCTTCCAAAAAGACTGAATTTTTTTGGCCGCCGATGTAGCGATTTTGCTACATCTTTCGATCGCGATTATCTTTTCATCCAGGACACAAATTTCCAAAGTTAAGGTTCGTAGTCGTAGAGCAACTCATACCTTTTCGAAAAAAACGTTCTTTGGTCTCAATATTTTCATCCATCTGGCCACAAGACGAATTTCAGTCATCAGATTCCACAAATATCGTCCCCCATGCGATTTCAAAATGGCGGCCGCGCTGTAATGTATGCATTATGCGAGCGCGCTTGGGCAAGATAATGAATATGCATTATTTAGTTCATGACCTCGTGTTTGTATGGCCAGCCGCGCTGAGTGTCCGACATACGTCATAAACTATGATGCATATTCATTATCTTACCCAAGCGCGCTCGCCTAATGCATACATTACAGCGCGGCCGCCATTTTGAAATCGCATGGGGGATCGCATGGGGGACGATATTTGTGGAATCTGATGACTGAAATTCGTCTTGTGGCCAGATGGATGAAAATATTGAGACCAAAGAACGTTTTTTTCGAAAAGGTATGAGTTGCTCTACGACTACGAACCTTAACTTTGGAAATTTGTGTCCTGGATGAAAAGTTAATGGCGATCGAAAGATGTAGCAAAATCGCTACATCGGCGGCCAAAAAAATTCAGTCTTTTTGGAAGCATCGGGCGTCTGGCCGTACTACAGAGCTTGCGATAGTACTGTACGGCCAGACGCAGTCGGGCTACATAAACTCCTCCAACCACCCCATGTGCATTTTTCTAAACTGTTTATCTTAGCCATCAACAAAATGGAAAAAAAAGGAATGTTTTGATATGTTTTCATCCCAGTCATCAGGGAAAATTAACGGGTGCAATAGAACCGTGCGTCATCAAATCGTGCATGATGCACTGCATTGAATTGATGATGAATGAATGGTCAGGTAGCCAGTACAAGTACACATAGATACTCACGTGTAATGTGGTGTAACATCTCGCCCGACACTGTGCCTCTAAAATATTGCCATAAGAAGTCCCGATTGATCCAAGAAGTACTCCCAGTAGAGCTACACCTTTCAATTTAGTCATTTCCCCCATCGAACTTGAAAAAAGTCTCCAAAAATGGCGGAATATGAGCAGGGGTTTCAACCCCAAAACGTCGAGAAGTTACGTCCACATAACACAAATCCAATGGGCCGTGTAGTATGCGTGCGCGGCATATACATGTATGCTGCTACAACATGCGTATTCCGTACACATAGCACGCACAGTCGTCTATCTCGTTTTGCATCAAGCAGCTCATGCTGGGAAGGTTTAACCACTTTCAACAGATGGGGGAAAATACTATGAGGGACTACCATTTCCATGCATGTTCTTCAAAATTTGTCCATACAAACTTATTGCAATATTTTTGAAGACTCTATCTGAGTTTTTATAATATAAATCATCAGTTCAATTTAAAAACTGCCAGATTTGAACAGTTGATGTTTTGTAATATTAATGAAATATGATACTCTCCCCTGTAACATAATGAAGCATGCCACTATACCAGGCTTCGATAAGACCACAGTTGTGATTGGTCAATGGTTGATTGAATACATTGCAAGTGAAATCCCCTACTGCTCGCTAAAGCCAGCGCAACACAGGCGCCGCTAAAGACCCCTTTCACATGCAAAGCTTGTTGCAAATCCGTAAGCCTTAAGACCGTAAGGAATTCGCTTGCCTCTTTTATTTCGCGACCCTCTTTTGGAGGGAAAGGAGATCGAGGCAGTGTTCAGGTTTTGATCCGATCTTTCTTATAAACTCGGGCGGAAAGGAAGATAGATGGATGGCCCCCGGAGAATTGTAGTTTTAAAGAGAGAAACAGACTTTGGTTTAAAGTATAGGCCTATAGCAGAACCCAAACTTTTGTGTGTTAACCTTCCCGCCAAAGCTTTACAGCTCTTGATCTGTGTGGCCCTGTTCCATTTATCTAATGCTGCCACCCAAAAAAATTACCTGTATTAAAACAATTTACTTCAGTTCAGGTTTTAAATTGATGTTTAGTGAATAAAACTTTTGTCCGTCTGCGGACGACTTAGTCTAGTAGCACCATGGTAGTACTAAGTAGTAAACTTAAATTGTGTAACTTATTACTACTACTTTCTTGAATGTTTTACAATGTAACAAGTTCGGGAAATTGATTTCCTCTCAAATAAATACTCCAAAAGTTAAAACCGGACGGTTATGCACTGAAAGACGTGGTTTAAAAATTCAAATTCGATGTCGAAAATACTTCAGTGAACCAGCTCTGTACGCATGTATCCTATAAGATAATGGACGATTTACTCGAAATCGGTAGATAAACCCTTTCAAATTCAAACCAAAACGGACTTTAAATGTAACCGATTTAATTAGAATAACGGTTCACACCTCTTAATTTGATTACCGATTATCAGCGGGGACTAATAAACTACATGTATTTAGATAAACTGGTCATTACCGAGCCTGTTCTTCGTGGGAGACAAGAATTACACCCCGGGTCATCAAAGGGCGGCGGGCCGGCTGTTCTCCCCAGAAGAATGAGGCTTTATAATCCGATAATCCGTTACACTGGCTAAGCCCTGGACCCTATGGGGCAGCTTAAAATATTCGGGATGACCTTGTTTGAAGCTTGGATAGCTTCTTGGTGATGGCACCCGTTAAGGCGACAAAATGCAGCAACTTGCAGGAATCTTTTCGGTCAAATATTTTGAGGATGAATGCGTTTTCAAACCACAAACCCGAGGCACGATGTTAAAATTGATCTTACTTTTTGCTCGCTCTTCCAAAAAAAATTGTTTTCTCCTTGTGAATTTTCTATAGACCTGTTGCGTTAAGGCAGAGTTAGAGGACAATGGTTTGTATCACTAGGATGGGCTTGAGTAAACCTTTTGTGCACTGATTGTTGAAAAATTATTGTTGATGAAAAACTTTTTTTTTTTATTCTTTGCAATTCTTTCTCTTAAGAAATGCTTCATGTTGTGTTGCAGTTGCGCCTGTTTTACGCACAAATAGATACGCCAAAATTAATTATGTCAGGCCGCAAATAATTTATTCCATGACTAAGGTGGTTTTTGTTCAATTTATCATTAAAATGGGACAATTTTGGTGAGGAAAGGAATTATATTGTATATTGGTGGGGAAAGGATCGAGGTTTAAAACTTCGGGGAGGGGGAAATTCCGGAATAAAACATGCCGGGAACTACCGGTACGGTATGGACCCTTATTAGCTGTACATGCTGCTGTTAATGTGGGACACTCTTGAGCTGCGCTGTCGGATGGATCAGCTTTCATCATTGAAACAGCCGTTAATCGATAAAGATATGAAGCACCTCGTGAGAAGTTCCCGGATGGTAGTGATGCGGGGGGGGGGGGGTAAAATCAATAAAAAGGGTCTTTTGAAAGGGGATTGTGAAAGAGGATTAACAATTGATGCTGCAAGCAAGGTCGAAGGGATGAAATAACTTAAGTATACACTTAGGGAACTTATTTCATTTTTTTTACGTAGGTCTTTAACGCGTGGGGTCTTGTTGAATGGACTTTCCCATCGGCTTACGAGAATCAATATGTACTTCATATCTGCATATCCCATATCCGCCTATTCTTTCCTTATTCTCACGATTCTTCAGCTTGGAACTTAGACTAAAAAAATCAAGATTCCTTGCATCATGGTTGCGCGGATAAACAAGACTTTGTATCCACGAGGAACTTTTCTGCAAGAGGGCGCTGTTCCGAAGCGCTGTCTACTGGTACTGGTGGCGCCGTCGTTTATACCGCAAAGTCGCCCATTTAGCGCCCATCTATTATTTTGTTGAATTTTTGTATTTTTGAGAAAAAAAATCCTGGATTTTTTTCTTGCAAAAAAAAAGGGGAAAAAAAGAGGGGAACAAGAGGTGCGAAGCCACATCGCTGTGAATTTGATGGGAGGAGGGGGGGGGGGGTAAGGCAAGGCAAATGTCCTCGCTTGGAAAATGATAAATTGAGAATATGTTGAATAAATTGAGAATATGTTGTGCTTTGCACCCCCCCGAAAAAAAATCCTGGCGACGCCAATGCAATGCTGGATGAGCTGATTTCCTAAGTTTCACTTTTATGACGTTAAAAATTGAAAAAACATTGTATCAGGACAAGTAAAAAAAATAACCAGTTTTTCGTCCACGCCCGCTTCCTTTTTTTTCGCTTGCCTCTTTTTTTTCTTTTTATTTACAGATTTGCAATTTATTTGCACATATTGTCAATATATTGTCTGTTCATCTATTTCTAATAACACCGTAGCTGTTTAAGGGGTTGCGGCTCCTTTGAACACACTTTGTATCATCAAAAGAGTCAAGAAAATGGAGATCCATCCCGCATCTTGGAAAATCTGCCATCTAGAAAAGAAGAAAAAAGCTTCCGCTTTTTTTTTGGTTACTTCCCAGTTGTATGCCTGCAATTGTTCTCCACAATTTCCAAGGATAGGATAAATACAAAAAATGTGATTGATAGCCTTTCCAAATCAATTGAATCAGATGTGCACTTGGGGACCAGCTTTCCAAGGCTTGACTTGTCTTGTTTCCATATCAATCCTAAAAAAACCCCACTACATTCACAGTCATTCCAAACATTTTTGACATGTACAAACCTCTTAATTATTCCTTTATTCAGAAGCAACTCCATACCAAATGTAGTATACATACAGCTTAGGTTGGAATGAATTAAAAAAAAGAAAAAGAAACATTCCCTTTTCACACTACAAAGCAAAAAAAAAAACAACCCAAAACAAACAAAAAACTACTTAAAACATAAGATAACTTTGTTCCTGGCGAAAAGAAAGAAAATCACATCCTTTAAAGGAAATATTACACTGCAAGGCCGATTTTCAACTAAATAAAAATAAAAATAAAAAAAACCCTGAAAACATTTATGGCACATTTTTGTTGTTGCATGTTTGCACCTTTTTTGTAACGGTTCTAAGAATATTGTTTTCTTTAAGTGAGTAATGGCTTACTAGATGATACATTTTATGGTAAACATTTTAATGATTGTGGCAATTTCATGGAGCAAAACAACTTTGCTCTAGAAAGAAAAAAAATATGACTTTTATAGCTTGGCTTATCAGCCAAAATGTTGAAGTTTTCTACAAGCTTTAAAATGTGCTACTACAGAAGTGTGAACGGTCAATAAAAATTGACCGAGTGAACTAATGAGAAACTAAACCCTATTAACAATTTTTTCATGTTTTAAAATACATGCATTGTACATTTCATTGAAGATTCAGCTAAATCAGGCTCTAATATCAAATGAATATATTAAATACAGCCTGTGCACAAGCAAACACTTCAAAAAAGCATGAAAAGGATGACATCAACGTACAAAAAATTACAAAAATAAGTATCAGAACCTTGTTGATTGTATACAAAAAAAGATAGACCACTCGAGGATAACATAGTTTTATTTGATTATGTGTGTTTTTAAATATCCAGTAACGCATTATATAAAATCATGCAAAATATATTTCTCAAATGGCTATATAAAAAAGCACCTTAATAATTGAATGAATACTCTAATGTTACTATAAGTCGGACAAGCATGGTATTTTTATGATTGGGTCTTCATTCGGGGTGCACAGTGAGCCGTTGGTGTTGTCACACTAAGAATTAAAATAAAAAGGCGTGTAGAGGAAGATGACAGATTTACTTCAAGACAAACTGGTACTGTGGTTCAGAAGGCTTTTCAACTCTATAACATTCTACTCAACCACAATCCAACGACTAAATGTGTTATTATCGACAAGTTGTGATGACTTGTGTCAGTGACTTGACTTGAGTCACAGTTTTCAGTTACTTGACTCGACTCCTGTCATAACAGGCAATGACTTGTATCAACTAGAGTCACTGATGGGAAATGACACGACTCGACATGAGCCAAAGGGTCGACACTTGTACCCCACGATAATAAAATGCCATTAAATAATTGCGGTTATTTATGGTACAATCATGGCTTGACGTTGTTGTCAAGTTGTAAATCTTGCTTGTGCTTGTGAAGCACCTACAGGGTGTGTTCGATTAGCTCACCCAGGTTGACTCGGGATAGCCCCGTGCCGTTCCATTAGCTCTGAAGTTGTTCTCAGGGCTAACCCGATCAGCCACCATAGACCCTGCTAGTGGAGCAGAGTCAGTGGTGGAAATACGTCACATGCATGCACTGTTCTTTCCAAGAAATGGACAATTATGGCGGCCGGATAGCGAAAAAGCTGAAGTGAACCCAAATATCAATTTTATTTGAAGTCTATAACATAATTAGTTATTTATCCGATTGCAACTTTAGAGACTATAATTCCAGCCCAACGTTGGTACTCTTGGATTGACATAAAAGCAGATCTCGAAGTAAGACCGAGTCCAAAAAGGGCGTTTTTTTCAATGGCTCCAACCGAGTCACAAACTTCAGTGACTTGTTACAACACAGATTCAGAGGTACGTCAAGTTACTTGACTCAGAAACTTCAAGAAATGGTGTTTTTTTCCCCCTGCTCATAGCCTGAAAAAAGACTATTGTAAAATGGATTATATAAACGTCAAAAGTATCTTGGTTTTTGGTGAATCTGATTAATGTTTGTTTTGTTTTGTAATAACCATGCCCTTTCACTGTGTGTTTGAGGAAACCTTTCCAAGCCTGCCATTAACTGTACATGTTCATCAACCCCCAAAACACCGAGGATTGAACATTTATCAATAAATTACACAAAGATTACATTGCAGTAAATTAGATATATTCGCATACCAATATCAAACCAAAACAGAAAAAGGGGAAAAATATATGAAGTATTTACACACAATACCTACGCATTTTACTACACGTGCATGATTTCATGTCAAATAAAACTTTACAAATATCAAATTCTTCAGATTGAAAAAGAGCTGATATACCTCAAAATTCTTCAAACTTTGCTGCATTGTGGACTTCAGCATTCCAGATCATTTCAATAACAATGCATTGTATGATACAAAAAATGCCCATTCCCTTTCGTCTACATATCTCATTTTTCGACTATAAAAAAACAAGGATCATAATATGATTCGCACACACACTACAATTTTGCAAAACTGGCTTACCAGTAAAGGGCGCTATATATAGCTGCCATGCAGTCTTTTTTTGGTTGCTCTATGACATATGAAAACGCCTCTTTATTTTAAAAGAAAAACTTATAAACAGAATAGAATTGGTGAAAACTCAGGCCAAAAAAAGTAGAAAATTACAAAGAGTGCAAAAGTAATTTCTGTGTCACATTCAAGTATACAATAAACGACCACATAATCTCAATCCTTCTCCATCACTCGACTAACTCAAGTTAAACAAAATAAATTGAAAAAAAAAATGGTCAGAGCCAACACTTTAACAGTGAATTTGTTTCCTGTGCATTGATTTTGAGGGCTAAATATTTGCTAACAGTCACAACTTATTGTGTGTGGTAATATACTTTTTCGAGAAGTCAGTCTAGCCCGGGGTTATTTGCCGAAGAATTAAGGAATGTCTTTTCTGGAAAGTTATTTTCTCTTTTGTGAGAGTGCTTACAGTTTTCAGGAGAGGGTTGTATTTTTGTGAAGACTGTGTGTAATTTTCAAAAAAAAAAATCTAAAAAAATTTGGATAGAAATTCATTGCAAATGGGACTAGATGGCCCATTGTTTCTTCTAAACCAACAGCAGTACCGGGCAAACCCTATAGACAAACATTCACATTACTTTGGGCACCAGCTTTGAAGAGAGCTGGGCTGGTACTTGCTCCTAAAAATCACACTTACCAATGGAAAAATAAATCAAATATTGATTACCAGGACAAAAACCCTTTACTCTTTTTTTTTAATATTCACAGAGCTTGAATGAAATCACAACACTATCTTTTAAAATTTTAATTTTACATTTAGTGGGATGCAGAACAGCGAGTTTGGACTGACATAAAATGGCTTAAAAATTAGGGCAACCATCAATTTTTCTTGACATATGCAACCATTTAGAGATAAGATGCCAGTTTTAGCGAGCTGCTAAGAACACAAACTATTTGCTTAGAAAAATCAGGTTACCAACCAAAGTGTCACGCAATTCATATTGCATGAGACTGGTAATCGGCTGATTTTTGCTGAGCATAAAAATGTGCTAAGCAGTGTTATTTGCTTAGCATCTCCAGGAAACTTGGAGGGGGTGTGGTTGAGGCCATTTTGTGAGAGCTGCAGTTTTCATTTTTCAATCCAGCATGTCTCTACAATGAAAGAGAGACTCACAATATGTTGCATCTGTGCTTCTTTTGTCTTGGGGCTGCGTTGGGTGTCAACACTATCCTCACTGCTTCTTCAAAGACCTGTATTCAGGAAAACCAGACAACAGATATCTTATTCCATTTATTTAGCCAGCATATGTCTAAACAGTTCAAAACTGGTTTCCATCTGGGCCCTGGATATTATACAATACATATTATTAGATGAAGTTAAGCAAGGTTAAGTTCACAAGGAAAACCTGATTTGGTGGAGCAGACTAGGAACAGTAATATTTACAAATACTTACAAGTTCTTTGGAAATATTTATGCAAAACAAAGCTACAGGTTAGTCAAGTTTAAGACATGAATTGCTGATAACGGGATTGGCAAAAACCTATTTGGAAAAAAGCACGGGAAATTCCTGTTCCATATCCAAACTACAGTCGACTCTCGTTAATACAAACACTATTAATACATATTCTGGTTATAGCAAACATAAACCTGTGGTCCCGACTGTGCATTTATGTGCACAATGAATAGGACCGGCACTCCTCTGAATACAAAATTCTGATATAACAAACATTTTGGCTGTGCATTTATGTGCACAATGAATGGGACTGGCACTCCTCTGAATACAAAATTCTGATATAACAAACATTTTGGATAGGTCCCGCTGAGTTTGCATTACGAGAGCCGACTGTACCATGGCAACCAAGTTCATAAATAAATATGTAAATCAGCGCACTTTTATCTTATTTTTAATGGGTTCATGGTGGAAATATCACTGAAATATTTTTCAAGTAGTTATGATTTTAATTAAGCTGTCCCTGTAAGGAATTTCACATCTACTGTCTGTGCAATTTTTCAACCTTGGAAAAAACCCAGATTTTATTCTTAAATCGCTATTTTTCTATCAATAAAATATTATCCAGTCTTGACCGGGTAATCATATTGTGTTTCTTGTCATTATGACAAACTACCCTCTCTTGCTGCAGCTGGCAATTACACAAGCACCTATGGAGGCAGCTGCAGCCGCTTTCCATAGTCATGTGTGTAACTGTCAGCCAAATAATAGCCGATAATTTGAACCTGCCCCTACCAGCTTCAGCCCCCTCTGCGTCAGCGCCGAGCACTCCATGTACTTGACGGCGCCCATCTTGGCCGCAAACTTCTCCCCGTGCTCCTTCTTGAAGGGAGCCTTGTTTTGCTGCGCCAGCTTGGCCATCGTTTCCTTGTCTTCTCGCAGGTCAATCTTCGTTCCTGTAAAGCGGCAACAGATTCAAAGCCAATAGAGAGTGTTTTGGTAGATTTTAAATTCACGCCGTATCATGTATACCTTTCAATTTCTAGCGTGACGTCATCACTTCATGCTTTCTTCTTATACGTGATATGCAAAAGTGACATGGGAAATACATGTTGAAGCTGATTGCACAGGGTCCGCAGGTATGAATTTCCATCTTTTCTGTCAAAATTTCTTTTCCAACTTTGTAATTGTAATTGTATCAGACTTGTCTGATTGCAATTTGAGGCTCTTCGGAGTGAATTTTTCTTAAGTGTTTAGCGCATTTTGAGCTTTTTGTGGCATAAAATTGTGACTTGGTTTCCTCAGCAACAACAGACCTTTATCATGCTGCCACCATTTCAGTCATGTTCCCTGTATTCAATAACAGTACTAAATGATAATGTTTTTTGTGCAAAAAGGAACCAGACTATTTTCCCTTCCAGCCTCGCCTTGGTTATGTTGATTGGAATGAGGAAAAATCAAGCTTGGCAACATGATAATGGTCTATACACAGATGCAGAGGCGCGATGCCAAAACTGAAATGTGAACACAACACAGCCAGTCAGCCAGTCAGGTGCAAGCAGGACTCTAGCTGACCCTCTGGGACCAGCAAAAACAAATAAATAACTCACCCACGAGAATGAAAGGCACTCCAGCAGCATGGTGTTGCAACTCAGGGATCCATTTAGACTGAACGTTGGCATATGAGGTGGGCCCCTCTACACTATAGGCAACTAGGAATATATCGGTCTGTAGGTTGAGAACAAAATACACACGAAAAAGTCAAAACAAAATTGTGGAAAAGTTCATCCTCAATAGGCCCGCTGCATTGGGTATTTGTTGCAGAATTCAGAACAATTTTTCATTATTAGAGAGTCAGGGGTTTGAATCCCAATGCTTCCCAAATGTTGTCCTTGGGCAAGTCATTTTACCCCAACTTGCTTCTCTCCCACCACGGTGTACAGATGGATACCAGAATTAGGTGGGGATTAACCTGCAAAACCTGCTATTGGCATTATATTGAGTCCCTGAGCAAGCTGCTTTATCCAAACTTGTCTATTCAAACCTAGGAGTGAAAGTACCAGCATTGGCTAGGAAGTGAACCTACCTGCGGTGAACTGGCATCCCTCCAAGGGTGGAAAAGAAATTTTCTAAGTTTTTTTATACCTCGGAAGCTGGAAAAAAATGTTGGCCTGATGAGCCATATTGGCACTGAACTGACTTGATTATTTTATTTACCTGTGGGTAAGACAACGGTCGGAGTCTGTCGTAATCCTCCTGCCCGGCTGTGTCCCACAATCCCAAGTTGACTGACACACCATCCACTTTGATCAGTTGTGAGAAATTATCAAACCTGACGGAAAAAAACAATTTCAATCTCTAGAATTTGAATCATGTTATGTGTTTGAAACAGTTCGAAACAACTTGTTTCAACTATTGCAGTTGTTCAGAACGACTCCACAGACGAGTTAACCGAAAATGCATAGATGTATATGGGTTGACAAGAGTTGCTCCTAAAACTGTTTGATTCAGCGCAACTCTGGTACACCAGTCTGCACAGGGGAGCTACTTACACAGTGGGTACATATTCTTTAGGGAAGGCATTATGTGTGTAGGACCAGAGCATACAGGTCTTGCCCACGGCACCATCACCGACTACCACTAGCTTGATGTTCCGCGCTGTAGCGTGGGTCATGGCTCCGTTGTCCGCTGTGGAAAGAGCAACATTACAAATATAAACCGGATTAAGAACAATGGGATTTTTTGGGTAAACAGTTGTTTACAACAGGTGTGTAAACCAGATCACTTGTCACAACAGTCCTTCTGATTTGAGGTGTGCGTTGGCAGGTAGGCATACACCGCGTTATGGGGAAGTTTTTTATTGTTAGGGAAATTAGGACCGAGTTATGGGGACTTTCTGCTGTCCCCATAGCATTTTCGGTCCCCACAAATGCCTCGTGGGGACGAGTGTAAGTCCCCACAACTACGAAACAAGAATTTACACCCCCACGCCATCACACTCCTGATCGCTTCCTGAGAAGTGGAAATAATCGCACGCCTGAATCCCGCTGTACCACACACCTCAGCATACATATACGGCATAGTTATACTTCTGTGAGCTCTTGAAAAATACCAGATTGTTCAGTCCCAGCTTGGACCACAGAATCACACGCCTAGAAAAATCACAAGGCTAGAAAAATCACACGCCTTCAAAAATTACACGCCTAGAAAAATCACACGAATAGAAAAATCACACGCCTAGAAAAATCCAGGCGTGCCTTTTTCCACATGCCTGTGATTCTCAAATCAGAAGGACTGCACAATACTTTAGTAAACTCTCTTTGTGCAGTAGCTACATTTTCAAAGGTACACATGTGTGAATGTTTATGCTCTAAACTAAAGTTTACCTTCAAGTGTTGGATCTGGGTCCATAAAATCAGACACAATGAACCTGTGAGTAAAGAAAACAAAACAGGAATTAATAGCCACCAATCATGTATAAACTGATAGTAGTGTAACTCATGAAAAAATAGCTCTTGATTTACAATGTACTTTAGTACATTAATTTAATTCTTTGACTACAAAATACTGCCAATGTCTTCACGGTTTACAATGAAGGGGAAATAAAATGTCCAAAACCTTTGTTTTACTGCTTTGTTTAATCCAATCCAGCTACACTGTATGACTGCTGTTGGATAAGCAGGGCTGTTGATGGTTGTTAGAGAGGGGTTGTAGATGTTTATACTTGTACATGTTTGAAACCTAAAGCATCTGTTGAGGATTTGGAGGATATTTGGGAAGGGTCGTAGCAAAAAGCTCTAAGAGGTAGGGATCCGTGTCACATTGTCTTTCAAAGCCCAATTCCATTCCCATTCATTCTCAACTTTGGCAGTAAATTATTGGCTTAAAGCCTGATTCATACTTGGCGTGAAAGCAAACGAATTTGTGAGTCATAAAAGTTGAAAATATTTCAACTCGGGCAAATTTCGCAGCGAATGTTTGATGACATCAAATTCCCATCATATTCGCATGAAGTATGAACCGGGCTTTACACATACGGAACCAGTACTTGTAAATACATGTAGGTACAAGTACATGTACATAATGTACAGTAAAAGCATGTGCATACATGTACATGTACATCCGTTACCCTGTGCATGCACATGTAAATACATACAGTGTATAATGTACATGTATGCACATCAAATGTACATGTACATGTACTTTGTACTAGGTACAAGTGTATACACGTTCAGTGTACAAATATGACACACAATTCAGATTGAAAGCCACAGACCCAATCACACACAGTCCCATGAGTCACTGATCGTGTCCCATGCATGTTGCAAGAAATAACACCTTCCTGGAGAGTAACTGTACAATGTACTACAAAGATCATACAATCGAGCTGCACCCATAGACTTGTATGGGCCTGTGCTCCTTATTAGTTACCACAGTAAGGATGACCTTAGCTTGAGGTCAACATTGGATGTACAAGTTTAATACATTCATGGAGGTGGAATTAGATGGTATATTGTACATCAATTGCAGATACAGGTTTTTAATATTTTTTTTGGGGGGGGGGGGGTTAAGCATTTCTTTGCAAAATATAGACAATTGATTTATTTTGAGGGGTGATAGGGAAGGGCTTTTTGAAAGATAATAAAAAAATCCTTCTCTGGCACAAAACTTGGAAGTTTTGGGAAAAGTGTGTTACATCTGATGGTTTTGTTTAAAAATCTGCAGTTTATTTTAGAAGGGGAATTTTTGTGCAAAAAGATATTTATTTCTTTTATGTGAAAGGGGACCTTTTCTGTGATAATTGGTGGACACATATTTAAATTATATACTCCGTAATGCAAGAACATGAATAGATCAATAGGTGAAACTGCCAAGTTCAAATCAAATACATTTCAGTTTCAGACAACTCTAGGCTAATGCAAATTATGCCTTTGGAAATGAGTCATTGAGGACTGTTCAACAGACACTATTCCATGTGTTGCACGTCTCTGGCTCACCGGTAGCAACTTCACCCAAACAAAAATACAAATTTATACAAATATTCAAATTCATTTAAATGAGTAACCTTAAGAGTCAGTTGCCTGTTTTTCACATGTGACCTCAAAATGTGTTGAATTGATTTTTTTCCCCCTTGCTGACGGCAGTAATCTGCTCATTCTCTCTTGACCGATAGACTGTACAGCACTGTTTGGCTGATTACTCATAGAATAAAAAGCTCCATGTACATGTACATGAGGCCACATCTAATCACAACCTTAGTCATATATCTCACGTGTGTGATGCATGCCAGGATGAATGCAATGTTGCCATGTGCATGCGGAATATCCCAATACATATCAAAGACAGCACCTTTTAACACTTTAGTCACTGTACCACCCTGCCTATACACTCCCTGTAGCGCCCAAAACCACCCTGCCCAAAACCACCCCGCCCAAAACCACCCCGCCCAAAACCAGCCCGCCTATCTATGGTTTTAACGATTGCTCAGAGAATAAACACAATGTAATACAATGTAGTGAAGGCGCTAATGGGTCACTTAATAGTTTAATATGTAGGTACATGTACATGTACAGCATGCTTTACAAGAGGAAGGGGAATGCTATCTTGGTTGGATTTTGGGATTTTTAAAGTAAATGATTTCAAGTATTCAAGCTTTCTTTTTTGCTTTTTGTTTTTCTACAGAAGTTTAATTATGTTTGTGTAGGGAAGAGAGGGTATTCTAATTTTATGGAAAATATTTTAATTTTATAGAAAAATATTGAATTTGATTTTAATTTTTTTACTTTGCTATTATTAATTTTTGCTTCAAGCCTTGGTGAAATACATACGTACATGTACCTACAGTTATATCTAGATATAACTTGACACACTTTTAAACGTTAACAAACACAAAGGAAACTTACAGTTTAAATGTGGAGGTCCACTACACCGTACATTCACCTAAATATTCTGTAAGTACCAGTACAAGTAGGTCTATAAGTATGTGTACCATACTACAGCGCCTGGTTATATAGCTTCACAGAGCAGGCTATATATAGCTTTTTAATTTTTCCTGTTCATTTTGGCAAACTCCACCTGACACACTGAAGTTTTCTGCCCAATTTGACATTGACTGTACACCTGACTAAGCAAATCACAATTGGCCATTGTACGTACATGTAGCTGGTCCGTTACCAGACGGTACTGTACCGGTACGCCCATGACCTCATGAAAGAACACCGCAGCCGGAAATACTGGTTAAGTTGTGTGTGTGTGTGGAAATGTTTCCTGTTAACAATCATACCGGAGGGTTCAGAGTTGTACTGCTGTGCATTCTTGAATAATTTACCATTAGAAGTTGTTTATTCTAAGTTGGACTTGATTGAATATTTGAATATTCGAAATGTGCTAATCAAGTGTTACCATGAGCCAGCCTAAACTGGCTGCTGACTGGGGTTCGCGTGTGCTGCACTTGTTGAAAATTGACAAAGATCGTAATGCAAGTAATATATCAAGAAGAGTGGCAGAATGGCCAATATTTCACCAATTATACAGAAGAAATTTAAGCTAATGTTCCTAATGGAAGCTACCACATCATGTGCGAAAGTAGATTTCACCAAAAGTGTGGCATTTGATGAACAATGAAACTATGCAACTTATATGATTAAAACTTCAAAAGAATGGTTTGGACGTACAGAAAGTTTCAAAGCAATCATTGAGTTTGCTTGCTAGCTCAATAAATAGTGTGTTTTAAAAGATTAAAGGGAAGATACAACATTTGCAAACATCAAAAACAAAATGATCAAATTATCACGAAAAATGTTACTGGATTGTTAGGAAATGACAGTCTAAAGCATCCAGTAAGGTTAGCTCTTGGTGTGCTGACATTTTCAAGAAAAACTGTATTTTTCCAACGCTGGTCGGCCGACCAGTGTTGGAGCAAACTGGCTTTTTTCGAAAAGTGTTCATGCTTTTTCATATTCAGTTCGTCTGCATTTTCTTTGCAATTGATTACACACAGGTCTGTGAAGACTACAGGCCTGCTAGACTGATTCTCTTTTCTTACATTTCCCCAAAGTCTATAAATTGCTCCATTTCATCTTAAGTGGGGTCAGGGAACCACACTAGGTACAAGAATATGTTTGGTTTTCTTGGTTTTTCCAGCATCTACGAAACCAAAACATGAAACTAGTCAGTGAAACAATATTTGCTATAGCATACTAATCCTCCAAATCCATTTATTTCTGAAAATGGCAGCAAAAGCAAATGTTGTACATTCCCTTTAGGAAAGTGAAAAAAATAACACTGAGTTTTCTTGATTTCACATTAAAATAGACTTTATTTCCTCATAGAATCTCTCCCAGTCAATGATCTGAATTTGTTCAATAAACAAAGGCAACCAACGATGAATATATAAAGATTTTAAAACAACATACTAGGGGCAGTAACTATACTACTTGTATGCATGTGTTTTGTTGATCAGTCATGTACAGCACATTCAATTGCATGCTTGGTTGAAGCTATTGAAATTAAACAACACTTGTTCAATGTATGAAAACTGTTTATGAAAAGAAAAATGAAATCTATCTCAGCGCAAAGGCAGTGGGAAACGGAAAGTCTTGCCAATAGAGGAAGTGTTGTGTGTTCTCATAAAACATTATACACAGATAAATGTTGCCACATTGGCAGGGTTATACCGCACATCTGTTGATCCGGGGTTTAATAATCAAGATTGGGATCATGGTTAGCAGAAATCACAAGACGATGCTGCTGATCCTATTTGGGGTCATTAATCTACAAACAATTTTTTTTTTTTAAATTCCACGATATCATTTTTTTTTCTTATCTAGTCTTTTGATCGCTATTTTCCACATGGTGGTTTTAAGGTGCCTTCCTGTAACAGTTATTAACTGTAAATTATACTTTTGTTATAATCACAGAGTTATTTGGTGAGTTACTCTTTATTTATGTAGTTTATACTTTTTTCAAAACAACTTATAGTTTGGATGACAGGCATAGGTCATGACCAGCATTGTTTCTTACAATTTTGTTTGTTGGGTGTTATGTTTTTTTGGGGGGGAGGGGGTGGGGGTGGGGAGAGTGGGGGCGCGGTGGGGCGGGGAAGGTGTAACGGGAGGGGAGGGGAGGTCAGGGTAAAGGAGGGGTGATCATTTGGCCCCTCCCTTCACTCTGGTCAAAAATGAGGGAGGGGGGATAGATATACCGGTACATGAACATGAACATGTACACCCAGTTAGAATGTATAAGTTCCAATTAGAATTTTGCGCTCATATCAAGTTCACGTGTAAACCCTAACCCTCCATTATCCTCAAAAAGTGTTGCAATATTTTGTAGAATTGCAAAGGTAAATGTGTATCAAGTTTTAACAACCATAATGACAATGTTTCAGTTTCCTGCTCTTTTGGGATTCATTTTCTAATTTACTTTCAGTTTTTGTTGACAACACAAGTTTGCGATTTCACAATGCGTAAAGGATGGTCCAATCTAATGCGCAGGCATTTTACCCTATGAGTGATGACAAATGTAAGTGTACATGTACGGTACATCCATGTAGGTCTTATTGGGTTAGGTGCATTACACATAGCAGCTACATGTATTTCCCTAACACAGAGCACTGTGTGTTCATTGTACCCTCAGCTCTTCATCAGAGTGTACACAATGCTATCACAGCAGTCAAACAGGAAGTTCAAAGTAAAATTCACGGCCAGGCAATTGAATTGCAGTGTGTATTTTCATGCAACTGTTATTACACGGGCTGTACTGAGTATACCGAATATGGGAATTATCAATAATCCACCGAATATCAGAATCGTATTTTACTAAATTAAAAAGAAATGAGCTGTCGATAGAAGTTGACGAAAACGTTATTTTATTCGTACAAGTTGCGTGGTTGTATTGTTTGTCAAATGCCATTTTTTTTGGTTAACAGCCACTTTAAACAATAATAATGGGTATTTATAAAGTGCGCATATCCATCAGTATTGGTGCTGAAAGTGCTACTCATTATTACCCCTGATCATTGGGCCAATGAAACATTCCAAATACTATCTCAGCTCCCAGGGGAATATACAGCTCAATGTTGCCATTTTGGCGCATTGCAGCTAAAATCAATCACAAAAATAACCACCTCTGCCCTCACAGGTACCCAATAAACTCTCAAGTGGAGAGAAGCAATATGTGACAAAGTGCCTTGCCCAAGGGCACAGCCACAATAACCCCATGCTGGACTCGAACCCACAACCTGCAGAATTACTCATAGACCACAAATTCAATGCTCCAGACCACGAGGCCACGGCATCCCACTCAGAGTTTTCACAAAAATATTAGACGTAATTGTCACCTTTAAAAATCTGTCAAATATCAGCTAGGTAGCTATCTCAGGAAAAAAATATACATTGAAACATGCATGATATTCAGAAAAAGTGTTCACCTCAATATCAATGCTTGAATTTTTTCGATTAAATCCAAGTTTCAGTAATCGAATACTTAAATTATTTGAAAATGCACAGCACTAAATGTGCTAAGTGACACGAATTTTGTGCTGCCAAAGTGCTTATGAAGAGATAGGGATTAGCACCAACTTACTGTACCTGCTCTATTCAGCTATTTTAATGATGACCACTAGTTGGCCGCTGCTGGACACCAGTCAAGGCAGGGTACCAGTCAATAGGAAGCTCAGAATATGGTCGCTGCTACGATGGGCTTCGAGCAATAACCAAGTCTTCTTCTCACGGGCAAGAACAAAGTTGCGCGACGTCAACTTGAACCATGGACACTCGGAGACCTTCACTCAGTCATAAAGCATTTCCTGTGGATGTACACGTATGCATGTTGTTAGCATTAAAGGTATAAGTTCAGATTAACCCTAAAATCCTAGCCATTACTTTGGGATAAAGAACTGAGTACTACAGAATACTGTGAGTGTTGTTCATACTCAGTGCTTAAGCACTTCACACTACAGTTTATTAGTGTTTTGTAGCTTTAGGTGAGGTACTCAAACATATTCATTTCAAGATCGTCTAAATTAAGTGTCTTCTCATTGTTTTCTAATTACACTTCTAAAGTCTGGTTGAAGAAAACCCACATAATGTCTCTATCATTGGTGTAGCAAATGTTGAAAAACGCAATCTAACATTGGAGCCATTTTCTTGCCTTGCCAAACTTATTTCCAGGAGCAAATAAAACCATCAAATTATGTTCCAAACTGTCAACTCCAAATTGGCGCCAGAACGCTGCAAGCAATTACCTTTCATAATAGTGGCATGGCACCATTGGTTTAAAGCAATTACAAAGAGAAACATTTGTGACTGAAATAAAGACCAGCACTCCAACAGCTGTATGTTTTTGCAAATGACATCACTTGATTCTTTGTTCAGAAGATTGTTATCTGTGAAATAATCACATTATACATGGAAGTTGCTATTGACAATGTACACACTGATAAGACTTGTTGACAAAAAGTCCCATCAGCCCATCGGTATGTAAATTGTACTCTGTGGCCACGAATACTTATAATATATCTAGACTTGGACTATGGTCTATGTATAAATATTACCATGTAGGGACGATATTTTTTTGAATACCGATCACATGACGATGCTATCAAATACTGAAATACTGATGACCAGGTTAATAATAATAATGTTGTGCTTATATAGCACTTTATACCAAAGGTCTCAAAGCGCTTCACAAGTATTACCCCCGTTTATCAATATCAGGCCATGATGATGACGGCCCGTAAAACGTGTAGGAAAATCGTAATTTCTACCCCAAGAAACTGTTCAAAAATTACCAAAAAAGGTGTCATTACATTTAGAGAAGTCTACATGTACTTTAGGTTGACATTTTCTCTTGTTTAATTCAACTTTGAGTCTCTTTCACTATTAACGTTTAGCTACTGATCAGAGGTGTTCTTCTTGATTATGCAAATGATTTTGTTATATCATAATTTTTACCTACACATTATTGTAATTTATTTCCATTTATTCCGGTTTGCCTTCCATCCCCATTGTCTTGTTTCGTTCATGTTTGTTGTGTTTATAATCCATTTGTCTGTGTATATAATCATGCTAATTATCGGGGTCCATACCCACAAGCTAAGCTTCTTATGGATTCCGCATCTCTATTAATTGTATTTATTATCTGCCTATCACCTTGTACTCATGTAAATTATAAAAAAATAATAAAAAAAATTCTTGATTTTAATCTAATTTGATCGAAACAAAACAGGGGCCCTGGCTAGTATTGTTGATGTACTTTAACGTGGCGCAGCCTCTAACGTGGCGCACTTTGATTTTTCGCCTGTAGCGCCTACCTAAAGCAAAAGTTTTAACTGAAATTTCACAGAAAGTGAAATTTCATCAAGTTCTAAACACTCCTGTGCATAAATCACGAGTTTATTAACCACTAACAAAGTTAGAAGAAAAATTTATAATGCCTAATGGTGTGATTTTCCAATTTTATTTTCAAGTGCAAAGTGAACCCTTTGAAAATGCCCCGAAAAATAAGAAAATAATTTTCTGACAAACATCTGGCTGGGTATGTAAGTAGAGATAACAATTATTTATCAGAATTTATCAAGTTTACAGAAATTCTTAAATGTTAATTTGAAATTTTCCGAGATTTATTCAAGTGTGCCACGTTAGGGAACACTCCGCCAATTTGTGCCCAATTTCCGGACGCCACCGTTTTTGAATTTCAGATTAAATTTTATGGTAATCCTTACTTTTAGGACCCCGTTCCTATATAGGAAGGGAAAGACTCACCAAAACAGTTGACTAAATGACACTCAAAATTGACATTCTGATACTTCTTGGCACATCTGAACAATTGGCAATGACACCTTCTTGACTTCTAAGGACTGCTTTAGCTTGCAAAAGTCACTTTGGTACTGGACAGACATCTGCAAAAGTCAGTTTTGAACAGAACTCGTAAAAAATAGAGGTGTCCTAAAAGTAAGGATTACCAATTTTATGAAACCGAAATTGTTCACAGAGGTTAAATAGCAAGCATTAAAAAGGTAAAGTACTAGTATTTTACTGCATGAATTTGAGGTTTGTCAACAAAGAGGTTTGGCAACACTACACGAGGAAAGTCGGGTAAGCTTCGAAGTGAGCCACGTTAGGGAACACGACTATAGTACACTACACGATCGCCCAGAAAATGATAACATGTCGTGAAAAGTCAACTTTGTACAGAAAATATTGAAGCATTTAGTGAGAAAACCACATCAAAAACAATTATATTATTAGCCTCCCTATGGATGAGTGATGCATGATGTGCATCATGTGTGATTGTGCTATTCCACATGATTCAGCATGCTCTCTCCAAATTTTGTCAAAATCTCCATTCCACAATCTGCCCAAGCAGGCCAAACGGCGTCAACAAACAACGGTGACGCGCCGTTATACTTGCCTGTGAACATCCATGCAATATCCTACACACAGTCACAAAGTGTGAACGCGGTCAAAAGCGGAAAGCATGAATTCTCGAAGGTTTCTTGCTTCGACAGGACAGCTGACTGAACTCCACCCAAACTGGCCAAAAGAGTGAGTCAAGTGTTCTACTAGTTTTTGTCTGCCGATAGAGGGCGCTTCTGCGTGCGATCATCAGTCTGGTGAGGGTTGTTTCAGTAAATGACATTGAAATTGTGCACGAGACGTCTCGGTGTTTAACAGCTTCACATGTATTTTTGTTTTCGACTCGGATCGGAGCGCGGTCTTTAGTTCAGAACTGCATTATTCATTGTGGTATTTTAAGTCCTTTCTTCTTACACATAAACATGAGCTCTGTGTCAAAGGTGAGTTCTGATATTTGAAAACGTGCTCAGATTGTTTCAATTCCAAAGTTTCTTCATCTGACTCCAAAGGGGAGGTGGAGCTGGAGTTTATAATTATACTCATGCTAATGTAGTAATGACAGGCCCACAAACAAACAAATACTTTGACTTGAGGCTAGTGCCAGTCCTCCATTGCTATAGCTAGCCAACTAGCTGTAACATAAAAAAGTGAACATAATAATATTAAAAGCGAAAGTTACCAATGACAACCATTTATATCATGTATATTGAATCATTTCTGCTACTGTTAGGGCTAGTGTTAAGCGCAATGTTTGACCTCGCACAAATTGATTATCCTTGTTTATAATTAAAGCATGCGCAGTTCGAATGACGTGACCTAATTTATTAGATTGTCAACTCAGGCATGCCAGGAATAAAGACTATGAATGTGCGTGAATTCTAAATTTATGCTGATTATTATTACAAATTGAAAAAACAAAAACAGTTCACATTCCAAAATTTTGATTGCAGGTTGGTGAGATTTTCTCCGCTGCTGGAGTAGCATTCAGTCGCTTGGGGGAGCTGACTATGCAGCTACATCCTATGGCAGAGTCATCCCCAACAAGGTTGGGCACTAGACCTATTTCTCCATTTTCAACAACAATCGTGCTGTAATTGTGATAGTTACGTGGTACTGATGGAGTAGCCCATGCTGTGCTAAAACATTACACGGAAGAACTGATGAAATGAAGAAATTCATAAATAGACAATAAGCATACATCTGCCATATTGGAGGTCATTGGTTGTGGTAATTGTAATTTAATAAAAAGGAATGCACTTGCAGATGTAAAACAAAAAATAAAAAGCACTGCACATCCACGATGGCCGCCATGCAAAAGGTCTATATTTACAATGTATGCTTGTAAAGTTTGAATTGTTTCACAATATTAGATTCTGTCGGATCAGTCTTCAAACATTCAAATTATATGATGACCCTTTAAGATATACATTTTTTGATTATTTGGTAATTTTTCTCTTGACAGTGGCAAATGGACAGATGAGGAAATTGAAATGCTGAGGTCGTCCATCAAGACTTTTGGTGACAATCTCCAGAAGATCAGTGAAACCATCAAGACGAGAACAGTGTAAGTCAATTGAAGTCTTCATGCAAGCTGCTATTCCGCATTCACTTGGTAGGTGATGATGAAGGAAATGACAGTTAGAAGCGGGAGGAAAAGCCACAGAGTCTTGTAGGGACTGAGACCCCAATCAACATGTTTGCCCCTCACCTGGCGAGATTCAAACCAGAGTTACAACACCCTCTCTTGGTAGCGCACGGAGCCCATGCCAACCAGATCCCCTTGTTGAAATTGGAAAGTTGATCAAAATGTTCAAGATTTTTGTGTCCTTCCAGATCTCAAATCAGGACAGCAATGAAGAAGAAAGCTCACGAGCAGGCAGCGGCCCAGAAACAAGACGCAGAGAGGAAGACACAAATGGACAACCGACCCGAAGATAACAGCACAGCGCCCTCTAGTGACGAACCACCGCTGAAGAAACAAAAACAGTCAGGTACAATTAAAAATGTTTCCCCATATTCTCACCCGTGCCCTCAATACACAATGCTATATCAAGTTACAAACCAACCAACGGTTGTAGAGCGGTAATATGTCTGCACTAGTAAGCAGGAAGTTGTGGGTTCGAGTCCCACCAGAGTAAACCTGTACTTTTTCTTTTGCACATGCCATTGGACAGCAAATTCGCAGTGGGAATACTAGACTAATAATCACAAATTCACAGTTGCGTTCACTTTAGCGCCGAGTGTGAACTGCTCTTTAGCAGTGGATTTAAACTGAAGTATGTGTCGTGCAATCCTGCAGAGGTCACCTTGAATATGCTGAACTCAACGGAAACGCCAGGCGACTCGCTAGTGGACATCGAAGGACTTGAGGAAACTGCCATGAAGAAACTGGAATTCGGCTTGTCCTCCCATGCTGACCAAGGTACAGGGAGAACTCACATAAATAATAGTGAAACTTAAAGTCACATCGTTCAATAAATTGCTGTAGTTGAGTCGGTTGCAAGTAAAGCACAAGTCCTTTCACAAGTCCAGTTAGACGTAAAATGGGATGAACAGTTACAAAGAAATGCCTTTTTCTTAACAAACTTGAACTTGTGACTCGATTGCTTGTGATTGACTTGCGAGGACTTGTAAGAACTTGTGATGGACTCTAGTATACAAGTATAACCTGGTTGAGGGTGGATAGTTGACGTTAGCTCCCCTCAATATTGGAAATCATCAACAAAGTAATTTTGTGGAGGCAAAACTGAGGGGCGCTTAAATCGACCATAGACCCCGAATATGCCATGTTGTGTTTGTTTTACCACACCTCATATATGTTCATCAAGTTATGCATCGTTATCTTTGCCAAACCTCGCTACGCATGTGCTGCTATCTGTTCATGTAGCTAGGGCAATGTTCTAGCGTGCGCACTTCCCTTGTGCAATAGTTCCATGATTGCATATACATATTTATCCTGTGCGCAAATCCTCACATGCGCGCTTGGTAAATAGCATAACTAGCGGCAACACGTGATGGACCAGTAAGTATTTGGCTCATGCTAATGAATATGTATGAGGTAGGGTAACAAAGTATGTCAAAATTGTTTTTTTCTTGTCTTATTTAGTATTGTTTGTTTTTGTTTACTTTTTCAGAAGAGCTTAATCTCGACACCAATCTGATTGCCCCAAGCTCAGATATTGAGTCGCTACAGAGGTGAAACATGCTGGAATCATCTGAAGTACCGAGTACCAGTGATGATAACAGCAGGGAGTAGGGCCAAGGATTTCCCCTCGTGCATAAGTTCACTTCTGAAGATACCCTTTTGAAAAGTAAGACTAGGCAAGACTAGAAAAGCTGGTCCCAGAGTGCACAAAATTCTATTCAATTGGTTCAGAAATGGCTATTCACTGGAAGTCTTTTGATGCAGAGTGGGCCGGATTTAGCCCATTCATTGGCATTACGGAGATATATGATAGCACGGAGATATATGTTAGCACTGACATAGTGATAATTAGTCAGTCAGTCCGTGAGATAAGTACAAAGAGGACATTAGCCTCTCTCTGGGACCAGCACAATAAAATTGTTGTGTCCGTACTTAGTGACACAAAACACTGGGGAAAAGGTTTCACAAAAAGTTTCAATCCAAAATGCTTTTAATTGAAGGTAAATGTACATAATAACATATAAAGCTTTTTGAAGAATTCAACAGAACTCCAGATTCTCCAAAATTAACCTCTGTGAAGGGAACCAGTGTCTTTGTATTTGGATGTGACAACCAGAATTTTTTAAGTCCCTCAAAAATTCCTATTTTTAAACTGCAATCAGTGCCGTGTAGCAGTTTTAGCCTTGACTCTTGTGAATAAACTTGTCATCATGTTTGTTGAATGAGCTGTACCATAGCCTTGCGCTTCAATGTTATGTATAATACAAGATTCAATTTGACAGGAAGTGATGTGTATAAAAAAAAGTAGCAGTTACATGTATAACAAGATAAAGCTGAATACAGTAGATACAGCACTCTCGGCTATAAAGCTGTTTTTAACTGGCCGCAACTCTCCCATTGTGTGTACATTTGTATGTGGTTCTGGCGTTGCAATTTACAGTGCTTTATTAATTTAACGCTCGCAATCCTACGTCCCCAAAACAATAAAAAATGTTATGGGCTCCATACACAAGTACCCCCTCAATGGCAAGACAAGGAGAATTGCGGGAGATCACTGGGAGGGACATGTAAACGCATAGCTGACAACGCCTGATGCTCACGCAAAGACGCTAATTCTTTTAATTCTGAACACTCAGAATAAAGTTTGGTGTGCAAACTTCGCTCCATTACACTTGCAGTGTGTCCTGTCCATGGAGCTCTAGAAAGTGGTAAAAAAAGCCCCTGTCTTGTTTCCGCACGGAGCCCACAGCACTTCTATTCTAATCTTGAAGTTACAGCATACTGTACACGAATATATATACATATACAAACTTCTGATAAGTAGAAACATTTAAGTTGTAAATTCTGGCTGTTTCTTTTAAAAGAAACCTTAAAGAACCTTTACTGAATCACCAAGGAATGAAGCAAATACTACAGTACAGATATCACATTTACATCTATTTACATTTTGGTCATGATTGGTGAAGTAAACAAGCTAAATCGAAAATATCTCGGAAGCTGCGGGCCAACAAATTTGTGTTCATGCATGAGTTACATGATTGTGCCATGTAATTTCTTGAAGGAATGTATTTTAAGTTAAAAAACATCAGGTTGTTGTCCCCAGTTTGGTCATATTTGGCCACAATGCAGCTGGTCCTTGCAAAATGTCGTAAAGCCACCGTGGTGTTACAGATTGCTATCGACAATAAGATAATCAAATCCAGTTTTGGGAACTTTGGCAGCACTACCCAGGAAATTTGGAGCAGACTCGAGTGCACTGTATCAAACTAAATGCATGCTTTTGAGGTATGCTTAGAATTTCCCTGGGTAGCACTGCCAATTGTGTTGAATGCGACCTCCATGACAGCTTTACTGCGCTTGTTACGGACTACCTGCAAATCAAGTCTAGGACAAATACTACATCACTACCTGCACACCGCATCGTGACAACTCCATTCACTTATTTCAGTCCATGGGCACATTTTCCTTATCCTCTATGAAGTCGGCAGCGCTGTGATCAGAAGGAACTGGAATGGACTCCAGCAACTCCACAATGAAGCTGGCTGAGGGTCTTTTGGCTGGAAGGTCTTCCGTGCACGCCAAGAACAGACTGATTGCGAAGTTGTAGGCAGGGCTTAGAGGGTAGTCAGGCAGAGGGGGCCGGGTGCCGAGAGCTGCTTGATATCTGGCCTCGTAGAGCGACTCGTCAAAACTTTCATCCTCTGCACTGTCATCTGATATGGAGAATGTGAAGGTATAAAAGGCGATTTGAATTTTTTTAAGGAATACTAGTCGTACTACCCTCCCTGCTTTTAACCAAGTTTACAAATGCCTTTACAATTGTCTCTGGCCAAATGCCATCACAAAACATCTCGATCCTGGCTCCCTGCTGTGCTTTATGAAGCGCACAGCTATTGGTAACCAGTGATGCAACAGTGTCCTGTGGTCCGGTTGTAATGAGCCGACTAGAGCAGTCCAACCATCCTGCATTCTAGTGAAGTTAGTCGAGCTGTGGTTAACCATAGTCCTCACCCAACTTGCTCACTGTCTGCTTTGAGCAGCGCCCCCATTAGTCAGATGATGTCCAACCCAACAACACGACTCCTCACCACTTTAAATTTGCGATTGCTGGGTGTCTGTACAAAAAAATCCCTAGCTACCTTCCAGTACAGGGTGAATTGCTGGCAAATTTATTGTCATGCACCCATTCACAATGGTCTGTTGACACCTATGACCTTGCCCCCCCCCCCTCTTAATACTGGACACAAAACCCAGATATGCAGCTGGCTGGCATAGTCAAGTAATTCAGACATGTCCTGACCTATTGAATTACTCAGTAGATGCACATGAGGGAGAGTCACTGCCATCATTTCCCAGAGGACGAGACCGTAGGAGAAGATGTCTGCCTTATCTGTGACTGCACCTTCCTCTTGGATGACCTCTGGAGCGCTCCAGGGTTCTGTACCGATGTAGTGGTTGTCTGCATCCTACAAATCAGTCCAACACAATTGTTCATCAGGTCACAGTTAATGACATTGGAGCTAGAGGCACAACTTTTCTTAACTAACCAACTGATTAACATACGGACTAACAGAGAGACATGATGATTTGTCAAGCTGCTACCTGCACCTAAAAACAAAGGATCATACAAATCCCAAATCTGTACCTGCGTGCAAGTCAGGTCCTTCTCCAGTTTCAGTGCCACACCAAAATCGCAGAGCTTGACAGACTGGAAGTCAGCGCCAATCAGCACGTTGCCGCTCTTGAGGTCCCCGTGTAGGATATGTTTCTCATTGTGGAGGTAGTTAAGAGCCCTGGCAAGGGCAAGGGCAACATGGTAGATATTGGAAGCAGGGAAGGGGCCTGAAGGAAAGCAAATAAATTGCTCAAAAATGTTAACATTTTGTTTGTTAAGGAAGCTTCCTGAAGTTCCTGAGCAGGGATGAAGTCTAGTCCACGACATGTAAATCACAAGTCCAGTCACAAGTAAATCACAAGTCACACGTACATCACAAGTACAGTCAAAAGTAAATCACAAGTCCAGTCAAAAGTAAATTATCACAAAAGTCCAGTCAAAAGTACATTATCACATAAGTCCTGTCAAAAGTAAATCACAAGTCCAGTCACAAGTAGCATTGGATGAGCAGTAATAACAAAGGAATGCCTTTGTCACAGCTCATTTGAATAGCTTGTGAGTTGAATTGAGACTGGAGGACTTGTGATGGACTTGCAGGGACTTGTAATGGAATAATCAAATACCAAATTATTTGAAAATGCACAGCACTAGCAGAATAGATATATAAATTGTTTTCTTTTTCTTTTTCCAATAAAACAAAAAATACACAGGATGAATTAGCTGTGACGTTAGTGTAACTTAGTACATTATGCCTTGACAGTAGGTGATTGATAAGCTAGCTGTGCCTACCCACTCTGTTATTAAGGCATGGCAGGGACGATGGATTTATTTTTTAACTCTCTGTAATTGTTCAGAGAGGGGGAGGGTTTTAAGATTATTCCATTGATTAAGAAAACGTTGACCTCTTACCCAGGTCTTCTTCGTCTCTTCTTTCAATCAGGTCACACAATGATTGCTCCCCATTCTCCATAGACAAGCAAAGACTACCGTCGACATTCCGGCTGAAAGCTCGGAACCCGACAATATTATCATGCTTCAGTTCCTGTCATAATCAAAAAGCCAAATTGAAAATTGAAAATATCTGAATGAGGGAGATTAACATACATGGAACAATTTTTTTTTCTCAATTTGCTGATTTGAGATTTGTAGACGTGTTGGTATTCATTGATTAGTAATAAGGCGGTTTATATACAGCAATGACAATCTCATCTCCTGGGGATGATGGATTGGGGGGGGGGGGAGGGCTAGGGGGAGGGGAGAATATACAGCCTGATGCTGCCGTTTTGGCACAAAGCAGCAAAATCTGTCACATTAACCATGGACCCCTTTACAGATTTATTGGAAGTGTGTAGTGAAGTAATGCTGTGCATTGTATCCTGGGATAGTTTGCATGATGAGCAGGGATCCCACAATGTAGTGTAACATACATTCCTTTACTGCACATTTCCGGCCTTGGGGCATTCTATAAAAGGGTCCATCCCCGCCCTCACAGGTACCCATTTACCACTAGCTGGGAAATAATAGTGAAAGGGACTTGCCCACGGCAAGGACACATGCGCCATATCCCTAGGCTGGACATGAAGCGTTAATTTTATTCCCAGGATGGTTGGGGCCAAGTCATGAATAATTCAGTAGTTTTGATAGGGCCAGTATGTTTATTCATGAGAACAGAACAATGATATCAAGAGCATCGTTGTTATTTGATCAACCAGTTACATTAAAGCATTTAAAAGAATGCTTGTCGTCGAGCTACCACACAGTAGCCTAGTGGATAGCGTGATGAGCTATGGATACAAAGGTCCCTGGTTCAAGAACCTAAGTGTCTTGCAATGATTCAAAGAAAGAACTGAATCATGCATGACTTGGCCCCAACCCTCCTTGGAAAAAAAATCCGCGGACAGGAACCTGCAACCTCCAGAATTACCCATAAATGTTGCACTTGCTATTCAAGACCATGGCATGCCACAAGTTACAATGTGGATTGGCTCATGCCACATAATCAGAATACCTTGAGAATTTGAGCTTCTTTTGCAAGCATTTTCTCCACTTTGTCTTGTTTGTTGTCGGCGTTGCCATTGTTGCAGGTTCTGGCCCGGGTTTTCTTGATGGCCCATGGGGATAATCCTGAACCATCTGACTTCGAACCTCTGTGAAATAAAATATAACAGGTACATGTAGATATTACCGAGAAGTGCTAAAACTATGGCATATGACTATTCAGGTCGAGTAGAAATTAATCGGTTTCTAGTCTGGGTTAATAAAAATAACTAAGGTTTACAGTTGGTGCCATGCGATTCAACGCGCCTTGCGCATTCACGGTACATCATGCGGTGATTCCTATCTCTATTTTTGTGTTGCATTTTGTTGTTGTCATTTTACTCCCAAATATCCCTAGAAAATTTAAAACCCTACCTTTTATCTAGTGCGGTAAGTCAATTTTTTTTTCCTTTGAAAAGTTCTACTGGTATCACTAAGAATTTAAGTATCAGCCATGAGAAAGTGATAATATGTCAGTAAAAAGTCAAATTTAGCAAGGAAAATATTGAAGTTTTTACTGAGAAAACACTTAAAAATTTTCAGACCAGTCTCATACGGTTTGTGCACAGGGTGGAAAGTGATAGCCAGATATGGAAATCTTTCCGCCAATTTACTGGTGTCGTAAAACTGCAGTCTTGGGTAGCTGGAGTTACCCAGCCCTGAGTTTTATCATTGGGTTGTCATCTAGGACAACCCAGTGATAAAACTCAGGGCTGGGTAACTCCAGCTAAGTCTTGGGAAAGAATGTTACAAGTTACAACCTGAAGCTACTTCAGCGGTTGTGTACAAAGTGTATCTTGCAACCTGATGCTACTTCACGGGTTGTGTACAAAGTCTACAGAGAGTCAAGAAAATCTTCAAAATTTTCATTAATTTCCTAACATTAAAATTGGAAATGTTTCTCGGTCCAAAATTCATGTCTTACTCTTATCATCATTTTCGCAATGGATGTTATGAACATGATGAAGAAAAAAAGCAGCGTCAGGTTGTAACATTCTTTCCCTTTCTAGCTCTGCCTGTCTTACCTTTGAAACAGATACACCGAAACTCCTGTGCCGTAGCCTATTCGCTCCATGAAAGGTGATGGGGGAATCGCCGCTGTTACACGGCCAGAAAGTGGTGAGTCTAGACTGCTGCACGACGAACGTGCCGCCGGCGAAGTAAAGGAACTGTTGCGGATACCCGACAGTATTCTATTTGTCGCTGGGATTTTAATCGATGCTGGACTAGAAAAATCGTCTGGTTTGACAAAAGCAGCCATGTCTACCCTGTCTACAATCTGCTACTTTGCGCTAGCGGCCTAATTGTAATTGTGCGGTTTGAAATGTTTATTCACCGTGGGGAAACTCGAGTTTGTTTTCGGTTCGAATTTCGCAGTTTTTCTGCTTTGTGCTGGCACCTGAACGTCTGGAACGATATTACAACACAATGTGAACGAAAATGTTGTCGTTTGCCAAGGCACCACACTCAAAACTCAAAACACTCCTTTCCAAAGATATATAGGTGGCGCCCTTCAACTTTCGTGGGCGTGCCGCAATAAGCGCGCAACCATAAAATGGGCGCAACCCTGCAAAAAAAAATCCCATAGACACTATATAGTGCTAAATGAGCATACTTCAAAATTCTTTTTAAAATACTCAGAACTCTCACAGGTATTCAAGCTGCACAGAAAAAATGATGATCAATGTGTCATCTTTCATTTTCTTTTCATTTTTTGGTGGGTTGACCATTTTCGAGATATTTTCACCCAAAGAAGACGACCCCTATTTTCCCCAAAGCGGAAAAGTAGCCATCTTGAAAAAAACGATCCAGTTCCCCCCCCCCCCGGAAATTTGCATCCGGAGAAATTTTCACCAAAAATGTATATCAATGTATCAATGCCACGCTTATACATACACAGTGTTGTTAGTTTCGAGTACATAATTTAATATAGGTTGCTGATCCGATGTCACTCCTTCGCAATACTACAACGTCAGTGAAGCCACTCACATCAGTTGAGCATATTGTGATCGTTAACCGCGTTGCAACCGTTCCGAACTCAAAGTTCGCGCAATTCTGGTTCTGGTGGTTACTGCGCAAACACCTCCTAAATAGTGGTTATTAATAAGTACATGTATAGTCTGATAGGATTGATCAATATGCAGACATTCTGTTGTATATATATGTTTGGAAAAAAATCTGATTTTTCTTCTTCAAATCGCATCCGCGCGATATTAATGACTGAGCCCTCACCAAAAATGGTACTTAGATTACATTTTTTTAATGCAATTCTCGAAATGTACTTTAGTTTGTGTCTAATGTTACCTCATTTTCTATTTTCGTTTTGCCATTTTCAATAGTATTGTGGTGCTTTGATATGGGGTTTTTATGCTTATGAAAATTCCATATTCAAGAGGAATTATGTTGCCGCAAAAAAGTTCAAGGATAAAATCTATGCAAACACGCACGTGACTTTTATTGGTCAGGCATCCCGTCTCTAGGTATAGATGGTTACCTGGTGTGAAAATAGTCTGGTGCATACTTCCTGCAACAAAAACTCATTTGCCTTGGTTCGCATACACGGATGAAGAATCGAGGTTTTTTTTTAGGGACGTTAGACCGAACAATTTCAACAAATTTCACCGGCGATCGGCATGGCAGACGACGGTAATCATCATCCCCAGGGTATCCCCCACAGTATCAACTCAAACTTTGACGATGATTTTGAGAAGTCCGATGAAAACTCGCCGTTGTTGTCAAGCGGTGTTCCGCGGGGAGCGAGTTGCAACGATGTCGAGTACCGGGGCCCGCTGACGGGTTGCGGGGCATGGAAGCTCTGTGACCCGCGGAGCGCCTGGCACCGTTACACCTTCATACTGATTCTAACTTGTCTACTCAGTTTCGGTGAGTCGGGAAACAGATATAATGATGACTTAGGACCCGTCTATAATCTAGCTTTGGAAAGAATATAGTTTCCTTCTGCTGACGCCACTTCACTTCAGTGGTTGTGTACAAAGTTTAGGGAGAGTATTTCCTAACAAAATTTGAAATGTTTCTCTTCAATTTCCTTGATCATGTTGATACTTTGTTTTCTTTGCTCGATATGCAGGAAGCTACTACTGTTATGACACCCCCTCTGCACTGGAGGAAGTCATCAAAGACGTGAGTCACATAATCTGGAGGTTACAATTGTATACCTCTTGCTTGAGTAACTCCAGCTCTAATGCTTATCGCATTAGAGCTGGAGTTACTCAAGCTAGTATACCTCAAGCCTTAAGCCCAGGCAAAGTAAAAAATTGCTTTCTCGTCCGGGCTTTAAAAAAACAGAAGGAGGATTGGTTTATTTTGTTACTTTGCCTTATACTTCAACACTATTTTTTTCTCAGGATATGCAAATTGATACATCAACCTATGAACTGCTATACTCCCTGTACTCATGGCCAAACGTAGTGCTTTGTTTCTTTGGAGGATTTCTGTTGGACAGAGTGTTTGGCATCAGGTAAGAAAACACTAAACATCCCATACAAAGAAAGAAAGAAATTGTTATATAAATAGAGTTACAGATGTACGTGAGTTACATTGTTGTATAGTTCAGACCTTCAGGGTTTTATTTTTGTATATTTAATTTTTTGAATTTATTTAATTTATTAACTTTTTATTTATTTATTTATTTACATGTATTTGATTTTTTTAGGGGGGGGGTATTTTTTGTTGTACTTTGTTGTAAGTGTCAAAAAAAATAAAGTGTTTTTAACTTACCTAAATCAGACTTTGATATTTGTGTTGTTGTTTTTTTCCTACAGAATTGGAACTCTCGTTTTTGGTGGTTTCGTCCTTACAGGACAGGTAAACCTATATTATTTTACAATAAAAAAAGAAGTTTCATATTTGTGATTTTCATTTGATTAAAGTCGTCCATTCGCAATATTTTCAGTATACTTTCTTTACTTTCACAGAGCCCAAATATTGCCCTTGACTGGATAAACCTACTCAGGCCACAATAAATGCCAGAAAAATATGACGTTATACACGTCATAGATCTTGAGGTCAACAATCATGATCTGTATCAGTACATTTCTCATTTTGACTTATAATGTTCACCAGCTTGTATACTGTGTATTGCAGAGATACCTGTTAAATGTTTGGCTTCTGTGTTTTCTGGAGTGAAAACTTAGTTCATAAAGATTTTTTTTTTCTGTTGTAATTATCACCAGTTGATCTTTGCACTTGGAGCTCTGTTCGACAGTTGGATCTGCATGGTCGCCGGACGATTTGTTTTCGGGTGAGGGTCTAGCGTGAAACACTTTTAGACTCCATAGCCTTTTTGATGGTCCCAGAGGGCCAACATACAATGTCCTCTTTGCACCAATCTGACCGACCGACCAACTGTACGACCGGACGACTGTCGCTTGTGAGCCAGGCAGTGTGCTGTTGTATAGGAATAACCTGTAATGCCAATTTCGGGTTACAAAAAAACCTGTAGTACAAAATTTGGCAAATGAGATTTATGAATACAATAATTATTTAACTTTGCTGGGTTTTTTTTCTTTCTAGGCTTGGTGGTGAGAATCTAGCTGTTGCACAGAATACGTATGCAGTCACATGGTTTAAAGAGAAAGAGTTGAACATGGTGTTTGGGCTACAGCTCAGCTTTTCTAGAATTGTGAGTAAATCAAAACAAATATTGTGTTGATTTTCAATTTGTCAATATTGGCGTTGAGCCACATCTTTTTTTTCAGATTTTTTTTAAGGAAGCTGTGTTGTCATCACAATCTCAAGTCCTGGCAAGTCTATCACAAGTCCTCACAAATCTGTCACAAGTTGTTATAAGTCCTAAGCACAAGTCTATCAAAAGTCCTCACAAGTCTTTCAAACGTCCTCACAAGTCTATCACAAGTCCTCACAACTCCTCACAAGTCTATCACAACTGACAAGCCCACCACAAGTCCTCACAAGACTATCAATAGTCTATTTCTGAGATTAAATACTTACCAATGATGGTAGAACCTGTCAGTGTGTTTTTCAGTGCATCCTTAAGATGTTCCTTTTCTGCACAATTAAGAGTTTAAGGACAAAAAATTGCCAGAAAGTCAGGGGTCGTAATATACTTTGTATTTTTAAATTTTTAATTTTCTTTTTTACAGGGCAGCACGTTGAACATGAATGTCAACAAGCCAATTTATGACTCGATCAACAATGACTTGTTACCATACCAACGTCTGGGATACACTCTTCTTGTTGGTAAGGGGGAAAAAAGCTCATTAGGGCTTGTCAAAATACTTTTCCTTTAGCTTAATTCTAATATGGGCTCTTTTTTACCACTTTCGCCGAGCCCTGTGGACAGGCCACACCGCGTACACGTTCTGGTTTGCGCACGTATAGTGCGATGTTTGCAGGACTTCTTTTATACTGAATGTATACAAAGCAATAGCTTGTTCGCTTGAGCGTTAAGAGTCATCGGCAATGCTATCGAATGTCTCTCCCGGTGGTCTCCCCCTACTATCCCTTTCTTACCGTTGAGGGGGTACTTGCGCAGAGAACCCATACAAAATCTGAATGCGGGTGTCCATCACTGTACTTGTGTATGAAGTCTAAATATCTAACGTTGCCCAACTAGATTAGAAGTGAAAAAATTATAGATTTATCTTCAAATTTATGCTCAACTTTAAACCCTTTTGTAATTGTATTTATTATTTACTGCAGGTGTTGCTATGTGTGTGTTTTCTGTCATTTGCGGGATTGTTATCGGTATCCTGGACTTCCGTGCTGAGAAACTTTTGAACAGAAATAAGGCCAGCACAGGTTTGTGTTTTTCAAAAATGTCTTCTTCGTGTTGCAAAATTAATGATATTGACTGAATGTAATAATTGAGAAATATAGATTTCAGCAAAAGCACACATAAGGCATTTATTAAACTTGAAAGCTTGCAGAAACCTGAAGAAAATATGCAGAAATCAGAGCACACAGCCTACATACATATACTTGTGGGGAAGACCTTTGTTTCCCTTCTTTTGTTTTCCTTTGTTCCTATCGAAATCTCAAACTCCATAGCGTTCCCCTTATGGGGCAGATATATTTCTGAAGACTTCTTTGTGGGTTTTAGTTTATTGCTAATAATGTTCAACAATTCGGCTGTAACTCTTTCATTTTGTTTTTTGTCTGGACCATCAGGAGAAGTTATCCGGATTCGTGACATCAAGGATTTCCCGGCCAATCTCTGGCTGATCTTTCTCATCTGTGTTTTCTACTACATCACAGTCTTTCCGTTCATCACAATTGGAGTGTAAGAACCAAAAAGAAATTCATGCAAATTGGTCAATACAATTGGTAAACATGTTGCAGGGCCTTAAGATTTGGAGGAGAGTGCAAGTTTGAAAGTGTGTCAGTTGAGTGGAATTGTAATTGCATTGTGGTTGTAGAACAATTCACACTGCAACCAAGTTTAGCACTTAGTCTTAGAATTGAAAGTTAGGCTGTGTTTTAATTACTTGGCCATTAACACAAGTGTAAACAGATGTGAATTCTATTTGAGTGACCCAAGTTTAGATACTAGAATTCAAAGTTACATTTTTGCGCTGAGATGGAGGAAGAAGTAACTAAATCTGAAAATTTACTCCAATAAACACGGTACTCCTCTTGTGTGTGCCTCTTAATTTGTGCCAGTATTAAATAATCCGACAAACAGAATCCAAAGCCAATTTTTAGGTGGAGTCACGTCCGTTCACGTGCCACACGCATTCTAAAAGACAAGGTGTGCGCATTTTGGTAAGCATGTTGTTGGAAGGAGCCCATAGAGTATACTTACTACCTGAGCACAACCCAGAAAATGGCTGTTGCCAAATAAGTCTATAGCACTTTCATTTTGCAAAGTTAGTCTTTTAAATATTTCTTTAAAAAAAGGTGATCTTTAAAAAAATATATGTTATTTGGCATTTTCAGAGTCTTCTTTTCGGAGAAGTACGAGCTGACTCCTGCCGCGGCGAACATCGTCAACAGCCTGGTGTACTTCATTTCTGCTGGCGCTTCTCCAATCTTTGGCTTCATTGTGGACAAGACAGGACGCAACATCTTCTGGGTGATCATAGGAACAGTCATCACCCTGGGGTGCCACCTAACTCTGGCGTTTACTTTCATTACGCCCTTCGCTGTCATGGTGAGTTGGTCATTTTGGTTTTGTATTTTGTTGGTTTTTGGGTCAAAATTATAATTTCTATGAATATATCAAACACACTGATTTATTCTGTAAAATACCATACCATATGCAGGTTATACATCTTGAATCAGTTTGCCAATGAAAGGCATTTAGGAACATTTGCAATTATTCGGAAACGCACCTACCGATTTTACGAGAACATCCTTGCTTAAAGATGGGACTGGTAAACAAATACCCTGTGAAAGTATTCCATTTGAAATGGTATAATTTGGAAGAAAGCAATAATTGAAAGTGGTTTAAGAGAGTGTTGCTGCGGGCACAAATGTCTTTGTACCCCAGAAATTGTGCATAAACGTTTTCTCTGTTTTTCTTTTGAAAATTTTGAAATACCCACTGAGCTGAAACTTCAACAAGTTAGTTGTTATGCTCCCTTCTTCAGATTATGTGCCATGTCGTTGCTTCAAACCAGAAAATGATCAAGAGCAAATGATCCTATGTACCTTAGAGACAATGATTGATTTCTTCTTTTTGTTTTTGTATTTTGTTTGATTTCCAGTCAGTGATGGGACTAGCCTACTCCATCCTGGCATGTTCTCTCTGGCCACTGGTTGCTTTCATCATGCCAGAACACCAACTCGGCACTTCCTATGGCTTGTGAGTGCTCCCTTTTGTTTGGCTGTCCCAGATGGCAATCCTAGCTAGAGTCCTCTTTGCGTGCCCGACTGATTGACTGACTAACTTCAGACTTAGACTTAGTCTGTCTGTCACTTAAGACTTACACTGGTTACCTATCTCACTGTCTGTCTGTCACTTAAGACTTACACTGGTTACCTATCTCACTCACTGTCACTTGTGAATTACACTGATCGGGGACCAGTTTTACTATGATTGTGCTTTTATGTATGTGATGTAGCATCCACACCACGTGTGTATTAGTCTGGTACCGCTTGTCTTATGTACTTTCATAATATGCAAATGGCGAAGGTGGACTTTTCATGTCTGTTAAAATTTATCAATCAAGCCTGTAAAAACTTAAAATGACATTGTGACAGCGCCGTACATTCACTCAAAGAAAGATTATTGTCTCCGTGCACAAGTACCCCCTCAATGGTAAGAAAAGGGAGAGTTGGGGGAGACCACTGGGAGAGACATTCAAACGCATTGCCGATGACGCCTGACACTCATGCAAAGACGCTTTAGCTTTGTGCTGATTCAGAATCAAATAAGTAGCGCGTACTGTATGCTATACAAACCAATATGTACACGCAGTGTGTCCCGTCCATATGTCTCTCGAAAGTAGTCAAAAATAGTTAATACAGCCTTTCTTTTCACTGTTTACACAGTATGCAGTCTATTCAGAACCTTGGTTTGGCTGTGGTGTCCATCATTGTGGGCGTCATAGTCGATGGAAGCGGCTACCTGATCTTAGAAGTCTTCATGTGTGCCATGCTGTGTGGTAAGACGTCCCACTTTCTTAAACCCCAGGGCCTAGTCTGTGAGAAATACAATAAACAGAGTTTGGAATGAAAGATTTTGGAGTGAAAGTCCCAACATAATCATGGATATCGTAAAATCATGGTGGTATTTGGTGTCATTTTACTTCTCTGAAGAAAAGGGTTATATCCAGCGGCTTGCTATATGTCGTGTCCTTGGGCAGGCTACTTTACCCCCATTGGCCTCGATCTGCTCATGAGTATAAAACGGATGCTGACATTAACTGAGCAGTAATCTGTGGTGGACTGGCATCCAATCCAGGGGGAAATATGGGAGGTGTTCTGGCAAAGTGAGACAGAACTGGGCAGAGGTGAAAATGAAGGTTTGTGGGGATTAGGAAAGAAAATACAATTCTCCTTGCAATACTGTTTGTTGCACTTCAAGTGACATTCTGTGATGGCTGTTTAAATTGCATTTATGGACATGTCAACAAAGTAAACTGCTTAGTTTAAAGTTTTGTAGTTGTGAAAATGAAAGATGCCAGTTCTTTTTCCTTACAAACTCTTGCATTCTGTGATTTTTATACTATTTCTTTAAAATATGCGCCGTAGACAAATTGAAAATTACAAATATCAATAAATTTGAAAATCGGGGAAAAAATCACCCTCATAAAGTTTTTGCATTTTTCTCCATTATGGTCTGTGCTCAGTTCCATCTCATTTCACCAGCACATCTCACATATTCTCAGTCATTTCTTGCCAAAGAAACTGGAGATATAAATATCGAGCCTGATAAGTCAAATTGGCTTGGAAAAAGCTCTGATGGCTAAGATCAGTAAATTAAGTTATTTATTTATGAAAAGCTTTACATTTACCTTTTTCTTTGAAATAAATAACACCGTAATTTTGTCTTCTGTTTGCACTTCAGTGGCAATCATGTTCAGCGTACTGTTGTACCTCATCGATGCCTCCCGTGGAACCGGTCTGAACTTCTCCGCCAAGGAGCGCAGACTGATCAAGGAGGCTAAAAAACGGGAGAAGGAAATGCAAACCAGTTGTGATTAGGAATAACAAAGTAAGTCTAAGAAACAGTTATAAAACTGTAGCAACTGGCGTTCTGTGTGCGCATGCATACGGGTGTGTTTGTTGCTCGCTGTGCATGCTGTTCCCATGCACAGCAGAGTTGGGTTCAAACATTTCATGAAAGGGTAGTTTAGATAAGTGTGATTAACTTTCAACTTATTTTTGTATTGAAATTGAAGAAAACTTTTATTGGATTTTGGTTAAATCAATTTATGACTCAAAGTCGAGCAGAATTGGTTAGGTATTATAAAACAAATATTGACTGCTTTTTCTCGTGGCGTAGTAAAACTAGCCTCCCTCAGTGATATATACTGTTCCATGTCGCCCGGCTACGCATCTGGAAGACACACTAGTCGGAGCAGTCAAGATTTGTATAGTATAACTCATTATTTTGTAAAATATCTAGACATATCAGACGTTATACGGGAGAATTGGCTCCGTGGATAACGGGCGATACTCAGACTACCAGCTGGTGGGCTTGGGAGTAAAAAAATAATGTAAGTTAAAGAAGAATAGAGATAAGGCTGATATTATTTGCCTTTGTAGAACTTAGCAATTTATAATTACTGTTCTTTTCAATGAATATTAAAGTTTTTGTATAATTAGCACATTTAAGGCCACTTTAAATATATACTGCAGTTGATTAAAATACCTAAATTTATAAATTGATGGTGTTGGGAAATTATACAGTTTATTGGAAGCATAAAGGGCTTCCTGCTGTTGTCTGAAATGTCTGCCTAAATGTTTGCCATTGTGTAATGAAGGAAAATTGGGAATTACTTAACTCTAAACTTTTATTGGAGAAGCTTTCCTGATCTGCCAAAATGCAACCCTGTACAGAAACTCAGAATGGATTGTAATTGGAAGTTGAAAGGTTTTGAATTCCTTAATCAACAGTGGCAGAGATATCATTGTTTCCATGTTTTTTTCCCCCCCAAAATATTGCACTTAAGATTGCATTTGTAGATTTAAGGTAGTCAGGGTTTACTAAGTAACCCATTAGCACAAAAGTAAGTTGTTTTACGTCGTATTTCTTTCTATTTTCTAGATGAATCCATTAAACCATAAAGTGCTAGGGTGGTTTAGGGCAGAACAGGGAGTAACAGGCAGGGTAATTTAAAGGCTTAGTGGGAGTACAGGGAGTTATGAGTTAATTTCTGAATTTGTCCATGAACTATTTTCTACTTCAAAGCCAACAGTGTTTTCAACAGGATTTGGGTTCAGAAATTTTAAAGGTCTGCCAAAATGCAACCCTGTACAGAAAATCAGAATGGATTGTAATTGGAAGTTGAAAGGTTTTGAATTCGTTAATCAATAGTGGCAGAGATATCATTGTTTCCATGTTTTTTTTCCCAAAAATATTGCACACGATTGCATTTGTAGATTTTAGGTAGTCAGGGTTAACTAAGTAACCCATTAGCACAAAAGTAAGTTGTTTTACGTCATATTTCTTTCTATTTTCTAGATGAATCCATTAAACCATAAAGTGGTCGGGTGGTTTAGGGCAGAACAAGGAGTAACAGGCAGGGTAATTTAAAGGCTTACTGGGAGTTATGAGTTAAATTCTGAATTTGTCCATGAAGTATTTTCTACTTTAAAGCCCACAGTGTTTTCAACAGGATTTGGGTTCAGAAATTTTAAAGGTCTGTAATGAACTGAACTTTGCTATTGGAAGTACATGTAGAAGTAAAATATGTACTATAGATATTGACCTGTTCAATGAAACATGGACTTAAATCAATCAAAAATATGTTGTTTAAAAAAGACGACCAGAAAAATACAATGTCCGAAACTACCTTGCAGTGGTTGAGTACTTTAATCTCTAAATAAGCCCATAGTTGGATTAATTGTTTGTAAAATTAATTTTTGCCGTACAGTAAGCCTTTTCATTGTATTATAAACATTTTGTATATTAAAATTATGTTGTCTGTTGGAAACGTGCAGAACAAAGACAGCAATAACAAAGTTCCTTCCATTCATGAACTGCTTTTTACCATTCCTTGTTTTTTTTAATTTACTATTTACACAAGTGTTTCTAGACATATGACACAGTGCAAAAAAAGTCCCTGAAATGTGAAATGTGCACCGTGCTCTGCCACATTAAAAACAAACAAAGGCACTTTCCCAAAATTCACCAAGTTTGGGAGAACAGAATATGCCTATGTAAGCTACACACTTCGTGTATTGTATTACTAAAAGCACCACACAATTTATACAATGTAGAAAATAAAGCCAACGGCTAAAGTGGTTATTTAGTACTACACTAATAATACAAAACATTTCCAATCATAAAGTAGTTTACGATAGCTCCTGTTATTAAATGCACTTAAGTTCTCGCAGCAGTAAAAAAAAAAGTTGGGGGAGTTTTACATCACAAAGTAGGTTTTCTTTAAAAATGGTCCTCTGAAAGACAGTTTGAAAAAAAAAATGATATGCTTCAATATTTGTGATACTTTTTGACATGGATTATGTCATTAAATATTCGACATTTGAATCTGAATACAATTCACATGTATATACTGGTGAAAAAAACTTATCTGAAGTGCAAAGTACCATCAAGCCTGTGTACTTGAAATACATTGTAATTCATTGTAATGGTTGACCAAGGTTGAGCTCCCTGACTGAAGCAAGTGAACAACTACATAACAAGGCAATAGCACCATCTTAAATATCAGTAAGTTTGGTTCTCGTAACCTATCAGCACCTGTGTTACATTGTAACACATTGTATTCATTCACTGATGAATTCACAGAAACCATACAGTGCTTTATTCAATTTCTGGCATGACGGGAAGTCGCAGACTGGACAGGGTGGTTACCATAGCTGAGAGTGTGACAGTGCGAGCGGCAAAGGCCATCATAATGTAACCTTGGCTGGCCTAGGCACGAGGGTTTTTCTATGTCGATGACGTTGGGGGTTGTTTTTGCGACCATATTTAACCAGAAACATGTTCGATTGAAGTGATTCTGATTGAGAAACAATTGTGGTTGAATACCGCTGGCATTCATGTAGAACTACACTGCGTTGCGCTATATGATCTTTGCACAGAACCGAAATTGTAAACGCTTAACCCTGAACACGAAAAAAACCCCAAAATTTATTTTAATAGAACAGTTAAGCGCGAGGCGTATGATTACGCTTGTCCAGCGTGCGAATTGACTCTGAGGCTTGGGACACACAGGAGGCACGACACTTAGTAGGCCTGCAGGGTTAAAATAAGTGTCTAATGGGTTAATTACACAACAGTTAACAGTGTTAACGTGAGCATTTAAAGAAATTATCACAGAACTCTAGATCAGACACATAATGCAACTAAGGCGTCAGTGCTTACTAGGTATGAAATTCCACAGATTTGCTTGATTAAAAAATACATATATTTATTTCCTAGCGGCGATAACCAAAAACCCAAAGTTTCTTGTGATCTACAATTTTTTTGTCTGATTTCTAAATGCTAGTTAATCTATACAGTAAAAGTTGTGTATAATTTTTCAAAATAGTAGTACACAATTTTCTTTTTTTTATCAATTTCCAAATACATAAATAGCACGATCGCCATCAGAATTTTCAGCACTTCAAAAAACGTTACTAACTTCACAGAATTCCCCACAGTACTGCACCAACGACATCAACATGTCTTCTTGTTTTTATATACAAAATACAATGTTATGAAAATAATTCACAAACTTCTTACATACAAATATAATAATAGTTTTTAATCAGTCTGGCATTTAAATTAGACACAAAAGACATTTGGTATGAGTAGAAAGGAAGAATAATATATTTTTGTAAACACCCTGCTTTTGACGGAGATATATTGGACGGTTTTTGAAAAATGAATTTTGATATCTGAGTTCTTGCCATATTATGAATTCTGTGTATGGGGCAATGCGTGGAAATTTTGATGTTACAGCACAAAAGCCCATTTTTTTTTTATCCACAAGTTCCTTAGTGACAAATAAGTCCCCCCTCATTGGTAAAAATCAGAGAGTTGGGGGAGACCACTCGGACTACATACTGACAACGCCTGATGCTCATGCAAAGACACCGTTGCTTTGTACACACCTCTTGTTTGTGCACAGAGCGGATGGATTCTGTGCACACCCCAGTGGGAGACACATCACATAAAGTAATATTCCCATGCATATGACGTGAATTACGTACATTTCATTCCTAATGTGCACAATCCCAAGCATCTTCGTGTGAGAGTCAGATGCAATGACCTGCTAATATAACAACAGTCGTGGCATCACAGAAAGTTTACAGGCACATAATTTTTCTTCTTTTGCCGACTAAACAAACAGCTTTGAGCTATTTTAATTCATACTCTTGAAAGAAGATCGATTATAAATATATATGTGAGTAGTGCCAAGTTTTATTCAAATTTTGAAGAAAACATAACAAAAACTAAAAAAAAAAATAACCTTAAGGTAAAAGCACTAACAAAAACTAAATTTGTCAGAAAAAATCAAATCAGATGTGAAGATTTAATCTTGCAATTATGTCACTTAAAAAAATGGGGGGAAAAAATCAGACAAAAGTTAATGATCATATGTACCTTTAAGCAAAGTACAGCTTGACAGTGATGTAAAGTAGGCTGTCTGGTCTTGCATGGCGAGACTAGGACCAACATTGCGTGTTGTCAAGTACTAATGATACAACCATAACTCATTGCCTATCCAAACGCAAGCCTTGTCTAGCCTTCTATCCACACACAGCCTGCAGTGAAACTCACCGCCCAGGCTAGGATTCTTTGAATGTCTGAACTGCAAGTTTCACCTGTGTGTGAGATTAGTCTGGCCCCCAGGTCCCTCACCTGTGAACCAGCTTTGCCAACATCAATCATTCATTCTTGGTCATCAAATAATGCATTGTACAAATGTACTTCAACTTTCTCCAACCTCGTTCCCAGGGTATACTTTCAGCCTCAATACAGAGTAGACCCTGGCAGGATATACACATTTCTCTATAGACCGTTTGCATGGCAGCCATGTTTGAGGTGCGTGCTTTTGTTCAACAGGGATACGCATGAGTAAACCTTTTGTGCATTCATTATTAATGAATTAACATAACAAAACACGCCTCAAACATGGCTGCAGCATGCAATCGATCTATTCTGATTCGATCCCACAACTGTGCGAAACAATCAAGTCTGTAGCAACACATATAAAGGCGAGTGAAAAAAACAAAACACAGAAAATTAACAATCAGGAATAAACCTAAATTCTCACAGAACCAAACATTTAATTTGATTGTGTGGCTCGAATTAATTTCTAGACAAATGCGTAGCAATTTTTTGTACAACGAATGAGGTAAAACACACACACACAGATATGTTAAAAGAGGAAGCAAATGCTGCGAATTTTAAACTCAACGCTGCAAGAATACAAAAAATATTGCTTTCAACCAAAAAGAAAAAAAGGAAACTTACAAAATCTCTTAAAGCAATCTGCAGTCACACAGCTTATAAGACAATCTCTATGAAAATAAAACTTTTTATCACACAAAATACAATCTTTAAATAAAAAATGCAATCACATTCAGCCATTACCATTCAGGCATTCCGTACAACAAATTGTGCTGTACATTTCACATTAAGTTAGGCTGCAATAAATATGTACAACAGAGTAAAAAAAAATCGTTGGAAGAATAATATCAATGTTAAAGAAAAATCAGGTCTATAAGCCTTATTCTTGAACAAACGAGGTTGCCGTAACGACGCCATGTTGGGGGTACAAAGAGTCCTAAAAGGAAGGCCAATTGGTGTAAGTTCAAACACTGCTAAAGCTCAAATGTTATATTTAAAGTTACTTAACTGTTTCAAAAATGGGATTTTTTCCCCCAGCATCATTACCCTGAAAATGGTATTGCTACAGCACCCTCGTTTGTTGAAAAACAAGGCCAATTAAAGTAAACTTTAAGAATTTATGTTACATAGTACAATATGGCAATTTATAGTAATGTTTAGAAAAACCCAAGCTGGGTGTGTTTTCCCCAGCTGACTGTAGTTTTCCCACAAGCAAATCATTTGTAAGATGACGTTTGTACCTGAAACATCACTTGCGTTAATACCCTGACATCTTGTACCAACTGTTCAGGCAAAACGGTGCAATTTTTTCCACTGTTACTAAATAGTTAAGGCCTACAATGGAATGAGGCAGTTTATGTATATTTGTGCACAGCAGATATCCAGATGTGCACAAATGCCCTTGGAGACATTCTTGCCAACAATTTCACAGGTCAGTCCAGTTGCGCGACTGTGCGCATGAAAACGTCGTTCAGGTGCCCACGCGCACATTCTTTTATGATTCCAATGAATCCAATTGGGACAATCCACACCGCCCTTATAAAGGGCCCATGTAAAGTAGTTTTGTTTTTATAATGCAATCCTTTGAATTCACCTTTATGTCCCATTTATCTTTATCTCCAATCTTCACATTGTTACTTTGAAGGGTGTTTTGATGCCTCTTTGGTTTTGCCGCTCATGCGAATGTGCATATTCATGAGCAAAACTGTGATGTCATTTCAGGCAGAAAATTCTGCTACACCAAGCACCAAAGTTTTTTGGGGGTTCACCGTGGTAACTTTTTTCGGCTTAATAGGTGATACATTCTATCAATACATGAAAGTAAGTCTAGGGACACAATTTATGCACACGTTTTTCAGAAACAAAATTTGGGTTTACCATTTGAACAGAAAATGCCTCAAACTGACGAGTGTGTGTCTAAAGTGACATCACCACAACGGTTGTCAAAAATAGCATGGAATATTTTAAAATGTTTTAAAAAGTCGACTTTACGATCTCATGTCTCGTAATTTTCATACATTTCTGAGAAACTGATTTTTGCACAAACTAAGTTTCAGTGTAAACTTCATGTCATAAACCCTTTAATCCAATGAGACGTTTTGTCCGAAATAACCTTGTATGTCACTGACCACATGCAATGCTATGCTCTTTTCACTTGGCAGAAAATTTGAGGTCAGAATCCAAACAATGTCAATTATAAGCCTTGAAGCTACAGCGGATAAAAGTTAAAATGAGACTGTTTTTTACTTAACTAAATTACATGTACGTCCAGTGACAGACAGGTTTTCCAGACATGTAAGTCCATTGTTGACAAACTTCTCAAATTGTCAAGTGTCAACTGTCCGTTGTAAGTTTATACGCTACACAACGGTTAGTTTAAAAGGGCCAACTGGTTTGCAGAAGAATTACATTGTTAGTTTTGCGTTACAAATGACTTTCCGCGGGCCATAAATAAAGTGCAGATGCACGGTAGAATAACCACAATGGAATGTTAGCAAACACTCACAGCAACTTTTTACAAAATTAAGTCCAATACAAACGGGCTTTAATTATTGGTGCTGCGTATCTGGCAACTACCCCAGCATGCGCACCTGGCCAACTGTTATGACCCTGTGTTGATTTTTAATTTTTGCTTGACCTGAAATAGCTTAGATAGCCCAAAAAACACACTGTCTGCTTTAGGTAGTTGTCTCTTTTGATGAACTGGACCCTTGTAAAACTGCAGTAAATGATCTTAAAGTTGCATTCCACGTGTCACGTGCTCTTCAACAAATCTGAGTATTTTTTTTCCTATTTACAAATTTTCAGCTAGTTTTTTAATGTTTTATTTCAAAAAAATAATCTCCTTTTTTGTTGTTTGCATTTCTACAACTCTCTGAATTTTTTGGTTTTGTTTGGGCACAAATAGATCCGCTTTGTGGGCAGACTGGCTCCCGGTCCACACATTATCAATACTGATTGTGGGGCGGGAACCAGCCTACTCTGCGAGAGCAGAATTATTGTCTGGCTGCCAATAATTCAAAATGTAGGGTGTTTATTGCTAGAAAAGAAAACAAACATAGAAATGGAATCTATTTTCGGGATGAAACTCGAAAATAGCACAAAGAATACAACTCTAAGTAAACCCAGCAGTAAGTTGCTTTAAGTATTTGTCCCTCATATACAGCGCCAAGTAACTATGCATGGACAACCTGAAATGTGTACTTTTTGTGTGCACATAAATTTTGTTCAGAGTAACTGATGAGACAAAATTACTCCAGAAAACAAAATAACCCTTCCGTCTAAATACACAGAAGTGAAAATGATCTATAGGTCTGTCTAAAGTCGAGCCCGCTCCAAAGCCGTCATCAAAAATCTCGGAACAGTTCTTGGATGTCGGCAGTTACTGCCTCCGACTCTCGCCAGCCGTCATCATCGTACTTGTCAAAGTTCTGGGTGTCTCCATCATGCGTTACCGTGGGAATTATGGGTGGCTGTTGAGACAAAACAGTGAAAGGAAATTCTGTAAGTTTACCTTCTTCACATAGGCATACATGTATGTAACAGTTGTGGTACTTTCAATTAAAAGCAATATTTTTTTTTGAAATAATTAAGGGTGCTGTGCAGATGACAGTATTTTGGGTACCAATGTTATACGTTGTTTTGAAGCAATTTAGCTCTTCACTTCTAAAAATGTAATGGTGCAATGTTTTATTTTACATGTGGACAGCAATACCAGCCAGTAACTCAACATTAAGAGGCATTTTGGCAAAATGAGACATAGCTGGGCGGAGGTTGGATTGAGGGTTTGCAGGTTTTAGGAAAGAGAATAAAATTATCCTGACAATACTGTTTGTTGCACTTCAATTGGACATTCCGTTGACAAAATGGCTGTTTACAATCCGCACTTATCACCATGCATGTCAAAAAAATAAAATACTGAGAAAAAAGGCCTTTTAAGTTTCAAGTTTTGTAGTTGTGAAAATGAAAGATGCCAAGTGTGTTTCCTTTAAAAAACCACTTTCATTTCACGATTTTTATACTATTTCTTGAAAACATGTGTAGTACACATATCAAAGATTACAAATATTAATAAATCTGAAAATCAAAAACAAATATCCCCTCCCCATTAGGTTGTAGTGCATTTTTCTCCACCACGGCCTGTGCCCAGGTCAGTCTCATTTTGCAAGAACGCCTCACATATTGAGGTACAAACAGGACTGTAGGCTAGCCCCTCTTACTTTGAGATGCCGTCTTCTGACCGCATCCCAGTCGGTGCCCTTGAACCAATCGTGGTTCTTGATGTCATCACTGCCGTTCACCATACAGCCAATGCGCTTCGTCCGGTCAATGACTAGTAACTTCTGGATCAAATCTCTGGACGAGACAATCAGAAATTGTTGGAGTTAAAAAAAATGTAAGAGACTGAACATTTCAGACAAAACTGTGCTCACCAGGGCAGTTCCAAGCAATTTCAATGTTGAGGAATGTCGTTGGGTTTCTGAAGTCCAGTCAAGTCCTCACAATTACTCATAATTCAATCACAAGCACTGGCCTCTTTACTCAATGGACTGAAGCTACCATCCGCCATCTTTGTTCCCCCATGACGACATACGTGTGTTTCCTTCAGAGTTTGAGTGTGCTGTTGATTTTTGACACATCCTTGTGTTCCAGACTCTGAAGTGTTTTGAGATGTTCTTTAGTAAAGTGCAAGTGTGTTCCATCAAGCACATACTTCTGGGGGAAGGAAGATGGCGGAAATGCTGCTTCACATTGCGTCAAAGTGAACAGGCCAATCAGCATGTAGCAGCCATTTTAATTACAATATAGAAGAACTATATGTATGACAAAGGCATTCCTTAATACAACCCAATGTGTAAATATAATATGCCTTTTGATCGACTTGACTACAACGTTTTTATAACACTGACAAAATACACATCCTAGGAGTTTTTGTGTGCTGGTGATTATATAATAATTCAAAAGACCACAATTAAAATCCTCGTCTTTGAACAGGCACTGTTGATTTGAATTGATATGAGAAATTCCCTTATTTCTTTGACAGAGCATGTTCTACAAACCGTGCGTCTTTGTCTAGATGTTTTGGCCAGTCAATTTTGCCTTCCAGGATCTTCTCGTAAATTCCAAAGGGGTTGTCATCAAAAAAGGGAGGGTACCTTTTGAGAGAGAGAGAGAGAAAAAAAACACTTAAATTTAATATCAAAGTGTTGGATCTTTTCACAAACAAGTGGTGGTTGACGTGTGCTTGTAAGCTTGTGGTTGTAGGTTCGAGTCCTACTGAGGAAACTTGTGAAGTTTTCTCAGTGGACAGACCCTTGTAATCAAATCTTGACAAGTTGCCTCAGTCTTTCAGACCTCACATTGTGTTTAATTTGAACCATGCAAGACCACAAATGGCAGACAAACAGAACTCACATACAATCTTGACTCCCTTTGTGATAAACCAGTGGGTGCATTCCGCTCACATGAATGTTAGCATGAACGTAAGCTGGGATCCTACAAACGTGCCAACCAACATGCAATCAAATTACATCAAAAATCTGTGTTCAACATGGCAGCCCTTCGTGCACATTAAGTGTCACCAAGTGGATAGAAGCTTGTCAAATCTTTGACAGTTAATTGCGACCGGGAGTGACATTTCGCCGGTGATATTTAAAATTATTGGAGATCTTTGATGCAGAAAACGGGAATTATCAGCTCCGACAGCTAACTGTGTGTGGGGCGGCCATCTTGGAAAACACAGCAAATGACTCAGGAAGACCGATTGTTTGCACGAGTGGGCAACACCCCAATTGAAAGAAAAAGTTTATCTGATTATTACAGCAAGCCGATCCATCCACACTTGTTTTTCATCCATGTGTTTCAAACTTGTTATCCTTGTTTTGCCCTTCAAAAAAGTGAGAACAATAATGCAATAGTGGGCAGGTGTAAAGAGACAAGTGCAGCAAATTGTTTCCTCTCATGTCCTATTTTTAGCAGAAACCTATTCAATCATGTTTATTGTTCCAGAGCTCTTTCCAAAGATTCACGCACGTTGTTATTTCTCTGCTGTCATTTGTTTTTGCAGACTTGTTTTGAAGACACAAAGTGGAAACAGTACAACGTATGTTTTCAACTTTTGAAGAATGGGGTATTTTTTTATAGTTATTAAAGGAGCCTGCACGTACACAGGTTTTTCAATAGGATGCATTGCAAGAAAGAAAGAAAGAATTTTTTTATGGAGGAAAATTGTTACAAAAAGTGAATTTTAAATAACTTTTTCTACATGATGCCCCACACCAGATGGTCATCATGCTGATATTGTACCTGGATATTACATTAACTAAATTCCCCAATTTTATCATAGAACAATCAATGAAATAACTTAAAAGATTTACCCCCTTGGAAAAATATTGTGATCATTAAATCCTAACAAAACCCATACATGTGTATCCCAATTTATTAATCAGACAAATTATAACGACTATAAAGCCTCATTTTGGCCCACATGCCTTGTGTATGTTTCTGTTTCAACTCACAATCTTCTCATTAATCAAAGTTACCGGTAACCCCCCCCCCCAAAAAAAATATAACCTTCAAGTAATAATAATAAAACAAAACCTCATGTACACTCTGGTCATTAAACTGAAATCTTTTTTCCCCCATAATACAGAAGATATGATGGAAGAGCTAACTATACTTTAAAGGGTCATTTCGCAGGAGCATGCAATCTAGCTCTCATCCCTGTCAACTCCAGAAGGCTGTAAACAGCCTTTTCTTGCCCAGAATCACCATGGTGATAAAGACCTGCATTAAGGCAAATGCTCGTCATATTTTATAGGGCCATTTTTAGCAAGGTGCCTAACACAATTTACAACATCTCTTGTGCAGGGCTGAGAGTTGGGGGGACAAAAATAAAAATAAAATTGGGGGAAAAAAATCCACAGAGTGTATTTTGAGAACCCCTGAGCAACACAAGGTTGATCTACATGTACTGTACCGGTAAAGTACTCAAATGTACTTTTAAAAAGGTAACTCCTAAAAAGAAAATACACGTAGGTCTGAAACGTATTGACGTCATGCTTTGTTTGCACTTTCTTATGGGAGCCAGGTGGGGAGGAGAGCCACCGAGCTCCCATAAGAATGTGCACATGTAAGTGTGACATTATATGTCTCCGGTTCATTCAATATTATTTTCCGAAAGTTTATGCAGATGGATTTTGGATTACGAGGAAGATCGCAGATGGTAAAAGTGGCAGACAGTTTCTCAAAGGACCGAGGTATGGATGTAAATGGTGCAGTGATTCCCACTTCAAAAAGATCTGGTAAAACCAGATGTGCTCAAAAAGGTTCACTCTTTTATGTCGGGTGACCAATGCCTTGTATGTTTGTCAACAAAAATGTGACAACAAACCCCAGCATATGTGACACATCAAGAAGGTGCAACTTGTAAACAGGCCATTTCATAAACTTGGCAGTTTTATGTCAATCATTTGGGTCACACTGTTTGACCTTTCCAACAAACATTTGCTCCACTAATCTCTTACAGATTCTACAATTCAGCTAAATTCTCCAAAAGATGGTGTTGATTTTCATGTTTCAGCATACCGGTAGGTCTCTTTGAAAAGATTTTAAAGTCTGGATATTCACAGACATCAATTCCTGAACTTGAATTAGCGAGTACAGATATTTAAATCCAGTTTAAACAAGCACAGACCACCAGAAACGGACTACAAAAAATTCCAGACATACTTAAATTATTGCCAAATATCAGAATCTCGCTTCATTATCAAAACAAACGTTTGTGCTCTGGGAAGTTGTAAAACATGTCACTGTTTACAAGTAGAAATTCCTGTCCGATAAAGATATATCACTGTCTAATTTATTCCAGGTCAAGATTCCAGATGTGTTTATTTCTACATGTGTCACAGTCGACAAATGGTATAAGAATGAATTACATGCTGAGACAAGTTGGAACTGAGTATCATAACAATCGTTGACAATAATATCAAAGCAAGAAGATGACATGTACATTGTAGACTTCTATAGATGGCACATAGATTTGTAAGATGGCACACAGATTTACATGTAGGAAAGGTCTGAGATTGTGCAGAAGTCAAAACAAGTCAAAAATAAAATAAATCCAACAATTTGTTTTAATTCATGTTTTTTTAAACATCCCTCCAGCTACTGGTATAGAGTGTCCAGGTTGTGAGTAAAGACATAAACAACTCCTTTTATGGAGATTGGCGCGCTTCGAGCGTACTGCGCAATGTTACGCAGAACGCAGTTGTGGCAGTGCATTACGAATTTAAGACTATATAGTACTGACTCACTAATAATATTGCGCATGCCTACATGTATGTGTGGATTGCAAAAAAGGCACTGGATTTCAAAGTATTCAAAATTTCATGGACACTGGAAAAGTGTTTTAGACCGGAGAACCATGTCTTTATCATCCGTTTAAGACCGGCCACATGACGGTCTCTTGACCAATGGGAATTGGTAAACTGTCTTAGGTATTTATGAATATATTTTATCACACTGGAAAGTAAAAATGAAAGTGCAACTACAACAAAAAGCACTTCCAAGGCAGAGTCCACATATAAATGCTGGCTATTCCTAATAAATGTACATGTATGTTCTTTCCCCTCTACATGCAAAATCCTTCATAAAACCGTATCATCTTATATCATCCCTTCCTTCAGATGTTTCATGACACACTTCTTCCTGCTCATTCAGCTGGGAGCTTTCACGATTCACAACCAATTTGTTTCTTGCGGGAACTGAGCCAGAACGGTCTCGCTTCTGAAACAACTCCGTTCAACTCCCTCAACTCCCTGAGGCAACGGGAGTATTACTTCAGCTGTAAATTCACGGTGGGCCAAAGTGTTTGCCTCTGAATGGTCAAACTACTTGCCCATCCCCCCTGGGGGTTATATGGCTTCCATCCTCCCCTACTCTCAGATCAACACAAATCATCTCCGTGTTCCCAAATTAGAAACACTTCCCGTCCGCAGGGGGTTCACACTCAAGTGAGATGACCACATAGAAATACAGATCTGGAGTAGTTGCATTCTTGTGTGGGAAAAGATCAAATTAATTTTATAACAGTTGCACCTTTTCACGTTTTGGGGGGAGGGGGGGTTGGCATGCCACAGCATTCATTGATCCAATTTCAGCAAAACAACCAAGATGCGATAGATCTGTTGAAATGACGTGGCATTATTGTTGAGAAAAACTGGAGATAACCCCTGAATCTTACATGTAATTTTAAATTACTAAATCAGTGAAAACGGGAGGGAGTGTGTGTGTAACTTTGTATACATATGTCAACACCAGCAATCATGGACTAGCGACAAAAGGGTTAGGGCACAAAGGGTCCACGATATATCGGTAGTCCACACTTGAAATTCCTGTAAATAACCAAAAAGAGCTGTTGCTTAAAAGTTAAAAGTACAAACAATCTTGAGGATTAGTGACAATAGGGGATCCAAGATGGGTGTGTTGGGGGGGGGGGGGTTGAAGGTGTGGATGTGTTGGGTGGGGGGGGGGGGGGGGGGGTGTGAAGGGTTCAACCCTAATGACCCATCCCATAAACTATGTTTATGATCAGTACCCATGCGAACTGAATGTATGCACACTTGATATTTTGAGAAAAATCAATTTCTATTTGAAGCACACTACGTACAGTATACAAAGTTACGAACACATAAATTGAAATTTCAAAATGTTGTTACTCGAAATCAAGGAATATTTCTCATCTAAATATCTGCCAACATGTTATACTCAGACAAATGTACAAACTGGTACAACAAGCATACATGTCATACATGCACATAATAAAAATAAAAAAATAAAATTGTTCTCCCCCCTCTCTACAAAAGAGACTGAAATTAAGCTTTAAATTCAGTGACAGGTCATTAGCACGCTAACTCCATCCCTCACTGACATGCCAGTCTGATACAAATGACAACGTTTTCCTTGATCTTTCCCGGACCGTTTGGACGTTGGCTAATCCATGTCCCGCTGAGAACTCAGCCACTGTTATTTTCCTTGCCACAGTGGAGGCTTGAACACAAAAAAAATTAAGGAGTTGACTTGGCCGACAGAGGCTAAAGAAACCTTCCAAGGATGTTCCCTTATGGCTAAGGAGGAAGAAGGGAAGTTTAGAAACTGCAAGCAAGGAATGTTTTACCTGAAATCTTGGAAAATCATTTTGCCAATTTTCAAGCAATATTAGAGCAACTGTGTTACATTGTACTACGATGTAGGTAATGAATCCACAAAACCATAGACTTGCTGAGGCAGTTTGGGACGGTACAGGGAGTAACAGGCACAGTGCTTTTGGCAGCACAGGGGTTAAGGGCTGAATCAATAATTCTATTTTTTTTTTAAATTTATTGAATGGTTGATTTTAATGTATTTCTCACATCTATTGGAAGACATACAAACATAAATGATGATGACAACAGAACTTTTGATAACTTGTCAGGAAACAAGTTGACCCCCAAATTTATAGAATGACCCATGCATGTACATGTACATCCAAAAATTGTCACCTTTAAAACAAAGGCCAGATTTCATTAACAAATACTGGTACATGCAAGCCCAAGAAGAAGTCAATGCTTACTCCAATCAGGAAGACAATAATGTTACGATTGAAATTTCTCTCCTTAAATTGTCCCGAGACAGTCGCAAATGGAATATGCAGGTGAGTGGTCCGTTAGCATTGGCATGCCACAAGTGTAAATTCTACTGGGAACAGAGCAGCATGTAAGCTTGCCATCTGCCAATTCCATTAATAACCTCGAGACGAACTTATTACCCCAAGAATGTCAGGAACATCTTCTACCTTGTAGGTCTGGGTCTGATGAGGACATTCTTTGATGAAAGAATGCATATGTTTATGAAAGAAAAAAAAAGGTTGCCTGCATGACAGCAGTTGTAAATGTGTAACTAAAATTGCATTGCCCATGCTATTACTTAATTTTCATCCCCCAAAATAAATCCCTTTTTAAAATTGCTATTTATTTTTTACAAAGGTTATGCAGTTTGAATGAGAAATCGACAAAAAAAATCGTGCAATTGAATTATTACTCTACAATTTTTGAATAATTGGCAGCCAGGAAAAAGGTGAAAAACGTACAAACTTGGGGAATCTAACTTTTTTTGATATATTTAAGAGTAGAAATTTGTATAAAATACTGTATGCTCCACAGTAAAATTTATGACGTGGTGCTTTTAATTAATGAATTACCACAAACGAAACCCTCACAGAAGACTGCTGAAAGCAATTAATATATGCTTTGACGTTTGACGTTCCGATGTACGAACTACATTGTATCATTCCTAGCAGACATCATTTTGAACAAAGTTTTTCGCTCATCGTAAACAAGTTCCATGCAAATATCAGATACCAACTCTTAAAATCAAAACTTTGCAACCAATTTCTGAGACAACTTGAGAACAAGGCAATTGCACAGAAGACATTTGACAAGAAATTCAAACCAAAACTGTTGTGGCATCTTACAGTGAATATCTGGAAAACTTATCCGCCATTTTCTGTTTTGTTAGGCTGCCACTCGACAATTCAAGTTGCCGTGTCAAGTTGATAAAACCACACAGTCCTAAGAAACCACCTCTCAATGCTCCTCTGAATCTCTCGTACTTGTAGGTATGAAGTGTTCTTGACAAGGACTAAAAGCCTCCACAGCGTGAAAATGCACAGACTAGGGAAATATTTCCAGGCATCCATGACACAAGCTTTAGTTTGTAAAAAACACTACTAATGGATCTGCGGCTTCTACTGTCCCTTTTTGGGTCCATGGAGACCGCTCTCTATACATGAATGCCGTTGCCGTCCATTCACCGGTTATTTCTTCTTTCATTTCTGTTATAAAAAAATACCCGAGTTTCAGCATTGCATCTGATTTTTTTTCTGCACAAAATGTATGATGAATGGCACTGGAAAACAATTTTTTTAGAGAGACAATTACGAGTGGAGAGATTAAAAACCTTGAAGGGTCATTGCCCGAACGATCAAAACCTTGGAATCATGTAAAAGTTCTTGATCCTGTAATTTGACATTTAACAAAAATGTCAATATTAAAATTAAATCCTTTAAAGTTTAAACTACATACATGTACAATGTCTGATGAGTTATTTTTACCTAAATATTTTACCAGTACATGTACCTCACATGGCAATCATGTATTGATCTTGTAATTTGAAATTTAATGAACTTTCAAATCAAATGGAAAAACCCTGATATTTGGCAAGTCAGTTTTTGATAAAATACTGTACCAAACATGTAAAACTGATTGATCTTGTAATTTTAAATTAAAAAATTACCAATTTTCAAATGGAAAAATTCAAACCATGACACCTTAATTTTTAATGCTCAACGTAATATGACAATCATGTCAATCTGATTAATCTTGTAATTTGAAATTTAAACACTGTCAATTTCAAAATGGAAAAACCTTGATACCCTGACAAGTTACATGTATGTAAAATCGATCAATCTTGTAATTTGTATTTTGAACAACAAGTCAACTTTAAAATGTAAAACCTGAAAACAATGACCAGTTATTTATGCTCAACCTAGTAATATGACAATCATGTCAAACTGACTACCGGTAATATTGGGATTTCAAAATTGAACAAAATTGTCAATTATCAATTGAAAACAAATAATAATAAACCCTAACAAAAATAATAATACGTGTAATCTTTGTGACATCAAAGTTATTAACAATACCAACAGTAGATTGCATCAAACATCTGGAATGTAAATTGTTGCTGGTAGGAGTTTGCTTGGGTTTAATTCTACACTAACTGTATGGCTCCTGGTTACTTAAGCCCTTCAGCTGTCACCGCGAAGGACCTGCAGGTTCAGCCAATGAACTATCCCAGGAATTCTTCACTCTAATATCTCCGGACGTTAAACTTGTCTTAGTTAACCTGGCTGTCTATCTCAATTATCAGACAATTTTCTGAGATGGATTTCTTTTTGTTGTATTGCTGATGCTGCAGACTGCATGTTACTAGCACATGCGGGGAGAAGTTTGATGGACAGTGCCAACACATGAAGAACATTTAAAAATATAGAGACAAAATAATCATGGTGACATATTCAATCATCTGGTCCTAATTTCATAGCGCTGGCAGGCAGAAAATATTGCGAGGCTGATGTGCTGAGGAAAAATTAGCAGATAGGAAATTTCAAGCTTAAGAAGACTTAAAAAATTAAAAACTTAGGATAACAAAGGATAATTAAAATTTTGGGACAGACGTACTCTAGAAAGCTTAAGTTCATACAAGCTGCTGATTGTTTAAAGTCTTTTGAAAACTTGTATTTACTGTCCAATGTGTGTATTATGCAGCATTATCCATACCAAACCATCTTAATATCTGGTAGTTAAACTGGGACTCGGAAGGTACTCGACTAAAACTCTGTCCGATGTAAAGGAAAACAAGATCCCTGGTACACTCATGGTTACTTACGAGGCTGCAAGCACACCGAGTATGAGGGACAATAGACCCCACAAGTCAGTCTTTAAAACTCTTATCGCTATGGAGTTTGAGATTTCAACATGAACAAAAGGATAACAAGATGTGTACAAGCATTACATTCACTGTGTGGACTTCCGAACAAAAGATGTCCACAAAAACCAGGTAGCAGCGTGGGTGTGTTTGCGTGTGTATTGCACAAACCAGTTGCATCTTCGCCTGAGCATCAGGCACCGTCGGCAATGCATTTTATTGCCCTCTGAGAACTCTGACCTAATTCTCTCTTTGTAAACATTGAGGTGATACTTAAAGATGCACAGAGCCCTAAAGAGTGAAAATTCGAACTAAAAATAGGGATTGACAGCTCAGCCTTACCCAACCAGCATCTCATAAATGAGAATTCCCGTCGCCCACCAGTCTACTGCTTTACCGTGCCCTTTACTCTGGATAATCTCTGGCGCAAGGTACTCAGGAGTGCCGCAAAGCGTCCACGTCCTACAAAAAGCGGGGAAAAAAGGAATGGATTTTGTTTTGAGAAGAAACAGAAAATCTTTGTTTTGAATTAATGGCGAGTCCCCCCAACCCCAGTCTGTCACTTTTCTAAGCACCAGAACCTGTTAGTAATTCTAAATAGACTGCTACTGTAACAGACAACATCGCACTTTAATATTCCATAGCATCACTAGGAGCCATATTTGAGCATTTGGAGATGATGTAATAAATCAATTTTCTGGGTAGATTCACTAGAAAAATCCTGGATCTTAAAACATTTTAGTAAATTTACCTAAAGCTTACTGTCAAAATACAATTTTTGAAGTGTAGCTATATGTAAAGTTACATCAATAATCTTGGATTCATATCTGTAATATAGCCCAACATGGTGTGGTTACAGGGCTCCATTCATTCAAGAATAAGGCCTATTACTTCCGGTCTGTAGTCCTATCCTGAATTTGCCATGATCCACCATATGTTACCAATAATGTGCATAATGTGGATCTTTTCACAACATTGGAGTACAACACTGCAAATTTCAGAGTGGGACATTGGAGGGTGCAACAAAGCAAGATATTTTGTTCAGTTTTCCCTGTTCATCCATGAGGCCCTAATGATCATGCGTACAAAAATACACCTCACAGGGGTCATCGTAAATCATTGTGTAAGTTGTAACATGGGCAGAATTTATGCTATGCATTGATACCAAATTGTCTTGAACTCTGTATTGTTCTGCGTAGCATTCAAACAAATCCCTACCTGTCTTTTAACCTCTTCGCGAATCCGAAATCTGTGAGCTTAACGTGACCCTCACGATCAATTAAAATGTTTTCGGGTTTCAAGTCCCGGTAGACAATGTCCTCTTTGTGTAGGTAATCAAGTGCGGATGTTATCTCGATTGTGAAGAACTTGGCGACGGAGGCTTTGAATCGACCCATGCTGCGTAGATATGTGAAAAGTTCACCACCACAGACGTACTCTAGAAGCATGTACAGGAATGTGTCGTTGTGGTACGCCCAAATTCTGGGTGAAAGAAAATTAAAGACATCAACAGTGAATTAACATTGATGATACTAAAGCTTAAAGTGTGGCTCAAAAATAAGTTAACATTATGGCGTAGACATGTCCAGGGTCCCCAGGGAGAACAGTTCTTAGGTAACGGATGGGGCTACCCTGGTAAAATAAAACGATAAATAAATAACTGTCTGCTGGACAAAAAGAATTGCTGTGTCCCCAATTCCTATTTTTATTTTTTCTATTAGAAACGGATCCTGAGGAGAGCGTAGCCGGTGCCCCCGGTCCCCCCCCCCCCCCTTATTTCACAGTTTTTTTTTTTTAATTTTCCCAGGAGGTTCATGTAGGTCTTGTCTTTGTTTCCTGTTTCTTCTGCTGTCAGCTGGTTATATATATTCTCTTCAAAGACAGAAATTTTCACCCACATGAGGAATTATGCTCGGCTTGTATGGGTTTTGCCTCAAGTTTCGGTGCCCCCCCCCCCTCCATAAATGCCACTGTCTACCTATCAGATGGAATATGCAAGGGAAAATTGTACCGGTACCACCTATATAGCAAAATCACTTTTCGACTCAACAGGATAAGAATACCAGATTTCAACAATTTTAATTCACGAAATCCTTGAATTGAAAAGAATTTCGCTACTGTTGTTTCTTTAAAACCCTTAAAGTTCAAAAGAAAAGAAGAAAAAAAAAAGCTACAATGTAAATCCTTCAAGAATGCTTTTAAATTTAACTGCAACAGTTTCATCCAAGTCTACACAATAGCAAGGTTACAGAATTGCCTTGTGTTAATCACCTGTGATCAAATGGCCTCATAAAAACCCACACACACAATGATGTCATTCACATGGACAACATTTGTCAAGTGGCTCCATGTGCAGCAATTAATTCCCCATGTGGCCATGTCTAAATAACTCTTTTATACCCCACCCTCATGGCAAATTAACACATAAATTAACTTGTTCACACTTCAATAGCTGCCCCTAGGGGTGTAGACATTGGGTAAATAGTTGGTTATGACACCATAAAATAGATAACAGCTACTGTAAAACCCTACAAGTGCTGTTCCAAGAAAACCAAGGACTGTCCATTGTGTTGCCACCACTTGAAGGAATGTGGTCCACAGCGTAAGTGGGAATTGAAATCTCAAATCGACTTGAAAGACTAGTGCCATTGGATGAAAGTAATCTCTTTCGTTATTGTCATTCATCTTTTTCAGCCTCTGTTATACTTCAGAACACGATGATCTCTTCAATTTTGCTGGTGCCCCGCTATGCTTTTGCATGCATACGATGACATTTTTATCCCGAAAGAAAATTTGGCAAATCTTGATACATACATGTGCAAATGTGCAGTTGGAATACTAAACTGGCTTATTGCAAAGGCAAATCAGCCAATATCTTGGGTACCGCTATTCATTTTGAACTACAGTCACCTTGTTGAAACTTACGGTAACTGTCTGACTGTGGAAGTAGCAGATTGAATGTACCGGTAAAAATGTCACTAAAGTTATTCAAATGCTGCTTTGTCCCCAATTTTATGGAAGGGAGGTACATGTCATGTGTCCCACAAAAAAGAAAAAAAAAAAAGACTAGCGCAACCAGCTTCAAGGAAAGAAACATGTCTCCTCCTTGATCCCGGCTCAAGGAAATCTTTTGGTCTCGCATTGATTTATCGAGTCACTCAGATACGGTTCAGCACTTAAGACGAGTACAGACGCAAGGAAGACAAACTGTTTGTCCACGCTGACCCCACAAATGTGTTACGCACAAAAAAAACAACACAATGCACCGTCATTGTGACTGCTCTACACGACACCAATGCTTGTCCTAATTATTGATTGAAGACAGTGTTGATATCTTGAGTCATTGTGTTGTTAGGAAGAGAAGATCGGTCTATGTGGCCGTTATTTATATTTGAGTGTATGATTCTTGTTTATTTGTTGCATTATTTGGAAAAGGTAACAAATTCTACAATTTGTGTACAACTTGAATACAATGATACAATTTGTAAATTTATGTTAAATCTTCTTGTTTTGGGAACTTAAAATCAATAAAGGTGATGGTAAATTTAACATTTGCTCTTTCACACATGTGCGGGTTCATGTGCATGTAACTTTCAAGACCAACATTTTCTCCCCAAAAGAATTAATTCATCATGTTGTCTTATCCATAAATCTTCTTTATCTTCTAAACTCGACTGAAAAAAATGGCCCGTGTTTGTTTATTGAATTATTACTTTATAATTCCGAAATTATTGGCTGCCAGATATAATTAAGAATACTTCTTGCCGGGCAGGCTGGTTCACGCCACACAATCAGTATCGATAATGCATGGACCGGCCGGGAGCCAGTCTTCCAGCAAAGCAGATCTGTTTGTGCCCAAAACAGATCAGCATTTTGGGTTGCAAATGTGCAAACAGCAATAAGGAGGATTTTTGATTGAAATAAAAAAGGCACAATTTGAGAGTTATTAATTACATGTAAAAAATAGGAGGAAAGTCATGAAAAGTACGGGGAACACAACTTTAACTCAAGGAACTGAATCGTGTCTATGAAGTTTTCAGATCACAAAACAGGAAATACACATGAAAGAATGGCATAAGAATGTTAATTCTGTCCAGGAGAGAGTCCAAAGAAATCATACAAAAGACCAACCCATTCTTGATTTGGACAATACCCAACATAAAAGCATCTGAAGGCTGGACAAGGCTTTACTCTCAACAAAGCTGTTAGGGTATAGAAACACACAAACACAGACCACCAGCAGGGTACCGGGTAGTGCTCTATCTACTGTCAATGCTTTGTGGGTCTTCATCTGTAGTACTTGGCATCCATCTGAAAATAAACTCCCCCAAAAATTAGATTGGGTAGGCCCTATTCGTTCACATCAACAAGATGGAACTCTTCACACATTATTGCTAAAAATGATGACCGTAATCTTTTTTGAGAGTTTGAATAAGTTTAAAGATACTGGTACAAACATGCAGGATCATTTGCTTTGTGTCCATTTTGTTTGGTTTGAAATTTAAATAACTGCTCCAAATCTTAGGTAACAACTAACCTGTTGAAGGTTCAGCCCAGGAATCCTACCGGTATGCATAATTTTGGGGGTCTCGTATCTGTATACTGTTGCTAGCACACACAGACACGTTTTTTTTAAAAACCACTCATTCTTTTATTTTGTACTCGTTACCATTTCAGGCGGAATAATTTTACAGGGCATTTGGGACAAGTCCTTTGGTTCATCTCATTCTATCTGTTTGCGTTTCTGAGTCATTACCAATGTTCTCACGTGCCCTTTTTTGCATGAATTTTCCAGAGGCTGATTTGGTGAAGTACTTTGTAACTTACATTTGATTACAATGGAGAGCAGCTGAGCACATTGTATGCTGTAATGAATGTTCAATTCGGTCAATTCACAATGCAGTGTGCCACCAAGAGTTTACCATGGAGAGTCCACTTTTCAAGTTTACGGTCGACAAAACATGGCCCATTTGAATGAGTGTCAGCAGACAACTTGAGCTAATTTGTTAGAGATTCGGGCATATAGTGTTTTCCCGCCTCACAAAAAACACCATATTGATAAAAAGAAAAGTAAAGGCCAAACATACCCTCGAATCATACATGTACACTTACGAAACTACTGACTGGAAAAACAAACAATTTCAAATGTCCCGCGCTGCAAATTTGTCGACCATCTCCCACAATGCACTGGAAAAAAACGAACTCTCTGTGGAAAACTTTTGGTGGCGCACTGCATTGTGAATCGCAGCATTCATTGGAGCTTTCATGTGGACACTCTGTAAGTTACATTTAATCTTTGAATTATTTTAACAAAAGCGTGTTTTCAGAACCTGATTTTTTTTTACACTACACAAGTCCGGACCTGTATATAAATTTTAACATGAAAAAGAAGTGATTTATCTTGTAATTTGTAAAGTAAGTTGAAATGATGAAAAGACAGTCACAAAAATTATCTAATGTATGAGGTAATTTCCATGAAAAACAACAGCTCATTAAATGCTTTTGTTGAATGAAACTGTTCAAGGGAAAATCTGAACACGTCCCCCAGCTGACAAGGTTGACCTCGCCATTATCAGCTAACATACAAGAACATAGCTTAGACAACTAGACGGAATAGTTTGACTTTCTGCTGCCTCAAAAGAAAAAAAAAGACTGAATACGTGACAACTACTTTTAGTTCTCATTCGGTGTGGTTTCATTCTGAATCTCAAATTAGAAAATATCCATGAATACGTTTGCCAACCTTCAAGAAAACCCCCACAGGCTTTCTTAAGTTTTGCTGTGCTGAAGATGTGTTGGCTATTATGTTAACTCCCAAAACACGGCTTTGTTCGATAAGACATCTAGCAGACTCAGGCTCTGGCATTACTGAACAGTGCCACAATGTGGACAAGAATGCCAGCCACAAAGCACACAATAAACTGAAAAGATCGACTAGCTCTCCACAGGTACATGTCCATAAATGATCCAGGTCAATGAATTGACTTTCTTGGGGACCGCTAAAAAACAAACAAAAAACCAACACAGTTTTGTAAAAAAAGGACTGACTTTCTAAAACGGGGTTGGCAATGTTGTCTTGCGATGTGAGGCGACAATTAGCAAGTAGGAGACAAATTCTTCAGGTCGGATTTGTGTGGGAGACAGCAGATAAGTTTTGGACTGCGGCACACTATGCAATGAAGAAGGCAATGTTGGTTGACACTCCATTTTTGACCTGTATTTTATGAGGTCTTTTCAGCAAGCAGCTAGCTTGCATGATAAAGGATAGGTCTTCTATATTCACTTGATGCCTGCATGACTACAAATGTACTTACACCAGTCAATGAGTGCATACAGTTGTGTACCAGTATTTTTCTACAAGGGTCCTAGCTCTATGGAAGGACAGACACGCATAGCACAAAAATCAAAACAAAAACATGTAAAGTTGCGTTCCCCAAGCTCTTTTTGAGTTTCATCCAAGAATTTTGTTTTCTACATGGAGCAATACAAAAGTTATTTATTTTGAATAAGACATCGAAACCCCCCCCCCCAAAAAAATTAATTAGCCAATGTTTAGTTATTGAATTGTGACTAATACTTCACAGTTTTGAGACAACTTTTTTTATTTGTTCTCACTGGCTTAGCTGGTTCCTGCCCCACAATCAGTTTCCATAATGTACAGAGCGGGAACCAGTCTGCTCGCAAAGCCGATCAGTTTGTACCCAATACCCAAAACAAATCCTTTTTTGGAGGGTTGCAAACATAAAACAAAAATGGAAAAGAGGTTTCAGTTGAAATAAAACATACAGCTTGAAAATTTATTAAAAAGAAAGAAAAATTGAATTTGTTGAAAGCACAGAAAACGGCAGTTTTAAGAAGTCATGTTCCTGCTATGTATAGGTATGCTTATTTATTAATTTTTTTGTGGAAGCTTTTACAGGTAAAACACCCTGTAAGTAACATGGTCTCTTGACGAAACAGTGTTACGCAGTACAAAGTTACGTGTTAAGTTACCCGGTACAAGGAACGTTATTAACAAGGTTTTTTGGCATTACAGAGATGGCTGGGTTAAACTTACAAGGCATCTCTTTTAGAAAAGTCTAATATATGTTGTCTCATTCACATTTTTAATATGCTGTTTAAAATCAAGCTTGAATGCCATTGCCCCTTTAAAGCTCACAGCCTCCACAGATTGTGTGGACACAGGGCCTGAACAACCTGTTTACGTGCCACTAAAGCTGTTTACTTATCACTCCATCCAGCTGAACAGTAAACACTCTTTGACAACCAGGATGCATGCTTATGGCATTAGCGACAACCTCATTGTACAGGTCCATGTATCAGTCACAATGTAAGCCCTGATTTTGGTGGATTTTCTGGACGGCTTTTTTCATTCCTCATTGCACTTAGCAAAAGATTCGTGTCTGATATCTTTCCTGTATCCGATACTAGATTTGGGACCTAATCCTGGTATTGGATAGTGGTATTTGATACCCTGTACTAGTACCTTATCTCTGCATAATTCACTTATGCAGAGCTATGATTTACAGCAGATAATGTTACATATCACAAATACATGTAAGTAGGTCACACTTTGCACAAACAGCTGAAACCTAAGAAATCTTGTTGGCATTTGTTAAAAACTCTAAGTCATGGCAATTTTTTTTTTTAAACCAATTTTTTTTAGCACTACCCGGCTCTCTTCATCAGCAAACAAACAACTGTAGGATAAATCACAAGTGACAATCTGTGAGTGAGATAGGTAACCAGTCTAGTTACAGTCAGGGGAGTCAGTCAGTCAGTCAGTCAAAGAGTACTATAGGCGGCCATAGTGGAACCAGCAAAAACACAAAACCTGTTCATCAATTCCCCATCATGCAAATCTTTAAGTTATATTCAGTTGTAAAGCTCGAAATTTTTCTCTCCAAATACTTACAAATTAACAATGAAGGGATGTTTTATGGACATTAGTATCCTCTTTTCACTCAGCACGTGGTCGGCTTGTTTTAACCGAACAACATCCGCTATTGTGAGAACCTTCAGTGCCATGTACTCCTTCGCAGACTTGTCTTTTACTAGGAGAACACGACCAAAAGTACCGGTACCTTGAAAGTAAAAACAAAGGAAAACACAAAATCAGTGGATTATGTTTAATAGATGTCATTCAAGTGTTAAATTCCTAGATTTTGGACTTCTCAAAATGTGACGTACTAGTACATGTACATGTATGCTGTACTCCCATCATAGAACAATTGTTAACCAAGTTAACTGAATAAAATTAATATTTGAGACTTGATATCATGAATTTCCTTGCCTGGAATGAGCACACACACACACACACACACACAAATGTGTTGCCGAGATGCTGATAAAAACTTATTAAATGTGTCCATATTATATTCTGTGTTATAGTGTGTACCGGTACTTTACATACAATTTTGGTTCAAAACAGACACGTGTTCATGAGGAAGCCATTTTGGATCGTGTTCCCTAAATCTATTTTATAAACTGTAAACTTGGATGGTGCCTGCGTGTGTGCTCTACGATAGGTACAATGTACACATACACCTGTATTATTGTCTTCTGGTATGTACATATGTACTTCATACATGTACAATTGTTCCACAAGAACAAGCTCAATGTACAGTGTACAACTTCCTGTTGTTCTGTGTTAGCGTTGCTATGACACCAATTTACTACACAGCAGGGAAACACTGCACGCTGGCAACTTTCTTTTCTCCAGCTGTCTATCAGGCGTTGAACCTTGTTATGATATTTGACACTAACTTGTCCAGCATTTATGAAGCTTCACTGGCTTCAAATACCCAAGGCCCCGATATTTAGACTACAAGAGCCAGCAACATGAAAAGGGTGTGAGTCTTCTAATCAGGGTTTAATGAAGTGTTACCTCCAGGACAAACATCCTCAAAGTGCAAGTACTTCAGGGTAATGTACCAAATCACTCAATCTTGCAATACATTGTACCTTGAAATACAGACCTATACCGTAAAATACATTATAAGGGCCTTTCAGTTTCACACAATCCTAAATCTCTGTTTTGGACCCGGATCTAACACAAAGATTTCAGGAAACCCTTTACACTTGGAATTTTATGGCAAGCTTTTCAATTTTTGAGGAAATTTTTGGGGTAACATGACAACGACAAACAGACAAACACAAACGCACCACTTAAATAAAGACGGTGCTCAAGGCAATGCACAATAAATGTACTGTACAAAACCATGTTGATTCGCATGGTAATACAAACAGATAGGGTCATTGGAATTTAAAGAAGATTGCTTCAAAGGTTGTTGAAGTTATTTTATTTTATTATAAAGGGACCCGACTCCGAATTACCGTAGTCGCCTCGGGTCATGAGGGCTAGGGGGCCATTAACTTCACAATCATCATTTTTACCCCCCCCCCCCACTTCCCTACCCCCCCCCCCCCCCCCACAATACATCTAGCACAGATTATTCATGCCACGTGGGTCCCTAAAATCGCAGTTCTAACAATACACATTTGTGTGCACAAACACTACCCGGATACAACTTTATATGAGCCATTGCCCATGAAAGGAAAAAAAGGGAAAAGCAGGGAACCATAATTTATAGCAATGCCTTTATAATGATCTGGTTACCCTATACTCCAAGATTAACTTTTTAAGCTGCTAGAAGAGGATTAACTCTAGTAGAGTGGTCAAGCAGCGAAGGCAAGGTTTCTCAGGGATGAGCCTGTTTTCTGTTCACTAGTGATCCAAACATTATCATATTTTAAAAACAATTCTTACAGCACACTCAACCAGCCACCAGACCTTTCAGCCATGTTGGCAATGAATTTTGGGGCTAAAGCACTATCTCCGAGACAATGGTCTACCTCCATGTTTCAACCAACTGAGAGTTTTAGTAGTCTAGTTGTTGTCAGTTTTATTTTCCTCATCCTTTCTGGATTCTGTCAGCGACAGCAAGCCTCAATGATTTCCCTAAAAGGCAGACTTCCAACCAAAGCAAACACTTTGCCTAAAGCACAATGAAAATTAAGGGGGGTAGGCTTTGAATAGAGGCAGTTATGATTATGTAACTGAAGGATGCTGCAATTGAAGCACAGGCAGTTAAAAATGATTTGAGCGGGAATATAGCCTAAAACCTCCATCTTATTTACGTGATGTAAATGATGTACAAAAGGAGCACTTGTACCAGTACACGCCATTAATTTTTTTTCCAATCACTTTTTGGGCTAAGATTCAATTGCAACATACATTTTTACAGTTGAAAAAAAAATCATGAATTGTTTTAAACAATTATTCACTTGAATTTAAAGACATTCTTTCTACAATCAAAATGCCAAAAGCTTTTCACCTTTTTCTTTTGGAATTTAAAAACAAGCCAACCAATTCAAAGCTCTTTTTTCCCCCTTTAATTAGAGGAACATTTAAGGGATTTTTTTTTTTTTTTAGGTTCACGTACAATTTTGACACCGAAAATTCTCCAACAAAATGAACTACATGTACCGGTAGCAAGACCAATTGAGAGTTGAATTCCTTTACTAATGTAGAATGGGCCAACACTGCAAACATCAACACCTTCAACTTTGTTTGGGACAAATATTACCAACAGTAAGAACATTTCTGATGTATGACTGTAATTTCACCTACTTGACATGTGTCAGACTTTAAGGTTTTATCATAAGGATAAAATGTTGGCAACAGCTGTGGGGGTTTAATAGAGCAACCTCCACCGTAAAACAATGGGGTTTGGATTGCGAAGGGTCACAAGGTAAGGGCAAGTACGAAGGTCAAAGTTCAGGTCCCAAGAGGTCACAGGAAACATGTCTGCACTACAAGCTTTCTACATGTATGGTGTAGTCAGCAAATGAAAGCTTGAATGCAACTGCAAACACATTTTGCTCAAAAGGAATCCCTTTCTTACAACCTTACGGGAAATTTATTAAGAATATCAAGAATTTTGGCTGGTTGATAAAAAAGCTGAGCATATTAAAAAAAACTGGTTTGGGGCTTGGTACCGGTAGCTGATAATCAGCTACCAGGCACCTAAACCACACACTAAATAACTGTCATGTCACACTATCCCCTTAATAATAATCATAATTGATGCTACAATGGTTGAAATCATGTACACAAAGTGTCCAAGTTGTTTCTGTGTATGCTTCACAATTCCCAAATATCAGATCAAGAAGCCAACCAATGACCACTTGTGCAGAGCTTCTTGGGTTCTTCTGATTGTATCTTGCAGTCTAAACAAAATTATTTGTTTGCCAAATATTTGCTCAAGTACAGAGAAGGAATTTCTGAGCGATAATCTTGGGAGCTGATCGCTTTGCCTTCTGGCATCTGTGCTTGAATCATCAAACATAATATGCCCTAAACCTGAGTTCATGAACTGCCATTATGCACTTTATACAGGGTACATGCACTACAATGGCCCAGTGCTGATTTGATACGCCTATTAAAATTGTGGAGACTTAAGAAAAATTAAATCAGGCTACAAAACAATAACATTTGTTGACAATTTATGGGAAAATACAAGAACTCAGTAAATATTGTTGAGGTGCACGTACAATGTACACTAAAACTATTTTCTTCTCATATAAAATGTATAAAATATGTTCGATTGACATGGCTCACATTATTCATTTTTGTTATGATTTCTTCTTGTGCTGAGTGCAATGCACCTATGTGAAGACAAAGAAACAGTATAAAGTCAATTTAAATTTTGAGTAGCTCTTTTTGCCTGGTCTAGAAAACATACCGGTATAATCTTTTAAATCACAAGGTACTCTACTGTAAACCAACATTGTGAATCTATGAACAATAATGCAGAGAAACTTGAATGATTTCCCTCAATCAACCCAAAATTAAAAAGAATCAATTTAAACTCTTCCTACTAACCCCAACTAACCCTGAACATTCCTGCTAATGAGTCAATGTAATGCAATAAAGAGCCTGCCACGCCTACCACTACCATGGGTGAAACTGGGGGGGGGGGGGGGGGGGGTGATGCTTGGCTGGCAGGCAGCCTGACCCAAGATGAAAACTGAATTCCGTTCCTCTGACTGTATGTGCTACTACACTAGTGATCCTTCCCTTAGATACAGTTACCCATGCGAGGACAAACCTGGAATTCTGGGAATTTGTATAAGCCCCCCCCCCCCTGCAACTTGACTGCTGTTACAGGACTGCAGTAAGGGAAGGTTATTTGCTCTTGGTGACAGCTGATGTGTCATTTAATGAGCAGGGGACACTTTGGTTGCCACTGGAGACCGAGGGGGGGGGGGGTGCCTTGTTGATACTTATACCCTGTGTAACCTCTGGAGACTGCTTAGCATTAGTGTGGTAAGTAACTCAATTTGTCTCTAGCCAAGATGATCGAAGATTTAAACTCAATTTCTTTGGCCTTTGACACCCAGTGGACCTACTTCCTAGTCACAGTGATTTGTTCTATTATTTTTCGAGAAAAGTTACTTTTGGGGTATAATGATGCCAAAGACCACATAATGCAACAAATTTAAAGATGGTACATCATATAACACTGTTGCACCATTTAAAGTGTAAAACTGTTTTGGTTTGCAAGGAATCAACTGAAACATGCGTATACAATTCAAAATTATAAAACTGCTTAAGGTTGCAAAATTCATTTTGGAAAAATCAAAAGGTCAAGTGTACAAGACCTTAGACCCATCACAAGCAGTCTTCAATTATGAAGTTAGCACTCAAATGGAAGAAGACAGAGAGGAAATTATTGCACTCTTTTGAGGACAATTTTGCCTGAAAATTACAGAAATGCTAAACACCTACAGAAACAGAATTCAATTTTTTCTGGCTACAACCAGGTAAAAATTAAATGAAAAAAAAATCGTCCTGATTTTGACTTCCTTAAAAATCAACTTTTCCCCACAAATAGCTGGGTATAACCGCTAATGCTATGCGTATCATAATAGGCTACAGAGGAAGTCATGGAAGTCCAGTATTTGAGCTTATTTATGGGACCACACATGTAGAACTCACCAAGTATAGACAGCATATCAAAGTCATCAAGCTTATACTTCCGCTCTTGGGGAGTCTCTGGTGGAGGGAGATCCTTCAGCTTGCTTGAAGATCCCGTCCGCTTCAAAGTTTTTCCTTTGGCTATCCTTGATGAGGCCATCGTTTCTCGTACAAAAATCCACACGTTTCTCAAAAAGTTCCTGTGACTTTTGTAGTAGAGACCTCAACTTTTGATCAGCATGTCCTTAAAGTTACAGTTTTGGGAGTTATGAAATGTTTATTCATGAAAGAATTTATGTGATCACATTAGCATGATAATTTATGGATGACATCTTGCGTTCACTGTTTATTTGGTCATGTCGGTTTTGTTTACAACTTAAAAAAAAAATTACCATTATTTTTTTTACCAGATTTATATATTGATACTTCTGCCAAATTCTACGAAAATTGGAATTTACCGATCGCAACTGGAAGAATAAATCATTTCCTTGGCTTCACGTATTCACAGCTTCATTTAGATATGTCCGTTGCTGAATTATGTAAGTGAAGACCCGATTATAACTTCGACAACAACATGGGCACGTATTACCAGTCCCAGTCACGATAAGCACGCAAGTTTAGCAGCACTCCACTATAGCACTTTACATTGCTTTAGCAGTGTTACCGAGTACTGTAGGCTGTAGCATCGCACTTTTGAACTGTGTGTAGTTGAACACGTGGGTCATGTGCATAACACCACCACTGCATGCATGACTCCGTAGGAATTTAGATGCTGACTTTGTAGTGTGGGCAGTATTTTCCTTTCGGATAGCTCAAGCATAAACTATCGACGGTCCCAATGCATCTATAGTCAACGGGAAACGAATCTTGATGGAGGAGAACTAAGTCGCGGTGAAAGTTTAGTGGAAAACAGCAACCCGTACCCCCGAGCCGGTAGCGCCCTGCATGCCACCGTGCTTGTCGCCGCTACCGTACGTACCAGCTGATGATCGATAACGTCGAGTACGGTACGTACGCGGTGGACGTGCACATAACACAAAGCGCGCCACTTGTGACGTCATGGAAACCGGCAGCACTATCTTTTAAATCCCACCATTCTTGTGGGCACCATACGGCCGCGGTCTTTAAAGGCTTATCAAATAGGATCGAAAAATAAAACTACCAAGTTTTTAAGAAATACTTATTAGGATGTTGGTAAATGAGAGTCTAAAGGCATCCTGTAAAATTATGGCACCTTGTGTGAAGTCATTTTCAAGAAAATGATAGTTTTGTATACATTTCCAGCGGTGGTCGGCCGACCACCGTTGGAAAAACCTAACTATATTTCAACTACTGCCCCAAATTTACCTTTTTTCCAGTCCAGATTTTGTTTGGTATTGGTTACATGTTCATGAACTATAACTATGGCAACTATAAATTGATCCATTTCATCTTTAGTGGAGTCAGGGAACCAGACTACTTGAACAATTTTGTTTTTCTTTGTTTTTCCAGCATTTTCGAACATAAAACTTCAAACATGTCAGTGTACCAATATTTGATATATTATACTAACCCCTCAAATACTCCATTTCTGAAAATTACAGCAAAAGCCAATGATGTACATTTCCTTTAAAAAAAACACCTTTGTATTTAACTTTATATTGTCATTTTTAAGGGTACTTTCATGCCTTTTAATGCGAACTTTCAAGAACAAACTGTCAACTTAAATTCAAAGCGACAGACACTTGCGCGTGTGGTTTAAATGGTGGTTTGAAGAATAAATTTAATAAGATTAAATAAAATATAGTATTGTTGATGTACCCTAACGTGGCGCGCCCCCTAACGTGGCGCACTTTGATTTTTCGCCTGTAGCGCCTAGCTAGAGCAAAAGTTTTAACTGAAATTTCACAGAAAGTGAAATTTCATCAAGTTATAAACACTCCCGTTCATAAATCGCGAATTTATTTACCCGCTACAAAGTTAAAAGAAAAACTTATTTTGGCGTGATTTTCCGATTTTATTTTCAAGTGCAAAGTGAACCCTTTGAAAATGCCCCGAAAAATAAGAAAATAATTTTGTGACAAACATCTGGCTGGGTATGTAAGTAGAGATAATAATGATTTATCAGAATTTATCAAGTTTTCAGAAATTCTTAAATGTTAATTTGGAATTTCCCGAGATTTATTTAAGTGCGCCACGTTAGGGAACACTCCGCCAAATTGTGCCCAATTTCCGGACGCCACCGTTTTTTAATTTCGGCTTAAATTTTATGAAACCGAAATTGTTCACAGAGGTTAAACAGCAAGCATTAATAAGGTAAAAGTACCAGTATTTCACTGCATGAATTTGAGGTTTGTCAACAAAGAGGTTTGGCAACACTACACGAGGAAATTTGGGTATGCTTCGAAGTGCGCCACGTTAGGGTACACCACCATATAAGAAAAATTCATTCCGAATCTATGCCACTTTTAATTGAAGTAAAATAAAACACTCTTTTTGGAGATAATAATTCCAGTATAACATACTGCATTAGATTGAAATCTCGTCCAATAATTGGCATTAATACTAAAGGTGACACAGATGTTTGAAAATTGACGTGAACCGTGGAAAAATGAATGTAAGAAACTATACAGTGTTTAAATCGCGGGAAAAAAATCATTCCGAATTAAGTCATTTAAAAGTTTATTTGAATAAAGTAAGACACTCTGTATGGAGACAATAACTCTAGAATAACAAATTGTTTTGATATGAAATTTCGTTTGTAATGACATGAACAAGTTTAAAAATTTTGAAACCATAATATTTCTTCTTAAAGAGGGCGCTGTACACAAACACTAGTTAGCAGCGTAAAGACTTCTGGCAATGCGGATCACGATTTGCCCATTAAACAAAAGAACAACGCTGATTCTGGAGACAATAACTACAGAACAACTTATTGCATTGGATTGAACTTGCGTCCGATTATTGGCCATGATATTTGACACAAGGGGTTTGAAAATTGACGGTAGCCGTGGAAGAATAATTTTAATATGATTTAATGAAAATATAGTGTTTTATCACGAAAACTAAAATTGTCTTTCAAAAGAGGGTTCGCTACACAAATAGTAGTCAACACTTTTGTTTCTCTTCAGTTCAGGGAAAAGGAAACAAACGTCATTTTCTTTTTGGGCAGCAGAAAGCTAAAAGAGAAACAAAGTACGTTATTTTTGTCTTCGGAAGCAAAAAAAAAAATGTGAAACGAAAGTAAGGCTACATTATTCCTTCATCAAGTTGGACAGCAAGAAGAGCATGCACAAAACATGATGATTGGATCGATGGGTGGCGCTATTCCCTAGATTCAACATGGCGTCTTCCATGTCTTCTTCTGGCGCTCGCTCATGTCGGAGGATTTTACAGCTCAATCCTTGCCGATTTGTGAAAAGATATAGCTCCACGATTAGTGTAAGTGACCTCAAATGGTAACAATCATGATTTAAAGACGCAAAATTACATTAAAACGGGGGTAGATTTATATAAAAGGTGGATATTTTTTTGCCCAGTTTCCGGACATAGGGGGCCGGCCAGCTAGCACTGGGCTAGGCTCAATCTAGCTCTACTGAGTGGAGCGCTGAATTACGGGTACCCCTCCATACTTTTACTAGCATGGAGGGGTACCCGTAATTCAGCGCTCCACTCAGTAGAGCTAGGCTCAATCCATGATCATGATGAGGCTTGACTGAGCATGGAGGAAGGTTTGTGTTCCTTCCTCCATGCCATGGGATGAGTATGACCATGGTATGACTTTATCATATGTATCCTCCTTATCGATAGGCGCATGCTTTTGCAAAGGTTATAACTTTGTCAGTATCTGACAAGTACCACGTGAGCATTAGGCCTACCACTGTACCAGCCCCATAAATATAAAAATGTGGCCAATTTACTAGACTAGCTCCATAAAATAAAGGCCACACTTGGAGTTGGAACATGTACCCGAAAATGTAGAACTTTGTCAAGTTTTAATTTTCACATTTAGAATTTGCTTATTCAGGCCTATGCTTTTATTATACATGTACATGTAAACACACTCACCCTCTTTAAAGTAATATAGGCCTAAAGGTAGTCCCCCCTTTTTCAGACGTCTACTGTTCGTGTAGTTTTGTGTTTGAAGATACGCTAATGTGTGCAAACGAACCTGGAAATTACACAAAATATAGACGTCTGAAAAAAAGCAGCCACCACACCAGTTTAGGGCCATTATTTTTTTAATTGAATTTAATTCCTTAGACTGTCTCCTAGATGGAATAGTCCAGTTGGTGCCAATGGCCTTGGTGTATTTGGAAGATTTAAGGCTGTTTTGTGGCTGTTTTGGGTGTGAAATCTGATGGTTTTAGTGGATATATTTTTTTTCACAGGCCATGGCATTTAACTTAGGACACTACTTTCACCAGATCGCATCAGACTACTCTCTTCCTACCATATCATATATCATTCATGTGCACAAGTTTCTTTTGTCACTATTTTGATCATTTGTGATTCTATCTTGCATTGCTAGAAGGACGCCCTTCCGTCTGCAGTAAAAATCGTGGAGGTTGGACCTCGGGATGGGCTTCAAAATGAGAAGGTGAGATAATATTTTATTTTTGCAAAATAGAGAAAGGGCAAATCTTAAAGTTAAATACATGTAATTATTATTTTTTGTCTTGAAATTGCAAAATTTTGTATTTTTGATAGTTTGTGTGGGTCACACGAAATCCACGTAAGACCAAATCATACAAAAATGTGCCTGCATACTTTTTCCTTGCCGCATCTTTTTTTGTTTTTGTTTTGGTATTTAATTTTTACTTTTTTTTAATGGGAAAATGTGCCGTATTTTCTGATGTTTTTACCGTCAGAAATATCTTAAGTTGTAATAGTTGCTTCCGACATAAATGAGTGGCTATTTTCATGTTTAAAAACCTACTTTGAAAAAAGTGATGTCAATTTTGGCAATAACAGTATCTGCCGTCTGGGAAAAAATCTCACATTGACGTTGGATGTTTTGAAGAAAAAAAAAGACCATACCTTGGATCTAACATTGGCAAAAAAAGTGGATGCATCCTCCTTTTTTTCCAGTCCGGATGAGAAACTAAGTTTTTTTTAAAATTTGGCCAAAGAATGTTATCTTTTAATGATGAATAATACTCATTGCTATATCTGTTCATGTTGTGATCTGTGATTGGTAGATTCATCTTCCTTTGAGACCTTTAATATTCTTATATTAAATATATTCCTTTGTTCCATCACACTAGGAAATTGTTAGCACAGAAACAAAAGTGGAGCTAATCAACAGATTGTCTGGAACTGGACTTAAAGTCATAGAGGCGACCAGTTTTGTATCCCCAAAATGGGTACCACAGGTAAGTAACATTCCCCCCCCCCCAAAAAAAAAGAAACCCAAAAAACAAGAAACAACTTTCAATAAACTTTTGATAACTTAATAAATTGTTAATCAGGGGTGCTATTATAAACACATATTTATTTAGCAAACAAAAATATGGCTAGTTGTTAATTTGTTTTATTTGATGACCAGATGGCAGACCACACAGAGGTGTTGCAGTCCATTAAGAGGAGGGCGGGAGTCAGCTACCCTGCCCTAACACCCAATGTCCGGGGCCTGAAATCAGCCCTCCTGGCCGGTGCCGAGGAAGTGGCCATATTTGGAGCGGCCTCAGAAACATTCAGCAGGTGGGGTTATTCGCTCAAACTATGAATGATCTGGAATCACAACTCAATCACAAGTCAATCACAAGTCATCACAAGCCAATCACAAGTCAATCACAAGTTCATCACAAGCCAATCACAAGTCAATCACAAGTCAATCACAAGTCAATCACAAGTCAATCACAAGTCAACCACAAGTCAATCACAAGTCATCACAAGTCAATCACAAGTCAATCACGAGTCCATCACATGTCAATCACAAGTCATCAAGTCTCATGTCAAGTGTCAAGCTATTAAAATGTACTGTGACAAAGGCAGGGATGTTTGGACCAGACTTGTAATCAAAATTAGTCACTAGTCACCACAAGTCACCACAAGTAAATCACAAGTCAATCACAAGTCACCACAAGTCACCACAAGTTGGTGTCTGCTTTAAGTATGCACTGGCCGTAAGGTGATATAGACATTTCAATTTGAGAAGATGTTTCTCAAGAAAATTTGAAACCCTGGAGCAAATGACAGAGTAATAACTTTAAAATGACTATCAATCCTATACTCGTTTTGATCTGTCAACAGTTAATGTCATTTTTTTTAGGAAGAACATCAACTGTTCAATTTGGGAGAGTATTGACAGATTTCAAGCCGTGGTGGATGCAGCAAAGCAAGCTGGTGTTGCTGTACGTGGTTATGTGTCGTGCGTTCTGGGGTGTCCGTATGAGGGGAAAGTACTCCCTACTGCAGTTGCCCAGGTAACAAGACAAGACAAGCCTGTTAATGCTGGTCCCAGAGCACACACAATTCTGGGGGGGGGGATCACTTCTATCATAGTATTCAACAATTGTTTTTATTATGATTATTACTTTTTTAGGTAGCCAAGAGGTTGTATGACATGGGCTGCTATGAGGTGTCCCTGGGTGATACAATAGGGGTGGGCACCCCTGGTGAGATGAAGCAACTCTTGGAGGTTGTCACAAAGGAAGTGCCTGTAGAATGCCTGGCTGTTCATTGCCATGATACTTACGGGCAGGCTTTGGCAAATATATATGCTGCTCTGCAGGTGAGAACCTACTGTGTTGCCCAGGTCTCTTGGAAGGGGGAGGAGTAGTCGTGGGTCAAGATTTCTCATCACCCACCCCCAAAAAACTGGCATTATCAAAATAAATCACTCACCACTACCTGAATCACTATCATAACAATGTCTTGGAAATCATGTCTTGCTGGAGCATAGTGTTGTGAGAGTGCAACCTTCTTCCTTCTTTATGATTTCAGTGTGGTATTAGCGTAGTAGACTCGTCTGTCGCTGGCCTAGGAGGCTGTCCGTATGCCAAGGGTGCTTCAGGCAATGTGGCTACAGAGGACTTGGTCTACATGTTGGATGGACTTGGCATCCAAACAGTACGTATGCTGTAACTCTTTCTACAACCAAGTTCCGTCACTGACTATAATGAGCTTTTATGTGTTTGCCGGACTAATGATTTTACCAGTTTATTTGTACAAAAAGTTGACCAATTTTTCATCTTTAATACGTATAAACCTTATAAAGGTATTGGACACCATCTGCAATACATTCAAAAATAAGGGAATAAATGTGTGCTCCGGAGGTTTTTATCACTCGTTTAATACCGCTTAGAGTTTGGGTGCTGATAATTACCCGAGCCGGAGGCGAGGGTAATTATCAGCACCCAGACTCTAAGCGGTATTAAACGAGTGATAAATACCGACCGAGCACATATTTATTCCCATTCATAAATACCTTATCCGTAAAAAAAATTCAAATAATTCGTTCAAAAAATCCCGATTTTGTTCAACAAGTTCACTTCATGCTTTTTGAAACATCCCTCTAGCAAAATAATGGAGTGTTCAGCTGGCGAGTAAGATGTAAACAACCCTTTTATGGAGATTGACGCGCGCGTAACATGTTCAGCGCGATGTCACGCAGAACGCACCTGGGGCGTTGCGTTTTGAATTTAGAACTATAAAATTCTGACTCGCTTGTAGTGTTGCGCATGCCTACGTGAGGATTGTGAACGTTCAACCAATGAAACGGTAAGAGGCACTGGATTTTTAGGAGTCCACATTTTATTGTGACACTGGGAAAGTGTTTAAGACCAGCTAGCCATGTCTTTATCATCCGTTTAATACCGGCCACGTGACGGGCTCTCGACCAATAGGAATAGCTAAACTGTCTGAGGTATTTATGAATATTCAATAATAGGATCAATCATTGTACCCCAATTATGTAATAATTTATATAACAATAAATTATATAATAATGTGCTGTCATTTTCGACCTAAGAGGAAGTACTGTAATTTTCTTGTGATGGTTAGTACCAAACCATTATAAGAAAACTGGCTTTTTAAAGGAAAATACCGCCCCAAATTGGCCGAAGTTAGTTTAGTTTACAAACAGTTACATATTCATGAATGAAAGTTAAGTTTCTGAATTTCTACTCAAAAAAGCGTATCTAGATGAGCTGTAATTTGGCCAGGTTAAATAAACCCTGAGGCAGTTTGGCCTTAAGATTTTTGACCTGCTGGATCTTGCTACACTGAGCAGACCTCTCACTTTGACAAGTGTTGCGTCTTTGTGTTTTCTGCAGGGTTGCCAGACTATAAAACATTTTGACGATTAGACTAATCCATTTTTTTCTCCAATTTTTGTTAAACACTGTTTTTTTTTCTTTTTCCATTTTTCTTCCAGGGAGTTGACCTCCAAAAAGTGCTAGATGTTGGCAATTTTATTTGCAAAGTTCTTGGCAAATCTCCGTCTTCCAAAGTTTCCAGGGCTATGAGTAAACTGTGAAGTAAAGCCCCACAAGTCTTTTTTTCAGTGATCTGAATGTGATGAGTTACGTCAAAAGCAGACTCTTATGCTGGTTAAAATGTATTCAATCACTTAAACAAAGACATTGACACAATAGGGAACTACTAACATAGAGGGTTGGATAGCTCAGTTGGTAGAGCACTGGAATGGTAATCCAGAGGTTGCAGGTTCAAATCTTGCTTCAGTCAATTCTTTTGTTCAACTTTGAACAATTGTTATAATGCACCATGTCAGTTTCCCTTAATGACTTTTTGAAAAAGACTTTCCTTTGCATTACTATGTCTGTTTGAAGTTTGTGATGTAAAAAAAAAGTGAAAATATATTGCTTGTTCAAGTTTTGGGTCATACATTTCTTGAACCGATACACCTCTACAATAAAAAAGAAATCACCTTTTAGGGTAAACTTTAGGTCTCAAACTTTTGCAGTATATTTAGACAGGATCATAAATCTGAAAAAAACCCTGACTATTAAGGACAACATTTTTGGTCGGGATCTTTTGCAGTATATTTTAGTTACGTAAGATTACACATTTGAAAGAAAAACTGACAATTGAAAAATGTCTGGTTTTGACAATACATGTACTTCAATTTTTTTTAAGTTTTGTTTTTACACACATGAATTGCTGTATTTCTCATGCAATTATTATTCATTTTTATTTTCAGTCAGTGCTTGAGATTTATCCAAACAATTATAATTAATTATGTTGAAAAGTAATCATTTCCTATAAATCAAGTTTTTGTGAATTATGTGAATTGTTGCAAATGTCTATACAGAGCCTTAAAGCTTATAAAACAGACTATTTATGTATATACCTGTATAAACAAAACCTTAAAATCGAAAATGGGATAGTATAATATATTGGGGTGAACAGTCCCCCAAATTTCCTGTTTGACAAATTAAAAAAAGGAGACAAATCCAGAATTTCTGAATTGTCAATTAGTATTTGATTGTGGTTATCAGATCGTCATTTTGTTGAAAAAAACAAAACAAAACAAAGACAATTTGTGAACTATAAGAGTTGGACACGTTCAGCTGTTTATTGTCTGTTGTTTGAATGACGTTTTTGTAGTTCTGGTGGAGTACAAGTTGTGGGAGGGGGGGGGGGAGGGAGAGAAATTTTGGTGTTTCCTTCTAAAACTTCATGTTGGTGGGTTTGGGAGGGTTTCCAAATATTTACGAGAAAATATTTCCTGGATTGCTCCATAGGGGTTGCCAGTTGCCACTTGTGGGCTCCCCCCCCCAAATAGTCAATAGCCACCAAATAGTCAGTACCACCGTAAAAAGTAAACAGCGCCCCCTTGGGACTTAAATGGACAAGATTACACCCTTTTTGTCTTAAGAAATTGATTTACATAGAGTGGAAATTCTTAATGTTCATTTGCTTGAGGACATTATTATATATAATTATCTCCCACCTTTCAATCGAATAATCGACTAATACATGAAATAAAAAGGGCTCATTTCTTTTGGGAAAAACAGGCGGTTATATTGGATTGCGGCAAATATCGCTTACTTGGGCTACAAAATAGTACGCCTAATAATAATGAATGGCGTTTTGAAGACCTCGCCTCTTTTGGGCGCTTATAGGCGCCGTCCGTCACGATAAAGTAAGAACGGGGAAACTGGCGGATTGGGTGTGTGCGAACGAACTTCGTGTCAATTTTGCCGGTTTGTCGCCGAAATTGACATTGTCAGGACACGACAATTCGCAGCCGATGACAACAAGCCCTGGCCACTGGAATTGTAGGAAAGGTTTGATTAAAAGGTAGATATGACACATTTTAAAGATGAAGGACATCGGGCCTAAATTAGGCAATAGTGCCGGTGTTCAGTTCAGAATCGCCGGTAATGTAATCGCCATTTAACATGGAGGTAGAATTATTAGCGAAACGTGAATCGAGGAACTTGGAGTTGGACATATGTGGGCAGGTGGGACCATGGTGGATCTGGGAGGGACTGTATTTTGGCCTGGTTACCAGATTGCAGAGTACTAAATTTAAACAGAAAGATGATAGAATCGGACGGCACTGGACATCACTTGGCCATTATTGGCACTAGTGCAGAATGTTATGGATTGGTGTAAAAAATGTGTTTCTCAGTTTCAATGCTTCAGTATGTTTTCTTGCTAAATTTGTCTTTTACTACATGTTAATGTTATAGCTTACTGATGGCATAGGTCACTGCAGGGAAAAAGCCCCAAGCAGTCTGTTTATTTACAATAAAGGTTTTGTAATTTCAGAAAATGTGACTGTCCTACATGTACCTGTTTTAGCACAGACATTTGTGAGTCACAGCAGTTCAGGCGCTGTCATCATCAGATAATTTTACCCCTATAGTTTTCCTCATAAATAAAACTCCTGTCCTCTTTTGACAACATTTAACCTGCCGATATTCAATGTGATATTTTAGCGAACTAGAAAACAAAAAGTTACTTTTCTGCTGGTGACTATGTAAGTAAATTTCAAAACAGGTCTTACCATGTTTACTTTTAAAGCATTGTATACAACTTAGTAGGCCCTATGGAATGGTAGTAGTCCATCCGACCAACCTTTCATAAAGTCTCTAAATAGTTAAGTATTTTCTGTTGAAATAATGTTAGAAATGTTTGTCCATGTTGTCTGTCTGTCATGGTTGTTTGTCATTGATTGTGTTATTGGAGGGCCTACATTAGTCCCAATTTCATTTTGGAAACACCTGAACGTGGTGTCATGTATGTAGGTTAGTTTAGGGCCTAAATAGTGGCTATCGTTATGGCAGCCGTAACACCATTTTGATCGGCTATCGTTAGGGCATTGCTGAAGGTACCAGGATCGTATACGATGGAGCGTATACGATGGAGCAGAGAATTTAGTTTTTCCTTTTTGTTTTTTAATTAGAGCCTAGTTTTCGTTATTTTTTGTGTTATCAAGCAAATCCTTTTTAATGAAGCACATTTCATTAATTTTTTTTAGTGATCTGTGGAATTGGTGGATTTTTTTTTAAAGGGGAATAAAGTCCGAGAACCATTTGGTTGATAGTCTGGTCCCGTTACCATAGCAAAAGATCACAATGTTGAATATTGTCAGTCAACTGTCATAACATTAACAATAGCCACTGCATTACTTTTATGAGCGTGAACTAGATTGTTCTTGTAGGCACTTCCACTGGGCATGCACAGTGAATGTTTTGAGGCAAGTTTACAAATCATACCAGTTCATGGTATGCTTTGTTTTTTAATAGATGAAAAAAACATTTATACTTAAAAGAAACCCAATGATGACTTTTGAAAATTTGCCAGAAAATGTATACTTCGTACACATCCAATGAATGTGAGAAAGTGGCATCCGAAGAGAATACCCTTTGTTTTTAGTTATGATTAAATTTTTGGTTCTTTTACACGTTATTTCATAACACAATCTTAATTCAAACAAGTTTTCCAAATTTGTGTCTTTTAAATTTCTGCAGTGTTTAATGTTAATGTTAGTGTTAAATGTTTTTATGCAATTGATTCTTTTTGTTACTTTGTTTGCCAGCAAATTAGCTAGGCGGAGCCAAACTTTGTGTGTACTTCATAACAGTCTGAAAAGAAACTTAACAGTAAGTTTCTAATGAACTTCTGAATTTCTATACTTTTTGTGCCTTTAGAAGACAAAATTTTAATTAATTCCGAAAAACGTGTTCTCTTGCCTATCAAAGTCTTTGCTTTGGTGCCTCATTGAAATTTTCTCATTATTTTGTTTGTTATAGGCCAAGTAATACTAGTTGATTGTCCCCTCCCCTTCCTTTATTGAGGCTACATCAATTTTTTTTTTTTTTAAATTTAGGCATAACATTTTTAAAAAAGATGTTTCAGAAATTCAAATGCTTATAATAGCTTTACTGATGATCAATAAGCTTAACTTTTAAGAAGGTTTTGTGGTCATCAACTAGCAGACAACTACCCAGACCTATCAAGTAAAAAGGGCCTCCTCCTTTTTAAGACACATATCGTGTAAACTAAATATGGGTGTTTTAGCCAAATTTTCAATTTACAATAAAAAGGCCCACATTCGGATGATCAACTGATGATGTTTTTTTTACTTGGCCTTACATGTATACTGTAACTGTTCCTTCTATATAACCTAGAAGTAATTTTCCGTTTATAGAAGAAGAAATTTCCAGCATGGCAGACTTTCCTTGAAGGTTTTGAAAGGAATAAATTTAGTTTCTGGGAAAAATTTCCAGAAAAAAAACTGAAAAAGAGACTATTTAAAGACCATGGTTCATTTGGGCTAGGCTGACATGTTTGTGGCCTCTTTTCCAATTGAATCATGATCACAGACACGATTGCACACAGACTTTCACTCTGCGTACTAACGTACGTGTTTGTACACGGATTCCCCGATTCAGTTCCGTGTGTAGCCCAGTTTGTTCAATCATAACATGGCGGACCAGGGGATGAGTCATATAACAAGGCTTATTGTTGCCCGGTATGCGTGCCTATTGTGTGCGTTAGGGCTCAATGCCGGTGCGGTTCAACCCACAGTGCATAGTGCGCAGAGGTATAGAGACACGCCTGCTGGGGCTGTCCTGAAATTAAAACTTGTTTATGGGTCAGTGATGTCAACAAAACAAATTCCCGTGTGTGTTAAAAGATCTTGTATCACGTGTGTACATGTATATAAATTTTCACTTAAAATGTGCATAGACATGTACATGTGTACGACGTACATGTACCGTAAGCAGTCTTTTTGTCTACTGTACCTGTACATGCAAAACTGTTTTGACCTTTGAGACAGAAGTCAAAACCAGAAGTCATAAATCACCAAATGGATTGTCACGTACACCAACAGTGTAAATTTGTCTCCGATTACAAGCCGATAAATTCACAACTTTGCTACAGCCCAAGTGGAATAACAAACAAGTTTTTATTTCAGCCATGTGACGCATTCAGCGTTTTAGACACTCCGTATATGCAATTTATGTACATGTAGATTGTGGTCCATCAAATTCCATATGTGGGTATACCATATATAATGTTATTGTTTGTGATTACGTGAACCGTGCAACAGGTAGTTTCTTCAGAGTGGGTACATTATGTACCAGTTCTATCCATTTACATGTACATGTGGGTGTTGATAAAAAGGGAGTGATTTCAGATATGAATCATCGTCCATTTTTCCAAGGATCTTTATTTCTCACGAGGCATTTATTGTTGCTTTTCTGAACTTTCTGAAATGGTGTCACAGAGCCAGTAGAGTGAAATAATTGGTGTCATGTTATTAATTAACAAATTATTCTGGCACAGTTTGTCTTCCTACTATCACTATTGGCAGGTTGGTTACATTTAATTTGTATTTTGTTCACTAAATTTTGTTTTGGGAATTTTTGTTCAGGGCTAGGGGTTGCTAAACTGTATTTTGTTACAATTGGTTGGTAAAACTTGCACCATCGGTAAATTTGTTTTAGTAATTTTTGACCCGTATGTGTTTAGCATGAACTTTCCAGGGAAGTTTCCATGCTGAAACATAGAGAAATATGCCAACTTACAGAGTGAAGCTTGCTGGATGCATCTATGTTTGTGCGCATACCTATGTACAACTTGTTCTTGGGTCAGCTGATTTTGTCATTGTTTTGTGTGACAATTAAAATATAAAAATAGGAGCTTGGAAAGTTTTGTTTAGCTCGGAATATTTCATTTTGGCGACCATCCAAATTCATATTAAAATATGGAAAGACAGAAATTCAGTATATTTATTTTCATTTGGCTGTTTGCATGTTTACATTTGTACTCCATATCTAATGCTGTTACGGCCAAAGTCGAAATACACCATCTGTACTATATTTCATTTTGCCTTGTACAAACAATACACGTTTGTTTCTACACTGGGGATGACTGTTGTATTGTTATTTAAATTGTTCGTCTCATAACATGGGCATGAATTAAAAATGTTTGCGCCCAGGTTGACTTCAAAATGTTCTGCGCAACGGAATGATGAGTCAGCACTCTATAGACTCTGTGCACCGACGTAGAGGGGGTACCATTGAGGGGGTACTTTTGCATGAACAATCTATATTGTACATTTCCATCATCAATTACTGACTTAATTCAGTTTGTTTGTATTTTCATTCCAACACTGTTTTTGTCCCTCTGCAGCTGACGAAGTTACATGCATCGACGGAAGGAAATTTAGTCCGAACGGAAGTGTTGCCTTGAGGCAAAAATCACCATGGTGATTCTCACAAAGGTTCGTATGCGTCATTCTGGAGTAGTTTTATAAGTTTCGGTTCTAAATATTTATTGTCAGCTAAATCTTCATCGATAATTTTAATTTAGTTTTTCAGCAATTGTTTAATTTGTTTTTTTCTTCTTCATGCTTTTAGGGAGACTGTGTTTGGCTGGAGGATCCAAGGAACTCTGGGTCCAATGTGCCGATCGGGGCAACCGTCAAAATCGCCCAGTCGGGACAACTACAACTGTTGGACGATGAGGGCAAAGTAAGAAGCATTAAATTTAAAGAGAAAATTATATAGTACTTTCCCCAAGTATCACTGTCATTGCATAATAGTCAGAAAAAAATTGGGGATTTAAACTTATTGGACACCATTTTGCAAAAAAATTATTTTGGCAGATTCAAGGAACAATAAAATGAATCTAAAGCAGGTAATTAAAAAAGAAAAAACAATTTTCAAAATGTTAGCTCTGTAGATACACTTTTTGAGAAAACTGTGAGAATGCATTTTCAGAACATGTAATGTCACGGGAGTTGGGTTAAAGGAATCATGGGAAGAAACAAATCACTGTTCTTTTGAAGTGCATCGAGTGATGATATCCAACTGTATAAAATTAATGCACGGATCTTAGTTGATAAACTGCCAAATTTTTCAGGCTTATTCAAGAGTATGATAAGAAATGGGCTGGTCACGTTTGGGATAATGTTTTTGCTGGTCCCAGAGGGCCAGCCTAGTGTCTTCTTTGTACCTATCTGACTGACCAGCTTGAGTTTCTTAGTTTTGGTTTTCTACAATTTGATCTACTCTGTGTTTTAGGATCATTGGCTGTCTCGCGACGTGGCCTCCAAGTTGCGCACGATGCACATTTCCTCCAAAGATGGAGTGGAGGACATGATCAGACTTGGTGACCTTCATGAGGCTGGTATCCTGCGCAACCTCCTCATCCGATACAATGACAACCTCATATATGTAAGTGTCTCGTGGAAAGTCAGTGTCCTTGCATAAATGATTGAACAAACCCTGCCTCACGATGTTATGAACAATCACAGCCATGCTTAATGCCAACAAATAATTGATAAAACTGCTATTGCCTTTGAAGTGAAAAAACAACCTCACCGCACTGTGATTCCTGATTACAAATAAATAAATAAATAGGTTATTTTAGTCTCATGTGGATTTGTAAAGTTTATTGTTAACTCGCTTACACTATTTATGTTACCTTTTTTTATCCTCAGACGTTCACCGGTTCCATCCTGGTAGCCGTCAATCCATACCAGGTTCTACCAATTTACAACGTTGAGCAGATCAACCAGTACAAAGACAAACGCATCGGGGAGTTGCCCCCACACATCTTTGCCATTGCCGACAATGCTTACTACCGCATGATACGCGGACAGAAGGACCAGTGTGTCATCATTAGGTAATTTGGTGTTTGTGTTCTTGGGCAAGACATTTTACTTCAAGTGCCTGTCTGTCCACCCATGAGTATGTGTGGGTACCTGTGATAATAGATTCCAGATTGTGCCAACTAATATCTGATACAATGCACATATTGCGGATAAACTTTCTGTCTACAGCTTAGAAAAATCTTGAAATCTGATGCTCATGGTATTCGCATCAAAAGTGAAGTATTTTATATTCCTTTCCCATACTATCATAGTGGTGAGAGTGGTGCCGGAAAGACAGAGAGCACGAAACTCATCCTTCAGTTCCTGGCAGCAGTGAGTGGTCAACACTCGTGGATTGAGCAGCAAATCATTGAATCCAACCCAATCATGGAAGGTATGTCGTAAAATGTTTGCAATTTAATCTTATTTCAATTTCAAATTCAATCGAGGACCATTAGCCAACTAGTGGTTGATTTGTGATGCATTTTTTAGTCAAATGCTGGTCAGAACCTCATCACAAAACCTATTCAAGTTTCCCGCAGTCATGAAAAATCCTGGAATTCAAAACTACATGGAATTTGTTATTTTACAATGAGTCAAGGACAATTCTCACTCAAACTTGCTTATTGCTGGAGTTTGGGGCCTCTGTTGTTAAAAGGTAACAAAAATGTAAAGTTTAGACTGAATTTATTTGATAGTTTAATTTCTTATGCATGTGGTTACGTCTAACTGTTTCACACTTCAAACATTTCATGTACTATGTTCAAAATCAATTGCCAATCTGAAAGAGGTTTATAGTCACTCAACTTCTATTTCATTTGTTTCAGGCTGTTTGAAAAAATTTCCAATTTCATTGTATTCTAATTTGATTGAATTGTTTGGTTTCACTCTTTTCCTTCCTTGCATCTTAAAGCCTTTGGGAATGCCAAGACGATACGGAACGATAACTCCAGCCGATTCGGCAAGTATATTGACATCCACTTCAGTGACCGGGGCGTGATCGAGGGAGCCAAGATTGACCAGTATCTGCTAGAGAAATCCAGGCTGGTTGGACAGGTGAGTCACAACGTAACTGAGTCAGTCACAAGTCATCAGAAGTCAACCCCAAGTCAATCACAAATCCTGACAAGACAGTTACAAGTCATCCATTCTCAAGTCAAGTCGCAAGCTTGGTTTCAGAGCTGTAGTTGAGTCACAAGTCAATCGCAATTAAATGACAAGTCAATGACAAGTGATTACAAGTCAGTCACAGGCAATCACAAGTCATCACAAGTCATCACAAGTTAACCACAAGTCACTATATAAACTAACAGTAACAATTTGAGTCTGCTGGGAGAGTCTTACAATATTATATTTGTGTTTATTTTCCTGTTAGCTCCCAGATGAGCGTAATTACCACATTTTCTACTGCATACTGAAAGGCTTGACTCCAGATGAGAAGAGTAAACTTGAACTTGGTGATGCTGAGGATTATACATACCTTATCCAGGTTAGTTTACAAATATAACACGGTTTAATATATAACTGAGGATTACAGTTAGCTTAATATTCAGGTTTGTATACAGCATGGTTTAAGATATTACTGAGGATTGTACATGATGTTACCTTATCCAGAATATTATACAAATGTAACATGGTTTAAGATAAACTGAGGATTACAGTTACCTAAATATACAGGTTAGTATACTAATCCATCAATGGTTTAAGATATAACTGCAGATTATAGTTATCTTATCCAGCTTAGTATACAAATACAACATTGTTACAGCATCATTCAATAAAACAAATTGGCCCATTACCAATTTTGATAATTCCTCAGGGTGACTGCATATCCTGCGAGGGCCGTGATGACCAGAAAGAGTTTGCTGATATCCGCTCTGCCATGAAGATTCTGACGTTCACCGAGACGGAAATCTGGGACATCATGCGCCTCCTGGCTTCCATATTGCACTTTGGAAACATCGACTATGAGGCCATTGAGGCATCCAACCTGGATGCGACGGGCTTCCACAGTCATCTGGAAACGGGAAGGATCTCAAAGCTACTGGAGGTTAGTGCTGTCGGTGGCAGAAGTGGGATAAGCCCGGTGTCAGAAGTGGGATAAGATGTAATATGCTATCTTACTTCTGCCACCCAAAAGGAAAAATACATCAGTTGTATGGTATTTTTGTGTGTGAAATATGCATTTAATCAACGTTGGACACTAAAAATTGCCATGGGTCTTGTCGTGCTCAAACTATTTACCATTTAACGTTTGAATTATTAACACATATAATACAAAGATCATAAAAGTTGTGTATTTAAAAATTCTAAAAATTCTGAAAGGTTCAGTGGGGATAAGAAGTTGTATGACCTAGTTATTTGTGAAATGATTTAATGATTCATAGTTTGCATTTTACCAAAGGTGGATGGTAGAAATTGCCGTGGTTCTCTTGCTTCTCAAATTAATTACCATTTAACATTAAAAATCATTTACATATATAATACAAATGTCATATAAATCATAGATAAACCAACGTGCCTTGGAAGAAGCACTAACCACGAAGTCGACCACAGCACAAGGGGAGGTCATCATCTCGCCGGTCAGTCGCCACAAGGCCACCGATATGCGGGATGCTCTTGTCAAGGCCATCTACGGCCGCATGTTTATCTGGATTGTCAACAAGCTGAACGAGGCCACCTACAAGCCTCCCCAGGACCGCAACGCCACGCGACTCAGCATCGGGCTCTTGGACATCTTTGGCTTTGAGAACTTTGGCAAGAACAGGTAGATAATAATCATTATTATTAGCTTTGATCATTGGGTCCTTACATGTAAATATTCCTTATGCCATCTCCGCTCCATGGGGAGTATACAGCTCGAAGCAGCCATTTTTCAGCTAATTCAAACGCAGTAACTGTCGCTGCCCTCACAGGTATCCATTTACTCATGCGTGGTGAGAAACAATTAGTGACAAGGTATCTTTCCCAATCACAAAAGCTGTACTGAAACACACAGCCTCCAGAACTACCATGCCATAGCTCATGTATCCAAATTGTTTATAAAGTGAAACAAAGAAATTGACTAGAGTGGGACTTGAACCTGCGACCTCCAGCACACCGTACCAGTGCTCAACCAACTGAGCTATGTTGGGGGTTCCCCAATTCTCAATGTCATTGTTCAAGAGGATCTAGTCAGAAGACATATGTGTATGCTATGTGGAGAGGGATATCGCCCAAAGTCAAGATGCTAGCAACATTAGCAGTGCTGCAAACCTGGGGAATGGCAAAGTGGAAATCACCCATAGAACTATTTCATATCTTTTAAGTTTTTACAAAATTATTTACACTTTGTGATTTGTTACATCCTACATTACGTTTTATAAAGTTGCCCTAGTGCTTTCTGAAATCCATTTTTTCTTGCCCTTTTTATCCAGCTTCGAGCAGATGTGCATCAACTACGCAAACGAGAATCTTCAGCAGTTCTTTGTCAGACATATTTTTAAGTTGGAGCAGGTAAAAAAAAAAAATTACCCTTTTCATTTTGTTCAAATATTATATGTGAATTATGTCAACAGAATACCATTACTCCAAGTTTCCCTTTTCCAAAACCTAAGATTTAGAATCTTGTCAAATTTGTATTTGTAACTTTTTTGTTAAACTGGCCAATGTGTTTGCAGCTATTTATGAGTTATTTAATGACCCTTGACCCACATTGACCATTGACTCACATTGATCCTTATCCCCCATTAACCCTTGTCCCCCATTGACCCTTGTCCCCCATTGACCCTTGCCCATATTCACCGTTGACCAATGGCCCACATTGACTCTTGATCCTTATGGACCCTGACCTCCATTGACCCCAACCCCTTTGATCCTTGACCTTTATTGACCTTTGACCCTGCAGGAAGAATATGACCGGGAGGGCATCAAGTGGCAGCACATCAAGTTTGTGGACAACCAGGAGACCCTGGACATGATTGCAGCCAAACCCATGAACATTATTGCCTTGGTGGACGAAGAAAGCCGCTTCCCTAAGGTCAGTGGGTGAAGGTCACATGCAAAATGAGTCAGGGTCAAACATGGGCCCTGTTCAAATACCCAGATAGGGTGCTGACCAACATATAAATTGCCATTGGTTCAAATGGCACAAACTTTCTCTTTAACAGATCAGGAAAAATGCTAACAATTCTCATAGGTGTTTTGAAACACTCATAAAATTAAAGGTAGATTGAACCGCTTTTACTTTCTTGTTGTTATTTTTGTGGGATTATCAATGATATGTGGTGGTTTGTCTGTCCAAAGATGATCACTCCTATTAGCCTCTCACCTTTTAATTAACTGATTTATTCCAGGGCACAGATGCCACAATGTTGAATAAGTTGAACGGGCAGCACGGTCGCAACCCTCTCTTTGTCCGTTCCCCGGGGGCCCGCAGCACCCAGTTTGGTATCAACCACTTCGCTGGGACTGTGTACTACGAAGCTGTGGGTAAGGCCTGTTTTAAATACTGTGCTACTGCCATCGAACTCAATTAATTTGACTCACCACAGCTAGCATGACGTTTGGAACCATCTAGCTTTTTCAGATGATTTTGGCGCGGCACTGTCCTTTGGCTCAACAGGGTTTGCTGCATTTTTTTGTTCTGAACGGTAGTGGTATGGCACTGTTCCAAATGCAATGCCAGTACTGTGCGGAAGTCTATTCAAGTTGAAGTTGGGGCAACCATTTAAGGGATGCTCAAGTTCACAATGACCTCTCTCTCATCAAAATCTTAGGAAGGGAATGGGGCACTATTACTTGATGGCGCTGAAAGTGCTGTGAAGTGCCGGAAAGTTATTTTAATCATGGCAAGCAACTCTAGATGTATTCAGTGTGTATTGTTAAGCTTGACATTCAGAGACACTGCTGTGCTATAGACAAGCTATTCCAAGCCCAATTCAATTGAGTTTGGCACAGCGGAGTTTATTTTTGCTACAAATACCCATTATAAGGGACCTATTGCAGATAAACTTTTTGTCCGCAACCTATCCCGGATATATGATAAGATGACGCAAGTAATTTTGTGGTGTGTTTGAACATCCGCCAGGTTTTTTGGACAAGAACCGTGACACCTTCAGTCCAGACTTCATCAAGTTGATCGAGACAGCCGGCAACAAGTTCTTGCGACGTCTCTTCCAGACGGACATCAAGCAGAGCGGAGACTCGCGCAAGAAGTCGCCCACCCTGGGCACGCAGTTCAAGAAATCCCTGGATGCACTGATGACCACGCTCAGCCAGTGCCAGCCATTCTTTGTTCGCTGCATCAAACCCAACGAGCACAAACGGGCAAAAGTAAGATGAGTTTTTGTTTGAAAACCTACTTCTCGAGCTGACATATTGAACAAAGCAATCTCAGCGGTTGAACTAAATCAAGTGACTGTTTTTAACAGTTGAGTTCTCCCTGCCTTCATAACACAGGATTGACTGACTGCGACTTTTACATAGCTTGATACTGCTGTACTTTGACTGTAGGAGATTGATAATTCAACTGTGCCTTCCACTTGCCTACTTTTGTCTGTTGACTAAATTTGAGTAGTCACAGTGCCTACAAGAAATATGATCTGCCTGTTGGTGACTAACCTGTGTAAAAGGCATGGCAGGGAACCAGGATAGAATTTTTTGTTTGTCTGTGACTGTTCACACAGCAGGGGGGGGGGGGGGGTATGAAAACAATTTCCGAATAAAAAACAAACTCCATGTGGATTTTGAGCCGATTTTTATGATGCTGCTTAATGGTCGGCCGAAAAGTTGTGCTAACTATAGCAAAATATCATGCTAAAGTTGATGCACTATTTCAAAGCATTGATCAAGTTTGGGCGCAAAATATAGTTAACAATAGTTCGACTAAATAGGATCAATCGAAGGATAGTTGGTCTACTCCAGTTGACTATTTGCAGCCTGGGCACAGTTACATCGCTGGTTAGCAGTAGCTAAGCACATAATATGAAACAACGGGGAGTGGGGACTTTTGGCCATTGTTTGACTAGAGTACCATAGGCGTTAGTTACATCACAAATCAACCACCAGTTGACTAGTGGCCCTCGCCTGAACTTCCTTGTAGCTGTCCCAGTGTTCGCACATGCTTGAACATTTCTGTAGTTTTGTCATTAAACTGCAACAAATCTTTTTCTCTGAGTTTAACATGTCGTTTGCTGTGCTTACTGCATGCGTTTTCCATGAAATGTGCTCATTTGCTTAAACAGCGCCGTGAATTTGGTCCCAGATTTTTCCAAGCCTTCAATAATTTGTTCATTTTCATTTTCTTTGCTTGCTAGGAATTTGAGAGGGATCTGGTAGTCAGGCAGCTACGTTACTCCGGCATGATGGAAACCATCAGGTAATTCCAAAAAGATTGGTTACCAGCCAAAATGACATGTCTAAGCATTACTCTTGGTTGGTTCTCAAGCTGATTTTCGCTTACCAAATTGATATGCAAATTGAAATCTAACTCCTTTTTTAATTATAGAATCCGTCGCGCGGGATATCCAATCCGCCACACTTTCAAGGAGTTTATCGATCGGTACCGCATGCTGGTCATGGGTATCCAGCCCTCGCACAAGGAGGACTGCCGAGCTGCCTCAACTAAGATCTGCAAGGCACATCTTGGCACCCAAGACTGGCAACTGGGCCACCACAAAGTCTTTCTCAAGGTATTTGGGCAGATCCAGTATTGGGTTTGCAGCTCACCGTGGACACACTATTTTAAAACCACCTTTAATCATTTGTTTCTTCTAAACAATACAACTTGAGGTGGAATAATGGTACTGAGTTCTTCACCAAGTGATTGATTGACATTGTTTTGTTTGCGCAGGACGCCCATGATCTCCACCTGGAGCAGGAACGAGACAAAGCGCTGACGGCCCGCTGCATCATCATCCAGAAGACGTTCAGGGGATGGTTCTATCGCAAACGCTTCCTGAAGATGAGGAAGAGCGTCACCATCATTGCCAAGGCCTGGCGCAAATATGCACAGAGGATCCGCTATCTCAAGGTAAGTGCTGAATAAAAATACTCCTCCCATAACATTGTCTATCATGAATTATGGGCTCTTGTGCACAAATTAGAGAGTGCGCTTTTTGTCACTTTCAAGGGCCCTGTGGATTGAAGAGTTCCGTAACATGACCCACTGGAACAAATCGCAGAAGTTTCCATATGTACATGTAATAATTTCTTTGAAATTGGCAAGTTTATTGTAATTATTTTCTTCATTTAAAAATGTAGCTTCATAAAGTGAAAATTGTTTTCTTATTTTTTATGCATTTTAAAAGCGATCATGCCCACTTCAAAAATGTAATTAGAAAAATGTGCTAAAAATAACCTTTCTTTCTTAACGTCGTTACTGATAATTTGTCAGTTGAAATACATGAATACTGATGAGTTTGATTTGGTTGGTTTGACCACAGATGAAGCGTGGCTATCAGCGTCTGCAGGCTGTGCTGCGTGGGAGAGTGCTGAGCTATCGCTACCAGTTCATGCGGAAAAGACTTCTGAAGTTCCAGGTTGGTATTTTAAAAATCTGGATTTAAGGAAGCTGTAACGTCAGAGGTTGTTTTTCAAAAAAAAGGGGAAAAAAGAAAAAAAAAATGTGTGCATATTGTAGAAGATTACATAAACTGGATCCACTGCATTCTTCTCTAATGAAAATTGTGGTCATTAGTTGGTTAGTTAGTTGTCTGCACTTGAGGAGCGCTGTGGTCCAGTGGTTAAGGTGTTTAACTCATGTGCCATGGTACGTGGGTTCAAATCCTGACAGGGAACATGCATGCTTGTGTTCTTGGACAAGACACGTTACTGCAACTACCAGTCTTGGCCCAGGAGTATGAGTGGGCACCTGCAAAGGAAGAAACCAGGTTGTGCTTATCTCAAGCTGGTGCAGGGAAAAAAGTCCCATTGCCTGATGAACAGTGGTAATAACTGAAGCGCTTTGAAATCTTTGGTATAAAACACTGTGTAAGCACAATGTTATTATAATGTTGTTATGCATTATTAAGGGAAAAAACAAACATCAAAATCCAGTTCATTAATAAGACTAGCCTGTTGGTAGTGGACAGTGGTAGTGAATTATTTGTGTTCCTCACATAAATTACATATTAATCCAATAAAATATCAGTTCTTTAATAAACAGAAGTTTGATGCTTGATTTAATGAATTTGATCTGTTTTGCCAGGCTCACTGTCGCGGACACCTCGTCCGTGCTGAGATCAGCCACTACCTGACCAGCATTATCAAGATCCAGGCTGGTTTCCGTATGGTCCTGCAGCGCCGCCAATACCAGAAGCTGTTGGCAGATTACCGACGACGCAAGGAGGCGGAGCGCATCCGTCTGGAGGAGGAGAAAAAACTCAAAAAGCAGATCGGAGCCAAGAAAGCAAAGGTAAGAGTGCATAAAGTTCTGTTCAGTTTCTGATAGCACTGTCTGGGTCATAAGTGACAGTCAGTCAGTGGGGTGCAAAGCACCTCTGGGACCAGCCAAAACCCACAGAAAACCAGTCTAGAAAACATGAAGACAAGCAAGTTCTAATGATTCACAGTCCCACACTTTGAGCGTGGGATTCAAACCCTTTGTCACATCTTCTGCCTTTGTCTCCAATCGCAGGAGGAGGCCGAGAGACGTATGCAGCAGCGCATCCTGGAGATGGAGGAGGCAGACAAAAGACAGGAACTGGAGGAGGAACAGGAACGCATCACCAAGATGGAGGCCATTAAGGAAGCCGAGAGGAAACGCAACACGGAGCAGTCCACGGCCGAGGTAGTGGACGATCTCTTTGGGATATTTGATGACGACGGACAGCCAGACCGCGCCCCTAGAGGATTTGAGGTGTGTATAGATTTATAAGGCACATAAGATCATTTGCATTTATCCCAAAAGTAACCTAAAAGTTTGCTTGGATTAAATGGCTTGCTTTCGTTTAGACGAAATCAAGTAATGTAGGTAATTTCCAATGATCAGTCAGTTGATATTATTAATATCGTGTGCTTGGATGTTGTAATTTAATTGGTCTAGGACGGCTTTGTGTCTGGGCAATAAAATGCATGTCACACACTGAGGGTGAGCATTACGCGCATGTGGAACCTGCCGGCATGCTAGCTTTGCGCAATGAGATGAACTGCAATATCAAACACTAAGTCTCATGTCCGGGAGGACATCAAAACCTTCAGTTATCAAAGGTTGCATCACAGTGATTTAATTTATTTCGCACCCCGTCAGGGCGCATAGCACCCTCGGGTGATAAAACTTCATATCCCACATTACAGCAGTCAACAATTGGTAAATATCACATTGAAAATGTCAAATTCCACATGTGTGGGAAGTCTGTCACATGAATACTCAACTTGTTGACAAGCAAAGATCTGGAGTTGTGAAACATAATTTTGGATAATTTGACAGGATTTGGAGAAGTCTCGCCGGGCAGCCATTGAGTTCGGCCCAGATGATGATATGATGGCGCCCGCGGTACCCGAGTCTGAAGAGGACATCTCTGAGTACAAGTTTGCCAAGTTTGCTGCCACGTACTTCCAGGCCGGGGCCAACACATCGTTCATCAAGCGTCCCTTGAAAGAACCACTGCTGGACCTGAGGAATGAGAACGACAGACAGGTCGGTGGAAATCATTAAGCCTTACTGTCTCTTTAACCCGTTACCACTGTGCTACATTGTTTTACATTGTATTGATACCCTGATGAATCCATACAACCATAAAGTACTGGGGCAGTTACAGGGTGTAAGGTTAAGGCTGTTCATAGAAGACTTGAAGGTTTTCCACAGATTGGTTGTCCTGAGGATGCATTCACATTACAGGGTGACTTAGACAGAATCATGTCTTGGTCTTCAACTTGGAAGCTATCCCTCAACATCAATAAATGTTGTGTTTTATCCCTGTCACTTAAGAAGAAACCCATCATTGTCACTTACACTCTAGGGGATAACATGCTTAATAGAGTCTCTGTGCAGAAGGATCTTGGAATTGTTATTGACAACAGGCTGACCTTTGTTCCCCACATTGATTCAGTTATCAAAAAGGCTAATCGCATGTGTGGTTTAGTTTTGCGCAACATCCGCTCACTGAAGAATGAACATGTTTTGCGTACCATGTATTGTTCACTTATCAGGCCCCATCTAGAGTATTGTACAGTAGTGTTCAACTCCATATCTGCTTATCAGGATCACAGGATTGAAAGAGTCCAACAACGCTTTCTTAAGTTCATGTACAAGAATCTCAACAATAACAATGATGTTAATAACCTGGATTAACCTGATTTATGCGCCCTGTATAGACTCCCTACCCTGAAGCACAGAAGAGATGTCAATGATTGTATGTTTCTATATAAACATTTCCATAACTGTTATAATATTACAGATGCCAACCCATACAAGTTACATGCTCCAGCACGACGGACAAGGCATGCACACGAACACATCTTCTATGTCCCATGGAGTCGCATTGAAGTGACAAAGCGTGGATTTGTTTCTAGGATCTCTACAATGGGCTCCATGGGAAATGCGATGTGTTCGGTGCACCGTCTCTTCATTCTTTCCGTAGACAGGTGTCCTGTGCTCTTTCAAGTGGTTGATGTATGAATTTTTCACTTTTTTAATGCATTGTTGCTTTCATTTTTAACTCACTTGAATGAGTTGTCATCGATTACTTCAAATATATGTATTACCATCTGTTTTTTTGCAGCTCCTTTTAATATTTTTATACTGTCATCACTTCTCTCCAAATTTGCCGAAACAAACTTTGTTTTCGTTAATTTTTTTTTTTTTTTTTTTTTTCCCCTTCTTTTTCAGCCGTCGCCCATAGCATTTGTACACGTTTTCACAGTGGAAGGCACTTTGGGCACTAAAATCAATCCGATTGACTTTATACTTGGCACACACTTAGACCAGCATCTGAAGTTGTGTGCCGAAGATTGACGTCATGGTGACGTCATCGACTAATTTATTATAGAATTTTGAATATTTAATTTTTGCCATAGACTTTGTACACAGAAATAAAAAAAATTGTCGATTTTCAAAGGGCATTTTTGACTTTTTGCCAGTAATTCATTTGCACCAATCTTTGTCCAAGCAAAGACCCTAATTCAACCAACATTGTGTAATGATGACATCATGATGACGTCATCCTGTGTGTATTTATAGGCAATTAAATTGTGACAATTTTAATATTTAAAAATGCATAAGAAATCAACCGTACGTGTCCGCAGCATTCTGTTACCGGCAAGTGGTAGAAAGGGTTGAGGTCTTTATTTCATTCAGTGTGCATGAAATCACGTGACCCTTGCTTCCGGTCGAAAAAGGCCAAAACCGGAAGTGGCTTATTATTTGAAAATGGTAATAGATATGAACTTGCTTTCAACGGTGTTAGTCTCTTGGCTAAAAGTATTCTTCAAATAATTTACCAATGACGTCATGCAATCTTCGAGCGCCCTCTAGGGACAGGTTGAAAATTTGCAAAAATGTATTTTGAATAGACGTCTGTGGCGAAGTTTGTCGGAATCGCCTAAATATTGTTGTGTATGATGACCTTGACCCACTTAAGACGTGCGAAGTTTTAGGCGAATGACGTCATCAGACTGGAAGTTATAATAAAAAGAACCTTGTTCATTTGAAAATTCCTGAAAAATCAACCATGGCAGTTTTTATGTTAGTTTTTACTTTAATTGTCGATTTTAAGGGTAGGTCTCAAACATTTGAATGCTTCGAGGCAATAAGCGAACTCGGACATGCCCTGTGCACGCTTAAAACTTCAGGTTGACAATACCTCTGCTCTAAAACATGCACAGAACGTCTATATGTACATACACGTACGTTACGCACATACATCGTACGTCAGTCAGCCTGCAGAACACGTGTTGCCGAGGTCAAATCCTGTCCACATCACAGTGACCGTTTTAGCTGATTTTTGGCTAACTTCGACAGATTTTATGTTCATGCATGCGCATAGTCAGGGACGTATAATAAAAATTCATAATGCCGAAAAGCCCTTAAAGGTGCAGTTTTTCTGCAGTGGGATTTTCCACAAGTCTTTTCCTATACAACACTGATATCTTACTGAGCAGTTCTGAACTTCAGCCGAGAATTACTATGAGAAGGAAAGAGAAATCGTATTTTTTCGCGCTGTCATTCGATTGAACATATTCCTAAGGGTCAGAATATCAAGTAATATTTCTTAAAAATGTTTCAGTTCAAAGGCAAATAACAAATTTAAAGGTGCAATTTTTCTGCAGTGGGATTTTTTTTTTAGCCCGTTAACTTTCTACACGTGTTAGCCCATTGACTTTGTACACGTTTTCAAGCCACCATTTCTATAACTTGGCGATCTGGAATCGTCATCAATGTTACAGCCAAGGAAGACCCTCATACAAAAATTATGCCAAGACTATGACGTCATGATGACATCATCACCTAATTTGTTTTATTGATTTTTGAAAAGCTGCATTTTCTACAGCCTATAAATCTACATTTGCATTTTCTTTTTACTACACCTGCATTACCTATCAATCTGTAACATAATGCCGAAACAGCCCTATATTTGTCCACAAACATATGTCTAGTTATTTTTATTTCTGTAACAAAATTTTTGCTATCTTGTTTTTTCTTAGATAGTGTATTTTTGTTCTGTTTTCTTTTGTTCAGTTTTGTTCTGTTCTGCTTGGTTTGGATTTTTGTTTTTTGTTTTGTTTTGTTCTGTCTTGCTCTGTTTGTTTTTGTTTTACTTTGTTTTCCTTGTCTTGTCTTGTTTTTGTTTTGTTTAGTTACCTTTTTTGTTTTGTTTTACTCTCCTTTTTTTCTCTTCTTTTTGTTATTTTGTTTTGTTTGTTTTGTTGTCTTTGTGTTTGTCTCAAGTATATGTGCGATGTGTCTTCGGTTTTTTTTTTTTTCAATTACTTTTTAGCATTTTATATATCTATATATGCATATCCACAATTCACAGTGCTCGTTTCATCCCTATATACATATAATTTGTTTTTAGTTTGTTTTTATAACATCAATATATATTTTTTATAATGATTCTTTTTGAACATATTTGTGTATATATATATATATATTTTTTTATTAATTGTATAATATTTTTAAACCAGTCCTGTAATTGGCGTTTTTTTCTGCTGTTGGATTTGGATAATAAATAAATAAATAAATAAATAAATAAACACAAATGCAGAGCACATGCGATGTTGAGGAGCAATACTTGGAGAATTGGCAATGGTGAAAATGTGTTCAACTTTTTTGAATTTGTAAAGTTTCTTGTGACCTGAATTATGATGGCCCAAAGACTGGATTTGAAATGGTTCCCCTAATGGAGTTAGTCTTTGACAAACATGGTCAATCTGCTGTGGCAGTAGAAGGCCCTATTAACCTGTTCGCATCGGAGGACGTGATAACACGCACTGGCTGTTTTTATACACAGGAACGGCTGACGGGTTAAGATGTCAAGATTTCCTATACTCGCCTCCAAGTGATGTCTAGACATGCTAATCCTTCATGCCTTTTGTACCGTGTATTGATCTTGAATTGGACGTTGTACACGGCCTATCGTTGTACAATTTTTGCATCAGTGCGAATATTGAAACATGAGGTTTTGGCAAGGAACATCGTACAAATTTTGTTGAAAGGACTCTTGCAAATCAGTATATCTGGCATTTGGCTGTATATCAGAAGTTGGCTGGAAAATGTTGCCTTTTGCGAAAATGGAAATTTTCTTTAACAATAATCTGGTGCGAGTACTTCCAATCTTTGGAACTGTGGCACACTCAATATTGCAGCTCTTGCGTTGGAGGCATGCTTGGAATTTATCGGGTCCCAGTGTCAGTGATCTCAAGACTGGATTGCATTCACCTATGTGATTGCCCTATCTACTGCTGATGCTGATTGACTATGCTTGCAAGGGACACACCCCATTATTGGAACATGAAATCCAGTCTGACGATATTGACAGAGCCTTTTTGATTTTTGGTTTACCAGGCTGCCTTGGCGGTATGGATCACCATTCTTCGCTTCATGGGAGATCTGCAGGAGCCCAAGGCCCAGTCCGCTTTAGCCGACAGGGTAAGTTTTTTCAACGGATTTCAAATTCTGAAACAAATTTTGGTTTTGGCTGATTCCCAGATGACTTTTGATGGTCAATTACCTCTTTCTGTTAGTAATAGACCGATTGATTAAGATTTGGAAAATAATTAACCGACATTCAAAGTCATACAGTGTAATTCAACAGTTTCCTATTCTGAACTTGTGTCAGTTTTTGATGTGTCAAAATGTACAATAGATAACACAATTGATGGGTTTGTCTTGGTTCTTTGGGATTGTGAAGTGACTGGAAAAGATTATCGTGAGTCCTTTTTTTCCCTTCTCTTTGATGCTGTAGGATGGTAAGTCCGTCATGACTAAAATCTACAACACTCTGGGAAGGACGCGAGGGAAGAAGGAACTGGAGGAGGCCAGGGAGAACATGAAGGATGATGGCATGGTAAGAACCAAACCAAGAGTCCTATTTGTCATGAGTTCTCCAGGGTTCCCACAGCTATGGAAAAAATCTGGAAAATCCTGGAATTAAAGCTATCATGGAAAGTCATGGAATTAAATTTTAAGATTCCTTTTTCTTAATGAAATAATTTAGTTCTTGTTATCTTGGCTACTTTCAACCTTTTTCTGCTAATTTTTAACCGTCAAAAGCAAAATGTCAGACCATGAGATCAGTCATTGTATTAAATGGAGGCATGATCTTGAGATGTCAAAGCAGAAACTGAATAATACCTTTTGTTATCCTACAAGTTATCTTGAATAAAGGAAAAAAAACCCAATAATTTTGTATCACATTTTCAGCAACCGCCGTCCATGCAGGTGGGTACCGGCCGAACCAATAAGAGCACCATGCGCAAAAAGCTGGTGTCCCTGACTCTTAAGAAGAAGTCAAAGATTACCCAGGAGGTGGCGGAGCGGATCCGCGATGGCGACGAAACAGAGTACGGCAACACCATGGTGATTGACCGGCCCACCTCCAACCTGGAGAAGTTGCATTTTATCATCGGACACGGCATCCTGCGGCCGGAATTGAGGTGAGGATATGGGTCAGTCCACAAATAAGGGGTCCACATTTGCATGTCCCTGTAACGCCTGACCTGTGTAATTTGTCATGTAAGTATCATTAAAATTGACTTTTGTTTGTCATGAAAGGGATGAGATCTACTGCATGATTTGCAAACAACTGACCAACAACCCTTCCAAGAGTAGCCATGCCAGGGGCTGGATCCTGCTGTCGCTGTGTGTGGGCTGCTTTGCACCGACTGACAGGGTGAGAACATAATGCAATTATCAAGCTTCATTTCAATCACCTTATTAGTACAAGCTTGATTTATTGCTCTCTTTGGTCAAATGAAAATTCTAGGTTCAAATTCATGCATCTATTGATTATCAGTGAAATCTATCAGTGAAATCTATCAGTGATATCTATATGTATCTATAACCATTAATATCAATCTATGATCAATGAGATCTTTTGATAGCCAGTGATGTGACAAACCTTGTTCCAAACAGTTAACCAGTCTAGTCCAACAGCCTTAACCAAAGTGTGTGTTCTCAAGGCTCTTTGTTTGCACTGCATTCTGATGAACTGATTTTTGGTTAAACAGAGATTGAAGTGAATATCGCTTTTTGCCCTTCGATGACTGAAGTATTTACGAGTTTTGTAGATTCATTACTTGAATTATAGTGCAATTCCTACCTTTGACCTTATTGTTTTTGTCTCCCCATTTCTTGTTCTGCCTTTTTCCCCCATGTTTTTGTGTAGTTTGTGAAGTACCTGCGTTGTTTTATCAGCGAGGGTCCGCCAGGCTACGCACCATACTGTGAGGAGAGGCTGCGACGAACCTTTGCCAACGGGCCCAGGACACAGCCACCCAGCTGGCTGGAACTACAGGTAAGGAGACATCGCAGACAAGCTTATCCACAACAGGACTGTGGCATCACATAAACGTTGCTAGATACTGAACATCTTCACCGGAATCTTCCTGCAATGAAGTCATCGGATTGATTACAAACTTTTAACTTCGCTGTGGGAAGATTTGGGGGAATTGTTTAATATTCTACAATTTATACCTGATGCAAGAACCCTCATTTATCGGGGGTATTTAGGAGATGGCGCCTAAGTGAATTCATAGTGAATACAAATTTTGCTCTTGGGTTTTCCTTTCAAAGGCTTAATAATAATGTGCTTTTTCAGGTAACACTTTCTAATTCTTTGGTTGCCCATTTCTCAAGCATTCCTTTGGTTCGATCCTTTTCCTTAGTCCACCGAAATCCATTTTTGGGGCTAATAATTTCCTACTCTTAGGCTGCCTATTCCTCATATATTCCTTGGGTTTTCCTCTCTTTTCTGTAGGCCACCAAATCTAAGAAGCCCCTGATGTTGCCCATCACCTTCATGGATGGCACCACTAAGACCCTACTGGCCGACTCGGCCACCACAGCTAGGGAACTCTGCGGCCAGCTGTCAGACAAGATCGCCCTCCGAGACCAGTTTGGCTTCTCTCTCTATGTGGCTCTCTTTGACAAGGTGAGCTCCGACTCCAGCATTACAGCTGTGTCAAATATATATTCAAATATTCGATCATCTGAATATCTGAAGATCACTTTTCATATCAGAGTATTCAAAAAAATGTGAGCGGCGTTGATATGATGAAGAATAATGCCCATGATGTTATTTTAATTGTATAATAGTCAGCTACCTCGAAAAAAATATTTTGATCCATTCTTGAGGTTCGTAATAAGCTCTTCAATTTTCAACCGGCATGTAAATCCTGCTTGGCGGCCGATTTAATTCCTGATTGGGATATGCAAATTGCAAATGGCGCAAGCACATGCAGTTTCCTACTTGCAAGTGGAATTCCTGATTGGCTTACGCAGTTTAGGCTTCATTTATTAGGCCTCTTTTATGTTAAAATTTGATTGGTGCGCTTAGAATATTCAATCAAGTCTGAGTTCAAATAATGTCCATTACAAATCCCACCTTGGAAAAATAGTCATTGTTTCATCTTTTTTTGCTTTCTGAAGGTGTCGTCATTGGGTAGCGGGGGCGACCACGTCATGGATGCCATCTCGCAGTGCGAGCAGTACGCCAAAGAGCAAGGCGCGCAGGAGCGCAATGCCCCCTGGCGCCTGTTCTTCCGCAAGGAGATTTTCGCCCCCTGGCATGACCCTACAGAGGACCCCATTGGGACTAATCTGATCTACCAGCAGATTGTGCGAGGAATCAAGTTTGGGGAATATCGATGTGATAAGGTGAGACTTGATGTTACAAAGGTCTTTCTTTCTTAAATAACAATAATAATATTTATCTTTGAGCAAACTTGAATTATCAATCCAGATTGGTTGAAGTGCGACAACAAAAGTGAGATACCCCATACAGCATGGCTCATATTGTGAGTGTGATAGGATAACCGCTACAGCGTGCGCTTTCCATCTTTACTATGCAACAATTTGCTTGAAGAGAAATTAGTCTGTTCGTATGCCACAAAGCCGTATGATACAGAAGCACTCCATTATTCTGTGTTCCCTTGCCCTGTGACTGTCAGTAAGATTAGTTGCCTACTCCATTCACCTGTGGGTTAGTCTGGCGCCATTGCTTTCATGTTCCTTCATGATATTTGTGTAGGCGATAAGTCAAGTCTCCTTGCGAACGGAGAAAGTGGATTTTAATTTCCATCACGTTGCCACTACAGCTTATTCTATGGAGTTTTTTCAATTGAATTGAAATTTGTGGACTCTGGGACCAGCTTTACTAGGCTTGCCGAGTCCTGCTACATATTTTAGTTGTTTCATGATGGTGAACGTCTTGGCTGAAAATGGTGAGTCTTCAACGAACTCTTTTCTTTGGTTTCTTTTTTTTGGTCTCAGGATGGTGACCTGGCCGGCATAGCTGCCCAGCAGTACTACGTGGACTACGGAGGGGAGATGATCTACGATCGTCTCACCAACCTCCTGCCGACCTATATTCCAGACAGCTCCATGACAGGCTCCAAGACCACGGAACGCTGGGCACAGATGGTCATGAACGAACTTAAGAACGTGAGTGGAACGATTATAGAGTAGATGGATCCATTGGGCCCTGCCTTCTGCACGCTTGGGCATTAACATGTGCACCTGCATGTTCCAGCAGGATTTTCAAATTTTCGCACCTCTGTGAAAGTGAGTCCTGTCAGGAAATTTCCTGATTACAGGAACTTTTGGCGTGGTTGTGCCTTTTTCATTATTTTTAAAGAATCACTGAGGGAATCTGAGGTGTTTTTACCATGCTTGTGACATGGTTGTGATTGATCGCTACGTCAGGAATGGTGATTGCTTGTGAAACTCTAAGGTTCTTTGTTGTTGTTGCATCTCCCAGAGCTACTATGTCAAGGAGCACGTAAACAAGATGCGCGTAAAGGAAGATGTGGTCAACTACGCCCGCTTCAAGTGGCCGCTCCTCTTCTCCCGATTCTACGAGGCGTTCAAGTTCTCCGGTCCCAGCCTGCCCAAGAATGATGTGATCGTCGCCGTCAACTGGACTGGGGTGTACGTTGTGGACGACCTGGAACAAGTCCTGCTAGAATTGTCCTTCCCTGAGATCACACAGGTGTCCAGTAGCCGGTGAGTGATGGATTGTGGGTAATGTATTGCATGATGGGTAATGTATTCAAGTCCCATTCAAGCCTAGTGGGAAAACACTGGTCACAACTTCATATTTCTATTGTAACTGCCTTGGTAGAGCCCTGAAACATACCACAGGACAGAGGTTCAAACCCCATCTTAAGCTCTGTTGTAAAAAGCACCTAGATAGCACTCAGAGGTCAAAGGTTTCAATCCTGTTCAGAATCATTCTCCTACTCTGTTTGTAGAGCACCAGTACAGTATTCCAAAGGTCCCTGGTTCAATTCCCATTAAAGTCAATTTTCTCCGGTTTTCTCAGGACCGGCAAGCTTCATGGGCAGAGCTTCACAGTCCTGACTGTCAAGGGGGACGAGTACACATTCACGTCCTCCAACGCTGAGGACATCCGCGATCTGATTGTCTTCTTCCTGGAAGGAATGAAGAAGAAATCTCGCTACGTTGTGGCTCTAGAAGACAATCCGGATCAAGGTAGGGAGAGTCAAGTTTCAGATTTTTTTATCAAACCCCCTCCCCTAAAAGAAAAAATCAAATAATTGGCACAAAAATATAAGGGATTTATTTTTTGATTTTCAGAGTTCAATATTTGTAATCTTTGATATGCCTACTACTCAATTAAAACAAAATACATGCTGTATACAAATGGTGGAATAAAAGTGTTTTTAAGCAAAAACAATGGACATCGTTCGTTTTCACGACTACAAAACAGTTCAAGCTTTAAGGGCCTTTTTCGCAGTATTTAAATTTGTTGACATGTTGATAATTGCAAACTTTAAACGGCCATAACTTGTCAACGGAATGTCTGATTGAAATGCTACAAACAGTATTGTAAGGAGAATTGTATTTTCGGTCAATACACAAAAACCCTCATATTGACCTCTACCCACTTCTGTCTGATTTTGCCAGAACACCTCACAAATATGAAATGTTGTTCAACCTTTGAACATTTAATTGCTTTTTTGTAAAGGTCAAGGGTCATCGTTCCTGAGTTTCCAGCGAGGCGACCTGATCGTCTTGGAGCAAGAGAACGGTGACACATTGATGGGGAGTGGTTGGTGTTACGGGGAGAATGATCGCACTGGACGCAAAGGAGACTTCCCTGCTGAGTGTGTCTATGTCCTGCCAACTACAACCAAACCTGCTCCAGATATTGTGGTAAATATCAGTCGTTTCTGGCAATAATGTGATACTGTGGCGCTTTATACCAAAGGTCTCAAAGCGCTTCACAATTATTGCCCCTGCTCATCAGTCCTTTTTTTTTCGGTGCATGCTTCAATTGGAAGTGAATATTGGCCATGTCATTCAGATGTGGTCATTCTCTTGTTAAAAACACAACCATTGTGACCCTCCTTCCCTTCCCCTCTCTGCCCCCAGGCACTTTTCACCATGCAGCCCCAGGAGATGTCAGACCGGCTAGGCTCCCACGAGGAAGCCATGAGGAACGGTGACGCCCACCAGCGGCAACACACCCTGGAGGAGTTTGCCATTGATCACTTCAGGCCGCCACCCAAGCGCACGCTCAGCCGCGCCGTCAAGCGTCGCACCAGGGTAAGCAGTCCGACCGCAGCCTCAAAATCATGGTGATGATTTTCTGGTTTGACAATTATATTGCAACTTTTGCCACTGAGTCGGTGGGAACCCTCAAAATCATGTAGGACCATTTGCATTTACCCCAAATGTAACCTACTGAAATAGTACCAAAAAGGTTACTTGGACTAAAGATCGTACTGGTACTAAACACTCCATGAAATTATTCTGTCTGGCTTGCTGTCATTTAGAAGAAATCAAGAAATGTAGGTAATTTTCAATGATCAGTCAGTTGACTAATGTTTGGAAGTAGAGAGTGCTATTGGCAAAATCTTGTTTCGTGATGAATATCCACTGAGCCGAAACTTCAACAAGTTAGGGTTTTTAACATTCCTCTAAAGTTAGATTTTGAGTGGTGTTATTATTGGGAACAAACAAAAGATATGAAAAGCTAATGATTCTGTATGCCTTTAAACAAAGTTGTAATTGAAAAGCCCTCCATGCAATTAAAAAAAGCTATTATAAAAATGTGTTTCTCTAACTACCAGGGCAAAACCACAAACAACATTTTCTTTTGAGCTGAATCTCAAAGGTTACTGATAAGATCAATTAATGTGCCATGCCCTCTGCAATTGAATATGTCTTTCCAAACCGGAATAAATTTTTGTTTACTTATTTTCTAAAAGTTTGCTCTTATCGCTAGGATTTTGTGCAGTTTTGAGCATTGTAAAGCTTTTTGCACAGGAGCCTAAGGCCTAAGAATTGTGGAAGGTGAAACAAGCATTAATAATTGGGTCAGCTGATAAACAGTTGCATATTGACTTGACCAATGTAGAATTGAATCTTGAGTGCCTTGGTCTAAATTTTTAAAATTTTGCCGGACATAGATTTGTGCGTTTGATGTATTATTATTATTATTAATTTTTATTTTAGCATTTCAAAATATGCTGATTTTGGTTTTTCCCCACAATTTTCAGGACACTTTGTGGAGTCACAGTAAGGAGCCCATCCGACAGCCACTCCTCAAGAAACTTCTCAACAACCCAGAGCTGGCAGAACAAGCCTGCGATGCCTTTGAAGATATCCTTAATTCAAATGTTTCAAGTTATTTGGTTTAATTTTTCTGACCGCACAGTAATCCATGTGATCGAAGGCACTTGTTAGCACTGTTGACCCTCAAGGTTAAAGGTTGAATATTCCTAGAAGAGACCCAACCATCTTATGGATGCATAATATTTGAAAAATACATCTTAAAAACTCCGTCCCAGACATTACATAATGATGAAATGGCAATATATCAAAAAAGTTCAAGTGATGGATGTGTCAAAATGAAGAGCGAATTATCTGTTTCCTGCTGCATATGAAAAACTTCATTAGATCTAGTCACAAATCTGTATTCATTTTTTCAAACTCTGGAGCGATTTTTCCTTGACCCCTTTGCACCTGTTCTGAAGTACATGGGCGACTTCCCGACCAAGAGGTCCTATCGTCATGGCAATGACCTCTCGGATAAGATCTTCGAGTCTCCGTTGAAGAATGAGCCGTTGAAGGACGAGATCTATTGCCAGATTATCAAGCAACTGACAGACAACAGAGTCAAGTAGGTCCTGACTGGGAAGACAAGAATCCTTTATGATAAAGTCAACACAAAATGAGCAAAGTCAGACTTAATAAGAACTGACATATGGAAGAAATCAAGAAGAAATGTAGGTGATTTCCAACGATCAGCCAACTGACTGATTTTTGGAAATAGAGAGTGCAAAGAGACAAAACAGGTTAAATGATCAAAATGTTGTGTGTGGTTTTCACTGTTGAAGCTTAAATAGGTAGGGTTTGAACATTCTTCTTTGGATTTTGAGTGGTGTTAGTGGAAATGAACAACATGCATTGAAATCAAATTGTCCTATATGCCTTAATGGGTTAAATGAGACTTTTGAAAATCGGATTTGAAAATCATACTTTTTTTTCGTGCATAGGTTAAGCGAGGAGCGTGGCTGGGAGCTGATGTGGCTGGTAACCGGCATCTTCGCCTGCAGCCAGACTCTCATGCCTGAGGTCACCAAGTTCCTGCGGTCGGGTACCAACAACCTGGCGGCCGACTGCCAACACCGTCTGCAGAAGACCATCCGCTACGGCCAGCGCAAATACCCCCCTCACCTGGTGGAGGTAGAGGCCATCCAGCACAAGACCACGCAGATCTTCCATAAGGTGTACTTTCCGGATGACACGGATGAGGTAGGTTTGACCTTGAGATGACCCTGTATGCGACCTCTGACCCACATGTTATCAGGCATGACTTGTGCGCACATTATAAGTATTCATTCTTATTATTATCAAATTAGAAGAGAGAGGATCCCATTTTGAATTGAACCCGACGATCCAAGATTTACACATACATAAGTATGCATTATTGTTGGTGTTATTATAGGCCTTTGAAGTTGACTCTGGTACCAGGGCTAAAGATTTCTGTCAAAGCATCGGGCAACGATTGAGACTGAAGTCCTCAGAGGGTTTCAGTCTGTTTGTCAAGATTGCTGACAAAGGTGAGATTTGGTTCTTATTTAAACATTGGACTTTGCCCATCTTTGATGTAATCTGTTGTAAGTTCTCTCATATTGTGAGGTATTCTGTTTTTTTTTCCTCATTTTTCTCCACTATGGTCTGTGCCTAGTTCTGTCTCATTTTGCCAGAATGCCTCAATATTTGTTTGGCTTTAACCCTAAAGGACGGAGGACCATTCTTAACATTTGTATGTGGTTGAGCCTGAAGCATTATTTTGCTACATTGGATTACTTGTGTTGAAAGGTTTCTGTTTTGTTTTTTCCATTAGTTATTAGTGTACCAGAGGGCGACTTTTTCTTTGATTTTGTCCGCCATCTGACTGACTGGATCAGAAAAGCAAGGCCGAGCAGGGAAGGTAATTTATGAAAATGTCTGTCATCCTTTTAGGCAAGGGTGTAGATTTCTGAAAATGTCTGTCATGCTTTTAGGCAAGGGTGTAGATTTGGGGAGGCAGGTATGTTGATATATCCCCAGACTTTTTGATCAAGATTTTTGTGAGCACTTAACAAAGAAAAATGTAGTTGCAGTAAAATTGTGCATAAAGACGAGAGAATATCCAAGCCAGTCAAAACATAATTGCTTAGCCCATCCAGGAGTTAAATGGGCACCTGTGAGGGCAGAGATGGAGATTGTGATTGATTTTAGCTGATTTGTGCTGAAATTGCAGCATTTAGCTGTATACTCCCCAGGGAGCTAAGATTGTCTTTGAAATGTTTCACTGGCCCGATAATCAGTGGTAATAATAATGTATATTACTTTGATCTTAGTTTAAAGCACTCTATAAGTATCCATTAATATTGTTTATTTTGTCCTTTTCCACTATTCGCTAGGCACTTTGCCAGTCCTGACTTACCAGGTCTTCTTCATGAAGAAGCTCTGGACCAACACGGTCCCCGGCCGGGACCCAAATGCTGACGTCATTTTCCACTACCACCAAGAAATGCCCAAACTTCTGCGGGGCTACCACAGGGCTAGCAAGGAGGAGGCGGCCCAGCTGGCTGCGCTGCAGTACCGCGTACGCTTCAGCGACGACAAGTCAGAGTTCCAGAACATCCCGCGCATGATGAAGGAATTGTTACCGGCTGACATGATCCGCAGTATGTCCCCAGAAGACTGGAAGCGGGTACGTGATACGAAGCATCCCATTAAATTTGCGTTCCCATTACTCTTCGATAATGTGCTCCAATGTCCCTCCCAGAGGTCTCCCCCAACTCTCCCTTTTTAACCGTTGAGGGGGTACTTGTGCACGGAATCCATACCATGACGCATTTGAACATTATGCACAGCGAACAAATTTGGTGGCATGCAGAGCCTTTGGCTTGTAATTTACTCTGTCATCAGTTTTGATTGTCCTACCACCCTCCCCAAATTTTTGTTTCTCCAAGAAAAACCCTTAATCATTTTAATCACAAGAGGGCGATATTTCACTTAAACAGTTTACATGTTAAAGTGGTGCTATTTGTCCCGCTTTCTGTAGGCTATAGTTGCTGCATACAACAAACATTCGGGCAAGTCCAGAGATGAAGCCAAGATTGCGTTCCTCAAGATCGTTTACCGATGGCCAACTTTTGGTTCAGCTTTCTTCGAAGTCAGGGTAAGAAAAAATTATTCCCGTTAACCACATTTTGTTACTTTGTGAGATAATGCAAGATTGACACTTGCTACTTATAGGGATGACATGGGGGATGGGGGTGGGGAATGCAAAATCCATGAACAAATTTACAGAGGCTTCACACCAAAACCTCCATTTTACATCAGTATTTTTGTTTCTTCTTTTCAACAGCAAACCTCGGAGCCCACTATGCCGGAGATTCTCCTCATTGCAATCAACAAGCTTGGCGTCAACCTGATTGATCCGCGCAGCAAGGTAATAGCGTCCCCTTGTAATGGTGTCGGGCATGGGTGGTGGAAGCTGGCTTTGGGAGAGATCTGGAGTTTTTGTTTGAGGGGGGGGGGGGGAGTTTGTTTTTAGGAATTTAGTAGGCTAGCTTTGTGAAGTTTTAGCCAAGTTTTAGCTCCATCGGACAAAGTATTTTGTGGATATGATCATTAACCCTCCTAGTGGGAAGTTCAATTATCAGCAATATGTTAAACCCCTAAAACCCTGCAGGTCAGTTTCCATGAAGGGAAATGAAGTGCTAAATAACTGTGTCACACAGAGAGTCACTGCACACACAAAAACACTGTGGAGAGCAGTGAAGCATAACTGAATCTGCCTGCTTGCCCTGAGCTTAACCACACAAAAGATTTGTGATGGGGTTTGAAGTGCAAAACCTACTTTCTGTATTTCCTTTTCCTATTTTGCAGGAGACTCTGGCAACTTACCCTTTCACTAAAATTTCCAACTGGAGTAGCGGCAACACCTACTTCCATATGACCATCGGTAACCTGGTACGGGGCACCAAGCTACTCTGCGAAACATCCCTGGTAAGACAACTGTTGTTTTTCTTGGGAGGGGAAAGGGGGGGGGGGGGGATGTTGAATAAACCTACTTTTGCACTTTTTTAAGACTTGTATTTGATTGCACAATAGACCTATCCATTAAGACGCGCCCACTGCGAAAATGCAACATCAAATGCGTCTCTCTAGCGCTATACTGCATGTTCCAACCCCATGCGCCATACACGCATGTTGGACATTAGTCATGACTGTGATTGGTCAAAAGATCTTGGGGGCGGAGCTTAATGGATTGGTCTATTCAGCACACAGGAGCACTACCAAAATCTTCCTTGATTGTGAAAACTTGCAAATGCATAATAGCTGTGGTATGTGCAATTCAAAATTTGTTTCTAAAATTGGCTTGTTTTTCATTGTACTTATACAGGGTTACAAGATGGACGACCTTTTGACCTCTTACATCAGCCAGATGCTGACGAACATGAACAAGCAGAAAGCCAACAATCGCAAGTAAAAATATGTACAAACCTTTCCAAAAACTTCTTAACAGTACTGATAAGTGCAACATTCCATTCAAGTTACTATTTGCGGACAAGTACGGAGTAAATTTTCCCAAAAGACGTTTTTTTGTTTTGACTTTGCCTTCCTTTCTGACTCTGGAAAGATTTCAGAGCCTTTAATCTTAAAATTGAATATTGGTTGGTTGCATAAAGCCAAAGCTGAAACAAAGCCTACGTTTCGAAAGCACCACTTTTGAGAGCTTTGTGAAAAAGTTATGGTGCCAAGCCTGGAAACAAAAGGTGAAGTTTAAAAAATATCCCTGATCTGGCTTTAAGTTTATCAACCACTTTTGACATCTTTATCCAGGTTTATACCAAACTAAACAATTTCAACTGGTTCTGCCTAGTTCAAACCGGCTTAGATGTTCCACTGCAATATAGTACTTTTTGCAAACTGAACAGCATGATTTTTGTGATAATTAAGATTGGTTCAGATGTCACTTTGTCAATTTTTTTATAAGATTTGGTTGGTTAATTGGTATGTCTGAATGGAAGCTGTATTAAAAATGTATGCTTACAAAAAATGTTGTCGGGCTAAGCAGTCTATCTTACAGGAATGAATGGCCTCAGCCTTCAAATAAAGTTTCTGAAAATATGGATTTTTTTTAAAAATAAGTATTTTTTTTTGAAAAGTATTTTACAAAACAAAGTTAATAAAACACATCCAACAACATTGAATGTGGTATTTAGGGGCCATGCTGTCCTCTGTAAGTTTTGTAACTATTTTAAGTTTCAATCAATTAATATCTGGTTCCGGGAGAAATTTAAATTAGAATACAGTGAAGGGTATTTAGACATAAAACAAATGATCAGAGTGATCGAATTAGTCAGGTATTCAGAATCTTTATTGTTAAAATCATGTTATTTTTCTTGTACATGCATTGCATTGTTGATGTTTCTATGGTGAGTTTATGTCTCATTTGTTTCTTTTGATTTTTTTTTTGTTAAGAGAACTTTAGTTGTTTGATTTGAGCATGTAATTAGAAGCATGATTTTTGAGATGGGTGGTTCCCAATTTAAGTGGAGTAGAGATCTCAAAAGTAAAGGAGCAAAATTATAAAACCTAAACAGAATAAGAGGTTATTTTCCAGCAAATCTATTCATGACTTCAAATAACTAAATATTCTATCAAATTGATTGTCAGTTTTTCTTGTAATAACTATTTATTGAAATTCTTGTTTTAAAAAGTTTCTGTATTCAGCTACAGATGGTTTATCCATAAGAGACAGTTCTTTTGCAAAAGCTTTAAGAAAAGTTTACCCCATAAGTTCTTTTCAGTTTCATTTATTCCATTTCTATTCCTAATATGCAAAGATTTAATTTTTCCTCGATTTTTTGTTTTGTTGGATTTCACCATAATGTGCCTCAAGTATAATTTTTGTATCAAAGGAATGAGAAATAATCGCATTCACATGCAAGAAAGAACCCGAAAAAGTTTCTGTATTTGCCATTTTTGATGCAATATGTTATGTACACGTATTCAGAAAAATATATTTTAGGTACTGGGGTACCTATGCCACTAATTATGGCCAATCATTGTATATGCCTTTAAAAACTCATATTTCCTTCAGTAGTAATTTGTGTCACTTCTTTTAACTTTTATGCATTTTTTTTATACAGAACATGAAACGGTTGTTAAACTGTATCCAAATCATTGTATTCATAACTAAAATGTGGGCATTTACAGGTAGTCAGGGAACCGAGTACCCTATTGAATTAAAACACAATACTCTTAAAAGACAGGCTTATCAAAACTCAAAAAGACAAAACCCACAACTCCAGTCCTCAATAAAAACTTAACAGTGTGTGGATATCGGCGGTTTTTGAAGGGCTTGATAACTGTAATTTTCGCAAGCACCATCTGTCAATCTGTTAAAATGCTTGGGTACCTAGTTCCAAACCAACCCATAGAAAAGGTCAAAGAAAATTCTCCCAAATTCTGTCGAACATTACTGTGTGTAATTTTGGAAAACAAACATTTTCAGTTACTTCTAGAACGTATGTCGTCTTTGCAAATTTGAAAGGTTAAAGCTAGTGCAGGTTTTATTGTAACATCGAGAGTATTAGGTAATTGTCTACCCAAACTTAACTTTACATACTGATTGTATTCACAAGCTACAAGTGGTTAAATTAGGTTTTATACAAGTACATGAGAACTATTTCGATATTTTTTCACCTGAATTTTATGTAAAGTATATTCAGCATGAAATTCAGAAAAGCTACAGACATTCAGAAGATTTTCAATTTTAGAGATCGTGTGAATTAATATCCTATCATACAACTGGGAAAGTTTGTATTCATTTTGGTATTAAAAAAATCAGGGTTGTATGAATAAAATAATATAAGTAGTCTACTTATCAATGTGTACTTATGATAGACAAATTTGTATATTAGCTCCATTTCAAATCATTGCTGCCTTTTGAAAAAAGAGAAATGTTCATGTTTTGGGGAAAGTTTGTGTATATTTATGCTATTTCTATTTTATGCTTTTTTGATAAATAGCTATCGTGAAAATAAGTGGATTAATTATAGTGCCTTTGATATCAGTTATTCTTATACAGTAATTTCATAGATTAACTTTTGTGATGATTTTTTCTTCTTTTTCTAATGGATTCAAGAGTTTCTGATGATTAGATGTAGAAATGGATTTGATTTGATGAGAGAGGCGAAATAAAATATATACTTATACTTACCAAGAATAAGTTTGCTTTGATATTGTTTTGTATTACCGGCCGTCTGGACTGAAATAGACACAAGTCATGGAAACACTTAAATAACGCCTTGAAGCAAATTAACACCTTCCATTTCCCAGCAAAGCACGATTGAGTGGACAGCTATTCAACCGCCTGGCTAGTATAGTAACCCAACAAGCTGACCAAGTCCCAATTTCCTACCCCAGACCCAAGGCCTCCACCCCTAGGGTTACGTCTAGTCTCAGAACAACCTAAGGGTTTTAACTATCAGAGTTCTCACTTTATTTTAATGAACTTCCAACACTTCAAATCATAAGGGGATAAACTTTAATTTTGATTGGTTGAAAAACACATTCATGTAAAAAGGCTTATGAAAACATCAGCTGCCGTTTCCAAAACAAAAGAGGACAATCTTTTCCAAGCCCACCTGCAATATTTTTGGGTTCAAGTATGCGACCGAAAAGAAATACCCAGATCATTTGCATAAAAAAGCTCATGGAAAGACACATTCCAGTCGCTACATCCTATTTTTAAACAGTGCATTTAAAATCCCAATGTGTTGTCATGCTACTGATCGGGCGACCGGCGTGAACAATAGGCAGAGCCCCCCTAAAGAGCGGCTGCGCACGTGGTGTGCGTTTCGCATTCGTTTCTTCGCGGGCACCAAAATGGCGGAGTTTCGTCGAGGAGGGAATGTTCCGAGTTGTCCAAGTAAGTTGCCGTTTTTTAACCTGACACTTAACAGTTATGCTACCATAAATAATACCAAAATCCTGTGATTACACTCTGGCCACTTTTTGAGGGAATTTTAGAGGCGTAGCCTATTTTGTTCGTATAAGAGGAAAAAGGAAAAACTTCAGGAGGGAGAAATTTCAGCACGGCTACTTTGCTTTGGACTAGCCCCATAAATGTGGCCCATTTACTGGACTGCCTCCGTAAATATAGGCCACACATACAAATGTACAAAAACGTGTCGCACTTTGCCAAATTTTGATTTTCACATTTAGGCTTAGTTTGTAGGGTTTTTTTTGCTTTAGAAGCATACTCACCCTCTTTATAGGCTAATCAGAAAGTGCTGCCTTTTTCAGATGTCCATTTTTCGTGAAATTTCCAGATACATTTGCACACGTTTGTGTATTAAAATTGCAACATGAAATTTCACAAACATTAGACATCTGAAAAAAGCAGCACTTTCTGATTAGCCTATAAAGAGGGTGAGAATGCTTCTAAAGCCAAAAAAACCTACAAAGTAAGCCTAAATGTGAAAATCATAATTTGGCAAAGTGCGACATGTTTTTGTACATGTGGATGTGTGGCCTATGTTTACGGATGCAGTCCAGTAAATAGGCCACATTTATGGGGCTAGCTTTGGACGTGACTGGCTGTAGCCCCATATTTGGCCAATTTACTGGACTACCTCTGTAAATAAGGGCCACACTTGGAAAATGTACCTGAAAATGTAGAACGTAATTGTTAAATTTTGATTTTCACATTTAGACTACATGTATATTTTGTAGTTTATTTACGCTTTTATAGAAGCACACTCACACTCTTAATTAAAATCCGGCCTTTCTCACTCTCGGACGTCTATTTTTCATGGGAAAAAATGTTGCAATCTGACGCAACTTTTTTCTTTATATATCATCTCAATGAAGGTCAGTCATTGCGAAAATGACAAGACATGAATCTGGGACTAAGAAACATTTCCAATTTTGTTGGGAAATACTTAAATTTTTTTCTACATTTACATGGGCGTCGCGAGGGGGGGGGGGGCAAGGGGGGTCACTTGCCCCACCCCCCCCTGGAAAAGCCAAAAAAGAAAAGAAAAAAAAAAGAAGAAAAAAGAAAGAAAAAGAGGCGCGAAGACAAAGTGGTGTAAATTTAATGATAAATCGAGAATGTGTTGAGAAATACAAGCCTTTTTTGGCAAAAATTGTTTTTGCCCCCCTCTAGAAAAAATCCTGGAGACGCCCATGTACATTTACATGTTCCAAGTGTGGCCCTTATTTTCGGAGATATAGTAAATTTGCCACATTTATGGGGCTAGACTGGCTGGCGTGGCTTTGTACAAATTTGTTTGGGATATATGCGTGGCTTTGTACAATTTTTTGGGGGATATATGCGCAGACATTCTCTTGAAATAAATAAACATGGGGTTGTATCAACAGAAATAATTCCATACATGGACATCACTAATTTTCCCCCGGAGTGACATATCAGCCATCAGAAAGTGGCAACGTGTCCTCAAAATTCAAATTTAGCAGGGAAAGCATTAAAGCATTTACTGAGAAAACACTAGGATTTTTTTTCCAGGCATGGAATTATTTTTTTTGGGGGGGGGGGGGGGGTTGAGGACACCAAAATAATAATTTCCAATTAAACCAAACTTCCACTAAATCTAGGCCTGCACCAGCCCCATAAATGTGGCGCAAATAAAGGTTGAATTTGATATACTGATTTAAAAAGCATTCGGCACAAAAATGCGAGCCATATAATTTCTGGGAAAGAATTTGTCCAAATAACTTGGACCCTACAAATCGTCTTCAAGTTTTTTGATATTGGAAAACTATCACCAGACCATTTCCCAATGTTAAAAGGCGAGGGTCAAAGTTACTCGGATTAGGAAAGAATCAGGGAAAGAATGTTGTATCCTGACGCCACTTGTTTCATCATATGTATCTCAATAAAGGTCAGTCATTGAAAAATGTTGAAAAGGCATGAATCTGGAACTGAGAAACATTTCTAATTTGTTTAGCAAATACCTTGAGAATGTTCTTGACTCTCAATAGAGTATGTACACAATCTAATAATTAAGTGGCGTCTGTATACTTCATTCTTTCCAACCCTACCCCCTATCTAGCCCCATAATGTAGCTTAAATACTTGACTATGGGCTTCTACTTAATGTGAGCCATATGATGCTGATAGCTACGTACGGTGAAAAGTTGATTTTGAGGAAATCAAAATAGGTACTTTTTTTTCACTTGATATTCACCATAGAATGTATACCATTCACCGTAGAATATAGTTAATAGTCAGGAAAAAATGAACTCTGTATCTGTAAGTGTCTTATTTTCGGGCGAAATTTGCAGTGAGTTCGTCCAAACAAGATTGCACTTGACCTTCTGATTTTCCCTGGTTATTAACCAGGTAAATATCTTCCACAGTCAATATCCAGTGAAATTATAGTGAAGAAGAAGTCCAGCATTTGAGCCACAGTTATGGGGCTAGGCCCACCCCTAATCTACTCAGTCACAAACTTACAGTATGACCTTTCTCAAACAAAATGATTGAATTCTCATTCGATGTACATTTGTAGCTGACCCATGTTACACAACTTTTTCCCAAACAAAACCAAAATTCAAAACCAAATACTCAATTTTCTCGCAACCAAACAATCCCTTCAATTCACTATTGAGCAATTACTTTTGAGATTGTATATGCTAATTTGTGTCCCTTTGTTACAACAGCACAACTTGACAGAGGTTTTGACAGCTCAAGTACTGAAGTAGAGGCCTGAGGACAAGATTCTTGCAGTGGTGAAGATGCACAGTACCCCTGGTTTGCAAGAAATGACAGAACTGACGGGGGTAGAGGACTACAGGACCGTTAATGGAAGCAAGTACCGGTAAGTACTAGTGTATTATACATCACAACTCCAATTTCAACCTAACTCCCTAGGGGGTATACATGCTAAATCGTATTGAAATTGGTGGATTCAGGACTGTTATGGGTTATTAAATTAATCAAAATGATATAGATATATGATATAAGGTTAAAGAAGTAGTGCTCCTTTTTTTTTTTTTTTTTTTTTTTTAAACAACTATAGACCAAAACAGCTCTGTAAAAGTTTATTCAGGGAAAGTTCAAAGTAATTTTTGAGAACCAGTATATGTCTTGAGTGTTTTTGAAAATCATGCTGAGTTTTGGTCAGTTCAGATTTTTATTTTAAAATTCCTTCCTTCCCACAATTGACAAGTTACTCTGTGACTACCTGGTGCACACCACTCAGATTTTTGTTAGTTCCAAAACACGATAAATTTCATTTTGTTACGTTTTAGAATCCCACACTTGCCTGGTTGCCCAAAGTCAGTTTTGACGGCTGTTATGTAGTTAAACACAATTTATGAATATGTTGAAAAATGTGTTTTAGAAACGGCTGTTTTACTATAAATGTTATAAACCTGCACTACTTCCAATTTTTAAAGCTACAGTCCATCACTTGCAGCTGTCCAAAAAGTGACGTAATTATTGTTGAAATTCATACTTTGGTTTAGGGCTCCCCTCAAAAATAGTTCTGCTTCTTTTTGGCCATTTTTTTTATGTATGATCATAAAGGCGTCTGCATGTGGTCGAGGGTAAAAGGTAGAAATCGATGGTTTGGGGGTTTTTTTCTTAATTTTTCCATAAAAAAAATTGGGAAGGGGCTGTGAGAAGAGGGTAGGTAGGGAAACCGGAAGCCATTTTTTTGGCCTTAAAGATAGTAATGGGTCTAAACTCCCTGTGAAATTATTCTTTCTGGCAAGCTCTCAATTTGAAGAAAACAGTGAAAGAAGGCCTTTTCGTTGTTCGTAGTATTTTTTTTAATTTGGTGAAGCGTGTGCAAGCCTTGACACGACACACACATAATTACACTATACTATAATTTGTCAGTTCAGTGCGGGACATCGCGTAGCTGCAATCTGCTCAGTGAGAACGTGTCTCGTGTGCTGAATTCAGGCCCAATTCAAAACATGACACAGCAACTTTTGATTTGAAATTAAGATCCTATACATTGTTTTTTCCCCTAGAATATACAGCATTCACTGAGCTAAAACTTCATCAGGTTAGCTTTTAAGCACCTTCTTTACATTTTCAGCACTTTTTGTTGCTTCAAATGAACATAATGCACAAATTACAAATTATGGGCTGTACCTTTAAATCGATATAAACATTTTGGAAATAGACTCTTCAATTTCTGATGATTAATAAACAAGTTTAGATTTTATCAGATCCAACTTCCAGTCCATGCCCCTTCATCCCAAACTCACCTTTATTGCCTTCAAACTCAACCATGTTTTCATTTTGTTTTTATTCATTTCATCAGAATGAAACAAGACACAAGCAAGCAAGCAAGTGAAGCAAGCACGTGGTCAGCGAGATGTGTTCACTAAGGTAGGACTGACCCTTTGTTTCAGCCGTTAGCGCTCAAATTGAGCCAGTGAACACCCAAGACCCAGGAACTCAAGACCCAAGTACAGTTTGCAAGTGGAGTCGTTCGTTGGATTATACAGAGTGAGTCAGAAACCTTTACTTTGTATTTTCAATCCAAGCAAACTTGAATCTTCCATGCTAAATTGGTCAATCTCACAGTGACAGCAGTGCAGTATTATAATGCAAAGCAAAAATTGCGCAGTGTGGATTAAATTCAGATATCTCGTGTGCATTTCACTACTTTACATATCATTGCTACAATTCACTTTTTTTGCCTTATGATCATATTGCATATTTCTATTTTTTGTTCACTTGGTTGGTCAAGTTTGCTTGGCTCTATGTGTTTGTGATGCGCAGGTTGGTGGTGGTAGGTGTTGTGATTGTGCAGGGTGGTGGTTTCTCCGCAGGTCATCGGCTCAAATTGAGCACGTTGCAAGAATTCAAGTTAAAGGACTAGGGATCTGCTTTATCCCGATGTCCTCGAGGATCAAGATGGATTATGGGATCTGTTTATCCCTACATCCCAAGGCAAGACCAGCAGGGCTATGGGATCTTCTTTATCCCTGTGCCCATCCAGTGGCGGATCTTGGGTGGCAGTCGGAGGGGGATATACATCAGCTCCTTGGGGAGTAAATGCAATTTTTTCTGAAGTTAGGAAACTTAACTCCTTGGTGGAGATCACAAAAGTGCCATGGGTTGGCATAGACACACCCCCTTCCTTGACGTTATTAACTTGAAAAATCATCACTGGTATTTGTGCCAGCTATGCTGTTTTCTCAGCTTGGAATAAATGAAAACATTTGTCTACTCCTAAATGAAGAGGAGCAACTGGGGGAAATTACAATAAGCATGAAGGAACTTTATGTATGGTTTATGTATATTGGGTATAAGTTAGTTAAGGAAACTTGCCCCTGGATCCGTCGCTGCTGCAAGGCTCCACTAAACTTCAAATTATCTTGTGCACTGCCTTTAGGGCATAAACATGTACTTCCATAGGGACAATTTTTTTTTTAAATTTTGATCAACAATACGTGAAATGATCAGTTTCACTTTATAAATAGGTTTTTTTTCTCTTAGTTCAGGGGATCTGCTATATCCCGCTGAGAACTTATTAAGGCTATGGGATCTCCTATATCCCTATGCCGTTAGGGCTTAGGTGGGTGCGGTGGTATCGATTACTAATTGGAGTCTGACTGGGTGCTTCAATTGAGGTGCGGCGAAAATCCAGCACAGATTCAAGGGGCGAGTTGCGTCCGCGTGGCAGGTCCGCCTTCCACGTGGGGCGTGGGTCCTACGCAGCGGCCTGGAAACCCTAGGATGCCGTGCCATAAAGGAGCAGGTAGTGCGTCCCTCTTTATAGGGGCGTGGCCCTGTATTCACAGCCGGCAAACGCTGCTACTTCCTATCAGACCGCATGAACCCGTAATGGGGGATGGACTTAGGGGGGCACGCATATAGGTTAGGGTGCTTTCCTGGTCCTTCGGGGCTGGGCGGGCGGACCGGACAGTCGATAACTGTGTCTGGCCCTCCGGGGCCTACCTTTTATCCAGCAATGGGCCTGACGATACTGAAAGCGTGTTGGGGCTGGTATCCTGGGACCTTCTCGTGGTGGCCCTGTTTAAACAGACCTTACCAGGATATTTGACCTGCTCAGTGAACATGAATCACAGAGTTACTTTGTCTTTTTTTTTTTAATAGATACTGGTTGTTTTAGATCTTAACCAGTTGATTGTAAATTTTCAGGCTTTGCAAACCTGTTTTTCCCCCAAAAATTTGTTGTTTCAACCCCCCCAAACCCCAGCATATTATAGAACTCATATGAAAATAAAAGATCCTTTTTGCATCACTCTGAGTAGTGTTGACTGAGCAGATTGTTAGTGGCCTAGGCTGCATGTAAAACGTTTATAACCCTAAAACTCTTAAATTTTCACAGGATTGAGAAAATTGTATATTCATTGAATGACTGGAAATTGTGGCAGCAATTTGTAAGTCATGTTTAACATGCAAACATTGCAATCAGTAAGGATCTCATAAATTGCTAATCTATCTGTCCAGGACTGCACATGTGTAGGGCTTCATCTTTACCTTAAAAAAAAAAGAACTTTTCAAAAAGAAATGTTTAGACATTTATTTAAAGTTAATTTGATATACAGTTCAAGGCAATATATGTACTGCATCTGTAAAATGACTTGTGGCTCAAAATGAAAGAAAACAAATCAAGCATGCTTGATGATGTGTGATGAATGATGAATAATGCTCTGACAGTTTTGTATATTGATTAAGGTTCCCCTCGGTTTACACCTTGAATGCTGGAAGTGCAGGCTGCAGGAATTTGAAGAAGAAGCAACTACCACCGAAGATAACTCATTCATCTTAGACATGGTGAGTAAATGACTAGCTCTCCATGCTCTTAGAAACGGTTCATTTCTGCTACTTTGCCTTGGAGGGGTGTTATGAACCTACAAAGTTTGAAATTTGAAACACTTGACTAATTTGACTTTTTGTCTTATGTAATGTACATGTACACCATTTAAGCAAAGAAAATATTGCTTGTGAACATAAACTTGTCCCAAATGGGTAGTATTTGTGTTTGAAAACTTGTAATATGATGTTGTTAATTAATATTGATATTTGTTGATTTGTTTTGGTAATTTACCAGTTTTATCAATGGACAGTCGTCACGCCAGACAGGCAGGGCACAGGACTGCATGTTAGCTCTGAGGTAATTTCACTTGAGGTCATTTTTTTATGGATATACTAAGGGAATAAATGTGTGCTCCGGAGGTTTTTATCACTCTGTTTAATACCACTTAGAGTCTGGGTGCTGATAATTACCCGAGCCGGAGGCGAGGGTAATTATCAGCACCCAGACTCTAAGTGGTATTAAACAGAGTGATAAATACCGACGGAGTACATATTTATTCCCATTCATAAATACCTTTTCGGTAAAAAAAAATCATATAATTCGTTCAAAACATCCCGATTTTGTTAAACAAATTCACTTTATGCTTTTTGAATCATCCCTCCTGCAAAATAATGGAGTGTTCAGCTGGCGAGTAAGATGAAAACAACCCTTTTATGGAGATTGACGCGCGCGTATCATGTTCTATGCGATGTCGCGCAGAACGCACCTGGCGCGTTGCGTTTTGAATTTAGAACTATAAAATTCTAACTCCCTGGTAGTGTTGCGCATGCCTACGTGAGGATTGTGAACGTTCAACCAATGAAACGATAAGAGGCACTGGATTTTTAGGAGTCCACATTTTATTGTGACACTGGAAAAGTGTTTAAGACCAGCTAGCCATGTCTTTATCATCCGTTTAATACCGGCCACGTGACGGGCTCTCGACCAATAGGAATGGCTAAACTGTCTGAGGTATTTATGAATACTCATTTTTGAATTGCTCTGACAAAACCAGACGATCGGTCCTTTCCCAATCACCCTCTATTATTTAGCAACAAAATAGTTTTGGAATTAGAAAAAAAACCTGTTCTCTTTATTTGTTGCAATATTTGACTTACAGATGTTGCTTTAAGTTCAGCACACGGAAGGTGTTTATGAACTCTTCATCCCCCCCATCTCCATTTTTTTCAGGTTTTGCAAAGTTTGCAAATTTCACAAAATATTGTCCGCAAAATCCACTGAGATAATTCTAGTTCCGAATATGGGCCAATTGAACAAAATATATTTGATCTTAGTTCTGTAGTTAAGTTTGAGATTTGTTTGACTTAAAATAAGTTTTCTCTTTTGTTCTTCTTCGAAGGTAACTGATGACGTTGATAGAATTTGAAGGTTCTACCGTAGGATGTTTACTATGGAACACACACTGGATGCAGAGAACACTGATGTATCACCATGACAACGCCAAACCAGGACCCTCCAGTTTAAAACAGTAGTGTAAAATATGAACAGGAAACTTCGCAACAAAATGTTGCAAAATTCTTGTAAGTTGACATTTCAACATGGCATGGCTTGGAACTTGTTTGATCCCACTTAAAATGGAAAGCTTTTTGTGATTTTACCGTGATAGCGATTTCTCTTCATGCAGACAATTTGAAGAATTCTACTCTTATTGATGTAATGTTGGGATATTTCTTATTCTAATATAAAAGTACTTCTGATGCTGCCTAGTATTTCCTTTTGGTATTCTACCTTTCTATTTCTAAACATTCAGTTCTAACTTTTAAGGATTTTTTTTTCACTGATTATTCATCTCAGTCTTAATACTCTGTAGTGTTTTGGGTTAGAGAAAGTATATATTCTCATTATTGTCAGTCAACTCGTCACTTTTGTTGAAATATGATGCAACAATTTTTTTGTCTGCCATTAAACCTTTTGTAAAAATATTTGGTGAAATACTTGTCGAGCTTTGTTTTTTTTTTAGTGATTTTAGCTTTTGTTTTTCAATAAAGCTTAAATAAGTCTGTGTTTGAACTGAAAATAAATGTCTCATTTTGTCAGTTTTGTAATTCCGTTTCAGACCACTGAATATTTTGAAGAGATGAACAAAAGGAGTCGATTTTTTTGAGCCAAAAAATTTAAATCTGTTGACTGATTTAACCTGAGATTTTCTTCAAAACTTTTATTTTGAAAAGCCAATCTGTCCAGAAATTGAAATGAAATGTGTTCTAGGGTCCCTAAGGCATCTTTCGTACAAGTTTGAAGCAATTTCATTTTTTGGCCAAAATCAAGAAAAAAACAAGGGGTTAGCCTTACATTTTTAATGAAATTTGGGCAAAAATTGACTTTTTTCTAAACAATGCAGAAAAATCCTTTGGCGGTAAGAGGAGCACCCAAATTAAATGGGAATGTGTTCTAGGATCCCTTACACATCTTTCCTGCGAGTTTGAAGCAATTTCATTTTTTGGCCAAAATCAAGAAAAAAACAAGGGGTTAGCCTTGCATTTTTAATAAAATTTGGGCAAAAATTGATTTTTTTCTAAACAATGCAGAAAATCCTTTGGCAGTAAGAGGAGCACCCAAATTAAATGGGAATGTGTTCTAGGGTCCCTTACGTATCTTTCCTGCAAGTTTGAAGCAATTTTATTTTTGGCCAAAATCGAAGAAAAAACAAGGGGTTAGCCTTACATTTTTAATGAAAATTGGGCAAAAATTGACTTTTTTCTAAACAATGCAGAAAATCCTTAGGCGGTAAGAGGAGCACCCAAATTAAATGGAAATGTGTTCTAGGGTCCCTTACGCATCTTTCCTGCAAGTTTAAAGCAATTTCATTTTTTGGCCAAAATCAAAAAAAAACAAGGGGTTAGCCTTACATTTTTAATGAAAATTGGGCAAAAATTGACTTTTCTCTAAACAATGCAGAAAATCCTTTGGCGGTAAGAAGAACGCCCCAATTAAATGGGAATGTGTTCTAGGATCCCCTGGGCATCTTTCCTGCAAGTTTAAAGCAATTTCATTTTTTGGCCAAAATCGAAAAAAAACCAAGGGGTTAGCCTTACATTTTTAATGAAATTTGGGCAAAAATTGACTTTTTTCTAAACAATGCAGAAAATCCTTTGGCAGTAAGAGGAGCACCCAAATTAAATGGGAATGTGTTCTAGGGTCCCTTACGTATCTTTCCTGCAAGTTTGAATCAATTTTATTTTTGGCCAAAATCGAAGAAAAAACAAGGGGTTAGCCTTACATTTTTAATGAAAATTGGGCAAAAATTGACTTTTTTCTAAACAATGCAGAAAATCCTTAGGCGGTAAGAGGAGAACCCAAATTAGATGGGAATGTGTTCTAGGGTCCCTTACGTATCTTTCCTGCAAGTTTGAAGCAATTTTATTTTTGGCCAAAAATCGAAGAAAAAAACAAGGGGTTAGCCTTACATTTTTAATGAAAATTGGGCAAAAATTGACTTTTTTCTAAACAATGCAGAAAATCCTTTGGCGGTAAGAGGAGCACCCAAATTAAATGGGAATGTGTTCTAGGATCCCTTACACATCTTTCCTGCGAGTTTGAAGCAATTTCATTTTTTGGCCAAAATCAAGAAAAAAACAAGGGGTTAGCCTTACATTTTTAATAAAATTTGGGCAAAAATTGATTTTTTTCTAAACAATGCAGAAAATCCTTTGGCAGTAAGAGGAGCACCCAAATTAAATGGGAATGTGTTCTAGGGTCCCTTACGTATCTTTCCTGCAAGTTTGAAGCAATTTTATTTTTGGCCAAAATCGAAGAAAAAAACAAGGGGTTAGCCTTACATTTTTAATGAAAATTGGGCAAAAATTGACTTTTTTCTAAACAATGCAGAAAATTCTTAGGCGGTAAGAGGAGCACCCAAATTAAATGGGAATGTGTTATAGGGTCCCTTACGCATCTTTCCTGCAAGTTTAAAGCAATTTCATTTTTTGGCCAAAATCGGGAAAAAACCAAGGGGTTAGCCTTACATTTTTAATGAAAATTGGGCAAAAATTGACTTTTCTCTAAACAATGCAGAAAATCCTTTGGCGGTAAGAGGAGCACCCAAATTAAATGGGAATGTGTTCTAGGATCTCTTACGCACCTTTCCTGCGAGTTTGAAGCAATTTCATTTTTTGGCCAAAATCAAGAAAAAAACAAGGGGTTAGCCTTACATTTTTAACAAAATTAGGGCAAAAAATGACTTTTTTCTAAACAATGCAGAAAATCCTTTGGCGGACGCATCTTTCCTGTGAGTTTGAAGCAATTTCATTTTTTGGCCAAAATCAAGAAAAAAAAAGGGGTTAGCCTTACATTTTTAATGAAATTTGGGCAAAAATTGACTTTTTTCTAAACAATGCAGAAAATCCTTTGGCGGTAAGAGGAGCACCCAAATTAAATGGGAATGTGTTCTAGGGTCCCTTAGGCATCTTTCCTGCGAGTTTAAAGCAATTTCATTTTTTGGCCAAAATCAAGAAAAAAACAAGGGGTTAGCCTTACATTTTTAATGAAATTTGGGCAAAAATTGACTTTTTTCTAAACAATGCAGAAAATCCTTTGGAGGTAAGAGGAGCACCCAAATTAAATGGAAATGTGTTCTAGGGTCCCTTAGGCATCTTTCCAGCAAGTTTAAAGCAATTTCATTTTTTGGCCAAAATCGAAGAAAAAAACAAGGGGTTAGCCTTACATTTTTAATGAAATTTGGGCAAAAATTGACTTTTTTCTAAACAATGCAGAAAATCCTTTGGCGGTAAGAGGAGCACCCAAATTAAATGGGAATGTATTCTAGGGTCCCTTAGGCATCTTTCCTGCAAGTTTAAAGCAATTTCATTTTTTGGCCAAAATCGAAATAAACCAAGGTGTTAGCCTTACATTTTTAATGAAAATTGGGCAAAAATTGACTTTTCTCTAAACAATGCAGAAAATCCTTTGGCGGTAAGAGGAGCACCCAAATTAAATGGGAATGTGTTCTAGGATCCCTTACGCATCTTTCCTGCGAGTTTGAAGCAATTTCATTTTTTGGCCAAAATCAAGAAAAAAACAAGGGGTTAGCCTTACATTTAATGAAAATTGGGCAAAAATTGACTTTTTTCTAAACAATGCAGAAAATCCTTTGGCGGTAAGAGGAGCACCCAAATTAAATGGGAATGTGTTCTAGGGTCCCTTACACATCTTTCCTGCGAGTTTGAAGCAATTTCATTTTTTGGCCAAAATCAAGAAAAAAACAAGGGGTTAGCCTTACATTTTTAATGAAATTTGGGCAAAAATTGACTTTTTTCTAAACAATGCAGAAAATCCTTTGGAGGTAAGAAGAATGCCCCAATTAAATGGGAATGTGTTCTAGGGTCCCCTGGGCATCTTTCCTGCAAGTTTAAAGCAATTTCATTTTTTGGCCAAAATCGAAAAAAAAACAAGGGGTTAGCCTTACATTTTTAATGAAATTTGGGCAAAAATTGACTTTTTCCTAAACAAGGCAGAAAATCCTTTGGCAGTAACAGGAGCACCCAAATTAAATGGGAATGTGTTCTAGGGTCCCTTACGTATCTTTCCTGCAAGTTTGAAGCAATTTTATTTTTGGCCAAAAATCGAAGAAAAAAACAAGGGGTTAGCCTTACATTTTTAATGAAAATTGGGCAAAAATTGACTTTTTTCTAAACAATGCAGAAAATCCTTAGGCGGTAAGAGGAGCACCCAAATTAAATGGAAATGTGTTCTAGGGTCCCTTACGCATCTTTCCTGCAAGTTTAAAGCAATTTCATTTTTTGGCCAAAATCAAAAAAAAACAAGGGGTTAGCCTTACATTTTTAATGAAAATTGGGCAAAAATTGACTTTTCTCTAAACAATGCAGAAAATCCTTTGGCGGTAAGAAGAACGCCCCAATTAAATGGGAATGTGTTCTAGGATCCCCTGGGCATCTTTCCTGCAAGTTTAAAGCAATTTCATTTTTTGGCCAAAATCGAAAAAAAACCAAGGGGTTAGCCTTACATTTTTAATGAAATTTGGGCAAAAATTGACTTTTTTCTAAACAATGCAGAAAATCCTTTGGCAGTAAGAGGAGCACCCAAATTAAATGGGAATGTGTTCTAGGGTCCCTTACGTATCTTTCCTGCAAGTTTGAATCAATTTTATTTTTGGCCAAAATCGAAGAAAAAACAAGGGGTTAGCCTTACATTTTTAATGAAAATTGGGCAAAAATTGACTTTTTTCTAAACAATGCAGAAAATCCTTAGGCGGTAAGAGGAGCACCCAAATTAAATGGGAATGTGTTCTAGGGTCCCTTACGCATCTTTCCTGCAAGTTTAAAGCAATTTCATTTTTTGGCCAAAATCAAAAAAAAAAAGGGGTTAGCCTTACATTTTTAATGAAAATTGGGCAAAAATTGACTTCTCTAAACAATGCAGAAAATCCTTTGGCGGTAAGAGCACCCAAATTAAATGGGAATGTGTTCTAGGATCCCTTACGCATCTTTCCTGCGAGTTTGAAGCGATTTCATTTTTTGGCCAAAATCAAGAAAAAAACAAGGGGTTAGCCTTCATTTTTAATGAAATTTGGGCAAAAATTGACTTTTTTCTAAACAATGCAGAAAATCCTTTGGCAGTAAGAGGAGCACCCAAATTAAATGGGAATGTGTTCTAGGATCCCTTACACATCTTTCCTGCGAGTTTAAAGCAATTTCATTTTTTGGCCAAAATCAAGAAAAAACCAAGGGGTTAGCCTTACATTTTTAATGAAATTTGGGCAAAAATTGAATTTTCTAAACAATGCAGAAAATCCTTTGGAGGTAAGAGGAGCACCCAAATTAAATGGAAATGTGTTCTAGGGTCCCTTAGGCATCTTTCGAGCAAGTTTAAAGCAATTTCATTTTTTGGCCAAAATCGGAAAAAAAAACAAGGGGTTAGCCTTACATTTTTAATGAAATTTGGGCAAAAATTGACTTTTTTCTAAACAATGCAGAAAATCCTTAGGCGGTAAGAGGAGCACCCAAATTAAATGGGAATGTGTTCTAGGGTCCCTTAGGCATCTTTCCTGCAACTTTAAAGCAATTTCATTTTTTGGCCAAAATAACAAAAAAAACCAAGGGGTTAGCCTTACATTTTTTTTAATGAAATTTGGGCAAAAATTGACTTTTTGAAACAATGCAGAAATTCCTTTGGCGGGAAGAGGAGCATCCATCAATTTACAGATATTAAATTGGAATGTGTTCTAGGGTCCTTAAGGCATCCTTTTTTTTCTGCAAACTTTAAAACATTTCATAATTTAAAAAAAAAGCAAGGGGCTAGGCCAAAAAAAAAAAGTCTCGGGTTTCTGGTATGGAGCTTGCCCAAAAAGTAATGCGGCGACGCAGCTTTTTTTTTTTTTTTTACCTGATTATTTTGCTTCAAATGTCGGCTGATGACTGCAAATGGTGCCCGACTAAACTTAGTGCAAAATTATGGGAGTCCAGAGAGGCCACATAAAGCTTATTCTCGACCATAACCCAATCTAAAAACACGTTAAAATTGTGCAGCAGCAGGATTCGAGTCAAACCAGTGAGTTTGGCGGTTATGAGACAACATCTTTCGTTAAAAAAAAAACTTTTTCATTTTGCCGACGTGCATGGCTATGGCGACGCGCATACCAGAAACCGGAGACTTTTTTTTGTGGCCTTAGCCTTACCTTTTTTTAGTTAAATTTTGCCAAATATTTACTCTAACCCAAACAACGCAGAAATGTCTTTGGAGGTAACAGTATCAGTCAATATGCAAACACCCTTATACTTTGAAGGTTTAGGCAAATACAGTAGATTTTAAGAAATTCTTTTATTATTTTTTTATTTCAAGTTATTCATTTTTATACACTTAAAAATACCATAAATATGCTATTTTTTTACGCATAACAAGGGTTTCAAAATGCTTTATAGTACATGTAGCAGGCAGATGGATAAAGGTAGGGGGCAGTCATGATGATTTCTACATCCGTAAAATAACTTAATTCTTGATAAAATGTTTATTCAGATAAGTTCAACTAAAGACGAACACTACAGGGTGAGTTAAAAAAAAAAAACGAAACCCAATATAGACATTCTGCATGTAGCACTAAAAAAATTAATACTTTTCTGCAAAAAGCAAAGTTGTGAAAATGAGAGTGCATTCAAATGATATATTCACCACAGACATTTAGGCTTTTACAACATGCATTTCTATAAAAATCTTTTTTAGAAATGCATGTTGTAAAAGCCTACATGTAAATGTCTTTGGTGATTATATCATTTGAATGCACTCTCATTTTCACAACTTTGCTTTTTGCAGAAAAGTATTATCTTGTTGACAACCAATCGAGAAACGTTTTTATTGAAGTATAAATTTAACATTGGGCATAAGTGAGCATATGCACAATTGTTAAGAGCCCCTCCCCCCAAAAAACAAACAGGAATAAGTTGTTATATTAAGGTACAATTAAGAGAGCTGGAAAACAAGAGGATGGGTTAAAAAAAGTGCATAATTATGTACAAATAAATACAAAGAAACAAAACTATACACAAGAAAAAGAAATCAAGTACGCATATATGCATTTAGAAACAAATAGTGTTCCATATAATGTACAGTACAAGTGTTGTTAACACCAAAGAGCGATATATGTTTGATGATTGGCCAATTTCCATGCAAAAGTATTCAAAGGCTGAAAAGTGGAAAATTTATGAAATCTTCCATATTACAAGCTTCACCACAACAAATTTGGTGTCAAATTAGAAGGGACAACATAATATTCATTTAAGTGGTGTACCAAAGACATTAAATTGGTTTTCCAGTCATTATTTAGTATGTTTGGTGCTACACATTTTTTAAATATGAATATATTTTGGAGGGTTGGGGTTTTGCTTTTTTGACTCACCCTGTATTGTAAGAATTCTATGACCGAGCACAAAGGAGTAGGGTTTGCCCCCTTGGACTAGGAAAAAAAAGAAGAAATTTAAAAAAGAAATAAAAGCATGATATTGCACCTGAGTTTCTGTACATGTATAGCGGTATTTGGTGTCACCTCTTCTTGTACGGCTTGAAGCGTTTGTCTGAGTGACCTTGCCTGCCACTCTTGGACTTTGCCGTTGCTGACGAGTAGGTAGGTACAACGGTGAAGTCACTACTGGCTCGCTCCATTTGTCTCAGTTTGCTCTCGATGGCTCGGATCTTGGCATCATTACTGTCATGGAAAGGCAAACATAGGTCTGAGATTTAAAGTTTTAAACAAAAACAGCAAGTAGTTGACCTGCTTATCCTGTTCATCGAAAGCAACATTAACAGCATCTACGAAATTATCTGAATCGATAGCAAGAGCTTTTATTAGTATCTTACATCCACACCAACTCTCCAACACCTGGTTCATACTGGCATCCCATGGTTTTGGCAGAATTAAGTGTTAGGAGTGACTCAAGTCGACAAAAATAGACTTTGGTTTTTGAGAGATAATGTTTTTCCATTAATTTTAATTAACTACAGCATCTGGAGTTGTTTTGAATGACAGCAACAGTTGATTTGTAGTGAATGCAAAACCTAATTCTTATCATTAGGAATAACTAGAACATAAGTCTAAAACAATATAGTTGCATGATTTACCTGTTTACTAGTGCTTGTTTCTTGGTGCTGGTACCAGGTGCAGCTGACTGGTGACCCCCAAAACTGCTTGGCAGTTTGTCTGGAGCTAGAGACGTTTTCTCATCTTCAAGGGATTCTTCCTGTGTCTGGAAATTACAGCAAAAATAAAAGAGAGCATTTTGAACAAAAATATTGACAAAATGGGGAACCACCAACATTGGGCTAGATAGCTCAGTTGATAGACCAGTGGAACAGCAACTCGAAGGTTACCAGTCCATTTTTTTTTTCAAATTTAAAAATAATTTTAATACACCAAGTCAGTTTTCTTACGTACTTTATTTGAAAATTTGAAAAAGAAAGCCATATCCTCTCTGTGTGATCCCCATTTGCTATACTAATGTTTGCAGCATTGCAAATGCGGCTAGCAAGGTCACTTTGGGTGAAATCCATGGGTACATGGAATGCAAGGTTTTTTTGCTTCTGACTAGGATCCCTTGAACAAAGACACAAAATGGGAACTATCAGCATAGGGCTGGAACCGAGATAGCAATCCAGTGCTTGAAAGATCGAACCCTGCTTCAGTTAATTTTGTTTGTTCAACTGAATAAATACTTTTAATATACATAAAAAAATGAGAAGCACTCAAATATTCACACACATGTTCATCTAATCATCTGAATTCAGTGTCATGGTAGTCTAAAATCCAACACGAAGTGGTTTGGAATTGTTAACAAATGTACTGAACGTACCTTGAAGTTTGGTGTCTGTGAGTGGGCCCACTTCACGGCAAGTCTCTTGTTCAGTGCCAGTTTACCGTCCAGAGCGTGAATGGCAAGCTCAGCCTCCTAGAGGATAAGGTTGAAGGTGAAAGGAGAAAATCTGTAAGTGCAAGTTTTTCTACTAACGCAAGTTGTGTTAACTTAAAAAAAAAAAGGGTGTAGATAGAGAATGAATCTTTACTCCTAGACCCCACAAGCTGTGTAGTATCAGAGCGAATACCCTGTCTTGCTGATTTATGAAGTACAATACTGTCTGAAAGGTACATGTATGTGGGAGTAAGACCATTGACTGATTTGAACATGTTTAGCAGGATTGGTTGATATTTCAGAAAAGCACTTGCGCGATCGGTTAATCCTGTAGGAATTCTCAGACTTTACTTCTGTTTTTGAAAACAATTATCCAGACCAGTAAATTAGAAAGACTAAGTGATCGACTGATGGTGGTTCGCCCAATAATACAGGAGGATTTTGAAAATCATGCTTTAACATTTGCTGGTCTAAACCTATCAGGGATTTAAAATTCGGTACCTCCTGTGTCTTGAAGCTAACAAAACAATAGCCTCTGGGTTTGCCTTCACTGGGACCCGTCTTGTGGAAGAGAAAATCAAACTGGGCGATTTCACCGTGACGTCTCAGCAACTTCAGAAGATTGTACCTGTTAACAATGCATTTTACTCTTGTTAACCATGTGACTTTCATCTAAAAAATTTGCCATTAGGCCAAAAAAAAAAAATATTCTGTCTCTGGTCAGACCAAAGTTCCGGAATTGACGCGGCCACGCGGTTTTTTTTTTTTTTTTTTCCTTTTTTTTTTCTTTCTTCAGCTTGGATTGTACAGACAAGGTGGGTACTATTTTGCTTTTTTGGTGTCCTCATGTACATTAGTGGCCTCCATAATTTGCCTTGGTGCTTTCGATCATTTGCCTTGGTGCAATTTCCCATTCCTTGGTGCTCTTTGGTAAAAAAAATTGAGGAGGTGCGGAAATAGAGGGCGCTGTTGGAGCTACCGTGGAACATTTTGGAAAAAAAAAAAGATCGACGCGCATGCTTAAAATCGACGCGCGCGCTGACCAGAGACCGACTTATTTTTTTTTTTGGCCTTAGATGTACTGTATATTATGGTCTTTTGCTAACGACTCAACATTTACTCACTTTTGAATTCAAGACACAAAAACAGACAAGAAAATTTGCCCACATTTTTTAGCAAAATATTAGAGTTTGAGTAGGGTTTCAATGGGTCAAGGAACCAGACTGGAGCTTTAATCATCCAATGAGCTTGCGTTAATTTTGACAAAGTGCACTGTTGCTGTTGCCTATCATGCAGTAATCTTTGAAACTCTCTATAGTGAGGCACGCCTTCTTGTGCGCTTTTCACCCTCGGCCGCGTGCAACATCCAGACACTTAAGAGAATGCCAAAGATTACTCAATAACAGGCAATAGCCCAAAGTTGACACACGCTCAGTGGATATTGTAGCTCTAGTCTGCAGCAATATATTCATAAAAAAGTGTGCAGATTGCACCATGCATAAGACCATGGAGAATTCCTACCTCCATGGTAAGACTGTTTAATACGCAACAAAATAAAATTTTGAAAATTATTTTTTCTTTGGAATGATTCAGCAACTCTATATTCTTCATGTAAAAACTCATTTACTTTAAACATAAAAGTTGTGAGTGTCTTGCATCAACCTTGATAAGTTTGGGGGAGCAACTATAGAATGCAGGGCCACGCCGAAGCAAGGTTTTTTGTTTTGCCTGGAGGCGTGGATGGAATAGGAGTAATAGATATGCAAACCTGCAAAAAGTGCTAAGTACAGCGAAGGAATGCACTTGTCTTCTAAGCTTCCCATGAAGGATCGGAAGGGAGGGCGTGCTTGTAAATGTGTTGGGGGCACTGTCTGGAGTGGCGGAGGCGCGGAGTCTTGGAGTCGCAGAATCGCTTTAAATGGGCGCGCAAATTAGAAAGGGAGGAGGGCGACGGGGCACTGTCTGGAGTGGCGGAGGCGCGGAGTCTTGGAGTCGCAGAATCGCGGAGACGCGGGGCACTGGAGTGGCGGAGGCGCGGAGTCGCGGAGTCGCAGAGACGCGCGCCGATAGAGGGCGCAATTCTCGGCGGAATTTTTTTGAGAACGAAGCATCCATACCCATTTTAAATGGGCTCGCAAATTAGGAAGGGAGGAGGGCGACGGGGCACTGTCTGGAGTGGCGGAGGCGCGGAGTCTTGGAGTCGCAGAATCGCGGAGACGCGGGGCACTGGAGTGGCGGAGGCGCGGAGTCGCAGAGTCGCAGAGACGCGCACCGATAGAGGGCGCAATTCTCTGCGGCTCCACGACTCCACGATCGATTTTCGGAGGTAGGTCGACTGCGGTTCCACGCCTCCACGCAGCCGTACGGAGGCGCGGATGTAGAGTAAAGTGGCCCTGCATTCTATAGTTGTACCAGTTGTGCAATAACCTGATAACAGGCTCTGACAGTCACAATTTGCTGGTAAAACTTGTCATTCTCAGTTGCTACTGTACGTCACAACTTACGCCACTTAAAATGATTGCATAAGTTACGGTAAAACTTGTCATTTTCACAGTCGCTACGCCACAGGTGTCCTAAAGATAAGGATTACCAAAAAAAGTAACATTTTGCTGGTAAAATATTGAAAATTTTACTAAGAAAACACTTTCACTTGACACTAGACCAGTCTAAACAAATTTTCAGACCAGTCCCATAGGGTTTGTGCACAGCCACAAGTGACAAGGTGACATGACAAGTGATGATGGCCAGATTTCATTAGCCAATTTTAAGAAATTGAACGATATGTATTTGCTGTTTGAAAGCTCTATGAGATACCTAAGTAATTTCGGCAAATGGTCATTTGTATCTTTCGCTTACTCTGATATCTTTTCGTCGATATTTCCGATCCAAAGTCTTCGACGTTCTGTTTTCTCGAACGCGTTCCCCGCTGTCGCCATTGTACAGTCTACATGGAGCGCCCTCTATGTATCAATCTAGTCAAGCCGCGCTTTTGAAATTTCCAAACAAGTGTTCAGTTTCCCTGGCATTGTCATCCCACATTCTGAAAAGATATTTATGCTTTTGTACTGCTCCAACATTTTCACAGAATAGAAATGTAACACAGCAACGTTTACAACATCGTCATTCCTTTTTTTAGGGGCTATGATAAGAGGAAGGGGTGGGGAAGGTGGGGGGGGGGGGTTGTCGACCATTCCAACGTCGCGCGACACCAGCTGTGCCTTTTGGGTCAGTGAAGATATAATAGCCTATAATAAACCACAAAATAAAACAATCGTTATGTCTGGGTGTTTTAAAAATTGTCTACATTGGAGATTTGTTCAGTTGTGGGAATATAATTATATCAGCAAGGCCATTAAAGCCTCTTAATTTTTTTCTCTCTCGCTCAATCAACATCGTCCCAACACGGGCTTTTTGTATGAATTTTTGTGGGATTATAGAGATAAAAGTGTTTCAAAGAACCGGATACGTTGAGGAAAATAAATGAAAGAGGTTTGCCTTATCATTGTTTTATCTGTTTCTTTTTATAATAGGATTAATTCTTTTTAAAAGAAGTCTGTATATAAAAGCAAATGCTACTCATTCATTTTTCTGTTGTGAGGTAACTTTTAAGAGCTTACTGGGGCCAATTTCACTGAACGTCTAAGCATAAAAAGTTGGTAAGCATGTAATTTTTGTGAGCAATTAAGGTTACCGGCCAAGACAATGCCAGGGAATATGTACGATTTGTGATTTGGTTCTTAAAGTATTTCTACTGAGCACATTTTCTAAGCAGTTTTGCTGTGTCTGGGAATCTTCATCGGTCCCTACCTACTCCTTAAGTTACAGAGGATGCAAGAACACGTAACGCTATAGTAAAGCTGGTCCCACAGTGTATTATGTTCAGTTGATATACAGAGTGGCTCTACACAATGGGCCGGATTTAACCCATCCGTTGGGGTTATGCTATATGATAGCACTGCCCGGCTCATAAGCGACAGTCGGTGAGATACAAAGGGGACACAAGACTGGCCCTCTGGGACCAGCAAACATGACCGATTGACCCAATTATACATTTTGTTTTCTTTTTCAAGAAACCATGATTCAGTTTATCGCAGTATATCTGTGCATTGTCCCCGCCTGGCCCATCGCATTGGCAGTCCCGGTAACGCCAGGGACGCTCACCTTCCTCGGAAATGGATATAATATCCTCTTCGGTAACCCGGAAGGAGATTTAAGGACTGGGAGTGGCGACCCCGGGCTGCTGATTACTCGTAAAATCTTCGATTTCTCTTACGATGACAAGAAGGTAAATGCTCGTCTCGTGTTTTCATTAATTAAGGTGCTCTACTCTCGAGCATTTTCATTAAGAAGAGTCACGGAAAACTCTTATTCAACATTAAAGAGTTCTCCGTTAAAATGAAATGCATCCATGGGATATTACTTAGCATACTTATACCTGACTTCTATGCATTAAATTCGAAGTTAGCTTTGGATTTAAAAAATGAAAACTTAAGGCCCTGGGTTTATTTCGCCTTGATTATCTAGGAGGGGGCAGACTGAACCCACATTATAGTGTTTATCTCCAAGAAAAAAAGGGACGGGGTTGTTCAGCGTCAATTTGAATACAAACAAATCTTTACTCATCTTCTGGTTGAATAAAAAAGCAGTCTTTTTGGAGGCTAGGCCAGAGGCGGGAAAAGCTTCCTTGCAGCTCCCCGGACCCGTCTGTATATATATAATAACTGCTTCTCCTCTCGACTGTACAGATGTCCTTAGACGGGAGGTACACCGTACCAGATCAGGTGATCATGTCATCGAGAGAATCGTGCCGACCTTCGGTTACAACTGCTGTCTTTGAGGGGACAAAAAGCTACCAGGACGAGCTCAAGCATTACGTCAAGCAGCTGGGTAAATCAACACCTTACAGAAAGATCCGCTCTTTAATGGTCCCAGAGGGGGCTAGTCTGTCCTCTTAATTTGTACCTATCTCACTTTCCGATGGATTGACTGACTGACGGACTGTCATTAGTTTTTATGACTTAAACTGGTTCAAGTCGGGTGAAAAGACTCGGGCAGTGCTATTGCATAGGATTACACAATAATGCTAATGAATGAACTAAACCAGTCTCATTGATGAGATACATTAAAAGACCTCCAGTGAAGTGAATAACCATGATGAATTATAGCTTAGAATTGTATGCACTCTTGGACCATGCAGATTTACTACAGCTTGCCTTGTCTTTTTGGATCCTCTACGTTTCGCAATATTTGCAAATAACGTTACGAGCCGTTTTGTGCAAATGATCTGATGACGCGAATTGTTGCAAAAAAAAGAAGAAAAAAAAACATATTAAAGAAGGCCAATGGCTGACAGTTGATATCAACTGTCAATCATTTTCATAATCATAATCTAACTGAGAGGAAACTAGTAACAGGGCCAAAGAGATTACGACTGAGTTTTGTTTACCCTCTTTACGCGGTTACACCTGTCACTTGCACCAACATTCCCAGGAATATTGAGAACCGATTGATGAACAATATCAGTCGGCTTTCGATTCACGCAGACTTGCAATCAATTTCAAAACCACGATATTTGTGCAGAAGTTTCTTTATAGGCCTGGTTCTACAAAAACAGCATGAGGCAATTATACATTTTATTGTTCATTAAATTGTTTAATTCACGTGATGTAATGAGAAAGTCTACTAAATTAACTGAATTCCGGAATGCTAATACAGCCAGCGATTTGTTTTGCATTTTGAACTACTCTTCATTTAATTTTGCAAGTTATCAACTAGGCTGTGTCCGTTCGAAAGATGTGGGATATTTCCTTGAATATAGTAAGACAAAGTGGTATAACATGTTTTGTGTCGATTGAAATGTATATAGATGTATCAACTTAAAGTTTCACGTCAGTGATCAAAGTATATCTTTCGTCTTTTGCAGGAAACTCAGGAACCACTTTGTCTGGGTACGAGTTCTCGAAAAGTGAAAGTACGTCATTTACAGATGTCATTTTTAGTGAGAAAGAACGCTTTGTAAAAAAAAACGTGGAAGAAGAAAATATATCTACAACTAATGTGGAAAGTTTTCATGAACAAAAGAAGTTACTTAATTAATGTACAATTTTGACATGCATTGATAATATCATTCAAAATGGCCCTGTCATTCAACAGATACAATCTGTATTCCTTAAAAGGTCAGGTCACATCTTTCCCTTTGGTTTTTTTGAACAATTACAAAAATGTTCAATGTCTACAATACAGCAATAAAATCAGCCAATACCTCATGGTCGCGTTCCTGCCATTAAATTAAATTTGGAACAAGTTTTTAGTGTTTTTAATTCAAAACTAATCTACATCCATTATCATTTCCAGTAATTTTATGGAGTTGCAAGTTAACAAACAATAAACGATTTTTCAACAGAGTATGTTGTTACGAGTCAGTCTACAAACGTCCGACATCATGTGTTCTTCGACGAAGTTACGACTTGCAACTTTGGTAGGGCGAGATACGTCACAGAACTCGCCTTCACTGACCGATTTCCACTCTCGCGAGATTTCGTCGCCAGTGCATGTGCTCTGCCCACGACCTTTGACCTGGTGGAGTACATGAGATTTTTGGACACGTGGGGAACAGTAAGACTTCGTTGTTCGTTTTCAAGTAATCTTCATGACACCAAGCTAGGTACAATGCGATCAAGCTATTACTGGCTAGAGGTTGCAAGGAATAAACTTCGGGGCAAATAATATTACCCACCCAAGAGGGTACCAAAACTAGTCCACAAATAAAATAATAACAGTGAACAAGAACAATAAAAATTTCACCTCTAATTAAGTCAAGTAAAAAAAGAAAAATCGCACAAGTTTCATTGGTAAACTATTGTTTACAGTCATTCGCTATGAGAAACATAAACATTGAAGTATATATAGGTCTACATGATATAAATGTAGCGAACCTTTGAACTACTCCCACAAAACATCCGGAAAAGTATCAACAAAGTTAACAGTTATGCCACTCCATGCATGTCGCTATAGCCTATAACTTCGGGAATTCTCGAATTGATAGTTTTCAGTTTCATTAAAATGCTTTACGGTAGGTCTTTGTTGTAAAGTGGGAAAAGATGCTTTTTTTATACGTGGAAAGGGGGCGTAAAATACGCCATTATATACATTCAAGGCAGTGATGGAATTAACATCTCGAAAATTTTTACTTTGATTTGAATCTGTTGATTTTGTGCAGCACATTGTATCAGAGATGGATATTGGAACCAAGACAATCAAACGATCCCAGACTGACTACAAAACACTAGTGAAGTTTGCAAGAACAATCGTAAGTATTAGAATAACGTTAACAGTTGGGAAAGTTTCATCCGCTGTCGTCAAAGTAATTATTTAAACATGTTACAACCTGAAATCATTTAAATCGTAGGCCTACTCATTAGAGGATATATACCCTGCAAATCGGCAAAAGCAAAATGGGACTACTGACATCATCTTAAAAGCTAATGACGGATATTTGTAATTTGTATGAACTAGTGCTCCCACAAAATAGGGACTGGTAGCTTTCTCAAATGCGCGTGCGTGGAAACGAAGTTTTTTCTCCAACTCGTTTACGTCACTTTCATTCACTTTCATTTTCACTTTCAAATGTTAGTTGAGTACACAGTATTTGAATGAGTTTGTAGGGTTTGTTTGAAGTCTGAATCGATGATAGACAGACTGGGATCCAGTCTAAAAAAGTTCCTTGCTTTTGATTTGAATTTTTAGGCGGAGCATTATTCCGCCAATGGCGAATCCATCTCCCTGGATATGGCCAGTCTGCGAGGGCGCCTGCGCACGGAGCCCGCCCTCTTCGACGTCCTCGTGGAAACCCTGACCCTCGGCGATGCTACCCGGGCCGAGCCCCTCTCACTGGAGCTGATTGGTATCGGGGAGGTCTTCGATATCGATTATTGGCAGCTGATGGATCGATATGTGTCGGAGGGTCTCTGCCCAGCGGGTGGAGATGAAAATTTGAACTCCAAGCGAGCCAATCTAGTCAGGGCTATGGAAGCATACCCAGGCTGGCATAATGCACAGAAATCACTTAGTAAGCCAATTAAACCAATTTACCCGGTACTATATACATGTAGTAGCATTCAAATCAATCAACCCTTCAATGCTTTTTTGTCTCATTGTAAGTGAAGCGGTTTAGGACTTGAAAAAAGAAATGATTCTTGAAAAGTGTCAGGCCAAATAGAAATCTGACCAGGGACATTTTAGAGTGTATGTTTTGGTTATTGCCCCCTAGACCCAGTCGTCCAGACCGCTATCACTTGGCCGGTGGGTACGTACAGCCTGCCGATGACCAACGGCATGTCTGGCTGTCCCAACTCCGCCTTCTTCTGGCAGACCGGCCGGAGGTTTCAGGACACCCAGGACCTCTTCGCCAGCAATGACTGGTCGGACCCGTGCCATCTTATGGGTCCTTACGCCAGGAACAACGTGCAGCAGAACTTCTGTAGTAAGACCGACGCGGTGGTTTCTGAGGGCGACACGCCCGAGTGGGATGCTGGCGAGTATTGCATATTCAAGAAAGGTTCCTGTCCAAGTGGTGAGCCAAAGAATGATTAAGTTTTTAACACGACCTGAGTAAGCCAAACCAGAGTGCGACCGCGAGCTGCAATCTTTTCTGACGCGTCGAAATCTGTCCATGCAGTGACTCTTATAATTCCCAGCGCTTCCTGCATAACTATTTTATGAAAGGGCACCAGCGCAGTTATATAGGGCAGTAGGGACGAGCTTAGGACCTGAAGTGATCTAGAGTGAAACGACCATGTCGACATTCGCTGCTAGTCGCTCCAGAATTCACAGCTTTCACATTCACTTGTTGAATAAAATCAGTTAATCCAAACTGCTAAGGTCAATGGGAAATGAAGATCCGCTGAACCTTCCATTTTCCCTAGGTTTCTCTGAGGGTTGGATCAAATGGGACGACCAGGACGCGCTGAACGGCAACACTCAGAGCGGGGTGCTTCCGGACGGAGTGTACGACCACAACACGTTGATCTACTACTGCTGCAGGGAAGACGGCGACCCGATCACGCCCATCCTACTTCCAACCCAAGACCCCTTCTTCCTGTTCCGAAAGAACGACGTGTGTCAGGCCGTGCAAGCCATGAGTCTGATCGAGGAGTGGTTCAAGTGGGACGGGGAGGACAACTTTGTTGATTTCACCCGATACTACGGGGGCTCTCACCCCTATGTCGATAGTCGGGATGATGACCACAAGATATACTATTGCTATTATTACTAGGTTCTGGTGTGGTTCCCCCTCCCCCACTGTCTTCGATTTGATTATAGCCTAGCCTTACTGAAACAAACTTGATTTTCACCTACTATGAGAAAATCCGTAAAGGTATAAACAAATAAGACATTGAACTGAGTTTAAACTTCAGAACTGTATTTTACAAATATGCCATATTAGATTTCAGTGTTGACAAGCAGATTCTAAAACCAAGAACGTTAAATTTGAACTGCCTAACCGACATTCCTTAAATTTGACAACAACGAGCAAAGCTAATTCCAGAAGCGTTATTCTCCAATAAAACAAAATCGCAAACAAGCCTGGTGCTACTCAACTAAGTTCTGTCAATTAAGTCCTATCGATGTCAATCAAACTAAATTATCTCGTTGGGAGAAAAAAAATTATCAGAAAAATCTTTCTCTTGCTCGGAAAGTACAGCTAGTTAGATTCTCCTTAAACAAAACCACGTACGGTTGTAATCGTTCATTTCAAACCACGGACTCATTCAGGCCATACCGAACGCTGAAAGTGTCTAGGCTTCAAGCAAGGTAGGTTATACAAAACGTTTCCTGGATTAACTGAACATATATTGTAAGTCATTTTGCACAATGTGAGGCACAGATTCGTGCGTTTTCCATCTGTTCGGTATCTTCTGAACTTTCTATGCTCGATGAATGACTTTATTGTGAGCCAGGCAGTGCGATCGTACAGGATTACATTAATTTCATAATTAAGAGCAAACGTCGCACAGTTTCACGCGTCAGCGATGGTAGATAGATACAGAGCGGAAGTTAGTTTATCAATTTCTAACTGAATAGAAGTTTAAAAATGTACATGCGGCAGAAGAATGTTTTGATTTGTCTACGTGTTTCTTAATCATAGCACAATGGCCAGCATTTTAGGACCGCTCCTTGTTGTGACCGTCTTCTCAGCGGTGTCAGCCGCCCAGTTGCCAAGTACCTGGCCAAGCGGAACCTACGCCCTACCCATGGCCGATACGGGCTGCCCCAACACTTACTACTACTTCAAGACCGGCCGGCGGTACCACGACACCCAGGATCTGCTCCCCAACAACCAGTGGTCCAACCCGCTACATCTGAAGGGGATTCGCTCCAATACGGACGTGGAGCAGAACTTCTGCGTCAAGACCGACTTTGATCCGGCCGGAGGCAGCAGTCCGGAGTGGGGACCGGGGCAATACTGCATCTTCAAGAAGGGGGCATTGTGCCCAGACCGTAAGTTGTTTAAGGCATAGGATTATTTGTAGTAGGCCTAATTATCGAATTATTATTAAAAAGTTGATCATGCCGGCATAAAATACCCCGTGAAATTATTCAGTTTGGTTTGCTGTCCGTTTAATCAATAAATCTGGGTGATTTCCAACGATCGGTCAACTGACTGACTTTTGGAAATAAAGAGATCTATAGACGAATTCATGTTTTGCGATTCAAAGGTGGTGCATGTTTTCCACCGTTTTCTCGAAAAAATGTAAGATCAACTGAACTGAACTGCAACAGGATTGGTTTGAACACTTCTTTTGATTTTGCGTGGTGTTATCATTGGATGCCTTTGATCCTTTATGCCTTTAAGCATTGACGTTTCTGTTGAATTACTTACTCGTTAGGTTTCAGCGAGGGTTGGCTCAAGTGGGACGACCAGAACCTGTTTAATCGTAACGACGCCAGTGGGGAGTTGCCCGAGGGCGTCTACGACGACAACACCAAGATCTATTTCTGCTGCCGGGAGGACGGCGACGCGGGCACCCCGCTCACGCTCCCCGTGGACGACCCGTTCTTCCTGCTCCGAAAGAACGGCGAGTGCCAGGCCGTGGATCGGATGACCATGCTGGTGGAGTGGTTCCGATGGGACGGGGAAGACGACCTGATCGACTTGACGAAGTATCGGGATGGCAGCGTGCCGGATCTGCAAGACAAAAGCGGGGATAACCATAAGTTATATTATTGCTATTACTACTAGAACCACTGACACGTATAACCGTCTTGAAGTCGACAAAATCTTTTGACTGAAATAAATCCTCAAAAGTATCCATATTTTCTTTGAATTTGTCTAATTGACTATCAAGACGAAAGTCATGCCACTGCTAGACAAACATGTACATGTAGTTTGATTATATGATCTCGAAACCATTTTTGATTTGCTGTTTTTTCTTTCTTTTCTCTGGTGGGTAAAACATTTTAGGAAACTTACATCATGCCACTCCTATAGTCAGTCGATTCATGGATTTAATGACCTGTTTCAGTTGGTTTCAAGCACAACCATAATTTTTGTGGCTAACAGGTCTAGAGTATGGGCATCTTATTGACACACTGAATAATAGTCACACATCCACTGAAAGATCGGAAATAAATGTAACTTCTTGTTTTTAATAAAAGCTACCTGCTCATGATTTATCAAGTATCAAGATGAACGGATACAGTGAAACACATCACTCTTCCGTGTTTAGCAGCAGATCACGTGCTAAGAACCACTGAACTATACTCAACATACAACTTCTTGAAGTGTGTTTGTTGTACATCGCTTGACCATTCAGTGTCAAGCGACCAATGGCCGGCCGATCAAAATGAACCCTGCATTAATGCCAATCACATTTTAATTGCATATATATAAGGAATGTCGTACTGTTGAATAAAAATATGACCTTCTAACGGTTATTTGGTATCCCTGTTCTCGTTAATTTTAGCCTGAACTGTCTTGTGAACTGCGCATTTCATTGATCAAAATAATTTAAATAAATGCCACGCAACGGAAGCAAATGGCTTTATCCTTCTTTTGTTTTGAAAGCGACGTTTCGGTCTGTGTTACAATTCAAAATGTGTAATTTAGAGGATTGTTAGGAATTATGTCCACGTCAGGTGTAGCAACTTCGTCCCCTTGGCAGAACCCTACGTGCCTATCCTACGTATTCTCTCACCCCGTTACCGTCATTTGCATGTTCAAAAATCTTGCAAATGCAACTAACAATAGTGACGCATTTGTCTGGTGCCTGCCTTTTGCTTCAAAATCAGTGCTTGTTTTTTTTTGTATGAGGAGTCCAGGGTACAGACAGAATCAATTCTTCGTGGCGTGAAATCGGAACGAACACACATGATTTCTTCAAAGTATTAAAGTCCTACTACATGTATATACACTCACCACTTGCAGCATACAGTGATCAAAATCATTATGGAAAAGGGAAGATTGCTTCTGATCTGAGGAGGATTTGACGTATTAATGTACGATTTACAGTAAAATACGCAATATGAAATCACCAAGTACATTACTTGCTATCCCGAGGATCAAGGGAGATCTGATGCAGAGATGTGTTTTATGCAGCACAAGAATTACAAAATCATTAAGGCGAAATAAAAAAAAAACACGTTTAGGCCCCCCCCCCCCCAAAAAAGGCTCCGGTTTCTGGTCTGCGCGCGCGTCGCCGTAGCCATGCGCGTAGGCAAAATAAAAAAGTGTTTTCTCATTGTAAGATGATGTCTCAAAACCGCCAAACTCACTGGTTCGACTGGAATCCTGCTGCTGCACAAATTTAACGTGTTTTAGCTTTATGTGACCTCTCTGGACTCGCATATATTTTGCACAAACTTTAGTCGGGTATCATTTGCAGTCATCAGCCGACATTTGAAGAAAAAACAATCGTTACATTTTTGTTTAGAAAATTTTTGGCCGCAGAATTTTTCTTCTTCCCTTTATATATATATTTTTTTTCTGGGGGGGGGGGGGGGAGGCTATTTTGACGTTGGTGTCGCCAATTACACCCTATTAATACTACTCGAAAATAGGCCACATACATATTACCACGGTCAAATCGCGGACTAACAAATTGAACCCCCCCCCCCCAAAAAAAAAATTCATAATAACAAAATTACTATCTCGGGGGGGGGGGGGGGGCTCAAGCCAAGCCCCCTCCCCCGGGTGCGCCACTGCTTTGAACAATAGAGGACAATAGGGTCCCGAATTCCCGAACTTGGTACCCAAATTATCGATCCGTGTACAAAACATTATGGGCCTTATTCACGAGTTGGCCATATTGAATTGACAGTTAGGTAAAATATTAATTTTGGGAACTTGCGAAGAGAAATGAAAGCAACTTAATTTATAATAAGTTCCAGTCTGCTTCAATGAATAATTTAAAATTTGTAATTAAACATTCCCTGATGTTTAAAGCCATATTTAACAAAAAAATGACAGTAAAATAAGGCTGCATTGTGCCTGCAAATATAGTCTGGCGCCATTCCATTAAACAGTTAACAATTAATGAAATACATTCAGGGATCCCGACAAAAGTTGCCAACTCGTGAATATGGCCTACGGGAGGTCCCCGATTGCAGGCAATACCCACTTGTGTGCTTTGGTTCAAACCCGTACCACACTCCACAGCGTCCCGAAGTCAGAACGCGGTAAAAAAGTCTATCCAATAGATAATGCTACAAGTTGCGAACTAAAAAACACAACAACAATTAACCTAGATTGATAAAAGATCTTTTGATATCACAATTTAGTTTCAGCATAATTTGGTAAATGATGTCAGCCGCTGCCTCGCACAAAATTACTATAGTAACAAACTTATCAATCACAAACCTATTTCATGAGAAGTTTAAGGTCAAAAACTTGCGGGCGGCTCAGCGACCTTATGGACCCCAAATACAGTGACAATAAACGCTGTTTTCAAAGTACGGGTCTAGTTCAGAGTTCATCTGAAATGCGCTGTTTGGGGCTCTAAAACCCGTCACTCACGACATGATATCATTACGGTTTTCGTGCGACTTCGAGTTAGCAAATTTTCGTTATCAAAAATAGCCGTTTTACCACTAGTCTTCATTCCAGTCACAAAATGGGTTGTTCCTTTAGTGTTAGAATAGCCCCTTTCAGCAATTCTGTGTAACTGTAAGCTTTGAACTACGAAAGGGACTTTAAAAAATGAAATTGCATTTTCAAGTCCTCAGCGATTGGACAAGTCAAATCGTAGACCAACCATTCTTACACTGTACGCCATATCAGCGATATATTAGGTCTACGTACGACATCTATATAGCTCAGACAATGCATAAATTCACAACACACTTGCGACGAACCTCAACTGAAGAGATCAAACTTGAAAGGCATTGACATGAATCAGAAAGATATATCAAACAATGGTGTCAAATTTACCGTTATCAATACAGACAGTCGACATAAAATCACCGTCCAAGTAAAACATTAACAAACAAAAAACATAACAAATATAAAAGATAAGAAGGCGAGACAAAGTTCAGTGGGAATCAAAGTGACATGTTTTGCAGTGCGAGTCAATTTTCAACTGATAGTATTCATTTGCAACTATTTGTTTAGTCATGCATGACTAAACAAATTTTGAGGGAAAATAAAAAGACTGAGATTTTTTGACACAGCTTCATAATACATGTTGTGCATGCACGTGTACTCCCAGACCTTTTCTTCTCGGTAAGCTAAAAGATGCGCTTCGACGAAGTCTTGACGTGCGTTGGGGAGCTGGGTCTGTACCAGATCCGTGTGGCTCTGTTCATCACCATCATGTCTGCACCGGTCGTGTGGTATCCTAGTGCTGAGGTGAGATGAGGTTTCATGTATGTTATTTTGCTCAACTCTGCATATGTTCAAGTTCCAACATACATTCAGTCCGCAATTCAGGTGTTGTGAAAAGAGCGTTGTTCAAATTTCTTTTGTTGATATCATTTTTATTCCAGATCTTCAGCAATCCCATGGTTAATCACTGGTGCTCTGTCCCCGAGATACGGGACCAGTGTGGTGACTGGGGCCTGGATGAGGCCCAGTGCGACCAGAAGATTATCGATGTGGCTATCCCACCCAGTGGCACAGGAAATGACAACTGTCGACGGTACAGCTGGACTGACGTGGAGGTAGGCTCCAAATGGGTTCCAAGACCTTCGTGTTTTAATCATTTTCCAGTTCACAGAGTCTTAAGAACCGAAACAAGCATTATGACATGTCGAGAATAAAACAAGAAAAGGCAAGCCTAGTGAAGTCGGTCTCATGGCGCACACATTCTATTCGTTTGATTCTGAATTGCTATTCATCTGCTTTTTTTTTTTATGCATGTGGTCTACCCAAGGGGTCATATTTAGCTCATTCATTGGCGTTAAAAAAAGATTGTCATATACGAACGCACTGCCCGACTCCCAAGTTACTGTCAACAAACGAACCCTGTTATGGCTTTTGATAGGTAACGATCAACACAACAAGAGAAGAACTGAACCAGACCATCACTGACTGCAACGCTGGCTGGGACTTTGACCATTTAGTGTACAAATCCACTATCAAAGAACAGGTAAAACAGAAGATCGGCTACATTTTCCAATGTTGATCATGCCATTTTGGTGATGTTTTTACGAAAAACATGTGTGACATGTATAGGTATAGGCCTAGTCAATAAAGGATAGATTATTCGAAGAAAAAAACGGGAGTCAACTTAGAACATTTGTGCAGTTTCTGTGAACTTTTGGACATTTTGATTTGGAACTCCCACTGTTTTCGAAGTGGCTACTTCTTAAAGCCTCTAGTTTATGTCACCAATAGTGTGAAGTGCCTTTTCGAACATGACAGGGTAAGGCTCTTCAAGTTGGTGCCAAAGTACAATATGACTTTTTTTCAATTGACTGAGAGTGGGTATTCATTTTCATGCATCTGGTCTTTACAATGAGGCCGGATTTAGCCCAGTAATTGGCGTTGCGGGGTAATCCTATACAACAGCACTGCCTGAGTGACCTGAAAGCTTACAGTTGACAGTCAACTCTTGACAGGTTGACAAAAGTCTCCATAAAATTCACAACAGTTCCCGTGCTGGAGACAGATACAAATACGAGGCATGAGGCTGGCCCGATGCGAACACCAAAATTAATGGCAAACATTATGCATTGTATGTGTGTTATTGTTCATTCTCATTTCTCCTCCAAATTGTTCACAACGCGCGACCATCAAGTGTGATGCTTTGACGATAAACCTTAAAGAGGATTTTCTGTATAGTGCAGCAGCTTTCTTTCACTCTATGCCTGTATTTTTTTGCAGTTCTCTGTTGTCTGCGACCAAGCTTTGTTGAATGATCTACCGCTGACAATCTTCGGTGCCGTGGGGATTATAGGAGTAATTATCTTCGGTGCTTTTGGGGATAAATTTGGCCGTCGGCCTGGGTTCATTCTCGCCCTGGTCATACAGACGTTGACTGGACTTGCCACTACATTTGCTCCATCGTTTGCCGTCTATTTTGTCTTCCGTACTATTCAGGGATTCGTCAACACAAGCGTGTTCTACTGTGGTTTCCCTTTATGTAAGTTATTTTGTCTTAACTTTGACACGCCATTAAGACGCATACAGAGTTTGGAAAATGTATGACCTCATCACGAGGTTCTAAAAAAGTGATCGGAAATGTATCAATTCTCGCAAATAGCTCAATGGGGCGACACATTTTGCGACACCGTTGTACTTAAAAGAGCAAAGGTAGTTTAGGGAGACATTTGAATGTCTCCCTCTAATGTTTCAATTCCTATTTGTAAATTGTCATGTCGCAAATAACCTAAACCGATTCATCGTGATGCAAAACCAAATTTCCAACGTTTGGCGAGGGTAGGTTGAGTTTAGGTTAGGATTAAGCGTCATAAAGTTCGGATTTTTGTGCATGAGTATATGGGAATGTCTGCCAAAAGTACCATTTCCCGTAGTGGTAATTTATTTACTCATTATTAAACTATTTCATAGATAATATTTTTTTGGCCAGTGATGGAAATGATAGGCACATCCAAGCGAAACATTACCCGTCTTATTCTGATGTGTATCAGCGGCGTTGGTGCGATGTGTTTGGCGGGCTTTTCGTATTTCATCCGCTGGTGGCGAGGCATGTCCATTGTGATTTCTATGACTGCGATTGTCTTTAACTTCCTTATTCCGTGAGTCTTTGTGATTAACCTCAATACAATAAATAAGCCTTTATGATTGTATCAATGCAATTGATCTATAGAGGAACCCAGACACGTGATCAATGTACATCGAAATGCCCCATAATGCAGTAACAACTGCGCACTGCCACGTGAACCGGCTTATCTGAAAAATAGCTTGCACAATGCTTTCGCCATTGAAGGGGGCCTTCGTGATAGAAGTGATACCGTGCCTTGATTGGTCTTTACTCAGATACGGCTAGCCGACCCACGGCAACCTCATCCCAGAATTGACTTTATTTCTGTATACTGATGTTATACAACAATAGCAAGTAATGATTTTATGTTATGTACTTGGTGTTTTCTTTCCAACGTTCAGTCAACCTACAAAAACCTCAAAAAATCCCCAAGCAAACAAACAAACAAACAAACAAACAAACAGTCTTCCATTTTCCATTTTGTTAATAATAAATAAGTAATGCTGCATATTGGCTGGAAAAATTTTTCACATTTTAACTTTTGAAAAAAATAACCGTGTTTCTGGATCTCATGCCGCGACGAATTGATTTTGTTTTTAACCCAGACACCGCAATACAAAAACAAATACAGGTCTAAAGCACAGCCAACCACCAGACTTTTCAGTACTTAACCTAATTTGTACACGTACATGACTGCAATATTTTTGAACGTGCTACTGATCAAACACCAGAAGTGAAGAGCAAGTGGCAGTGGAAACGATACCATGGGAACGAGGTTGGACCCACGGGGCCAGATCGAAAGTACATGTAGTTGACCGGGTCACTTGCTGTGTTTTGTACGAGCCTAAATAATAGTTCTATTAAACAATACAATAAATGAATAAAGAAGTAAAAATGCATAAATGGAAGGATTGTTGCGGCACTGACAACAGGGGAAATGCTGGATGAAACATTCTGCAGGGTCAATGAATACATTACACAGAGTCTCAGAATTTGAAATAGGGCTCATGCGTTTTACATGTAGGCTTACTTATTTGGTAATTAATTTCTAATGACATTGTTGAGTAGTGAACTGTTTACATCGTAGTGAACTGTTTACAAATTTAAAAAAGTTTAAAACATACAAATGGCTCGTGCATGCTTAATCTCGTATTTTTAGGTTTATTCCCGAGTCCCCGGCCTGGCAGCTGACAGTCGGTAAGATTGACCAAGCAGAAAAGACCATCCGGAAAATGGCGCGAGTGAACAAAGCGAAATTACCGGAAAAGCTCTTCACAGATGAAGATATCGCTGAACTCAAGGTAAAATAACAACCTAAAATAACAACAACACCCACCTACGCCATCGCCAAAGAAGCAGTAGCAGCTACAGCCGGAGCAGCACTAGCAGCCGGAGCAACAGCAGCAGCCGGAGCCGGAGCAGCAGCAGCAGCAGCTACATCAGCAGCCACAGCAGCAGCCACAGCAGCAGCAGCAGCAGCAGCAGCAGCGACAGCAGCAACAGTCACAGCAGCAACAGCAGCAGCAGCAGCGACAGCGACAGCAGCAGCAGCAGCAGCAGCAGCAGCAGCAGCAGCAGCATCAGCCACAGCAGCGACAGCAGCACCAGCTACAGCAGCAGCAGCCACAGCAGCAGCTGCATCCACAGCAGCAGCAGCCACAGCAGCAGCAGCCACAGCAGCAGCAGCCACAGCAGCAGCAGCAGCTGGACATGAGGACTTGAGAAGGAGGACATGGAAGTGAAAGGAAGAGGACTGGTGGTGGTAGTGGGGGAGGGGAAATATTTCGGCTTACCAGCGGAAATGTAACCACACATTTTGAGTGGGGTTTGGGAGGAGGTAAAGGACAAGGAAAGACTATAGCGGACAATAATTTGTCGTTGCGAGATGTCCGATCAGCTTTTGCAAATTCGAAAGGGGCTGACGCTGGGTGGTGCTCTTCCCCTATTTTCTTTCCTTATATTTTTTAATAGCATTTTAGGGAAGGGTGCGAAAACATCACTGTTTAAAAAAAACCCAGTGGTCTTTTATCTGGGATACTTTTGGCCCCGTTTTTAATATATCCTTTTTATGAATATTTCAGGGTATTGAGCAAGCGTCCATGATTGATCTTCTGAAATCACCAATACTACGGTATCGTCAATTGATCATTTGTTGGATGTCGTAAGTATCGTGTGATAGTATATATCAACAAGTCAATTATACGTTCATGTAAACGAAAAGCTCGAACCATTTGAAAAATAATCAAATTTGTCATTGATTTGAATCGGTAAAATTAATAAGTTCCAGCGCTTATTATTGTAAAAAGTATGGATTCTGTAAATGTTATTCATTTCCTTCATATGCCATTGTATTTATCCGAACTGACGTATCTTTCCAGTACCGTACAAGCCTGCTATTAAGAACTGGCTCAATGTACATCTTTATACCCTCTTTCACCTGATTCGTCTTTCATTTTGACAGGTTTTGCATTGCACTGGCTTCTTACGGCATGACCCTTAACAGTGGTAACATTGGAACTGACGATCATCTGTCGTTTGTATTGCTGATCGTCGTTGAGATACCTGGCTTCGTGTTAGTCTATCTACTCCTGGATCGCATTGGACGGAAATGGACGATGATGGCGTCCTTTGTAATCTCAGGGGCCGGCTGCTTTGTTACTGCTTTTGTTGGTGAGATATATAGATTAGAAAAAGTTCTTTTGCTGTTTGTGCCCATTCCCACTCACAAATCCAGCCCCTCCCCCGCCTGTACGAACGTCCAAACTGTCTGTCCCCGCTTCACCGCCTTCCACTGTTTACAAGAGATCGCTTCCACTGCGAATTGATGGCCAAACTAAAATGAAAAAGTTCTGTTAAATCATACCGAAGAAAAAAATGGGGTCAATAGGCGACGTGTGACTACTTGTTTGGTATCGAGACGTTCACATTACAAAAAAAATGAACGTGGAAATGCGAGACTTGAACTTTCTCATATTATTTCTTCACAGAGCAAGGATCTGTAGCTCAGACTGCAGTTGCCATGGTGGGGAAATTCGGCATAGCGGGCGCCCTCAGTGTTTCAGATCTGTACGTTGCTGAGCTTCTGCCAACCCAAGTCAGGTATGACGCCCTACCCGCCTCCGTCGTACAACCAATGACTGATTTTGCCTGTAACGGAGCAAGCAATTACTTTGATCCTCTAATTTTTGTTAACATTGCTAAACCACAAATGGCCCCAGGCTGACCTTCCAGGAGTTTTGTCACAATTACGAACAAGTTCCTAAGGGTGTCGGGTGCTTTGTACGGTCATAGAGTGGACAAGCTGTGGGAAATGGCTTGGTTGAGCCCAAAAGCAAAATATCACAGGAGCCGTGTATTTGCAGCAACGTAACACGGGAAGACATACATTATATAATAGGTAGTGTACCCAGTTTTATCATCTCCAACACATAACCATAAACAAGAAAACCCCGAAGTGGCAAAAGTTGAATTGCATGCAGGCTTTCAATCTGATGGAAACTACTTCGTGACCCCGTGTAGTGTTTACCCATTCTTCCTTGTCTCTTAATTTATCAAATTTGTCCACACTTTTGCGTTCCTCTTTTGTCACAAGGAATGTGGGTATGGGCTTGAACGGCATGGGGTTTGGTTTGGGAGTCACTTTAGCCCCATACATAACGCGGATTCAGGACTTCTGGCCACCAGCTACCATGCTTATCTTCGGGATTCTTACAATCTTGGCAGCCATACCAGTGTTTCTGTTGTTGCCAGAGACTATGGGTAGAGACCTACCTGCTACTATCGAGGAAGGAGAGAACTTCACGAAAAGGTAAATCCTATACTGAACGATCAAAATGTGCACATATATTCATAATTCAGTTCACATAGTCTGGTTCCCGCCCAATACCCGGAGGAATCGTTTATGCAGAGACCAGAAACCAGTCTACCCAATGAGCAAAAGCAACCCAGGGAGCTGCAAATACCAGAATAGGGCAAACTTTGTTTTGAAGACAGACAATAATAACCAAAAGGTCAGGGGAAAAAAATTGCTGAAAACGCGGACAGTATGTGAAATCTGTGCCCGTGTTGACATCTGTTGTACAGATTGTGCATGAGATGTAAATGAGATTGAATATTGAATAACTAATGAATTGTGTGTTCATTATTGTTTACTCTTCTCTTTTACAATTAGCCGTTGGCTTAGTGTGTATATGCTAATCCTTTCTTTTCATTCAGGCGAGGTAAAGGAAGTGAAAAAGACTTGCCGACTTCGGGTGTCGACATGGCAGTTGATGTACAGGTTAACATGAAAGGATTCAAGCAGAGTGGCATTGACAATGTAGAAGTCGAGTATCAGGAAGAAGAAAACGTACACCTTTAAATGCTTAAATTCTGCTGCAAAAACAAAACAAATCAATAATACAAGATTCACGATGCAAACAATGTAAAGTGTAAGTGACTCGATGTTGGTTTGATGTGAAATGTGCTTTATTAGAACTATTGCTGTAGGCATTAACTCACCGGAATCAGTTCGAACGAAGAATTATGCTCCCTTATGGAAATTATCTAGTGCATATCACCGCTAAATGATACTACAAAGCGCACAAGGTATGAGTGCGAGTGGGTTTGTTTATGGTGTAAATCGAGGTGATGCATCATCGAGTAATTGATGAAAAGGAGTCAAATCGAGGACGACCGCGATTAGAGAGCGTGTATACAAAAACAATGGGAGCTGTTGCAAAAAAGTAAAAGTATCATGAACAAAAAATCGATGATGAGGAAATCCTCGATTTACATCTTGTGTATGTGTGTTCACAACTTAATCGTCAACTACGTTGATCACCCACAGGCGACCCGCCCGAAGCGGGCGAAGCGAAGCCTCGTTTATGAAATACTCTGAATTAAAGGGATTTCGCATCCTTAGTTTTGTGTTCAAATTTGGATGGTGTTATCACGTGATGCCAACATTCACCAAGCTGTTCTCTCCTTCACCGCGTGTGCATCGCTTGAAATATGACTGGTCTAAAAAAAGTTGAAATAAACTGTTTAATGTGCGCAAAATATCATGCAACAGATGCTTAAATGTTTTGCTTGCCAGTCAGTTGCCTATCGGAATGACGTCACAGCTGGCCTTGTTTATATATTGTAGTGTATGTAAGACACAACTGAGTTGTTTTAGGTCGTTCTTTTATTACCAGTAAATTTAATAAGTGATTAGACATTGAGTAAACAATAAGTTGCTTTTAAATAATTATATTATACGTTTTGAACACATACTTTTAATTATGGAGAATGAGAAAAATATATGCTGCTTTAACTCTGCTGCTGTTTTCTTTTTTAGTTTCAACAATTCAAACTTTTCTCCTTACGAATCTTCAACTTGTATGCATTATTGTTAAACATGCGGTCGTACTCTCCAACAAATTATTTTTCTCTTAACGAAAATTATGCTTCTTTGCTACAGGAAAACCCTTTTTAATTTGGGCGTCTGCAACACTCACCAAAAGGCTTTTTATTGACTTTCTATATCGCACAAACAAATCCGCCCCGTAAAAAGACATGTTCCCGGCTCCTTTCGATTCTGATAGAGAACAGCAATTGACTAGCTTATCCTGCAAACGTATGTTGTGTTATGCCAGTGTCAAGCGTAAAAAACCTATCTGACTTCAACCAGTATAGCTATAGTAGATAGTAGATACATGTAGTATAGTAGATACATGTATATATAAGTTCAAAGACGCGTCCGCTTTAACTACCGTATATCATACAAAACGCAGACAGATTGTGACACACTTAGCAACCCCAATTCATATCTGCCTATATACATATCGTGTGAGACTTTTTAACCAGTATTTAAATTAATATGCATCAACTTGATGTGTAACTTAGCAGTAAACGTGTGTTCGATTTTGGAGCTTAAAGAGTACGTATTAAAGAAGAGAAAAGTGTTGAGAGTCGATGTTAGGTAAACGTCCTTTAGTGCGAGGGGTGGGTCGGTACAACCCTGCACCCGCCACTCCACAGCATCCCAAATTCTGAACGCGGTACCAAGTGGTACCAGTACGCTCCAGATAACGATATCTATTGCGTACAAAGAGAACAACTGACCTAGATTACAGGCTGTCCATGCCATGCAGTCAAGTTCACCAATCCAACGATATCAACAGTGATGGTGACGTGAATCCCGAATTGGGTCGATGACCCACAGATAGTTAAGGGCAACTACTGACAACTGAACCTGTCAATTACAAACCTGTATTTAACGTTCAACGTCTAAAACCTACGCGCAACATTATGGTCCACGAACGCAGCACAATTTGATCATTATTTTCGTACAGTTAAAAGACATTTAAAAGGTACATTCGTCTGGAGTGCATCGTTTTGGGCTTTAATACGCATTTTCCTCGAAATTATATAAAACACAAGAGAGCATTAAACTACAGCTTGAAGATTTGAGTTTTTGTGTAATTATCACACGAAGGAATTTAGGGGTACAAAAATCATGCCGTTGGAGCGGTAGTATTCATTCCAGTCACAAACGTTCAAATCCAATGAGTGAAAACGTACATTTTACTATCATTAGCGAGATTTGACAAGCCCCCCCATACATTGTACACTATCAAGGTAAAGTCGTCCTAAAAATGCCAAAAGGTACAGTTCATATTGTTTACTAGCCACATTTCAATGTTCTTGTTCACATAAAATTCACATAGGCCTTATGCGTTACAAAAACCCAAATTATTTAGAACAAATCAGTAAAAATATTTTGGTGCTGAATAATTGCATATCACGTATATAAGCTACAGATGTGCGTGGAATATCACATTTTCCAGACTCAGGGCGATCTTAGTGCACACGTTTGCGGTAACTTTTTGAAGTGAAATGTGTGCCTGGGGTTCGACAAGTGCTCAAACAGCTTGATATATAACGTTATGAACATTCATATTCTACTTTTAACGAGCTTTAATTTAGTTGCAGACGCATTTTCGCGGTCAAATTGGTTAATTCTCTTGAAGTGTTCCTTCAAATCTCAAGTCCCCAACACACTGGCGACGAATCTCAGTTGAAATGATAAGACTTTCAAGGTACTGTCACGTACCATGACGATATAACAAAGTTTCATATTTACAAAATGGGCAGTGGTCCTAGACGGACTGTGGACCTGTACACCTCACCCAAGCCGATGTGACACTATCCAAGTACGAGTCCAATTTCATCTGATAGTATTCAGTGGCGATGATTAGCTCATCAGCACGACTAAACAAATTTTGCGGGAAAATAAAAAGACTGAGATTTTTCGACACAGCTTCATAATACATGTTGTGCATGCACGTGTACTACCAGAACTTTTCTTCTCGGTAAGCTAAAAGATGCGTTTCGACGAAGTCTTGACGTGCGTTGGGGAGCTGGGTCTGTACCAGTTCCGTGTGGCTCTGTTCATCACCATCATGTCTGTAGCAGTCCCGTGGTATCCTAATGCCGAGGTGAGAATTGTCTTTGAAATTTTCTTTGAGAATTTGCTAAACTTGGCAATTTTGACCGTCCTTTTACACTGTAAAAATGGTGTCTTAGCATAATTTGTGTGTACTTTTCTCCTCGTGGTAGGCTCGTGTTTAGTCTTAGAAATGTGTAGGCCTACATTTGTGCAAAGTACGAAATTCCGTTGAAATTAATCCATCAGGAATAGATTGTATATTAAGGGACGTAAACGATCAAGTTTGCATATGATGTACAGCGCCCCTAGTGTCATGCGTTGTCCCCCCCGGGTTTTCAAATTTCCACGGCCGGGCAATTGTAGGATTTGGGGTCATCCCCACTCATTTACACGGATTTACGCCACTGGTCCTACAATACTTTCGTATATACGACGACGCGTGTCACGAAAATCCAAAAAATCTGAACATGTCGTATATTCAAATTTGTCAAGAAGTGGTTACAAATGTTTTAAATTTTAAACAAAGGCTTCATGGTGTAAATTTCAAATTAGTCTTACTAAAAGTCATAAGGATATGATTGTGCTCATGGTCGGAGAAAAAGTGCTTGGACAAAATCAATTCTATTAAACCAGAAACGCAACGGGGCTAAATCCGTCCACATTGTACATCCCCCGCCCCGCTATCTTCGCCCCGAACTTTCAGTTTCTTTAAGAGCTTTCATGAGTTTGTAGACTCATGCCATGCAGACGTTTTGACACCGATTTCATATAAATCAGACATAGCGTTGGCACAGTGTTTAGGTTTTTCCGGCTTTTTAAAAACATTTTTCATTCAGATTCACAAACTCTTAGGCCTACATTAAATTTCGTCCAAGAAAAATTTCACATGCTTTTAGCAGAACCAATTTAGTTATTTACCATTCAATTTTAAAGATTGGTCACCCTTTTAAGTCACCGGGTCGAGAATATTCGTCACAAAACGTGTGCTCATTGTATGAATTTGTTTGGACCAAATTTGAAAGTGTCTAACAAAAGACGAAATTAAACATTGAAAGTGCATTTAATCAATGTTGCTGGACGAAATTGAATATAAGAATTGGTGAATTCGAACAAAAAAATATTTTCAAAAAGCCGGCAAAACCTATAGTTTTCATCATGGATTACGAAAAAAAATCTTCTTTTTTTGGGGGGGGGGGTCTAATTGAGCGTTGATATGAAACGCACAAATTCACGGACAAGAACTTTGTTATAACTTGCTATCTTTGATTCCAGGTTTTCACCAATCCCAACGTGAATCACTGGTGTTCTGTCCCCGAGATACGGGACCAGTGTGGTGACTGGGGCCTGGATGAGGCCGAGTGCGACCAGAAGATTATCGATGTAGCAATACCGACGGCACCAGGAACGAACTTCGGATATACAAGTTGCCAACGATACAACTGGACCGACGTGGAGGTATAAATTGGCCTAAAACAAATAACACGAAATCATGGGCGAGTGTTAAGAATCACAACTAGCATAATTGTATGTCTTAACAGGCACCGAATTAGTCTACAAGCAAACCTGGTTCCCATGGTGTCTAGCAGTACACTCTCATTACCCGCTCCGGCGCTCCATCATCCTGATTTTGGACCATTTGCTTGTTTAACATACTTGCACATATGCGAATTAGGTACGGAAGAGCCTGGTTCCGTAGCCATTCTTGAAATCAGTGTTTGTTTTTGTATGCGGTGTCCGGGTTACAGATGAAATCGATTCGCTGCGGCTTGAGATCCGAAAACACGTTTTCCCCCCCAAAGTTATGTTAAAAATCTTCACTTACCCATGAACAAAAGAGAAAAACAATGATATGTTTGAGGAGACGACGTAATAATCCACAGTGAACGTATGAACACGTAGGCCTAATTCACATCGGAAAGTAGGCCCTGCACGATGAAAATGTATACACGTACTCGTATAATTGATTCTGCGGTATCAAATCAGAATACAGGAAACACGTTTCGCTGGCATGCACTGGCTGCTATTGAAAACAAGGTTGAAAATAAAGTTGGCCCTGGGGACGACTCGGACGAGGTTGGTCTTCAGGCCTGTGGGTATTCGGTGGATTCCTTATGAATACATTTTAAAACAAATCATAACTATAATGTTACTTACCTTTTCAACAGGTAACGGTCAACACAACAAGAGAAGAACTGAACCAGACCATCATTACCTGCAACGCTGGCTGGGACTTTGACCATTCAGTGTACAAATCCACTATCAAAGAACAGGTACAAAAAATACGTCATCAGCTTTATTTTCAAACTTGGACATTTTAATGAAATACAAAAGTGGAGAAATATGTGTGAAAGCTATACGTGTAGTCAAAAAAAGTTGGAGTATTCGGAAAGACTCCATACAATAATGGAATCAATCTTGAAACATTATGTGTATAGTTTTCTCTGAAATTTCGGAATTTTAAATTGAAACTACCACTTCTTGTATATAGTCCAGTATACAAATATAAGTATGCAATATGCCCACAAAAGCGTGACATGTATTTTCAAACAAGACAGGGCAAGCCTAGGAAAGCTAGAGCACACAAAAGTCTATTCACATATTCATTCAAAGTCTTTCCAAGCATCTTGTCAATACGGGGCTGGATGTGGCGCATCCGCATTGGCGTTATGACAGCAATGCCCGGCTCACAAGTGACACTAAACGGAGAAGAGGACGGCCCTCCGACCAGCAAAGTTAATGGCAAATTGTTCGCAAAGCACGACCTAGGCCAATATAAACAAAGTGATGTATAAACATAGACATATAAGATTTAACGACAAACCCTATGAGGAGGAAAGTAAAGACAATTGTTGCATTTCTCTAGTGCTATATATATATATACTTTCATTTATTTTATGTATGTTTGTCTGCAGTTCTCTGTAGTCTGTGACCAAGCTTTGTTGAACGATCTACCGCTGACAATCTTCGGTGCCGTGGGGATCATAGGAGTGATCGTCTTCGGTGCTATTGGGGATATATTTGGCCGTCGAACTGGGTTCATTCTTGCCCTGGTCATACAGGCGTTGACTGGACTAGCCACTGCGTTTGCTCCGTCGTTTGCCGTCTATATTGTCTTCCGTACTATTCAGGGGTTCGCCAATAACAGCGTGTTCTACTGTGGTTTCGTTTTGCGTAAGCAATTTTGTCACTTTTTTCGGGGGAGGAGTTGCAAAATGAAGACAGGCTTGGGTGCTTACCTTAAGTCAGTCAAAAACCACAACAATTATTTTTTTAAGCCGTTGGCAATAAGTAGGTTTTTACACGAAGCCCGATTAGGGTTGAGATTTTCCAGTTTCTTAAGTAAAAATGAAGTTACTTTTCAACAAATTCGTTTAATTTTCTCTTAAGTGATTTTCAATTTGTATGCTTTGTTTAAACGAAAAAAACCCCTATGTTTTTATTGATGTTTTCGCTCCTCTGAAAATATTTTTTTGGTATGTCAAGTTGCTTTTGCGCCTTTAACGCACAAATGGATATGCCTGAATAATTGCCAGGCTGCAAATATTCGAAAGTAAAGTATATATTCCACATTGAACTTAATGTGGACGGAAAGTCGAAAATAGCACCAGCAGAGCAACTTTAAAAGAAAGTGTCAACTTATTTAACATATATATATGCGTGGTATATCGAAAACAATGCCAAATTCAAATTTCTTTTGTTGTATAACTTTAATCTGGTTCTTCATTATGATGTAGGCCTACATAGAAAATGTACGAAGTCATCATGACGTCCTTATGTGATACACTTATTTATTCACTTTTAAAGTATTTAATTCTTTAATACCGAACATATATTTTGTTGGTAGTGATGGAAATGATAGGCACATCCAAGCGAAATATCGCGCGACTGATTCTTCTCTGTGTCAGCGGTGTTGGACTGATGGGAGTTGCGGGCTTTTCGTATTTCATCCGTTGGTGGCGAGGCATGTCCATTGTGATGTCAATGACCGCGATTGTCTTGACCTTCCTCATTCCGTAAGCGTTGTTTTGAACCCTCAAAATCAAACAAACAGATTCGGTGAAGGTCATCTTCACCTTTGTCAATGTATTTATTTCACATCAGTAGGCCTAGGCATGATAAACAAAACCCCAACCCATTTCGCCCGATCAATATATTTCTATTAATCCTATTGCTATTCGCACTCACTTCTGATTTATTTGCTGCCTGTTACATCTGCAAACAAAGTAATAAAAAAACAACAGTGATGGAAATTGATGTTGCACGCTTGTTTTTGGGTTTTAAGGTTTATTCCTGAGTCTCCGGCCTGGCAGCTGACAGTCGGTAAGATTGACCAAGCAGAAAAGACCATCCGGAAAATGGCGCGAGTGAACAAAGCGGAACTACCAGAAAAGCTCTTCACAGACGAAGATATCGCTGAACTCAAGGTAAAACCTATCTGTCCTAATTGCAAAAAAACACCAACCCCCCCTAAACACACAAAAAACATCGGGTTCAGACAATTTCTGAAGGGGGTGCACTGGGAAAACTGCGCGCTAGGATTTGTCGTTTAGGAGGGGGTTGACCGAACGGCTGTTGAAAATTCGAAAAGTATATGGGTAGGGCCAAACACTGCATCATGGTGTCGCTCTTCCCTATTCTTTTTCCATCCTTACAATAACACTAAACGTTTAGTTTGTATCTTTTCTTTGTGAATTTGTCAGGGGATTGAGCAAGCGTCCATGATTGATCTTCTGAAATCACCAATTCTACGTTTTCGTCAATTGATCATTTGTTGGATGTCGTAAGTATCAAAGGATAGTACATGCCTTTTGACAAGTTTAGGATAGTTTGTCGTAGGATAGTTTTGTATTCATGACAAAATCTTATTTACAATTGATGTCATAACCAAGCTACATGTTTTTATTCGAGGTAATAATTTAATCCCAGCTCTTAAGTAATATGGCTTTAGTTTGGCATAAATCTGTTCATCTTATACTCTGTGTTGTTCAATAGTGTCTTTAAAATTCTGAAGAAGTTCATAATTTTTGTTTTCTTTTTTATTAAGCTGAACGATTATTTGTTTTTTTAGTTTCATACAAGCCTGATATTAAAACTGGTTCACCGTACATCTTTTAATCTGCCTTCACTGTTTTTTTGTGTGTCATCTTTGCAAGATAAAAATTGTTTTTCATGGAAATATGAATTTGAAACCACACAATCAAAAACACTTCCTTTTCATTTTGACAGGTTTTGCATTGCACTCACTGTGTATGGCCTGACTCTAAACAGTGGTAACATTGGAACCAGTGGTCACTTGTCCTTTGTGTTGCTTGTGATCATTGAGATACCTAGCTATATAGCGGTCTACCTAATCCTGGATCGCATTGGCCGTAAATGGACGCTGATGGCGTGCTTTGTAGTTTCAGCGGCCGGCTGCCTTGCTACTGCTTTCGTTGGTGAGATGAGCAAATAAAGAGTTAATTGTATGTTCTTGTGTATTCGAGCTCATTTTGGAATAATGCGTGCAAGGTAACCTCGAAACCAGGAAGGTGTCCTTGTTGCATTTATTTTGTTTCCAGCCCTGGTCTTATTCAGTCAAGGTTTCCGTGAAAGGATTGCAATGATATTCACTGAAAAATTGCCTGGGTTAATTTTACCCACGAAAGGGTGAAAACTGCAACTACCCAAAAATTGGGTTGTTCTATAACCAATTGTTTGGGTTAAATTCAACCAAAAGTTGTGGTCATACAAGACGAAATTAAATTTGGTCAAAGTGATGGTCACAAATTGAAATGGTCAGTCGTGCCGATAACAGATGGGTAAATGCAAAGAAAGGAGGTTTCTGAATAGACCTGTGTGGTACCAAGACGTTCATATAAAAAGTGAACATGGAAGTTGGCGAGACTTGAACACTCTCTTATGGTTTCTTCACAGAGCAAGAATCAGTAGCTCAGACGGTCCTAGCCATGGTGGGGAAATTCGGTATAGCGGGCGCCCTCAGTGTTTCAGATCTGTACGTGGCTGAGCTTCTGCCGACCCAAGTCAGGTCAGCCACATCCCCACACAACGACAATACTTAGTAATCTTTAGTACACCCCAGAGTAGCCAAACATAAAAAAAAATTATTAATACAACATTGAATAGCAAGCTTTAAAGTTGATGGAAATTAAGTCATGACCTTGTACACGTACATTTTATACATTCCTCAGGTGTCACTTTAATTTTCCATAAATAATTAAGAATTTGCGTTCTTCTTTTTTCAAAAGGAATGTGGGGTCTGGAATGAACGGTATGGGGTTTGGTGTGGGAACCACTTTAGCCCCATACATAACGCGGATTCAGGACTTCTGGCCACCAGCAACCATGCTTATCTTCGGGATTCTTACAATCTTGGCAGCTATACCAGTGTTTCTGTTCTTGCCAGAGACTATGGGTAGAGACCTACCTACTACTATCGAGGAAGGAGAGAACTTCACGAAAAGGTTAATCCCACTAAACGATCAAAATATATATCTATTTTCTTTATGCGGCTGGTTAACCCATGTCAAAACAGGCGGATGAAAATGTAAATACATTTGTGATAATGTTAATTACGGGAGTTAGCTCAACATGAAGTGCTTTTGTAGGAGACTATTGGAAGGAGAATTATGTTCAACTAAAACACTTTAGTTATTATTTGAAACCTCGATTAACCTCGTACTTCACAACAAAAATAACAACAAATTCTTTTTGTTTGTTCATGCAGGCCACATAAAAAGGAAGAAAAAGACGTGGTCACTCTGGGTGTCAGTATGGTGTCAGTTGAAGTACAGGCCAATATGAAAAGAATCAAGCAGAGTGAAATTGACAATGTTGGAGACAAGTGTCAGGATGAAGAAACAGTAGATCTCTAATCTCTTAAATGCTGCTGTAAAAAATAGGGGAAAAACCTAGAAGTCACGCACAAATTAAGCGTTCGGTTGTTTGTAATTTTGCTGTGGAATATGCTGTGGGCCCTACCGATAAGTCCAACTCAGGTCTATAAACGGATACTTATTATTTTGATCAATAACTTACTGAACAAAATGTGTAAACGCTCTCGTATGTTACTGATCTAATACAATATTTACGAAATAGTTTGAATTAAAAAGGTTTCCCTTTTAGTTTTTGTATAGCGGAACTTAATAAGCTGTTTTCTCCCGCTCTCTTCTTATGTGTAAATAACGTGAATAACTAGGGCTTTTTAGACACTGATGAAACAGTAGTTTATGAAGTAGCTTTCGAATAACTATAAAATACGTAGTAATAATGCAGTACGAGAAGATGTATACTGCTTAAACTCTGCTGTTACTTTTGTAGTTTCTACACATTCAATTTGTTTTCTCCTAATGCATCTTCAACTTGTGTCTTTTTCTTCAAAGAAAGAAAAGAAATTCAAAGAAAAATAAACGCCGTATTGTTAACAGGATATGTCATTCCAAAAATGTCAAGAATGCATGGATGGTGGACAAGACCGTTTGGATTACACCATTTCAAAATGGCGGTAGAACTTGCTACTCACCTGTTTTCTTCTTCCAAGTTATGCACCAACTTCATAATGGTTGAAGACTAAGGCACATTGTTGGGTGCGCAGCATCCATGTGGTTGGAGTGCATAGCCTCCATAGCCATGTCTGCTCCTGGTTGTCTGATCTCTCATACATATGGCGTTTGCTCCTTGTTTGGACGGTCTAGCCTGTTGCCTGTCGGTTCTCCACTGGCTTTGTCTGATTTTGGTGGAGTCACTGGTTGTCTGACTGACTGTGTTACTTAATACACACGATGACTTAAAAAAAATTAAATAATTCCATTAGACTGGATCCTTTTCTCACTCACTGTCACGTGTGAATGGGAGGCGCCATTTGAGACGCTTGATGGCGGCAACCAGTCCTTTTCCATTGTGTGCCATTTTGAACATGCGTACAGTACCTAAAAAATTACGTAAACTGAAAATGACCAGTGCGTTTGCTGCTACCAAAGTACCAAGCGTCTCAAAAAGCCTCCCATTAGACTTACTTAAACTCTGACAGTCATCATGACTGGCAGTTAAATCTCCCACTGACAGTCATCATGACTGACTGCGCCATTTTTATTTAGACTGGTACATCTCACTGACTGACTGACAAGTTGAACACACAATACATGGCTTAAAGGAACATTAGTTTTTGCTGTAATTTTCAGAAATGAATGGATTTGAGGCAGTAGCGTAGCACGGTCTTTTTATTGGGGGAGGGGTGTAAACATATTTAAAAAGGGCACTTGCACATCCGTGGTGAAATGTAGACACGTTTTTTTTCTCCGGACACTTGGCCTCCGTTAAATAAAAAACGGGGGGGGGGGGCTAAATTGAATGTGGACTAAATCTAATAAATTGATGTCAGTATTTGAAGAAAAAAATGTTTGTATTTAACAAATTGATTAAAACATTCCGATTTTTTTTTGAAAATAGCAGCACACCAGGTGCCATGTTTTCACAGGATGCCTGAGACTATTATTTACTTACAGTCAAGTAACGTATTTGTTTGGAATTATTGTACATTACCTTCAACTTCAAGTAACAAAACAAAGTAACAAAGGTTGGATCTCAGTTACGTCCCTTTCCATTGTTTATTTCTCTTAAGGAAGACTATTAAATTACTGAATACAATGCATTATGGCAGGCATATACAAACTAATTACTAAGTATCAAAATGTAGCATTGCTTAATTTCAATAGCAAGTGAAATTTGTGTTGGGGGGGGCCCTAGTAGCAATAATTTTTTTCAGAAATCTTTAAAACGCTATTAGAGGGAGCAATTTCATAGAGATACTATGCACAGAATTCTGTTAAGCACAGAAACAGGTTTGATTGGCAAAAAAAAAAGGGTTACCAGCAATAATCTCATGTCATGTTATTGCTGTTGACTGGTGCTCTGCCCATTAGCTCATCACAAACATTTGCCAACAGAGCTTTGGACCCTTTTCACAGTAAGCAAAGTAGCAAGTACGCATCAGAGAATGAGAAAACAATAGAAAACTCCAAAGCTTTAGCATGTGTTTACACAGTGCCGTTAAATTTGCCCCACATAGTATGTCCCATAACAAATCTGTACAGAGTACCCAGAAAGTTAACTAAATCTGCATACCATGGCTAACCATCTGCTTAATAGCATGCTACATGTAGTAGAAACCAATGAAGATGTGGGGCTCATTGTCATACTGGAAATCTTGCAAAAGTTTTGTGTGCAACACTGTCAATGAGTCTGGAGCTAATTTATTTACATGATTACAGTATGTAATACACAGAATTCAATACATATATACATGAAAACCCTAATACTAGCAGTAGCTACAGTTTAATGCTAATGGTTGATAGTACATTTCTTAATGACCAACTATAATTATTTTCTACAATTTTCAGTAGTACTCTAAGCCAAATATAATTCAAAAAAATTACGTTACATTTGGATTATCCGTGATAATCATTGTGTTAACACTGGGCAAACACTTGCATGCAGTACTATAGTTCCTAATTTCACTTGAAAACTTTTTTAAACATCACTGTTTATTAAGTATAATTTATTAATAACATAAAGAAATTATGCACTCCACTTTTGCACTCAACATTTCAAGTTAAAACTGCCAAAAGGAGAGATCATGCATTTATTACATATGAGCTTATCTATTGGCTCAAAACTGGTGTATGGTAGAGACAAGCACATAATATATCAAGCTCAATTTAATGATATACTATGTACATCAATTAATTTCATAGTTGTTTGGAAGGTTATTATATTCAAACGATAATCTTTATCACATACATCAGCTGGATACAGACATCTGATAATTTTTTTTTAAATTATGCATACAAGTTTTTCAAGTTGTACAAAAGACATCATTGTTCTCCTCAATGACTGCATTTATTCTAGGTGGTGGATTTACTCTACCTAAAGATTTCCGTCTTCTTTTTAAAGCACACCCGTCTTTGTATGATCAATTCATTATAATGTAAATGGCTGGTGCATGCTTTGATAATATCACTGACTGCATTCATATGACTGATAGGCCTTCATTTTCAGAGACTATAGTTCCAATTATGGTGTAGGCTAATCTCATTGTGGACTCTAACTTGACATGAATATTGCTCCTTGTTACCTCATAGACCGATCCATTTAGCCCCGCCCACTGCATATGTGGTCAACAACACATGCACCTCTTCAATTGCCAAAACTGCAGTCCAGATGTTGCGTGTCGTCAAACTCACAACTGTCAGACATTTTAAGCATGGCACAATATGCATCACAGCAGTGACTGGTCAATGCATCACGGGGCGGGACTAAGTAGATCAGTCTACTGAAACAAAAATCTCCAATACATTTAAACGCTCAACACAATGTGTTTTATGTTGCATTATGTGAAGTATACTTATTTTTACAGAATACTTTGAAGTAATACGTGTATAGTCTTATATACATGTTTTTTTTTAAATATGACAAAAGATCACACAGCAGTCTACAAATGGAAGCTCTGTAATATGGTTAGTACCAGAAAAAGTAGTAAAGTATTCTAATGTGTTAACCTGAAACAGTTCTCTACAGAAAAAAAACATCAATACATACACAATCTCTAATTTTTGTTTTTACATAGTCACAACTTCTTCTGTACATTGAATAATGAATCAAAAGGCACTTATTATTCCTGCTGCTTGTTTGAATTATGAAATATCAAAATTGATTTGGATGGACTGATAATTTTCACAAGGAAGAACTTCAACCATTTTATTCAAAACTTATCAAATATAAAAAAGTGTATCAATTAACTTTATTTTTTTCTGCAGTGCAGGTATTAATCATTACAAAAATAGTTTACCTATATATTACCTAAGAAATGTAGGAGGCGAGTTAATGTGTATGTAGCACGAATAGGAACACACAATGCTCTCATCTAGCCTACTATTGACATTTTAATAATATATAAACTGCACTATTCATTTCTATTTTCGACCTGAAGGCATTTTTTTTCTAAACATTTTCATTAAAGTGTCCAAATATGTTAATTTGTTATTTTCATTTATTTTACAATGCAAGCAAGAATTAAAATACATGTAGCGTGTACTGATTTTTTTTCTGTGTGTGTTGAGTTATTTAGAAATACATGTACTATGCAGTTTTTACCAATGTCAAAAACAGGTATTTAAGGCATTAATATTAGCAAAATGCTTTCTGGAAGCACTACCATGCTATGAGGATTGTACAATTTCAGTAAATGCAATAGAAATTAAATTAAAGGAAACACTTATTATACATCTCCAATTTGTTTATGAGTAAAAGCACCAATTCTACAATTGGCAAATATTGGAAGTGCGGGCAGTTGCACATTCCCCTCGCAATGTTGACCCACCAATGTTACAAATAGAATATTTTGTTGACTTCCACCTAACTACGTTCTATTATTCGCCGATCTATTCAACAGATTTCTGTTAAGTAATTATACATTGCAAAACATATCAATAGTTTGATATCCAAAAAGAAGGGTTAATTTTTTTTTTTACAAGAAGATTCAATATTTGAAATTGCCAAGTTACTAACACTAGTAAAAGGAAAAAAAATCAAGATATAGTTCAAAGCACAGCAGAAAAGTTCCAGAATACAGGACTCTAGAATTTATGAAACACACAAGTCAAATCCAAAAATCTTCAGTTTAAATTATTCATCCATTCATTATTGTCCGTTTTTATAACAGTATTTGGTCTATTCCGGCCCATGCCATTTCTTTCACTTTGAAATTACTGTCTTCAATACAAAAAAGCGACACTCAAAATGACAATATGCAGTTACACACTTCTCAAAATAAATTCAAACCATTCTTAAAATTATGTTTCCAACAAGTGGAGAATGATTTCGGTACACGTGGCATGCCAAGTACTATTTTGAAAAAGATTGAATATAAACATATCTGAGGTACCAAAGTTTTCTCTTAAATAAAGTGAATTGGAAGGCACATAGTTCTAGTACTTTTTAATCTTATAAATTTTATTTCAATCTCAAAACATGAATATGCAATCACTTTATTACACAAAAATATTTTGTTTTTATAAATATTTGTTCAAACAAGCCACTGTGGTAGATAAATACGTACATGTAAGTGCCATGTACAAATATACGTATGAGAAAGCCTTACTTGACTAATAAAAATCATGTCCATGGATATCGAGCCAAATGTTGGCTTAAGATAGAAAGCTTAACTCACACTATCCTTGATATCCAAAAGCAATAACATACCGGTACATGTAGAAACCAGTTATTCCAAAAACTGGTTGTATGTGAAATGAAATGGCAGTGCATCTAAGAACTTACCTATCAAAGTCATCATTTAATCATGTACATGTGAAAGTATGCATGCATATGTTACAATATAATGCTCTGAACCTCAATCAGATCAATTACATGTCATTACAACTCATACATGTACACCGTAGTTTTGCTGGTCCCAGAGGAACAGCGTAGAGTCATCTTTGTTCACCTACATATCGGACTGACTGACTCACTGTCTGACTGACTTCCCAACTGCCACTTGAATACACTTCCAGTTTGAATCAAAAGCCATTCTGAATCACTTATTGAACAGATTTTGTGTGCTCTGGGACCATCTTTACTGGGCTTGCCTTGTCTTGTCATTTTTGGCGTGACTGACATTCTTAAGCATCACATAAAAAAGATGAAAGATGTTTCAACAGAAATGATTATTTCTTGCATGTAACAGACATGCTAGCAAGACTGTTGCATGCATGTAGAGCAGTTCAGTAGTTTTCATACTCTAATTTCAATCCAAACAAATTGTAACAACCAGAAACACAACACCAGTTTCTAGTGCTTATCTGACATTATGCCTTGAACATATTCAGATTGTCGCTTGCATTCTCGTAGGCAGTCTCAATGGAATTTCTCGTTCTCTGGCAATCCACTGGCTTCTGTAATACCACTTTACTCTAATTTGTTCACACTGGTGGTTTCAAGAGAGCTAGTCCCTTCATACAGATATTCTGGGTTTTTGTTTTTAAAGAAGGCCGAATACAAGACAAAAGGTTACATCTGAATAATTCTATTTTCTATAGCTGCTGACTGCCCTTAATTCACATTCGATTACTTGATGCATATTCATGATGATCATGATGAACCTGGTCTGAAAATATACATTACACTCAAATACAAGTGCTGATCCGAACATACAAAAGTTAGTTCTTGCTGATCTCTGCGGGTAGCCTAGTGTCCTTTTTGTGTTTATCACACTGACTGACTGACTGACTGACTTACAATGTTGTGACTGTCACCAGTGAGTTAGACTTGTTACTGTCACTATTGACTTAGAAGCCTAGTCTTGTTAGCTTCACTTTGTTTTTCATGATCAAATAAAATTTTCAATCAAATACTCTGTTAGCAGCTCTGTTTATCAGGCAATCATTCCAACAGTGAACATACAAGCAAATAGGCACAACTCAGATACAGCTTGTCAAATGTTAAAATCCTATTGCTGGAGGTATATAGCGCCCTCTATAACCATGTCAGGAAGTTGTCGATTCTGTTGGGTGACAACACAGCTTCCACATCATTCAAGATGTCCGTGTTGAGCGCCTCGTGAAGACTGGGCACCAGCTCGTCGCTGTCCATGTTGCCTTGGTTGCTGTTGTCACCGGTTCCCTCCATGGGGCCCATGTCAATGTTGGTACCAGGCATCGAATCCAGGAAGTCCATGTGTTGGCGCGGGGTCAGGGGAGCTGGTATGGGTGTCTTGCGTTCACCTGAGAACAATCACAGATACATGTAAGTGAAAAGGATTGTATTAAATGTGGGAACTGTAGGATGCACAGAGTGTTTATAAAATTGCAGTTTTCATCTGCAGCTTTGTCAGAGTTCCCAGCACTTCATGAAACCAAATACCTTGAGTTTTCCCTGATGTTTCCCTGAAAAACTTCCAAAATTCCATGAGAAATATTTTCACTTTGACGGGGTTGCTGGGAAGTCAAGAGGTGGTGAAGCACAGGCAATTGTTATTGTCTGAAGAGGTGTGTAATGTTCATACTGCATAAACACTTATAAGTCACCTTAGCCAGTCAGTCAATGAACACAACGTGGACACATGGCACAAGAAACATGGCACAAGAAACACATATACGCCAAACTGGCAAAAGCTTTTCCCTTCTGGGTCCCTTTCAAATTCCCTGAGTTTTACCTCATTTTTGGCACTTTTCCTAAACTCTCTCAGTTTTCCCTGACTGAAAAAAGGGAAACTCATTTTCAAGGCTTTCCCTGGTTTTCAGAGTGTCTAGGATCCGTTTTTCATCTCCAATCTAATATTCTGAAGAATCCTGTCACTTTCAAACCAAATGAAATACACCAACCACTGACAGCTTTTTACTGTCTCGCCAGCAGAAAATGTACTTATGTACTGGAGTCTGTCAGGTCTTGGAACTAAAATCATACCACTGGAGCCTAAAGTCGAAGAGTCCCTAAAAATGGTCAAGGTTGTAGTTTACGCATGACGTTCTATGAAATTAGGCCCTATTTATGATGACTAGAATATAAGGCCATGTCTGAATTATGTGGCTATGTCTTGCAATTACACATGTGTCTTTGGAAGCCGCTCCAGCCACTCCCCATAGACACATGTTACTTATAACTGTAGACACGAAATTTAGAAGTGGCCTATGACACTGACCTTCAATAGCCTCCATGTCTTCCACATTACTCAGCAAGTCATCGGGGGTCCTTGGGTGGCTGTAGTTGCTCATACCGCAGCCGCTGTCACCGCTCTCCTCACGACTGTGAAAGTTGGAGGTGTTACTGCTGCTGAGGAAAGGATCCAAGCCTGTGGTACTGACAGTGTTACCATCGTTGCCGTTACTCACTGTCACTGGATCCAAGTCACGTCGTAGTTGCATCTCCTGAGATATACAAACAAAGAAAACAGTTGTAAGCATTTTAACCCTCCTGTTATCTGAACAGTCCAGGCAGTCAAAAAGTCAATCCTTCTCCCCTGCCATGCCTTTATACACAGTCTAGTCAACCACAGCCAGATCGTGTTTCTAGTATGCACTGTGACTAGTCAAATTCCATCAACAGACAAAAGCAGGTATCTGGTAGGTTCAGGTGTCATATCAATCACCTACTGTCAAAGCAAAGCTTTATCAAGTTACATAAACAGTCACAGCCAGTCAATCCTGCTTTGTGTAGGCAGGGAGCTCTTGATTGATTTTGACTAGAGGGACAGCTTTGTTCAGTTTGTCAGCTGGAGTAGGAGGGTTAAACTGGTTGATGATAGACGATGAATTCAAACCATCCCAAAACAAAGCAGAAACAGTTTAAGTTACGTTATCTCCTGAAGGCCTCCACAGACAACCCTCCGAATACGAATAGGGCTGGGTCATATTATTTTATCAATGCAGTTGTTTTCATATGCGTACCAGAATACCGTACATTGTTTGGTAACTAGTACTCATACTTGAGAGAATGTACCGGTACTTGTACTCATGAAAATGTACTTGTGCTAGCACATGCAAGAAAATACTTCAACTTGTTACAAGAAGTCACATTCATACTCATGAAAATGTTCTCCTGATGGAAAAGAACCCATTTTCTACTGTTCCATAGGCTTTAGCAAATATGTAATGCCTATTTTGACAGCAAGGAAAACTGTGAACCGTACACTCATTGAAATGTTCACATGTACATTTACTTGTGGATATTTACTCACACTCATACTGTACTAATTGAAAAAAATAGCCTAGTACTCGTACTCTACTCATGGCAAGGTACATGTACTCGTGCTCGCACTAGTACTCATAGAAATGTACCCAACTACAACACTGGTAGGAATGTTAAATAATGATGTCACTACATTCATGCAACTGAAAGGTTAATGCACATGTACATGTTGTCACAAGACTTGGACTGTCTCATGATCATTTTCAGAGCAGGCATCAGATGATGATATATGAGAGTTGGAAAGGTAAATAAATCCAACGACATAATCTGCAGTTTGATAATCATCACTGTGTCTACCAATTTTTAGTCCAATTTTACAGGAGATAGACTTAACAACAAGGCCCTTGATGAATGACATAATGTGAAGGGCCAATAACCGATACCAGAGTATAACATCATCTCATGTCAGTAAAAATAATTTCTTCATAAATACAGTACAAAATGAACTTCTCAATTCACAAGAGAGGCAATTACTCCAAAGTTTATCAGTCGACACCTGGGCTATATTTATATTTATAGGACATTTTTTTTTTTACTATAAACCTCAGTCGTGATTTAGCATTCCATTACACCTAAAGCCAAGAACACAATACGTTTGCACTGCATCATGGGTTAGTTTTAATCTCATCCTACATGCAAATAACATGCACATGCAGATGTCCACAACACCCGTACACAAGCATTAAAACATACCAGTACATGTAAGACCTAATAAAATATGAGTTTTGCGATCTTTATACAATAATAAAAAGCATTAACAAGTAGGTCTTTCTATGCCAAATCACCCAAATTATCGGAAAGCTATCAAATGACTTACATTGATTATTTTTTAAATACATACATGTACATGCATGTGATTCATATAAAAACACAACAAACTTGCAGTCCTTGAAAGTACATGAAGATACATGTACACATACGTACTTTAAAGAAATTATGAATGAAAACATATCCAATTTACACGATTCTGCCATCAAGAATATACCACCAAGATTTCCTTTCAAGATTTTAACTTTGAAATGCCAATTTTACGATCCTACATCATGTATCACCTGAACAACTAAGACTTGGGACAAAAGTTGTGTAACTTGAATGTACACTCTGTCTTGATGTATGGGCATCAACAAAGCACTTGGGCCAAGCTATTTACGCCAGTCTTCCTGGTAACACTAGGCTATTTATAGGCACACTGTACACAATAACCTTGCATGACCTGTCATCCAGCATTGCTAGACACATCAACAACCAGCAATCCATGGGCTTCCCTCCCTCTGTGCTACTGAATACATACCTTGGCTGATGCCTTTTCAGTCTCAGTCGGTCCATGTACATTGTATATTGTACCATGGAGGATTTCTTCTTATTCCTCCATGATTATACAATGTACATGTGCATGTATCACACACCATGCACTGCTGTAAACAAGCCAACTCCAAAAGAGCCAGTGTTTCACTAGAAACACAACACTTCAATGTATGATCCAGCTATCTTTAAGTGAAGACAGATTTAGGAAATGTCAACTGAGGAAGATAATATCAGTTGGGCCATCTACACGAGATGAATATCAGCAGACGTATAGTTGATGAAAGATGAGTCAATTGATTGGCTTTTCCACAAAATTGCAGAAAAGCCTTTGTTTCTGTTCTGATTTTTTTTTCTTTCTTCTTTTTGTCCCAAAATGCCATAGACTTTGTACACGATTTTTGTACATGCCACTTTTGGCATTTACCTTTGTCGTACATCATGCATTGACCTTATAGCAAAGTTGTGTCCCGAAGAGTGACGTCATGATTACGTCATCATGGGTCACGTGACGTCATCACAAACGTGCATATGTTGAAGTCCTATAGCTACAGAACTGTAAGTCCGGTTGAGTTGAAACTCGGTATGTAGGTAGACCGGGATGTGTTATAGGTAAAAATTGAGGTAACGTCGTGATGATGTCATCGTGTGATTTTATATGAATTTTTGAATTTTGGACCTTTAAGCCATATCTCACGAATGCAACACGCAGAATTCAAAATTCTTTTTTGCATTATGTTTGTTAGGTAATAGGTATGCACAAAATTGTGAAAAATGTGTGACGTCATCATGACGTCATCAAAAATGCGATTTTCAAACACATATAAGGGAAAGTTCGATCGTCGTGAAACTTGGTGGACAGCTAGATAATGGTACTAATATGCAAAATCCGAAATAACGTCACCATGACGTCATCGGTTGATTTTTTATGATTTTTAAAAATATTTTCAATTTCATTCCGCTTCCAAAATTTAACATTTCCTTTCATCGGATTGACTTCAAGCTTGGTACAAACCAAGACCACAATGCAAAAATGTGCATTGACAAGTGTTATCAAGATGAGGTCATCGTAGGGTATGTGACGTCATCATATGCCAAATCCGAAGTGACGTCAATATGACGCCTCAACTGTTTTATTTCGTATTATATATCTGTTTGCTATACTAGGTCAATATAACTTTTATGAACTTTGAACAAAAAAAATTAATTTACATGACTGCACATTGGCAAAAAAGCATAAAGTAATTCAAAAATAATAAGCGGAAAAGCCCTATGTTCTGTTTTCAAACAGACATAGACCTCTAGTTTTCACCATTATTTCTTCTCACCAGATTCATTACAAATGCAGATTCAACATTATGGGTGAAGTCAAACACAGAAACTCTAAAAAGATAAGTGGGAGTTCAACATGAGGAGTCTAGCTATTTGAGAATGTTACTTTATGTATGGGCAAATACAGGATTATAGAAGAAACCTTAAATGTCTCTGACAGAGCCAACTGACTATATCAAATTAATGATTCAGAGAAATGATCCAAGCTCCTAGTGTGTACCATTACTGGATATTTGTCACATCTTAAAGTATTTCATTGAAACATGTTACAACAGGCACAGTTACATGTATTTGGGGTTCGCTCATAAGTCCGACACCTCATAGGTCCGACGCCTCATAGGTCCGACGCCTCATAAGTCCGACGCCTCATAGCTCCGACGCCTCATAGGTCCGACGCCTCATAGCTCTGCCTCATAAGTCTGACGCCCCATAAGTCCGAAATGTTGGACTTATGAGACGTCTGACCTATGAGGCGTCAGACTTATGATACGGCCCCATGTATTTGTACTGTGTTACATGTTGTAAAGAAATGTACTGTGTTGCAACTCAGCCCATGAAAAAGGACAGGCGGGTCCAATTGTACTTAGGTGAGCACTGCTTTATCTTACTTTAATGTAAAATTTGGCAACAAAAACTTCCCTTCTTATTTCTTACTATGACACAAACTACATGTGCCGTAGTTTATCTTAGAGATCTGGGTAAATACATGTACATGTGTGAATTCAAGGCACTGTTGACATACATATATATGCACATGTGTTAAAACACATTTGTCAATGTTCATGTACATAAGTGTCCATGTTAGTACTACATGAAGTAGGTTACATACATGTAAATGGAAAGAATATGTTGTGTTTGTAAATTGATGAAAATAAGTTTATAGAACTATGTGTACTACAAATTTCTTCTTAACACAACGTGTGTGTGTACACGAAAGAGTAAATGTACACTGGACGCCTTAAAAGTTACATGTGTACACTAAAAGTATGTTTTCATTGCAGTAAAAATATGTTCATGTACCCCGGTATGTGTATGTACTTTACATATATGCATACACCATACTTAGGGTACATACGATGTAAGCAAGGCTGTGCACACAGTGTGTATATTCATCTCAAGAGATTACCAATTATTAGATTTCAACACATCTTTCATTTGAATGCCATAAAAAGAACACAGTACAGATGCATGTAACGGTACATGTACATGTACATACCGGTACATGTATGCAGTATTTTTGTATGGGTACATGTATGCAAATTAACAATGTAGGGTTATTGCTGTCCAACCTATTTGTACGTGTACATAAAGATCAGATTTGTAGCCCAAGTGGATAAAGAAGTTAGGCATACATGTATGTATGTTCACTGCACCAAAACCAGCAGGATTTAGTGAATAACAATAAAGCTTTTCCTTTTAATTATAGAATCAGCCCTTTTTTCTCAGCCCTTTGTCTCCAAAAATATTTCACTTGGTGACATTTTTTATTGCCCAAAGGACCTACATGTACATCAGGCTTTCAGGCAGACCCATGTGAAAAAGTAGAACAGTGGGACAAAAGAAGGACTGGGGAGGACAAGATGAGGATAAAAGTAGAACTTTTGCGGGCTTTTAGGAGCAGTTTTTGCTGATACTCATCATGTTGACAGCAAGCCTCATTTGGCATGTTCTGTACTGAAAACACTCGTGCTCGATCCTCAACTAAGCTCTTGGAAGTACAGTTGCAGCACTCTTGCATCCAAGCCCTTCATTGTGTGATTTACATATGACAGTGTGTAACACTGTTATGAAAAATATTCAAAGAGATTTAATTGTTAGAGTTGTGGGACACAAAGTGGGAAAAGGAACAGAAACAGGTATTTCAAGAAAAAAAGTAGGAAAATAGGAGCAAGATTAATAAAAAAATAACAAAAAAAATGTAGGATAATTAGGAACACTTGAAAGCCTGCATAGAGAGGTTAGATTATAAGGTTTGGTTATTAGTCTACATGTAAGTTAGTGCCTAAATGTACATGTAGGCCCTTTATTTTCCGGTAATATTGTTTTAAAGCTAATGTATGTAAATTTATACATTCATGCTTTTCAGAATGCTTTACCATGCACTACATGTACATGTTAGTATTAGTTAACATGCAAAAGAAATCAGTGTTCTCCCCAACAGTCTAATCCGAGCTGTTATTGAGATTGCTCAAATTATCAAACTGTCCAGTAACTTTCTCTGCCCAAACCGAAGTTAATCATTTCCTTTTTATGCATAGCATACAACATCATGTATGGGAGAACACTGGTCCGTATATTAGAATGGGATAGATCTTGCTAGAACCGGCTAGAACTGGCTACATCTGGTTGAGGCTGGGATGCAACTCACCTTGGGCACACCGCCCTGGCCCCCTTTCATTTGAGTACTGCCCTCTTGTGGCCAAAAATTTCTAGGCAGAGATCTGTTTTTTCCACTTGCGGCCATCTAAGAGGAGATATACATGTAAATATTAACGGAGAAGCAGAACTGGTTCTGGTCATGGGGGTACATTGAAGGTATACATATGTACAACATTTGCATTTGTTATTATTTTACGAAATGCACTTGAGGCTAGTAATTTACAGCAGACAATCGTTCTACCGACCTGTTGATATGTTGATGTCCATTGTGATAGAAAATTAAGATCATCTGGCTTAGTCCTAATGTTTACATGAATCATGTACCGGTATGCACATGTACAGCTGACATGTACATGTACATGTTCATGTACATACACATATGAACACCTGTAATCACTGAAAATGAGTCTCTTTACTCTGGTGTTCATTATTTACTGTGTACAATTACCGGTACATGTATAAATATATTAAGGGGATAACAGTGTAATGAATCAGTTTTAAATGTGTGTTACCCCGGTATATAAGACCTACTTGGGGTGTGTGGTCACTGATAATGATAATATGAAAAACAGGCATTTATAAGCATCAAACCCCCAAAGGCCCTGAAACACCACCTACAAAGACTAAAAATAGAGGTTAATGGGCAAAACGTGCAGTTGAAGGATTCTCACATTGAATAAAATTCCATTGCACGGTCCCTTTACAGTTAAATAAGCCCAGCAGGAATGGTGTACTGTTGTAAGCGCTGTCTACATCAAATCATACTGTGTGGCCTTATGAACTTGTATTGTGTTGCTGGGATTCAGAAGCACAGCTTGAATAGTTATGACCATACACACACATCATGTACAATAATAGTCACTATTACTGCATTGTATACATACATACATGTAACTTTGCATTTTTATGGTTATCAGATGCCTATGAAGTTCATCACTTGACATTTAAAACTGCAGACTGCAGACACACAAACTTACCTTGTACAGGGTACCACGCATGCATACATGTTAATCAATTCAGTGTACATGTACATGTTTATATGTACTTGTACATCATACAGGATATGTAAATGTATACAATGTAGTAAGATTCAAAATTCTTTAAGAATACGGACATCAATATAAAAATATGTGAAACAAAACATCTGAACACCAGTGTTAACACAGGTTGGCTGTGTGTACATGTACATGTCGATTTTGTATTTTCAACCTGGTTGAGAGGCTCAACCCTATCGTAGTTCCAACCAGGACTGGATTTACCCATGTAGAGCGGGTGGTTTCTTGTTGCTGTTGTGGTTTCTGTGTTGGACCCGGGTCCAATGTATATTCTGGAGACTCTGAAAGGCCCTACTACTGGTATTGTTGTAATGCTTGAAGACAGTGCAATATCACCTCCAGTCTTCAGCTACTGGCACATGGATCCACATACATAGCATAATCTTTTCGGCCTTGATTTTTTCATGAAGCAGTCAACTGTTTTGATAATAATAATAATAATAACAATAAATCAAAATTTATATTGAGCAGTCTACATAAAAATGATCGAACGCGCATTACATAAAATACCACGGAAATTACATTAGAAAACAAGAAATAAAATCAGCAACAACTTATGTTAAAAGAGGGGTAAACTACTGAAAAATAGGTCAAGACAATAACAAAATAAACAATACACCAATACATGAACATTAACATTAGATAAAAACCAGTTTAAAAATATAGGTCAAAACTTAAAGCTTAAAAAAGCGACTAAACAGTAATTCTGGGGCTGAACAACAAAATTAGTTCAAAGCCAGTTTAAAAAGATAGCACTTTACTATACGCTTAAAAATGTCAATGGACTGCGATTGTTGGATATCAGCAGGCAACTTATTCCATAGTACAGGGGCTGCATAGGCAATCACCATACAATTAAAGTTTGATACCACCTACATGTACATGTAGTATCCCAGTACTATTTAAACCACGTACTACATGTACCGGTACTTGTTAGGAGGGTATGCGAGGACTGATCATTACGGCAAATCCCAAAGGGAACTTTACTTTGCATGTTTATCAAGTCACAACCAATTCCAATAGGCCCTATTCTTGTAATGTGAGTTCAAGCTTACTGACACAAATTAACATATTGCTACAGCTCCAAAGCACATTTTTACAATCTTTAAGTTTTAGATTTAGGTAAAGTTACTACACTGCTACAATGTGTAAAGAATATTTTGAGCGTTGGTATGCAGACAACGGCATCGTGACAGTGGCCTATTTGCTAAATAATAAAATACAGCTTCTTGAAAGACTTGATTGCACACAGTAAACGATGCATTCACTTGAAATCAATTTTTTACATCAATTTTACTGTTACCATTACCATTTACATGTAAAGTTTTTAACCGTTACATGTACATGTATGTGTAAATTTATGTTGAAAGTACATGTTGGTACATACTGTAAACTATGTTTTGATGTGGCAAGAGATTATCTCCGACTGTACACATCTGCTATTGTTGTCACTGATTCACAATGACAGGGCAATGGTTGACCTCGTGAACCTACCAGATGTGGCTGAATTATCCATTCAATTCACTCAATTTATTCCCGCAATTGATTTGTGCTGGTTGAAAGTAATGACCAATCACAAGGTTATGTGGTGTGTTTATGTCCGTTGATGAAGTACATGTACTGGTGATCAAACCGGGTAACGGAATTGAGTATTAAGCATAGAACATTGGGAATTGTATGTGAATTTTCCTTACAATTCATGCACACCTCACCGCACAGAATGTTTTTTTTTTCAATCCTGCAAAACAGATACATGATGTATGGGTGCATGTATATGTGTATACATCAGTACATGTGCATACATCAGTACATGTACAATGTACCGGTACTAGTACATGCACACATGTAGTATGCACACATACCGGTACATGTAGAAAAAGCTTAAGTTGTATTCCATTTGCTAAATTACCTTTACAAAATGTTGACACTCGTTGCAAGCTTCACGGTTGCCAAATTTTATGTTTTAAAATAAAGACAACTACATGTACATGTAGTCAATCAAATGTTCATTATCCATACTTTATGCTGTATGAGCTGAAAGATGCACTGTCTGTGCTCTTCAACAAATTTGCTGTTTTTTTATCCTCCTAACAAATTTTCAACTTATTCATTAATTTAATGGAAAAACCTTTACACAGATCTGCCTTGCTAGTAGACTGGTTCTTGATCCCTATATTTGTTTATATTCTGATAAGGGGCCGGGAACCAGTCTACCGGCACTCCTGCAAAACTAAATTACTGTCAAGTTTAAAATAACTGGAAACGTGTTACATGAATAATTCAGAAGTAAGCGTAGGTAGATTGATTTTCTTTTGATAAACTAAATATATTCTTGGGCTAAACTCAAGAACAGCATGGACATCTTTAAAATCATATTCTAGCCCTGATAAAAATCAATCTCTATAGTTGAACAGTAGTATGCAGAGCTGCAAGCAAAGGATCATATATCATATATGAACTGGCAAGGGAGGCAGGCAGGCTGGTCAATTAGTGTGCGCAGAGAGAGCACAAGTTCATAGATAAGAATAGAAAGTCAGCAGTCTTACTGCAGCTGTCTCCGCTCATAATGCATGGCTCCTCTTACTTTACAAGTCAATCTGTATCCTCCACGGTAAAAAATATGTGATGCTTGCTGCAATGATGGTACTATCATGTGGGGATAAGAACAGCTGGTTTTTGAAGCAACTACGGTAGTGACAGAGGGGCCCTCGATGATGCCATGTACAGTAGGCTGCTAACAATCAAGGGCTTGAATGCTGGACATGACCATATATGGCCAGAGGAGGTTAATAAATAGAGACTCCTATGAGGTCTAACCACAGAGTTAAGCATGCTCTCCTATCAGATATCAGTGTGTCAATGTAATGTGCACATGTAAATTTATGCACATATACATCTACATGTACATGTACAAATGTACTTCATGGATGGCAGCAGAGAAACATGATGTACTGTACAAACTTTTCCATGCATGTGTACGTTTAATTTCCAGGTGTCTCCTGGAAACACCCCTCATTTAAATTACATGTAAACCCTTGCATTTAATAATATACTAATAGTGTGCTGCATACATGTACTATGAACAATGTAGATGTATGCATATGATGTAATCCTTTACATGTACAAAATCTACCAATGTGTACAGGTACATGTACGTCCACTGTTAATTTTATTCACTGTTGACTTTTAGTTTAATACCCATGTGTGGGTTTAAATTGGTGACTGTATCCAGCATTAATTAACAGAGATTCTGCTACATCCAAAGGATCCATTTACACCACATTGTACTGTGTAAGTGGTAGGACAAGGTTCATGAATAACACAATACGTGACGCAGTTCATAACTACGGAAGCTTGAATTGCCTTCCGCGATACCGCATTACCGTGATAATTTATCACAGAAATCCGGAATTCAAAGATAATTCATTCCGCAATACCGCGTTACTGCGATAATTTATCACAGAAATCCGGAATTCAAAGATAATTCCTTCCTTGATACCGCGTTACTGCGATAATCATCACAGAAATCCGGAATCCAAAGATAATTCCTTTCTCGTTACCGATTTATCTTTGAATTCCGGATTTCTGCGATAAGTTATCACGGTAACGCGGTATCGAGGAACAGGTATCTCTGAATTCCGGATTTCTGTGATAAATTATCACAGTAACGCGGTATCGAGGAAGGGATTATCTTTGAATTCCGGATTTCTGTGATAAGTTATCGCGGTAACGCGGTATCGAGGAAGGAATTATCTCTGAATTCAGGATTTCTGTGATAAATTATCACGGTAACGCGGTATCGAGGAATACGTATCTTTGAATTCTGGATTTCTGTGATAAATTATCAAGGTAACGCGGTATCGCGGAAGGCAATTCAAGCTTCCGTACATAACTTTTCAACATGTACATGTTCATGTACTCAACAAATAATGAGGTACCCGGTTACTTACGGTACATGTACGGGTATGCAGTCATTTTAGGTGGCGCAATAAATGGCAGATGTACAGATTGAAAATGGATGATTTTGCGAATCCCCTTTAGCTTCCTAATTATTCCTACACTGTGGACTCTCAAAATCCAATACCGCACAAGCCTAATTCATATTGTCCATTCTGTAACACCATGTACTTCTTGTATGATGTAAAGAAACCCCTAGTACTTACACTGCTATGTCACCTACTAACCTGCTGCAGTATTTCGGCCTGACGTCGCTGAAGGCACTCCCTCTCCATCTGCAGACGCTGCAACCGTACCTGCTGCTGCCGCTGCTGCTGTGATATATCAGGCCCCGGTAGCTTGCCGGCCTGCTGTGCTGGTGTGGGTGACATGGCCATGGTCTGTTGTGCTGGCTGTTGAGCTGTTTGCTGCGTGTTCTGTTGCAGTGCTGCTGCAGCTGCCTGCACTGTTCCTGGAGCTCGCATAGCTTCAATGAAAGAAATCATGTCACAATTAACCCTAGTCTGGTTCCCAGACCGAAAGATTACGACTATTTCTGACGAATGTTAGGTCAGGTAGGCACCATGACACGTGACAAAAAGGGCAGGATCCTGACCATTTCTGTAAATGTCCTAAGTTTTTACATACTTGGTACGTGTATCTTGGGAATGTAGTCGAGTCGATCACAAGTCTAGTCACAAGTAACAGTGGATGAACAATAACAGAGGAATGTCTTTGTCACAGCTCATTTGAATAGCTTGTGAGATGATTTGGGACAGGAGGACTTGTGATGGACTTGCATGGACTTCTGATGGACTTGACTACATCCCTAGTGTAACTGTGAGATGTTCAGAGTGATTGCTAGGCACATGTAAGATTCAATGAGTTTTTTATGGTTACCGATTCTTGGGTCCAGCCAAGTTGTGGTTCTCTCCAAGTGGTTGATGAAGTAGACCTCGCCTTCAGGAGTGGTTGCCTGCTCCCAGTTGGACGGCAGAGGACCCAGGTCCTGCATGGCAGGCAACGGTTGCTGGCTGGACGTCGTGGCCGGCGGTGTCATCGCGTTGATCTGTGGTGGCATCGGAGGCGGTGGGTTGGGAGCCACGGAGTTCACCTTGTTGAGCTGTGAGGTGCTCAGTGTCTTGCGGGGGTCCTGCCATGTAGTACTGTGTCTATTGTGACTAGGGGTGTGGGAAGGATGAAACCATGGAAATAGTCAAACCAAATTTGAATGGCGAAGCTTTCAAGGCTAACATTATAACCTGCAAACAAGGCATAAAGATGGGCAATGTTAAATCACATTTGATAACTTTATGGCAAAATTAGCATGTACTGGTAAGTATTTCATGTATATATACAAAATGTATTAACCCTAACCGAACTCAACCCATCAAAGTTCAACAGCAGGTTTTGTTTAAATCTGTTTGGATAGGTACAGTACCCCTAAAATGATGGTCTTTTACACTGGGTTGGCATATCTCCAGAAACTAAGTCCAACAGTGTGTGTGTACAATTTCCATGTGGGTGTTGGAATTTGCCAGAATGGGTATGGCTCCTAGTAAATTAGACTTGGGAGTTAGGGTTAATCATGTATAAACCTGAGAATAGGCTTTTGTCCTCTTTAACTTACTAAATGACTAATTTCTGGCCCATTGTGTTGTCCACATGCATGAAAAGACTTCCAGTGAATAGAGTGTGTAACTCTCCCTAGTCCACGTTCACTTTTTCTGTGAATGTCTTGGTACCAAACACTGGCCAGTCTTATCACGGACTCCCGTGTTTGATTTAGCCAACTGTTATCTGTGTGATCGATTGAACAGAAGTTGAGGTCAACAATTTTAATTTTATAATATTCTTTAATTCGCAAATTTTTTTGTTGGGCATACTTTTGCTTAGCAAAACCATTGAGGAATCAGACGGGAGTTCATGTTTTCAATCTTTTAGAGACCTCAGACCATTTAAAGCCATACCAGTGTACTGCTACATGTATATGAAGGTAGTTAATGCGAAATATTAGTCCGGTCTAACCATGGAGCAATGGAAGGTCTAACAGTGCCTGGTGAGTGCCCTCAGATTGTAGTGATTACTGGTAGCCTAGCCAGCTCAGTTTACAGTCATTGACGTCACTTCATGGGGCCCCAACTCCTTGAAAGGAGCTTTGCAATGTATGCACTGGCATGCACCCAATTTGGCTCAACAAAGTAAAAGTTAAGTACAGTTCCTCTTAATCCTTGCTCCCAAAATATCATGTAGTGGGCGTGCAAGAAAAAAACATCTTCAAATCAAAGTGGCGACAGTTTACTCAAACAGCGCACTTGGCCTGGACTAACGATTTAGATCGCTTCCTAACTTTGATTTATTTTCAACTTTTAGAAGAACATGTACATGTAGCTAATTTATGTACACTATGTTAAGACCAAAAACCCTGTACATTGTATGTAAAATGAACTTGTTCAGACCAAAAAGATACCTCAGAGTTCTAACTTTATGTTCAAGGATTAGGCCATGTAAAAAAATAAAACAATTCTCATCCCCGCCCGCTTCTTTGTTTGCCGGCCGCTTCCTTTTTATGTATTTTGCATATATTGTCAATATACACGTATTGTCTTTTCAATTGTTTTATACAAAATTGTAGCTATGTAGAAAGGGTATGGCACCTTTGGACCACAAGTTTATAAAGCAAAATAGTTGAGAAAATTTAAGAACCCATCTGCCATCTTGGAAAATCTGCCATCTTGGAAAATCCACCATCTTGGAAAAAAACAAAATATAACGGAAGTTCTGAAAGGTGAAAAGGTAGGCCTACCACTCGGTAACAATGATATACCAAGATGACAATGGTACAAGAAAAAAAACAGCTGAAAGCAGGCATGGTGCCTGCAATGCCTAACAGATCTTGAGGCCACTGCTAAGGTGACTGGCCCCAATCCTACTCCTACTAGACTACATGGTTTGGGGTCACATCCTGAAGACTATCAAGTTAACCAAGGGGTTAAATCACAGTAGGTACATGTACATGTAGGCTTGCTTTACATTCACAAGGATGTACCAGTACATGTAGAGACAGTCAGTTTCAATGCCTCTTAGTTCAGTTACTGTTTGTAATACATGTACCGGTATTTTATTAACGTTAACTGGGAATCCAAGAGATTTTGTCGATAAAACTACCATACATACATGTACATGTAGCAAATAATTATGTTCTGTATCATAATTTATAGAGTACTGAAATCCATTTGTGGGGGTATTTTCCAGAATAAACTTGATGTGAGGGAAATCATGAACAAATGACATGATGAAGACTGAAGAGTAATTCCATATTTCCCAGATAATTCTTTTTTATTTCTATGGCAGTGTTATTTCAAAGTACAAGTAAATGCCTTTATGGTTTAAATTGTAAGAAAAAAATTGAAAAAGAAAAAAAAGGACAAAAAAACGAAACTGCCATTATCAGAAGAATTGGTATTAGTCATGGTCATGAATTCATTGTACTTGGTGCAATTGGTTGATGCCAGAGTTCACTGACTATTCTGTAGTAAGTATGCCATTCATAAACAAATTCTTGGAATAGCCTTCACAATGCAGATTTAAGCCTTGTATTTATGTACCAGTTGATGACGTATGTAAATGCATACAACCAGTTCTCTGTGTGTTTTTATTCCTGCATGGTTAAATCCCCACCCCCTTGTTATCATTGTGCGGTCACTCGATAAAAGCAAAGCATCCTATCCAAAGGATATGAAACACAATGAAAAATATACAGGTTGCAGGGTACACCATACATGTACATGTACATGTACGTACATGTACATGTTTGTGAAATTGATGCAGTCCATCAGTCCAAGACAGTTAAGTACCAGAACATGTACCGGTATTCTTGTGTCTAAATTGTACAAGTTGTACAAAAACACATTAGTCTTTGCACAGGGAAAAACCAACACCACTCGATAATGTTCTTATGAATCACACATTATTTGAAGGGTCCTTTGGCAACTGGTGCTTCTTATGAAAAGAAAACAACAATTTTCCGTCTTAGGAACACACAACAAATTTCAGTTCATGTATACAATTTTATGTAGTATCTAGATGTACAAATTTGTAAACATGTTAAAAAACTGGTACATGTTTACAACTACCGGTTCATCACTCTGTTTCGAGAACCCAAAGCATTGTATTTAAAAAAGTCTGCAAATCGCATAGAGCTGCATGATAACACGTGGGCCCGTACGTGCGAGTGCAGTTCCCGCTGTGCCGCGCACTAAGTCCCAATGAAGGCATGATGAAAATGCGGTAACCAGTCAATGTAATAGTCGCGCGCGGTGCAATGCACTGCCGTACAGTGTTTTGCGTGCAGGCCGGACGGAATAGACATCGTACAAATGCCAACAAAACAACGATTGAGAAGGACGATCTTTGCAAGCTTATTCACAGAACTTGATCTCTCTTGTCTGTGTATGTATTTCCCGTGTTCATGAATTTATTTTGAGGAAGTTTTACTGGTATGTGAAGTGAAACGATGCAGCGTGTTTCACCGAAATCCTATACCGTGAAACGAGTCTCATTGCCGGCCCATCACAAACGCTCGTACTAGTGCGAAGTTCAGACGTTGTTAGCCAGTTTCTCGTCGTGACTAGCATTGTGTATATGGCATACTTGACCTGCATTTTCCATTATTTTTAAGATTATCGACAGCAGATATTTTCCAATAAAACTTAAGGCAAGTTTGTGTCATTTTGAGGCCCTTTTTGTATAGCTTTCGTAGAGCAATTGAAATAGTTCAGGCTGAAAATTTCATATAATTTTAACGAATCTGAAAGCAAATATTCAGTTGCTTTATGTGCCGTTTATTAACTCTCCATTTTCCAAGTATAATCAAGTGATGAACCAACTGACAACTGTATTAAAAAATGAAAGCCTAAGCAGTAGTCAAACCTTTTATTAATCTTCATTTAGTTAGTTTTTAAAATAAAGTTTACCTTGTCTTATACAGTTACAAAAACAAAAAAAGTAACGCAACTTGAACATATTATGCAAAAACTAATAATAATGCAGCCCCTTTAATAAATCCTTATATTCAAAATAAAACAAAAACAATGGTAACCCATCGTTTTACCGCTGTTTATCCGTAGATTTTAAGGAGAGCGATTTGCTCTCCTCAAATATTTGAGGAGAGCGATTTATAGCTCTCCTGGATTTTCTTCAAATGAAGGACTGCTACGTACATTTACCGGTAGGTGGTGGCGTATAATTCAATTTTGTATTTAAGTTTTTTTCAACGCACCAGCGGTTTTCTTCCTCGAAAATATGGCTCTGGACCGAAACTCGTCTGAAACAAGAAGACACTGCAATGATGTTGTCCTTTCTAGAACTCCTGTCTGGTAAACCTACCGGTATTGGTACTACGGTATAATCTCTTTAGGAGTCGTGAGTTGAGATGAGTTACTCCACGGAAAGACATGTCTAATTAGTGTTACGTGAAATCAGCCCCAGGGCAGAACCAAGATTAAGCCCCCTTGACTTTGTTGGTGGGTTTAAAAACACAACTGGATTGTTTATTTTCTGACCTGTTACAGCAAGATGATGTAATATAATCCAACATAGTATGAAAGCTGGCTTCAATTATTGCAACAGCTCATATTTTGGCCTCCCAGGGATTACAGCTTGGGTTTTTTTTACCTTCGATATGATACAGGGAAGCCAACTGAACTTTGAACATGCATTCTCTTCCACATGCAATACGTACACATACATGTACATGTACATGTAGGTACATGTATAAACATACATTGTACATGTAGGCCTACTGTAAACCTTGCAGCTTCAATGCCATGTTTGTTGTTTGAACAAAATGATTAAAAAAATATAAGACAGCACTTACCCGGTATGTTTGTGGACATTTTGTTAATGCATGTTCAAGTCAGGTTACAGACTGATAGCTATTGCACCTCCCTATTTATGGTGCTCCATCCCACCATTAAGTGCATACCAAGTTACAACCAAATAAGACCATAGTTCTGAAGATTTTAGCCTTAGAAAAATGCCCCTTTAATGTGACGTCACACGACATGTGATGACGTCATCATGAAGCCACTTCAATTTTCATCTACATGTTTAACACATCCCGGTCTGGGTACAAACCAGGTTTCAACTCAATCGGACCTGTATATTTTGGCCTTCAAAATATATACCTTGAACATGACGTCATATGTCATGTGATGACATCATCATGACCTCACTTAATTTAATCATCTCATTTAATGTGAGTCACGTGACACGTACTGACAATGTCACTTCAATTTTTATCTGCAACACATCCCGCTCTAGGTACATACGTGTACCAAGTTTCAACCCAAACCTGTATTTCTGCAGATGACGTCACGTGACACGTGATGACGTCATGATGACGTCATGATGACGTCAATGTTCGGTGCACATCCATCCATGTGTATATATGCCAGATATATATAAAGGCAATGGGATTGATGTAAGGGTCTAAAGTGCTATGCACGATGAAAACATGTACGAATGCTACCTATGGCAGGAGTCTGAAAAAGGAAAAAACAAGGGGAAAAAAATCTTAACGAAAGCAAGCTAGCTGTTTCAGAAAGTTTTCCAAAACAGCTAAAAAATAAAATTGTAAACAATTTATGAATTTTTGTCAAGAGATGTATTTGGACGCCATGCTATACACAAATCTGCAACTTTCAAAATCGAATGTGACACTGATAGCCACATCAAAGTTCCAGGATATCCTGATTGCTCAAATTGCAGGAAGTCATAATGCATCAATAGCCAGACCGTATGCCAATGCCAGGAAATATCAATTTGAGAAAAAGTTTACTAAAAGTCAGAAGATTTAACAATGATCAAAACAATGTTTACATACTAAACTGCCAACATTTAGTTAATATTGGAATAATTACTCCACAAAATTCAAATTATATTAGCAGCCTGACCGCCATTTTCTCACAGGAAAAACGGTTTTGGAATTGTAGGAATTGGAAATAAGGTAACAGGCAGGGAAGATCAGTATGAAAAAAAGAAGCAGATTCCAAAAATAAAAAAGGAGTGAGTTTGTTTACATGTTAATAATACAAGTCATGAAGAGTCGTGAGGAGAAACAGAGTCTTGTTGAAGACAACCCACTACATATCTTCAGTTAGGCACCCTGGCCTAAGGTGCCATCCACTCCTCCCTATCCTACTCAAACAAGGAGGTAGCCATGTACATTGTACAGCTGTACTAGTAACTATTCTGAGTTGAATCTAATTCTGTACGAACATGTACATATGTATAACACGATTTTCCGATTGAATCGTACCTAGTAATTCGTACCGGTCAATGTATGAGCTTAGTAATACTTTAAGAAACATGTATGATATGGTGCTCCACCCCACAATTAAATGAATGACATCATGCCCTTCACTCTCATACATGTACATAACGTACTGCTGATTCAGTCCAAGATGAAATCATTATCATATGCTAGTATCATTTTATGCAGGTCGAACAGAAATCTGCAGAAACACAAGAGAGTACTCCACCCAATAATTAATAATGACATCATGCTTTTCAGTGGGACATGTGCCTGCATACTGAATCAAAGATGTATTTGTCATCACTGGCAATCTAGGAGGACCGTAATAGAAATTTAAGGTTTGTGGCTTTATTTTTGGTTGTCCTTAGCAAGGAATTTTCACTGTGCTACCTTGTTAAATGTTTATGTAACCAAAAAAATCAAACTATAAATGTACAGTACCACATGTATCTGTGGCGGCTTTCCACTGTGTCGTTCTCACAAAATACATGTTAATTATTTATGCACATGTGCATGTATTTTGTTTTCAAAATATTTTTTCATAATAAAAATTGTGAATTTTGTCAAAACATAAATGAGTACATACTTGTTATCTGGCTTTTGGGTTGACAGTAAAAATCTCCCCTTGTTGCTGAAACACAATCAGATACATTCCACTGTCAAAATTAAGATTTTTAATGTAGTCTAATACCAACCCACACATTCATTTGTCCAAGCAAATTGGACAGGTTCAGTTGGGTACATGGCAACATTGGACAGTGAAAACAAGAAGACAATATTGGTATTATTTATAAAGAAGTAAATTAATTTGGTAACAGCATAAGCTGCGTACACGTTACTAACAGCTGCTTTAACAATACTTGCCTGTAATTTGTACAAAGCATTGGTGTTATAAAATGAGGAGTGAACGAATAGCCATTTTGAAGAAAAAAAAGGCATGGACATACATGTACAAAGCACAACACAATGTTAGGGAATATACAACATATCTGCAAACATAACAAACAAAACTACCAAATTATTACTAGTGAATGACATTCACAAATTATTATTAGTGAATGACATTCTAACCATCCTTTAAAATCATGGCACCTGGTGTGCTGACATTTTCAAGAAAAGTTGTATTTTTGTATCAATTTCGGCCGACCAGCGTTGGGAAAAGAAATGGAAAATGCTGCTCCCAATTTTATCATATTTAGTTAGTCTGCATTTTCTTTGCAATCGATTACACATGTGAATGGGTACAAGCCAGATAGACTGATTCCCTGCCCTTGCAATTTCCTTACGTAAATAAATTGCTCTGTTTCAAGTGGGGTCAGGGAACCAGACTACAAGAACACAATTGTTCTTCATGGTGTAACCAGCAATGGCAGCATCTACAAACCCAAAACTTCCAACAATTCAGTGTAACAATATTTGCTATAAAATACTAACCCCCAAATCCATCCATTTCTGAAAATTACAGCAAAAGCAAATGTTGTATATTCCCTTAAAAGTTACTTATTTAATGGTACAAGTCAAGATGCTTGGAAGACAATTTTCACCTCATCAAATTGTATGTGTGATGTGATCTGGTGAGTTTCATCATGGAGCCGTTTATAGCTCCGTGGTTTCATCAAGTTGTAAGCTTTGGAACGGGTGTAGTGGGGGTATGAGGGTTAAGGTGGGGGGGAGGGGGTCGAGGTTGCCCACATATATGGTGTATCACCCTCGTGCCAAATTAAGCACATCTGTCTCAAAGCCATTGCTCATCCGTGATCTCGTCCCAACACTTAACTTTGTTGAGTTACTCAAACAAGGAAATCTGTGCACTAGTTTGAAGGTTTTTTATTTTTAAGGCAAATAAAGTTCAATATTTTTCATCTCCCTTAAATTAGGGCGTCCTTTATCTCTAGTGTTTTATTGTTGTATATTTTCTTGCCTCCATGCCCCCAACACTATACTTTGCTCCAAATAGGAGTTGTGTTCTTGCAAGATCTTTTTTTTTAAATGGAAAATATGCAATTTTTCCCCCTCCATTTTTATCGCTCATTGTCCACGTCCTAATTTTATGTGCTTCCAACATTCTTATATTGGTTTAACCCAAACGTACCCGAATCCATCAAAATCTACACCCCTGTTTTGGATGATTTCGGCGGAATTGGTGTTTTAACATTTGGACATGGTCGGGCGATAGTCGCCCACCATGTCCAAATGTTAAAAAAGCAATTCGTAAAGTTCTAGTCAATAATCAGACTTCTGTAGGCCTAAAAACAAACAATGCAATGATTGATTAACTAGAAAACCTTTCAAATAATAGGAAATAGATTTACAGACAAATAGATGTCTCTTCTAATTTTAGTCATGTTAGCATGAACTTCTTAAAGTTAGAATATTACCTCTGTTAATCAACTTGTTTTTTTCATTGAAATCTTTAGGACTAGTTTAGAACAATTCCTCTGATTCTTCAAACATGTCAAACATGTCGTAAGTTCATATATTGACTTACTCAAGATAATATCTCTGGCCGGTACTTGTTGATGCCATCTCCCAGCCTGGTGGCAGTGGTGTGTTTTCATCTGTAATATCATAACTTTGTTGCCTCAAATGCTGATGCTGTAAACTCTGCGCCCCAACGGCGTGCATTTCCTGGAGGGCAGCCGGTGAAGAATGCGCCCGGGAGTGGGCGATGGTGAGCCCGGGTGCTGCCAACGACTGTCCGCTGCCACTCACGTTGCTACCATTAGTCGACCCGTAGTTCGTACTGTCCGCACTCGATTCGCGAGAATGTCCGGGAACATGGTTTGGCTCTTTGAAAAACGAAGACGGGAGATTTCTCATCCGCATTGGGATGGAGCTGCCCTGGGCAGGTTTCTGAGGGTTCATAACACTCTTAAATAAATCCTCCAACTCTGCGTCCGAGTCACTCCGGACGTGTAAAACTTGTCTCGGTTGGTTTTGCTGACTCTGGGTCTCCATCGTGCTCGACAACGCTACGGTTTGTGTCCAAGAAGTAAAATTAAAACACACAACAACTCGACGACTTGGTGTCGAAAACACTCACCAAAAACCTAGTCATCGAAATAACAGCTCCAATTCTCTTGGGCATTGGCAGTTGGAAATATGTCCTTATAACTTGTAGTCAGTTGGAATACATACTGTGTTTAAAAAGGCAAGAAAAATTCGGTTGGAAACTACAACCAGTTACAAAGTTTAGGAAGTCTCTAGCTCTGGTATCTTCGTGTAATCAGGATCGGACCTCCATCACGTTTTACGCACGTACGTACGTTGAACGCATCGACATTTTGCACAGTATGTTATTGGACTTTGTATCGGATGTAAGCTCGCTTGTTGTAATGGTTTACGTTTACACGTACACTTTAACCAACAAAATATAGATCCTTAGCGTAGCTTATACCCACTTCTTCTGATCTAAACTCATTTTTTTTGTTAGTTAGTCGAAAAAAAGTCCATAATAAAGATTTGTTGTTTGAAAAAAGGAAATAATTATGGAAATCTATATATAAAATACGAAATTGTGTGCAATAGGCGGATGGCTATATGTGAGTTATTCGCCGCTTCCGGGGTGCTGTCAGGTCGTTGGTCATGTGCACACGTCACTCAGTGAGCTGCAGCTCTTGCCTCATTCTGCTGCTGCTCAAAGTGTTGGATGGGAATGCCTTGGATCGAGAGCAGCGCAGTGCGACGATGCACGAGTAGGCGTGGCACTACTTAAAATGAAATTTAACCAAAAATAATGTAAGAAATGATTACTACATGTATAATGTCTAGCTGTTGCAAGGTTGATGCAGTGGATGCACGGCTAAGACCGCACCCTTTTAAAAATATATAATATATTTGTATTGTTAATTTGAAAAGTAAAGTTAAGGTGATGAGAAAAGGTCCTCATTGATCTTTCAGTTGATTCTTACCATAATTTCCTAAGGTGACCAGGACTTAATTTCAATACGCTGTCCCTTCTCTGTGGAGCAAGTTACCACTTGATATGAGAAATGTACCAGCTTAAACCGTTTTAATTAAGACGCTGCTGAAAAATCATCTCTTTCAAAAAGTGCTTGATTTGTAATTGATTTTAATGTGAGCATTTTAATGAATTTAACTTAACATAATCTTTTGATGTCTCTTGATGTACAACGTATTTCTGATTTTCATTTATAATTTTAATGTATCTGGTGATTTAATGTATGATTTTAATGCATTTTTAATCAATACTAGTTTACATATCCGGTTTTAATCATTGTAAAGCGCACATTTGATTTTTTTTCATAGAAAATGTGCGCTTCATAAATTGCATTTCACCTGATAATAATAATCACCGAGAGATTTTGTCCACGAGAGTCGCATGTGCCGTGCCGGTGGCCGCTAATTTAAGTAATTTAAAGTGCACTTCCAAAATTAATTTACTAAATGAAAAACGAGTGCATGAGCGCAAAATAAGGATGTGCCCTTTTCGATCCTGCTTATATAGAAACAAATAGAACCGAACCACCATCTGAACAATTTCTGGTTCAACGCCTCAGTACAGACTACAGATACTATGTAAAAAATAGCCTCAGAACCATTTCATACAATTGAATATTCAACAAAACTACGTAGGACCCATGAAGGCCTTTATCGGTCATTGTTTAAAACTGTATAGCTGTTACTGATGATGTCCCCAAACCACGCCATCCCGCGCTGATATGATAGGCCTATTTGCCTCGTAATATTAATTACATTCGAACAAAGGAACCCAGGCACTTTCCCCTTAGTAGTTAAACAACACAATTATAACATGTTCATTTTAGGAAAATTTCATTAATTTGAATTGATTTCAGGGAGAACGAGAACCTATGTCTTGCAGTGATTCAAAACTGAATTGCACATATATGTTGCCCTAACCTTGGGGAAAAAATACGCCGGTGGGGACGAACGAATCCATCAACAAAGCCCGCCCTCAGGATGCACCCCAGCAAAAAAAATCCTTGGACACCAGTGTTAAATCCCCACACTTCAAAATTCTTTTTTAAAATACTCAGAACTTCACGGATATTCAGGCTGCACAGAAAAATTACGGGCAACATGTCTTCCTTCATTTTCTTTTCAATTGTTTGGTGGGATGACCATTGACTTTCTCACCCAAAGACCACCCCTAAAACCAATGATGCTTCCAAAACTGGACAAAAAAAATAGCCAAAAAGGATCCCTCCACAACATGGCAAATTGCATCCAAAATGCTCAGAGTTGGAAGCCCCAAGCCCACGCCAGAGGTGCAGGGCCGGCCATATGTCTTCAATTCCCCAATTCCATGGCTCTCAGAACTCTATAATAATTTGGGTGTGTAACATTTGTTCATGAGCTCGGCGAACGGATTTTGGGCCTATTTACTGGGGTGTACCCCTCCAGACAAAAAAACTGAAGAAGGCTAATAGTGACTAGTGAACGCTCTTATGAGTGGACATTGGACCATGCAATTTAACCAACAGCTACTTTAAAATGGCTGGATACAATGGACAAAAGTATCTGGACCGGGATTAAAGGGCTTTCTCAGGCCTGAGGGGGGAGGCCACTGGGAGAGGTTGGCTCTAGGCATTTCTCACCATTGTAGTTACCAGAAATCATTGACATCTGTATTAACCCTCACTGAAATTTTATTTCAGTCATACAAATATAACAATATATATATTCTAATGAAAAAAAAGAAAAAATGCAATTTCCATTCAACATACAGCAAGCAAGTTCATGCTGCAAAACATGACATGTGTAATGCATCAATTTCAATTTCACTGCACAGAAGGACATTTTCTATAAATTTCAATTTTGGTTTTGGAAGATTAGATTCTGAAAACATACTTTACACATTTCTTTAAATGGTGAAATAAAAATTAAACTATATTAATGTATGTATTCCTAGGTATCATAAGTTTGAACAAAAATCGAGAGGCCCGACATTAACGATTCTCGTTTTATGGACGGAAAATATTAGCACACACAGTTCAAATACAATAGGACCACTCAAGTCTCATGGGAGAGCACATCCATAAATTTACACAATAGGTTTGCGAGCTGCTTGACTCCCCAATATGTAACATAAGCTCTTTTAAGTGCGATTGCTTGTGGTATCATACTAAAATTTCACGATGGAAAAATCCTTTTATTTCTCAAAGAATTGTGTTTACTGTTGCAGCTAAAACGTACTATGAGGTGTAATAAAACAAACACAACATGGTTAATTTCAGAGAAAATGGTATACAAATGATGACTGTTTATGAGTGCAATGGTAAGAATAATTTCATTTGGTGACAGATGGAATGTTCCATTCCACGAGGCAAACCAAGTGGATGGAACTTTTCATCTGTCACAAAAATGAAATTATTCCTTCAATTACATGAATATGAAAGATATGTTTTATACATTGAATGAATAAATCTTCATAATCTGATTGTAATACATGCAGTACAATATAACTTCTATACTGTGTAATGGAGCTTCTTGCAGTGCTGCTGGGATGTGGGTTGGGATGAATATTTTAATGACCTGTGATCTATCAATCAGATGATAGGGATTTATTAAGGCGTTGTAAAATATACAAATAATGAATATTTATGAGTGCAATGGTGAGAATATTTTCATGAGTTGAAAGATTGAATATTTAATTTAACGAGGCGAAATGAATGAAACACATTCATTATTTTTTATAACATCCAAGTAGATCTTTGTCATTCGATTGGAGGTTTGTATCATATCCACTAGTTTTCTTTAGCTTGTTCAAGGCTTACAAAGGTTTAAAAGTCAAATCATTGACAATATTGAAAATTAACATTGTAAGTTCATAAAACAAAGCCAAAAAAAATCATCAAGACAACTGCATCAACTTCAAAGGCAAGTTTTTAATGCATGATATGGTCTAAATAGCGCAAAGATCTATAGCCCTGGGCCACTGCGCGTCTAAGCGTGCGCGCGGCGTGCAAAAGATCAAAAGGGATGGGATGAAAATGCAAGGTGAATAGAACCAAAATGCATAGTTATGACGTAGGCCGTGCAATGGTTCGATTAATGAATGCCGCATGACCTACAATCCACGAATCAAATGACAAGGATCTACTTGGTTGTTATGTAGCTATTTATAAGTAAACCCATAGCTAAACCTTATACATCTAAACATTTTCATGTGAAATGTACATTGCCTACAGTGTGCCAGATAAAAATAACCATGCACATTTTGAATTAACAAGAAACTTTTTCCCAGCCACAATACATATCTTTTACAAGCACCATTTCTAATGGTCCCTATATTGTATTGTGTATCTTTAATCCATTATCTTTTGTAATATTCTACTCCAAATACATGTATACAACACTTGTATCTGGATCGACAGAGTGGGTGACTGATCCCTCTTGTCTTTCCTTCTGAACTTCTTTCATGACCATTTCCAGTTCCCTTGATAAAGTTTTCGTTCATTGAATTGTTATCTTTAATCGATTAATGTTTTTCATCTTAAATAATGGTTTTCCAGTTCTATTGCCTTGCCTTATTGTCTTCTCACTTTGCTATTCAATGAATCCTGTGATTGTGACTTTAATGACCTAGGCTTTCTTGACACGTCTTGTTTTGTTAATAAAGACAGGAATTATATATATGCACAGCTGAGGTAATAATATTCCAGGATTCTTGTTGTGACTGATGTTCATGTCATATTACTGTCAGTCCTATGATTGTTTGGATCTCCTCCATCTCCTGCCATTCGTCTCCTCTGTATCGTGTCTTCTGTCTGCTGTTCCAGATCGGCAATGTGATCATCTAGAAGTTGCTCCAGATCTTTGGTCCTGCGTAGGTCCTCGGCTACAAAGCTAGCTGTGATGGACTGTCTAGAATCTGGCCTCTGTGATAGATAAAAGTTTAAAACACCAATAAGTCCACATAAATCTGCAGTACCGGTACTGCCTATAATAAAGCTCAAGGCTTTAAATGCAACTTCTAGCCTTTTTTCCCTTTAAAACATCATCTTAAGAAATTAATTCGTGAACGATGTAAGGAAATACAATAACATTCTCCAGTCAAAACAATTTCCGGGAGTTTCATCCGTCTTTATATACAGGGTGTCCCAAAAAAATGCTCCACTCTCCTTTTTTACAAATTCAAGCAAACCTGAATGCATACATTTTCTTATTATGCATGGTAAGAATGCTATGTGTCTTGGTTGTTATCTACCAAAAAAATTGTATCATACTATCAATCCACTAGGGACAGAAATGCTTAAATATGAACTCGCCTCCATTTGCCAACTGCGCTGGGGACTCAAATCACCAATTTTAAAATGTCGATTTTTGTCAAGTGTGCTTTTCAAAAATTCTACTTGGTATCTACATGTATTATGAAAGACCAGTCATCAGTCGTTATCAAGCAAACAAGAGAAAACCAACCTACCATGGCATTGTCCATTTATTGGACTTGGACTAAAAATACCTATTTGTAAATCAACCACAAGTAACAATTGTTCACCTATGGCTGATTGTTCACAATTGTTCATAATAGATACCAAGTAGAATTTTTGAAAATCACACTTGACAAAAATCAACATTTTAAAATTGGTGATTTGAGTCCCCAGCGCAGTTGGCAAATGGAGGCGAGTTCATATTTAAGCATTTCTGTCCCTAGTGGATTGATAGTTTGATCCAATTTTTTTGGTAGATAACAACCAAGACACATAGCATTCTTACCATGCATAATAAGAAAATTTATGCATTCAGGTTTGTTTGAATTTGTAAAAAAGGGAGAGTGGAGCTTTTTTTGGGGGACACCCTGTAAAATGGCTGGGAAGCATGCTCTTTCATTTATAACACTGTGGTATTTTCGATATAAAATTTCAAATTTAAGTTCAGTGACAGGTCCTTGAACAGTTGAAAAATATTGTGTTAGTTTCTAACTTTGTGACCACCCATATAATGAGTACTTGCAATAGGCAACAATAGGGCTGTGCATCGGAACCGAGTACCCGAATACTGGTCACTGATGTCAGGAACCAGTTCCAGATTATGGGATCAGGTACCCGTGATCAACTTTACAAATTACTTAGTGACTTCTCAGACAATGAAAAACAAAGGTTTTTGAATGTCGTGTAAAGGGAAATTTCAATATGAAAACCAGGCTAAATGAAAAAACAAAACTGATATCATGTTTATTAAGATTGTGAACCTTCTGTTTTCAACATAAAGCTAAAGCTCACTGACACACTTTTATCTTGCTGCATTGATGCACGGATCTGGTAGTATTATTGTGTGAAAAATCAGAACAGCAACTTCAAAGATTTGAATTTTTGGGTTGGGTTTCTATAACAGGTACCCATGTTTTTAAAATTGGGTACCCTGTTTGGGTTCTGGTGGTTACTGCGCAAACACCTCCTAAGCGGTTATCTCGCACAGTGGTCATCTGTTCCCTTACTACCAGTAAACACACACCCCTAGGCAACAATTCTTCTTCCTGAAATTGGTAATGTCAAACTCCTCCCCACAAAAAAAAAACCCAGCCCAAAACCTTCCCCAAAACCCAAACACACATATTCATTTGACATGGAAACAATCAAGGCAGTGAGCACACTTGGTTATCACACAGCCTTTACTGGTACGCATGTATTTGTTAATCATGGAGACACAACCATCTTTGCAATCCATCACCCAAGAGTTCAACTTTTAACTCTCTTAAGGAATGACATAGTTCCAATGAAATTACAAATACTATGTAATGTGCCAACTTACTTTGGACTGCCACTCATTGGTTGGGATAACTAGCTCAGGAAAGCCCAACATTTCTGTTATGGCTGCTGACTCATAGTCATCCTCAAACAACTTCTTAGCAGCCGGCAATGGCTGCCGGGCATGTGGTGTGCTGGAGGAATGACTGGGGCGAAGGGTTGATGAATGGTTGGATGCTTGGGGTGACAGAGACCGTGAGCGATTGGGTGACAGATGGAGTGACGAATGAGATGACAAATGGTTCAAGGACTTGGCTGGGGAGGATGCAATGGTTTGGACGTTATTGACAAAGCCGGCCATTGCAGAATGTTCCCCTTGCAACCCTGAAGATTACGGAAAAAATTAACAAAACAAAATAAACTCTCATATGTACTTGTACTTGTTTATTATGCTACAGATCGAGGCTGATTTCATTTAGCAAAACACAATTACTGCATGAAAACAGTCTGGGAAAAAAACACTCCATTATAAATTTTCCATGTAATTTAGCCCTAAACAGAATGAACAATTTAAAATATATTGTTAAATATAAGCTGGTTCTAAATGAGACTTGTAGGTTTGCATGGTGGACATGAACAAAGAATGGAAGGTTTGCGGTAATACCATCTGAATAAAATCTCTTTTGATTTGTGTGGTTCTGAGAAGAGCCAGTTGGTTTAATCATCAGTCTCCTGATGATGAAGAACAGAGCACACTGGTCGAAACGTTGAGTCGTACAGTGTGCTCTGTTTGTCATCAGGAGACGAACAGAGCACACTTCACTCTTTGTAAGAGGTTCAAAGGAAATTCAATGACTTTCCCAAGGAATTGTTTTAGGGCTTTCCATGACCGATTCCTACGCTGTTGTGGCATCTTGGAGCATATTGCTATGGAGGCAAGGGACACCACTCCCTTGTACGCCTTTCATTTTGGTACAAGACCCCTTGAGCATCACAAAAGTGACACAATGGTGCATTGAACGTGCAACAAGTATAGAGCATACAGGCATAAAAAAATTCATGAAAATCTATTATTTTCCAGGATTTGACCATGACTGTTGGAATCCTGCTATTTGCACAGTGGCCTTATTAATGGATCTGTCTATTGCTTATACACTTCATACTTGACTTACGATTAAGTGAGTGTGTCTTTTCTTTGAGTTGCTTCTTCAGTGCTGCACACATGCCCCTCAGTCTAGCGATCTCAGCTTCGTCCTGCTGCACTGTTGTGTCTAGCTGTGATTGCAACATCTCCGTGTTGTGACTCTGGTGTTCAGACAGCTTTTCCAGCTTTCTGGATAGAGAAAGAATCAATGTTGCTCAAGATGAGCCCCAAATAAATCCTTCACTAGTCCAGTCAGAAGTAAATCACAAGTTCAGTCACAGAGAAGATGATCAGTACCAAAAAAGAGTGTCTGTGTCACCGTTCATTTGAATAGCTTCAGCTTGTGAGCTTGTGAGCTGACTTAGGACGAGATGAAATGTGACAAACTGTTAATGTTAGATGGAATTGTCAAAGAAACTTGAATTGGTGTCCTGCACACTGAGCCCTTACAAGTAGTCACGAAGCATCATCTATTATACATGCACAGAATGTGTAGCAGCTGACACTCACACAGACACAGGTAGTGTTCCTCAAGGAACCTTGAGGTGAGCCCAATTTATGCTTTCTGGACAAGGACAATTTCAGTATTATAAGACAATTAACCGTGATATCTTATTAAGGATTCAGAGAAAAGATCCAAAACTCTTAGAGTGTAATCTACTTGACCATTACTAGATGATGGATCTATAAACTTTGAAAAATACGCTTTTTGGTTTATTCACTGAGCTCTTAAAGTACAGAAATTCTCTGATTTGTAATGCCCATGATGCTGGAATTGCACATAATGGAATTTCCTATCATGAGCCATGATAGGAGAATATCATTTGAAAAGCTTGAAACAAAAGAATAAACAAGAAGAAATCTCCTAGATATTCACCTCTCATATTCCTGCCTAAGTTCCGCTACCTTGACGTATGATTGTTGGATGGCTGCTTGATACTTGATATCATTGGCTGTTTCTGATTCCAGCAGCTGCTGGGTTAGTGATGTCAGCTTCCTCTTCAGCATATTATTCTCATCCTAGCGAATGATAACAAGTAAGGATGTGCCCCGTTTGTCACTTTATTAACCTCTTTCATGTGGCCTCCATGTACAAAATGGCAGATGACATTTTTTTATCTAGAGACCACTAAGTTCAAGATCCCTAGTGGGAGGGACATACCGCATATATGGTTCGCTAAAGTAAGTGTGGCTTATTTTATTCTGAACCTACTAAAAGCTTGGGCAGCTTTGTGTGAGCATCAGGCATTGTCTGCAGTGCATTCCAATGTCCCTCCCAGTAGTCTCCACCCACTCTTCCTGTGTAACCATTGAGGGGTAATTACTTGTGCAAGGAATTCATATGGACTAGCATCTGCATACACTGCAACCCAGTCCATGAAATACAAAATAACTCAAATCCATGGGAAATTAAGCTGCAGAGAAATTTCTCCTAACTGACCAGTATGTCATAATACACACCACACACATAATTTTCCATTACTAATTTGATTTACTCTCGTCTTGAGAAATATTACCTAATATATCAATGAAGAAAATGTCGCATTCCTATTCCTAAACCCAGTTCCTTATTTCAGGTGCTATGCATCCGCTAATTTATCATTCGCCATCATGTACATGCATTTCAAGTGTGACGAGCTACATAGTGTAAAAATGGAAATTTTGAAAGCACACTAAAATCGGTAAAACTATAGCAACCGTTTGAATTGTCATTTTACACTTGTTGGTTAATGCTTACAGCAAAGCCTTGTATTATCAATGTAACTTAGGTTTGTCAAAATGCAACTGTACAAATACATTTGAATGCATGTAGTCCATACCTGCGCACTAAATGTATACTTTTTGCTTACGGCGCTGCTTCTCAATTTGTATGCATGTAACAATAAAGGTAAATTCGCTGTGATAAAACTTGGTCTATCACCCACCTGTAATATTTGTGAGGTCTTCATATGCTGTGTATGCAGGTTTCCCAACTCCTGTAACTGGGATTCAGCATTCATCAACTCTGATGAATTAGCAGTCACTTCTTGATTGCTACTAGTTTCTCTTAAGCTCCGGTTCTCGATCCGCAACGCATCCAGTTGGGCATTCGTTATCTTAGGTTCAAAGATGGGACAGAGTAAGAAAATATTCTTCATCTTCAACATTTAGCAAACTTTAGCTAAGGCCCAGTAAAAATATACTTTTGCTTCCGGTTTCCCTACCTACCCTATTCTGACAGCCCTACCCTAATTGTTTTATAAGAAAAATGAGAAAAAGCACTCAAAAACATCAATTTCTACCTTTTACCCTTGATTACATGCAGACGCCTCCATATGATCCTACAAAAAAAAATTGCCAAAAAACAAAAAACTTACCTACCAACCTACCCTATTTTCAAATGCCATGTAATCGGAAGCAGAAGCTTTTTTTTTTGGCCTGAACTATCTATACTTGAACCAAGGCTGGTATGTAAACAGACAAAGCTGAGGGAACTTCCAATAGCGAGTGGAGCTAATATCAACTATTCACCTGAAATATACCATGTTATATTTGTTAACTATATCGCATACTTACATTTACATGTATTTACCAACATTTTGTTGAGTTACGCATCAGTTATCTTGGCAAAACGTTGCAATGGATGTGCCATCTTTTCATGTAGCTAGGGTGATGTTTGCACGTGTGCACTACCCCCGCGCAATAGTGATTATTATCGTAATTATTATTATTACTATTATCATGATGCACAGTGGGTACAAAACGTTTTGTGATGGTTCAGCTTTGATAAAACTAGAAACAATACTAACTTGTAGTTCATGCTGATGCCGTTCTGCTCTTTGCTCTTCCTCCCTCTCCTTCCTCTCCATAGACGCCAGCTTGTGACTCAATGTTGCTATGGTATTGTCACGGAGATGAAGGTCGGAAGTCAACGCGGCAACCTCTGACCTCATGCCATCTAGGTGAGACAGATAACGCTGCTCCTGCTCATTGCTACATGCCTTTTCCTGAACACGACAATCAATACGCATGGTGGTTACTACTACCTAGTCAGTTTACAATTGTCAATTCACATGCTCTTTATATAAGTTAATTTACATGCTTTTAATTGCTGATGGATAAGAGGGATCAAAGTCATAACATTGATTTATATTTTGAAATTATTCCTGATGTAAAAAAAAAAAAACAATTCAAGAGGTAAAAAAATAACACCCTTAGTTGTTTTCAGTGTAATATCATCACATACCCATATTTCACAAAGATCCATAAACAACATACAGCAAGGGGCAGATTGAATGTGAGCACAGTAAATTCCAAGTCTTTCTGACTAGTGTGTGTATTTGCGAAACATGTTGGCTGTGAAGCTGCTGATTTGGAGTCAAATACAACTGTTTTCTTATAGTGCGCAAAGAACTTGAGGCGGACAATGTGTCTCGTATAGAGCATTCCATGCCCCTTGAACATTCGGCACCCAGCATCTTTGACTCTGTATTTGTGGTGCTTTTTATCTAATATGTGATGCGATCAAGCAAATGAGTGGTTTGTCGGCCCTGGTCAATTTTTTTTTTTTTTGGCAGATTTGAAAAGAGCACAATCTCAGCATTACTGCTGTGAAAACCGCATGCTGATACCATCTTTAGTTTAAAAATTATGGAAGTCGGAACACCAAGATATGTGATGAAGTGATGTGATGAAGTGGTCGTATTTTGGCCTGAATCTCCAAATGAAAATTTCCGACAAACGACTCATGTAGCCTGATCGCATCACATATAATAACCAGAAATTGAATTGAATTGAATGTGTAACATCTGACAAACATTGTATAGCATAACAACACTGTGGCACAGAGTAAAACATTTTGCTTACACCAGCCTCTAACCTTAGCCAGTTGTTCCTGTAGCTGCTGTGTTCCTGTACCTTCTAGATGTCGTAATTCATCTATCTTGGTAGCCAGTTCTGTATTAAGCCGTGCACATTCCAAATGAGACTTGTCCAACCTGTGTCAATTCACAACAAGTAGTACATCAATCTTAACTGAAAGTTTATGATACTGGCAGGCCTATGACACCATTAAAAGAACTAACTTCTTGAAACAATATTAAGTGTTTAGAATTATTCCCACTCTTTGTGACTAACATAAAGGGCCCAATTATGGTACAAAATCACTTCATTTAATTTCACTCTTTATTATTGTATGAATTATGCTTGTGAACGTACACAAACCAGATCACAGGTGCATTAGTTTAATTAAGGATGTTTTCAGTACTTTTCTGAAACACGTTTATATTAATTGAAGGGTTGGATATGGGAAGGGACTAAATACTGGCATTTCATGGCTTGGAATGGAAATCAGTTGCCAAACCCCCCCCCCCCCAAAAAAAAACAAGTCAAAACAATGTGCAATGATATAGCATAGATGGCTCACTGCCTCCAGCTTTCATCAACGCATGCTGATACACCCTCATCTTGTATGCAAATAGTTAAAGGCACATTTGATCACTTGCATTTATCCCAAAAGTAACTTACCAAATTATTATCAAAAAGCTTACCTTGAATAAAGATTGTACTGGTACTAAACACCTTGTGATATTATTCCATCTGGCTTGCTGTCATTCCAGAAATATAGGTAATTGGCAGCAATTTTGTGATTGAAATGTTGTGCAGGGTTTTTCACTTATTTCTTGGAAAAGTGTTCTGAGCTTGAACTTCAACAGTTTAGGTTTTGAAAACTCTTCTTTGGATTTCAGTGGTTTTACTATTGGAAAGGAACAAAATACTTGAAAAGCTTATTATCCTGTATGCCTTTAAGCAGTGCCAGTAAATTGGCCCCCATATGACACGATGAGTTGACCTGGTTTGCAGTCTGTGTCTATCTTCCTGCAGCTGTGCCTCAGTGCGCAGCCATCGGGCATTATCCCTCTCCACTTGTTCCAGCTGACTTTGTAGCTCATGGATTCGATGTATTGCCTCCTGCCCACTATCTTCTCTGAGTGACCTTAAATTCAAGCATTCATTGTGTTACAGATAAGTGGCCATACTTTTAAGTGAATGAGGGTGCTGTAAGCTGCCATTTTCTGGGTACCAACAAAAGAAAAATCTCTTTTATTTAGGCAGTTTAGTAACTTTACTGAAATTCTTAAAATCCATCATTGTAGAAAAATTATTTTTGGAGCCGATGTAGTGTGTCAACTTACATGTAATAAGACAATTGGTGTCATTTATTTATCGACAGACACACAATTTTGCTGACAGGATAGTGATTTTGCCGGAGCAAAAATGAATAAGGGGATGGGGGTGTCAACAACGTTTTTTAGAAAACTATTTACCTGATCATGTCATCCTTGAGTGCTAATGATTCCTCCATCTTTGCAATCTTTAGTTTGTGTTGTTTCATAGCTCTCTCTGCCTCTTCGATCAGATCGTCTCGCGATTCTAACTCTGAAGTCAATTTTGCTTTTTCATCATCCAAACACTGCCATGGCAAACATGAAAAGCTCTTGAAACTGCTACACAACCTATATTAACTACAATATTCAGGCAAATTACCTGCGTAGGACAGCCATTCTAGAGTCTTGCTAAACCAAATCACATTATAGGGATTCAAGTTGACCAAAATATATTAGGATGGCAGACAGGCGAACTTTAGTTTAAATTTCCATTGCCTGGACTCTGCAGTTGTTTCATTTTACTACAACTTCTTTCAATGAAGGACCTCATAACTGTTTCAAATGTTGAAGTATTATCACTACTTCATTCTCCGACCCCACTCACTCCCTCAGGCCTGAAGATCTCAGTTCAACTTCAGAAGCGGGAGTGTGCTCTAGTGCTTAGGGTTTGTGACTCATGATCAGGGGGTCAGGGCTTTAAATACAGCAGCTGGCCATATTTTGTGTCCTTGGGTAAGCCATAATCTCCACTTGCCTCTCTCCACCCAGGAGTATAAGTGGGTACAGGCATTAGCCGGCTAGTAACCTTCGATGGACTAGCATCCCATCCAGGGGGAATAGAAATATTCTAAGTAGTTTCATGCCAAAGAAACTGGAGATAAACGTCAGCCTGATGGGCCATATTGGCTTGTTACAGACTTTACTTACCTTCAGACGATTCTCCAACTTCCTACATCTCTCCTCCACCTCCATCCTCTCCCCTTCCCCGACCCTCATGCTGCCATTCATCTCATGTAATCTCTCCTCCAACCGCTGGATGACATCATTCTTCCCTTCATGTGTATCCTGGCAGCGTGTCAGGCTTCCTTCCAGGTGGGTAAGGCGTGATTGGAAGTTCAGCTCTGTTTGCTCCAGCAAGTGACGTTGATTGGTCAGTTGATCTTGATAACCTTCTGACTGTTGCTGTGGTAAGATAACATCAATCTCAGACTTACGTTCATTGCATGGATAGAAAACATTTGTTATGAACTAGGGCCTCCATGCACAAGGATACCATATATACAGAATACCATTCACTATGTTCTTGTCATCATACATATGAAAACCATTGCAAGGGTTCTCAGCCACGGCTTGTCCATGATGACAACTTCCAACACTATTTTGGAATCTCATCAGAAGCCTATGACAATACACTGGCCAGCCTTCAAACAGAAAATCCTCAGACTTTTGTAAGTTAACATGTTAAACTTAAATGCCACCTCCAACCAATAAGGCATCCTATTGGCATCTTCCTAGCATAAATTGGAAGAACTAAATATTTCCCATCATCACGTCTGGGTAGTGCAGGATTACGTGACTTTTCCATTACTTTCTAAGGTGGCTTTGAACAGCAGGACTTTGCAAGCCTTTCCTGACTATGGAACCCTGCATTGTGTTTAATTTGGGCTTTCCAATTTTTTTCTGAACAGCAACAAGAATTGGAAATCCCACTAAAATCGAAGGAATACCATGCCTGGCTTGGCCTGCACTCACAAGTCTCACGTATTCTTCATTGAAAGTGCACTGTATGATGCCACTAGACTATTACCACCTGCCTACCTGGATCAATTGACATTTGTCAGCTAATGTCTTCCTCTGAGTTTCTAAGCTTTCTATTTGCTGTCTGTAAACTCTCTTCTGTATCTCCCACTCACTGGCTTTGTTCTGGTGATCCTTCAAGTGAAAAATAGATAAAGGAACAATCCACAGTTTTGCATGGATTTCCACAAAAAAATACAGTTAGGTACAGTACATGGTATTATCATAAACTGGCTTTGATTCAGACAAAAAAACTGTCACTTTTGAGTAAAGACGCAAAATAAAACAACATCCATCATCTCTTTTTTTTACTAGTGTCATTATGAGGTGAGTTATGCAGCTGTTGCTAACACATCCCCCTTCTGAGATCATGCATATTTTACTGTACATGCATGTCACAAACATTGCGAGCGTGTGAGTATATATATTAATATACACTGGTGCCTGGCTGACATATTGACAGCAGCAGTATTGGGTAATGGATTGTGGTTATCATAACTAGTGGCAGGTGGGATACGAATGCACTGAGAAAATTGTTAGTTTCTTCACTGGTGCAAGCTTCCTTCATAGCCCACATTGAAAAATGTTCTCATAGTCAACATTGAACAAAATGTTCTCAAAGTTGAGTACAACAAAAAAGATATACACTGTTTGGACCCAATGTGCGGGGCAGACTAGTTTGCACATGTACATGTATGGCAGGAAGAAGGCACCAGGTTCGGATGTCCAAGTGGTCTCCCCTAACCCTGCCTTTGTAACCACAGGAAGGGTACTTCAGGGCTGCCAAATTTTGAGTAAGAGCTGAGTGAGAATTTGACGATGGAGCTTGATCAGAAGTTATCATGCTAATGCGAGCGCAAAGCGCGAACGGCCGGGGTTTGGGGCCCGCTGAACGGTCGTGAAAAATTTAGGATTCTAGACGCTCTTTGGTGCAATTTGAGTCAACTTCTGACCACTTTTTGAGCGTGAGAAATTGCGTGTGCGCATGAGAACAACCTGAAAAGTGTGAGTCTCATGCTCAATGCGTGAGAGTTGGCAGCCCTAGTACTTGTGAACGGAGTAATTGATAATTACATGTATAACACCCACCAGGATTGTTGCTTGGGCCGTCCTGACTTGATTCTGAACATCTTGCAGTTGAATGTTAACCTGGTTTTTCTCTCTCTCGGCACCCACTGCATGCTTACTGTGATGCCTCTCCACTTTCTCGTAGTCTCTCTGTAAGTTAGACAGCTGTGCACAGGTACACAACAAAACCAGCCAAGATTACAGCAGCACCGTAGGATCCCCAACAATTATTTTTTTTGGGGGAAGGGGGCTTGGTTGGTTGGTTTAAACCTCTTTAAGCCTGGGGATACTCTTGCCCACTTTTTTTTAAATTCTATCTTTCTTTCCTGAAAACATTTCACACATAGCCTTTCGCCAAGGCCACCGTGGCTTAGAGCGGCAAAGCTGCGGAATCACGAAGCAACTGCAGCAAAGACCAAGCTAGCATGCGTAACTGGCGAAGCCCTATGGCTTCGCCACTCATGCATGTGGTCTCCGCTCCAGTTGTTTCGCAGCTTTGCTGCTCCGTTCTATGCCTGTTAAAGCCACAATGGCTTTGGCTAAGCTAGGAGGGCAAGAGAATAAGTAGTCTACACCATCAGTTAAAGACATGTACTTCTTTGTTCCTTTTCTGATAATTGTAAATTTAATAATACCATTGCTTTTTTAAAATTAAATTATTTACTGTGAAGGTCTGTATGTACAATGTACCAATCATGTCTTGTTATATACCTGTGCTTTTAGCAGTTTGAGTTTCTGTTCATACTGGGACGACAACAATTGCTTTTCTCCTTCAGCGCTTTCTAGTTGGTGTCGAAGACGACCAACCTACCAAAAAAAGGAAATACTTTTACACCTAGATATCATCCTTAATCTGCAAAAATCTTTAAGGCCGTATCAAACCTTTGGCTGTACTGAACATCCCATAGGATCTCAAAGTTTATGAAAAACTTTTTCGAGCACTGCTCGATGGCCAAAATTACAATAATAAATGAACACTGTGCCAGTACCAAACAATTTTTTTAAGACCTGTCCTATGAGCCCCGCCCTATGTCCACATGTATTGCAGACTGTACATCAAATGGGTGTCTGAAACATGTGGTACGACACTGCAGAGGCGCATATGTGTTATTGTCGTGCTTTGTGGGCGGGGATTAATGAATCAGCCTATTGTGTTCCTTATAGTAATGAGGTACAGTACAAAGACAACTAATTTAGGCCATCAGCCTCGGTCCAAAATGTTGGCCACCGGTATCAAATGAGGGGAATAATCGTCATAGCGATTTTTGGCAAGGTATACACCTCCAGAGTTGGAAAATATGTGATGGCATTGCAGCAGTGGCAGCTTTTTGGGTGTTATCACCCTTTTTTCAAGTTGTCCATCAAAATGCTTGTTACCACTCTAGGGGCGGTATACCTTGCGCATGCGCACTATAATCATTAGTGCCCTGATTTCATACTGACCAAACCCCCAGGCTGATGGTCTAATTCAACTTAATTCAGTTTATAGTATTCATGTACAATGTACCTCTTGGTGCTTGGATTCTAACATAGCCCGCTGAGTCACTACTTCTTGATCCCGTGACCTCAGTTGACCTTTAACCCGCTCAAGGTCAGCTTCCCATTCTGTCTTCTTATTGTGGACCATAATGTCAATCTGTCGCATGAGTTCTTGTAGTTCTGCTTCACAAGATGACATCGGTCCGTCAAACAGCCTACAATGTAGATGTTGAAATATGCATATATTGGTATTACAAAAAATCTTTAGGCAACAATTCAACTTTTTTTTCAATATCCTGACAATAAAGTTGAGGTATACGTGCTCTTTAGGTGTGGCACCCTGAAAAACAGATTTCCTATTTTGTTCGAAATAACTCTCAAATGTACTCAAATCTTTATAGACATTGTACACAACCAAAGAAGTGGCGTCAAGAAACTAACATTCTTTCCTATAGTGCAGTATAGTGACTAAATACTTACTACTTTAACTACATGTAGTCTATAGGCCTAGGTCTATAGGGCCACACTTGGATTTGGAACACGTACCAAAAAATGTAGAACTTTGTCAAGCCCTTGGAAAACATTTAGGAAGACATATTTCCTTGAGCTTTTCCTTCCTTTTTTCAATGCCAATACACTTTTGGTAATTTCAAGATTAATTTCAATTTAATGGTTGAATCCTCAATAGATGATTTGTATTTTATACAAAGGCCTATACATGTATTTACATATTTACTGTAAATTTATACAATTTATACATATTTAGTTTACCTATTTAATTAATGTAGTACCCAGTTTATCTTGTTATTCTGATCATCCCATTCAACAGAGACAATTGTCAACATGTTTTAATCAAATACAATATATGACCAAAAAATCCAAGATCATATAAGAAGCATGTCTTTTTGGTTGCACCATAAGTTTCAAACCCCTGTAGAAACTGCAAAGTATCATATACAACGTGTTAACTATAATTTTGAAGACACAGGGAGACCAAAAAAAAATCACTGTATGGTCATGTTTTTGAATTCTGCAGGCCCTGAAGCATCCGCCTGCATTTGTACTAGGGGCTTAATTTGTACTCCTAATTAGCTGTTAAAAGCAGATTTTTTTTTTCATTTTTTGCCTGATTTACCAGTAAAGCATTCTCTTTCAACATTTTTCCGGCTGCTGGTTAAATGTCATGCATCAAAGGATTCGATCCAAAGTCTGCAAGTGAAAGTACGTCAGTTTTAAGACGCACACGATGCTAAATTTAAATTAAAAATTTAAAGGTGAGTGCGTAGCCTGAAAAAGGAGGGGTCCGCTCATAAGTCCGATGCCTCATAGGTCCGAGGCCTCATAAGTCAGAAATTTCGGACTTATTAGACGTCGGGCTTATGATACGGCCCCATAAAATTAGCAGGATGATTAGCAGATTAGGAGCGCGTAGCTTTACAATAGGAGGTCTGACGATATACGGTAGGTAGTCACAATGTGAAAAACCAAATTTGACAAAGTTCTACACTTTCGGCAAATTCAGGTACATGTTCCAAGTGTGGTTCAGTAAATTGGCCATATTTACGGGCTTATGGACAAAAAATCACACCTTTTTCCCAAGTGAACCGAATGTCCGGAAATTGGACCAGAATGAGAAAAGGGACGGGGCTTGTCCTGCCGGCTAAAATAACTCACCCAGCTTTCTTTGCCTCTCTCTGAAATTCTTTGTCCATCTTTCTATTTAGGGCTACCTCGCCGTGTCAAAATAAATCAGGCTTACTTTCGAACAATAAAGAAAATGGGTGTCACTCAGTATTTTGCGTTGTTACTTCGCTAGTTTTTAATCTTGGTTTCTATTTTGAAACGAGTACGAGAGGGCGCGCCGGCGCCGGACCGGACCGCTACGCGAACCGCCGCCGCCGCGAGAGGGCGTTATCACCACTCACGCGAACGTTGCCAACCACCCATGGCAAGCATGCAGCACCCTTAATCCCCTAAAATTAAGGGGCGGGCTATTTTGACCAAAGTCAGTCGGGGTTGGGAGGGGTTGGGGGGGGGGAGTTCCGCTCCCCCTAAGATCTCGGCCATAGAGTGACGAAAACTTATGAAACTCGGTACATGCATAGAACAACTACTCATGAACATACCCCAGAACTTTCATGACTATAGATCAAAGGGTTTTGGAATTATGGCTAATTCTTATATTATTCATATGCGCGAATAGTAATTTTGTTCCTTGTACACTACGTATATGGGAAAATTTAAACTAAATTTTATATTTTTTTTTATGCGCGGCATGCAACCCGTGGTCCGTATTTTATGTTTTTGGTATCAAAAGATGCGCAAGGCTCGAGGCTAAAAAGTCAGGACAGCTCGGGTCGCGAAAAAAAAAATCAAGGCTATGGCTGAAAACATTGAGGGGGGGGGGGGGGGGGATTCCGCCCGGCCCCTTTAAGGTTAAAGCGTTGAGAAAGTTTGTTTGTTTTACTTGTAGGTTTCATCTGAAGTTTAGGAGGATCGAAGTATTAAAGGGAAAATACAACATTTGCAAACATCAAAAAATAAAACTACCAAATCATTTTGAAATACCTTGCTGGACTGTTAGTGAATGACAATGTAAAGCATCCTGTAAAATCATGGCACCTGGTATACTGTCATTTTCAAGAAAAGTGGTATTTTTGTATCAATTTCCAACGCTGATCGGCCGATCAGCGTTGGAAAAAACTGGGTTTTTTTTCAAATACTGGCCCCAATTGACCATCGCACTTGTTTGCAACCTATGAACGGGTACAAGCCAGCTAGACTGGTTCCCTGACCTTACAATTCCCCAATGTATGTAAACTGCTCTGTTTCTTCTTAAATGGAGTCAGGGAACCAGACTACAGGAAAATGATTGTTTTTCATGGTTTCTATAGCATTTTTGAACCCAAAACCTCCAAAAAGTCAGTGTAACTATATTTGCTATATATTTCCAACCCCCCAATTCCATCCATTTCTGAATATTACAGCAAAAGCAAATGATGTATATTCCCTTTAATTGGGTTGGAATAGCGCAGAGTGCCAAATTTTTTTTATAACTGCCGTAATTAATTCCGTGCTGTTCCATTTTATTTTTGGCGGGATGGGGCAGGGAGCTGCTTGAATTTGAAAGCAAAACCTTAATTCCATTTTAAAAATATCTGATTATATTGATCGAAGTTTATTGAAGATCCGGAAAAGCCATATGTTCACAAACTCGAGTACGTTCCGAAAATGTTGTTCCTAATGCTCCATGTTATTGCGGAGTACCAAGTGGTTACCTTTTTATAGTTAAATCGATATGGAATGTGTTTCTTAAAACCAATTGTAATTAATGCAATGTTAAAAAAAACCTGTTTTGTTCTTGTTTCCAAAATATACGTTATGAATTATTTTTCCCAAAGCGGAAAAAAAGTAGCCATCTTGAAAAACGATCCCTCCACAACATGAAAAAAAATAGCGCCACTTTCGAGCTTCATTGCATCCAAAATGCTCAGAATTGGAAGTCCCAAGTCTGGGCCAGTGTTTTATTGCCATATTTTTTTCAATTTCCCCATTTTACGGCTCTCGGAACTCTCTAATGTAGAATATTTTGAGGGTATAACTTCTTTTCATGGGCTCGGCGGATGGGTTTAGGCCTATTAACAGGTGTGCACCCTTACACGTCAATATCCTTCAATATATTACATTTATTATTTGGCGGCTCTTGTCAATTTTCAATAACTGTAGTTTACATATCAAACGGCCAGACGTATGTCGGATCAGCGCGGTGAGCAGTGTTTGTATAGCGCGCCCTCTTTTGTAAGAAATTGTTGCATGACAATAAAATACGGAGTGTCCTTCATACTGCAATTTCCTTAAACTGAAATTGTAGATGATGTACACGAGGAATTAACGTATTGAGCGATTTTCTTCAGTTTTGTATATACGAGAAAGTAAGATTTAAACGCCATCCAAAACAATACTCACTTTCAGAATTTGCTACAGTTGACTTGGCGTCCCCAAATGTCCAATGCAGCGCTGGAAACCAAGCTGAAGCCCGTGCTGATTTGAAGCTTTTGGAGGAATGCAGAATCACTTCTGGTGTCGTTGCAAATGATATAGGACAATCCAGGAGGTGTGCAAAAAAGTGTATTAATTAAAATGCCGATTCGAATGAAAGTCACTTTTAATTGGAGACAATGAATGAAAAAAAACCCCCACATTCCAATATTTGATCATAATATCATAACATAAAAAGATTGTAACAAATTTACGGAAACCGTGGCAAACAAAAAACATTGCGACAATAAAAACTAGCCTATGTTACCACCATAAAATCTAATCGTCAATGCCGACCCTGACATGCCCAATTAAGGTCATAACCATTGAGCTCGAAATAGAAGAAAAATAATTCCCAGTCATAATAACAAAATGTTAACTTTTTTATGTCACTAATGACAAACGAAAGAGTCCCAAAGTGCAAGAAGGAACTTACGGTCTGTACAACAGGTTCGCCCTTTAGCAAAGGAAGTCGTAGTCAACACGACGAGGGTGACACTGCAATAGCTGTGAACTGAAGGCATCCGACGCTGCTGTTTCTGTTGTCAAGCGGATGACTGGTTCGAAAAATGGGGCGTATTTATATGGATCCTAGCACAAAGCACCCACTAGAGCATCACAATACAAATTCCTACCATTCACTGACTGATCATGGCTATAACTGACCTTAGACGTTTTGAAGTCTGGAAATGATTATTTTCTGGACTGTGACTTCCTTAAAGCTTCGAGAAATTTGGTTAATTTGAATTGAGTGCCAAAAATAATATCTAGCGTAATTAATTATGTGTTGTTCCATCAAAAAAAATTTGGCGGGAGGGGATGGAACTGCTTTAGCTTCTTAAAAACTTCCCAACGGGTAACCTTTTGGTTGAAATACGTACTTTGTTAAGATTTCGTTGCGAGGACAGTCACTCTTCCAAGCCCAATCTTCCCAGATAATTTACTTAGTATCCCCATCAGAACTGTAAATGCAACTACACTCAACCAAAAAAGAAAGTCCCCACCTTCCAATACTTTTTTAACTCAACAACTACTGAGCACCTCTCGCTCAACTAACGAAATTCCTTAGCATTCCAGCCATACTCTTTCTTATGCCCAAAACAGTGATAATGTGTACGAATTTTTACAATTTAGGACCAATGATACCGAAAACAGTTGCACTTTTGTATACGTGCAAGTTGTGGCTCACACTAACCTCGCACATATACAAAAGTGCAATTTTTTTTGTCGGTACCATTTGTCATCAATTGATTAATTTGGTACACGTTAACACTTTTTGGGCCAAACAAAGAGAATGGCTGGATGATACTCTGCTTATGTAATGTTTACGCAAATGCTCATTATTGTGCTTGGAAATGGAAAGTACATTGTTTAGTGATTTTGTTAAATAGTTATCAGAGCAAAATGTTTGTCAGTTGATGAAGAATACTCAGTCTGTTTTTAACGCAACAATTGATGTTATTGTGACGAAAGATGACAAGCATTTCAAAATGTTGTTCAATAAATTGTGGAATATAGCGCAGTATTAACAAGACGGATGTTGTCGAGTTATAAGCCTAAAAAGGGTTAGGGGTTAGGGTTAGGGTTAGGGTTAGGGTTAGGGTTAGGGGTTAGGGTTAGGGTTAGGGTTAGGGTTAGGGTTAGGGTTAGGGTTAGGGTTAGGGTTAGGGTTAGGGTTAGGGTTAGGGTTAGGGTTAGGGTTAGGGTTAGGGTTAGGGTTAGGGTTAGGGTTAGGGTTAGGGTTAGGGTTAGGGTTAGGGTTAGGGTTAGGGTTAGGGTTAGGGTTAGGGTTAGGGTTAGGGTTAGGGTTAGGGTTAGGGTTAGGGTTAGGGTTAGGGTTAGGGTTAGGGTTAGGGTTAGGGTTAGGGTTAGGGTTAGGGTTAGGGTTAGGGTTAGGGTTAGGGTTAGGGTTAGGGTTAGGGTTAGGGTTAGGGTTAGGGTTAGGGTTAGGGTTAGGGTTAGGGTTAGGGTTAGGGTTAGGGTTAGGGTTAGGGTTAGGGTTAGGGTTAGGGTTAGGGTTAGGGTTAGGGTTAGGGTTAGGTTAGGGTTAGGGTTAGGGTTAGGGTTAGGGGTTAGGGTTAGGGTTAGGGTTAGGGGTTAGGGTTAGGGTTAGGGTTAGGGTTAGGGTTAGGGTTAGGGTTAGGGTTAGGGTTAGGGTTAGGGTTAGGGTTAGGGTTAGGGTTAGGGTTAGGGTTAGGGTTAGGGTTAGGGTTAGGGTTAGGGTTAGGGGTTAGGGTTAGGGTTAGGGTTAGGGTTAGGGTTAGGGTTAGGGTTAGGGTTAGGGTTAGGGTTAGGGTTAGGGTTAGGGTTAGGGTTAGGGTTAGGGTTAGGGTTAGGGTTAGGGTTAGGGTTAGGGTTAGGGTTAGGGTTAGGGTTAGGGTTAGGGTTAGGGTTAGGGTTAGGGTTAGGGGGGGTTAGGGTTAGGGTTAGGGTTAGGGTTAGGGTTAGGGTTAGGGTTAGGGTTAGGGTTAGGGTTAGGGTTAGGGTTAGGGTTAGGGTTAGGGTTAGGGTTAGGGTTAGGGTTAGGGTTAGGGTTAGGGTTAGGGTTAGGGTTAGGGTTAGGGTTAGGGTTAGGGTTAGGGTTAGGGTTAGGGTTAGGGTTAGGGTTAGGGTTAGGGTTAGGGTTAGGGTTAGGGTTAGGGTTAGGGTTAGGGTTAGGGTTAGGGTTAGGGTTAGGGTTAGGGTTAGGGTTAGGGTTAGGGTTAGGGTTAGGGTTAGGGTTAGGGTTAGGGTTAGGGTTAGGGTTAGGGTTAGGGTTAGGGTTAGGGTTAGGGTTAGGGTTAGGGTTAGGGTTAGGGTTAGGGTTAGGGTTAGGGTTAGGGTTAGGGTTAGGGTTAGGGTTAGGGTTAGGGTTAGGGTTAGGGTTAGGG